TTCGCGGTGATGAGATCAGTACAACGAAATAAATAGGATTCAGAGAGAAAAAGATATGGAACGTAGGGGTGGTTTCCATAAATACGGAGCCTCAGTATAGCTATCAATAATGTCACTATTGTAAAAGTATTCAAGGCTTGAGAGAGCTTGCGTAGCAGAGATTCGAAGTGGATAGATGATTGAAGTCAGTCGAACCGCAGGCAGACTTGCCGAGACCCTAGAAATGAAATGGACTCCTGCTCGAAATGATAAGAGCTGTAGGAATAGCCTAGCTAGAAAACATCACAGAATCCTCTTAGATAACGAATACTACTGGCGGCAGATATATCGGGTCCAGTAGTAGCGTTTGAATCTGCAAAACTATGAAGATGGATGGAAGTGTGAAGGAGGAATGAAGCATTAAAACGGCTTACACCGGCTCATTAGTACAATATTGCAATTGCGCGATGATAGGAAGGTGAAGCTTCTCACTCCATTATCGTCTCCCTTCACGTAACCTCTGCCTAGCCCTGGAAAGCTAGCCCAACAAAATTCTGTCGATTTGTGTTCCTGTATTTAGTCGGGACATTGACTATAAAGTGGCGCTTGTTACATTATTGGCCTGACAAGTAGACTCGTTCTACAGCTCTTCTCAGTAGGACAAGTACTCCGCTTGGGTAGGAGTTATCTTAATACTTCCACCTAAGGCATCAACCGCTAACACCCCCATCCCAATCAACCCAGCCAAACGTGTTCAGCAGCTCTAAATGCGGATATTGCAGAAGCTCATCATTTAGCAACGACCTGACAGATTGCAGCTGCTCAGCCCCTAGCGGATCAGGATCCAATATCCGGTCCAGAGATCGACTTATGATCCTTCGGATGAAAGATACCATGCTCCTGCAAGAGGCCTCAGTCTCAATCCAGTCCAGACACAGTACCAGCAGACTAAGGTTCTGAATTATTGCCGATCGTGGGAGGCGTGTTTGATAGCTATGCGGATGGGTGGCTTGTCGCAGCAACTGCAGACAGAGGATGCCGCTGGCTGGAACAGCGTATGACATGGTCTTATAGTTGTATTAGAGATAATCAACTTTGCACACACACACAGGGGATCCGCAATACGTACCAGCCACTCGAAGTCAGCGTATAGACCAACAAACCGGTCTTTCTTCTTCCAGAAGATCAAGGTCAAGTCCAGCATTTCATGACTCACTTCGACGAGGTCTTGCTCGGTGACGATATGGTGTCGCTTCAACAGCCGTTCCAACAAAAATAAACTCAGAAGACATTCGAGACGCGTGAGTATCTGCGCGTAGAGGATATATCCGGGAACGTTGGTGTTGCTGAGCTCTGACTCCGAGAATTGAATTATTGATGGAAGTTGCGTGTAAGTATCATGGGTTCGTTGCTTTAGTTTCCTGATACTAGTGTTAGAAAGTATGTGCGTGGGTTGGAGTAACGTACATGGCTTTATCGACAGATCCATCAGCTAGATTATCCATCGAACCTTCCAAAAGCTCCAAAATTTCATGGCGGATCCGGGCGAAGCTTGTGCGGGATCGGAGAATTGTAGTAGAGTAGATCTGGTTGTCTGTGTTCCATCCGTTGGGGTCTAGCTGCGCAGCGGCAGATGGGAGATTGCCAGATAGCAGGGCATCATCACTCAGATCTAGTGGCAGTCTGGTAGATGAATATGCTTGACTCAAAAGAGGCGGTCGCCCAGTGAAGGTCGAAATGACCTTGTCAATGTTGAAAACAGCGGCATACAGCCTCCTCTTGAGTTCGTGTTGGAGACTAATAGTTTCTGTCTCTGTTGAATGTTCGCGATGAAGTCCGAGTGAAGTGGTCACGGCCACTAGCTCGCCGTGCTGTGTCCAGTGGGAGAAACCTTCGTTCGGTTAGACCAGAGGCATATTTGGTCAGTAATATGACCTACTCTTGTCCCCGCTCAAGATCCCTTCCAAAATATTATGCTTGTACAACAGATACACAAAGAGAAGATTGACGGAGCCAAGCTGCTTGCATAGATCGATGCATAAAAACGCACAGTGTTTGAAACGAGCCATCAATTGCTTGGTGTTCGTAACATATGGATGTCCCTGGCAATACCGGGCGACAGCTTGACTCTCCGACGACGGGGAGATTGCTCCGCAAGCCCAGTAGGTATACAGGATGCCAATAGTTTCCCATCGCATCTGTGTCCCTGTAAAGGAGGTCAGCCAGGCCTGCGGATCCTGTTTCTTTTGTAGCGGGGTTCTGCTATTCCGCGTGAGAATCGTAGCAGTTTCCAGCATGTCTTCTTCCAACCGTCGTCGTAGCGCCGGACGGAAAGCGTCCCACATTCTGTCCAATGCGTGACGCCCTGCCAGTCGGATCCAGCCATCATTGGGATTGATGTGGCTCGAGAAGAGTGTGGAGCAGTCGCGCTCCTCCGGTAACTGGCTCAGAATACGGGCGCCGAGCTGCACAAGTGGTGTGTCTACTTGGGGGTCTGGAGCCGAGTCTCGTCTTATTTCTGAAGTTCTGTTCGTGTCCTCCAACTCAAAACAATCACCATGCTCCACAAAGACTGAGGTAAAGCTCGTCGGTCCCAGGTACTCGTTCGGGCTGTCGATTAGGGGCGTGCTCCGGTCCGCAACCCGGTGGTTCTCTGCGGATGTCGCATGCACCTCAGGAAAGGAGGCACCTGATCCTGCAAGTGATTGTGAAGCTCCCTCCGAGACCCCGCATTTTGTTCTGTTCGACTGTGACAGGTAGATACATTCGAGTGAATGCTTCTGGCATCGATGACATGTCGGCTGATTGTGGTCACAAGCTAGTTTCCGTCTGCGACAGGCCTCACAGGCAGCCCTGCGACCGTTGCGCCGCCGCAGAGAAGGCATAAGGCTGAAGGTTGCCAGCTGGCATAGACACAAGTCAAAGAACTTCCACGGCGTTGGTGGTTGATAATGCTAGTAGTTAGTTTAGTGCCGGAAAGCCCCTCGGCGTTCGGAGTGGCCGTAATCGTTCCCGATTGGCTCTGTCCCGATAAGCCGCTCAGTAATGCCTCGACATCCTAGTATTTGCAGGGGCTATTGGCGGTGCTTTGCTCGTCTTCAGATTCCTTGAAGTTGCTTCGTACAGCCGAATGCCGATTCCGATATCCGTTGTGTGGCCAGACAGTATATATTTATCTATGCAAATCGACACTGAGATGCCGTGCCATAAACCACACGCAGAAAAATGGCACGATCGAAGCTTCAGGTGCATCTATATGACCATTCAAATGATGCAACATTCGTGTTCTTCAATGGGGACATAATCTCAGGCGAAATTAGTATTCATCCGGGAAACAATATCCTTTACTCCTATCTGGTGATCATGCTTGAAGGTAAAAATCCTTCCTTCGTTCATCCAGACAACTACTGAGACGTTGATTCATCCAGGTGTGACCACAATCTCCATGCAGCATGAAATGGGAATCAAAATCCAGAGCACTCAAACTTTTCTACGTCTCTCTCAGCAGATGCAAGTCGATTCTCCTGGAAATATCCCATTTGCCTTTGTTATCCCGTCAGCTCTGCCCATTGAAACATGCAGTCACGCTGTGTCCGATCCACTGGTACGATATGCACACACAACATTGCCTCCTTCTCTGGGAAAAGCTGCAGGTGCTACAGGAAGCAACAAGTCTGATATACTAACCCCAAATGGGGTACATATTCGCTACTGCATCAAGGCAATGCTTCAACATTGTCAGCAAGACAGGGAACCGGTGCTCAGCACCAGACGGGAAATCTATATCATTCCTACCCCTTCGTCAGAGAGGCCACCCCCCGCCTTTACTCCTACTATCAGTTACTCGGATAAAGCCACTCAACTAGCCCTGGAAAAGCACGGATCCCCAATAGAGGCCCAGGTCGTACGTAACATCTTCCGGCAAAGAGAAGGCCGCCTCGTCATTGAGATCCTACAATCGGACCCGCTTACCATGCACCTTCAACGGCAACTACCTAGGGAGTCTACCATCCCCCTTCGACTCCGGTACTATTCAGCCTCCGGGATCTGTCCTCGCTTGCATCGTATGACAATATCAATGCGTGCCTTGACATTCTTCGGTCAGTCTCCAAGTCCAGATATCTCCTATCGAACCACAAGTCACCAATCTAGCGTTTACAAGAAGACTCTACAAGTCGCCTCACAAGATCTGTCTAGTGTGACATGGGAGGCTGTCCCATGTCCTACAGAATCGGAACCAGAAAACAAGATGACTTATGAGGCCCTCGTTCCGGTGTCTTTTACTCTTCCTTCTGACATACCTTTTGTACCCACCTTCCATTCTTGTGTGGTGGGCCGAAGCTACGAGCTTGAGATTCGAGTATACTATCAAGTTGGAAGAGAATCGATCTTTCCACGTCGGATTTCGACCATCGTGCCCCTGGTAATCACGATGAGTAACAGATAGGAGCTATTTATTGCAATTTGAATGTTAGCACCAAGTGTCTAAACCGAGGAGGATAGATAGCGATGTTATGGTGTCTTCCTTAGTATATTGGTTCATTGATGGCGAATGTATCTGCTTTTAGAATCATGTTTAGCAAGCTATATATATTTAGTAAGTAGCATCAAGACCAATGCGACTATCTATCCTTCTCTCCAAGAAAGGAACTTGACAAGAAAAGCATATTCCAATTGAAAGAGGATTTAGAATCCAGCCTTACTAGTGCAAAATAATTCTATTACTGTCAATTTCTATCACCAAGTCTTTCAATCTGTCTTCGACATCCTCGCAAAGAGTAATAACACACCCGTAGCCCCAATACTAAGCCCCGAATACAGCTGTACACCCAGATATGACCCCGTATTATCCAAAATGGCACCCGCAACAGGCGAGCCACACAGTGACCCCAACCCACACAACACCGAACACATACCCAGTCTCGTTCCCAAGGTTTCAAGGTTTGGAGTAAGGGCGGTCAAAGCCACAGCGGGAAGTGCAACAAAAGCCCCAGAGAAAAACCCATACAGGACAGCAAATGCGATCAAACCTCCGGAGTCGGTGATAGCGATCCAGCATAGCGCTAGAATCCCACTGATAATAGCACTCGCCAGGAGAATGTTCAACGGACCGAAGCGCGGGGCTAGAAGTCCTGGGATGATTCTCCCGGGAACAGACGCAGCATTGAGTATTGAGACAAGATAGAAGGCGAGGGGTTCACCTACAGCATGCTTGTGGATGGCGTAGGCTTCTATGTAGAAGATGGGGTTGAAAAGGCCAATGTAGCCGAAGAACATGGCCACGCAGAATAAGGTATAGGGTATCTCTTTGAAGGCGGAAGATTCGGCTAAGACGCGTTTGTGCTTGGGAATTTGACGTACGCGCATAACACACAGGGAAAAGACAGTCGTTACCAGGACTATAAGCCCGAGTGCTCGTGTGGCCCATCCGAAGCCGATGCGAGGCTGGAGTTGGCGGAAGATGATGGGATAGAGGACGCCTCCGAGGCTGCTTCCAGACGCGGCGATAGCGATAGCGATGGGACGCCGCGAGGAGAAATATTGTGGAATTATGGCTACAGAGGGGATGTAGAGACATCCATTTCCGAGCCCGATGCAGAATGCTTGCGCGAGGAGGACTTGCCAGTATGAGGTGCAGACACTGAGTGCCATGAATCCGACGACGATAAGGGCGGAGCCAGTGATGATGAGGATGTAAAAGTATCCTGAATCGTATAGGGGACCAGCGATAACTCCAATTAGGAGGAGGAGAAATGCTTGGATTGCGCCGATCCAGGAGATGTCTGATCTGGACTGGGCCTTAAGCAGGCCGATTTCATAGTAGGTTTGGAAGGCACCATATGTGTTTACCGTTCCCCTGTGGTTCACGAAGGTGCCATGTTAGTAGTATATCTCACTGGGACGATATGAAAATAGTACCATGAGTTGAAGAAGAGGAAGAAGGAGCCTGCCACCTGCAGCCAGGCTCGGAGACCACCATTTGGCGGCGTAGTATAAGCTGTACTCTGCTCGATAATATTCGATTTAGCCTTTTTCGGTGGCTCAGGCTTTTCCATGGTATTCGTTGACTGCTGTCTCTCAAGTCCAATGTAAGGAGGAGATCGATACTGCTCACTATGGTATCTGGAGGATTAGACTACTATCATTGATATACACTTGAGGCTCGGCTCTCGGCTTCGGAGTCAATGCGGTTCGGAATAAATGGCCAGATCAAAGAACCTTATCAAGCCATCATATCTTGTCGTTTTGCCAAAGCCGACTTAATCTCTCTCCGCGGCATTGAGATAAGCACGAGCTGGCATGTTGAAAAGACTCCCCGACTGACATGTAGTCTATTGAGCGTTCAGCAAATAATCACTGCGCAGATGAGATGCTTTCTGATATGGGCCTGTCGAGTGCTTCTAGAACGGAATGTTCATACTGATAACGCGCTATAATCCAGGCATATCCACGATAAACAAATGACATGACAAGTAGAATATTGTGTCATATCTTAAGTTTACCTACTGTCAGCGGCTACAATGCTATTTTTTTTTACCACACATTCACATGGAGGCCTTTTACTATTCTGAAACAAAAATTCTGCTGGCAGCCTACATATTATCATGCCAGCAAGTATTGATCTAAGTAAGAGAAATCCCCAATACTCACAATAGGCACACCAAGATATACTCCGTGTCTTACGCTCTACCTGTCGGAGCACGTGACCAAAACATCCACGCGCCCTTGGGAGCAGCAACCATTGTCCATTCTCACCATCTGCATTATCATTACCTACATATGTCAACAATAGAAGATAATCGAATTTCCTTTATCAGAGGCTCTGGAGCGACCGCCTGTCTTGATGCTGTCGTCGCTACTACGCTCCTTACCCCGGCTGGGACGGCCATGGAAGCCCTGTTCCTTCTCTAATCCAAAAATTGCCCGGATACCAGCATGTCAAAAAATCGAAGAAGAAAACTTACCGGACTATATCGCTTCGCGGTATTATCCCGTTCAAATAGGTGATATCTACCAAAATAACATCAGACTGTTGGAAAATGAGGATACGGGGCAAGCTCCACTGTATGGCTTGCACGCGACATGAAACACCGTGGTTACGTTACCCTCAAGACATTCATCAATTCTGTATCTATGGGAAAGTACTTGGATGATGAGATTCAGATGTATAAACGTATCGAGAGGGGTTCGGGATTTCACACCGGTCGCAATGCTGTCAGGAGATTACTCGACTCTTTTGATATTGATGGGCCCGAGGGTAGACATCGATGCCTGGTACATCCTCCACTGTGGGAAAGTGTGCTGACAATTCTGCACCGGAATCCGGTGCGAAGGCTACCTGCGCCGGTGCTTGCATTTGTGCTGAAGCGTGTGTTTCTGGCGCTGGATTACCTGCACACGGAAGGCCAGGCTATTCATACCGGTATGTACTCCGGGAATGCTCTCCCTTCGGTTATGTGCTTAAACATGGTATATACCAGATATCAAAGCCGACAACATTAGCATGTTCGGCATCGAGGATGATTCAGTCTTTCATGACTTTACAGAGAATGAGCTCAAAAACCCTTGTCCGAGGAAGGAGCTAGATGGAAGGAATATATACGTGTCTCGGGAGATCGGAATGGCCCGAGAGTTGGGAGCTCCGATCCTATGTGACTTTGGATCTGCTGTGCCTGGTGATATTGAGCATTCGGAAGATATCCAACCTGATATCTATCGCGCCCCAGAGGTGATCTTGGAGGCTCCATGGGGCTATAAAGTGGATATCTGGAATGTGGGGTGCATGGTGAGACAAAAGCTAGATGGCAGTGCCACAACTTGCTGAGTCCTTGTCTCATAGATCTGGAATGTCTTTGAGGGCGGATCCTTGTTCACTGGCTACGACCCGGATTTCAGGCGTATCGAAGTCGAGCACATTTCGCTGAGATCATAAGACTGCTCGGGCCTCCTCCCCCTGAGCTCCTCGCTAAAGGGAGGCTTCGTCATAAATTCTTTTCAGATGATGGTAAGCTAGTATTCGGTTTAGCTGTGTACTATTACATTCGCTCACTATATGTCATAGGTGACTTTCTAGCTCAATCCCTGTTAGGAGATCGCATCCCACTTGAGGATAGGGAAACATCCTTCAAAGGGCTGAATAAAACCCGTTTTTTAGTCTTCGTACGAAAGATGCTACAATGGGATCCAAACAAGCGTAGCTCTGCTAAAGAGCTGCTAGAGGATGAGTGGATCTGTGAGAACACCAGGTAGGGGGCTAAACATTTACGCGTTAGGCGTTCCAAGACAGGAAATCTGCCGATATTGCCTGACTGCCTCAGGAATCAGCACGTGCTGGCAGCCGAATCCGGTTAGTGTTCCCCCACTGATGCAATCACGCAAACAGCTTGTTGGAGCAGTGGAAGCTCTCGGAACGCTTCTTCTCTCTTCATCCCATCTCATTTGCTCCAGATAAAGCACAATGGCCTCAATTCTTCCCCGTGTTGGCTTCCGCGCCTTGACCGCTCTGCCCAGAGCCACCCCTCTTCCCCGGGTGTCTCTCACGCAGCTCTCTCGCGTGCAGCCCCGCGTGCAGCCCCTCACTCGCCGGTTCCTCGCAACCATTCCTCAGGAGCAGCCTCGTCTGCGTCTTGGATCGACCGGTAGGCCAACCTTTCCAATTTTACCGCGCCAATTGTACACACACTAACCGGCGTAGCTCCCAACTTCAAGGCCCTTACCACCCATGGCGAGATCGACTTCCACGAGTTCATCGGCAACAGCTGGGCCATTCTCTTCTCCCACCCGGCTGACTTCACCCCCGTCTGCACCACCGAGCTGGGTGCTTTCGCTAAGATGAAGAATGAGTTTGAGAAGAGGGGTGTCAAGATGATCGGTCTGGTGAGTGGTCTAGGAACACAATTTCGGGTCGGCCGCTAACAGTCAATGAACCTCTAGAGCGCCAACGATCTCAGCTCCCACGACCAGTGGATCGATGACATCAACGAGGTTGCCAACACCAACGTTCAGTTCCCCATCATCGCCGATGCCGACCGCAAGGTCGCCTTCCTTTACGACATGGTTGACCAGCGCGACTTGGACAACATTGCTGAGAAGGGTATTCCGTTCACCATCCGCTCCGTCTTCATCATCGACCCCGAGAAGAAGATCCGTCTCACCATGTCGTATCCTGCCTCGACTGGCCGCAACTCGGCGGAGGTCCTGCGCGTCATCGACTCCCTGCAGACTGCTGACCGCAAGGGTATTGCCACTCCCATTGACTGGCAGGTCGGCGAGGATGTGATTGTGCCCCCGTCGGTGTCGACCGAGGATGCCAAGAAGAAGTTTGGCGAGGTGCGCGAGCTGAAGCCGTACCTCCGTTACACCAAGTACTAGAGTGCTTGAGCGGGGATGAGAGATTGTAACAACAGTAAAATGTGCAACAATATATATCACTTATATATCAACGGAATAATATCCTGTCTAGAACACTTCCGAAGTAAAGCAGGTATAAACTGAGACAGTCAGGTGATAGCCCCCAGGGTCCAGTCCCTGAATAGCCCGCACTAGTCCCAATCCAGCCACACCCCAAAGCAGCCCGTCTCCGCACTAGACCCAAAACAGCAAATCCAATACAAAATGGGTTTCAAATCGGGCGAATTTCTGTTTATCGCCAGACGCGCCGCCGCCTCGAGCTGACATGTCCTTTTTCTCTCTTCATTCATTCAATTGCTCCCGGTTCCTGGCGATCCCGTCTTGGTAACCCCGAGCTGTGCTCAGCTAATTATTTGACCATACCCCGGACATCGTATCCCATCTGACCCGATTTCCCGTACATTCCGTCCACTTTTCTCTTTCAGGCACGCCGTCAGCGTGGGACGGTGGCAGTTCTAGACTGTGACCGGCGGGGCAAACCAACATTCCAGAGTGTGTTCTCGCCCCGGGACACCCGGATCTGCCGATTGGATTTGATTAAGTTGCTTTATCTGACACCCACATTCTTTATTATTCCTTTACTCCTCTTATTTCATTCGTTCCGATAAAGTTCCCGGCTGCACTGCATGCCGGGCCACTCCCGCAGTCGGGACCGGTTGAGTCCCAGCAGCGAGCTGGACGATGCCGATCCCGTTTACTCTCCTTCGGTGTACCAGAGAGAGCATTATTATAACAATGATTCGTTGTTTGACTCCGCTGACGATGATTACACCCGTACACCACGAAATGTCTATAGTTACGAAACCCATGATGAATATCACGATGATGACGATGACGATGACGATGTCCATGAGCATGACCACGACCATGAATACGATGATAAGTTTGAGGAGCCTTGGGTTCCGTTGCGCGCTCAGGTCGAGGGTGATCAGTGGAGAGAGGGGTTCGAGACTGCCATACCTAAGGAAGAGGATGTCACTCAAGCAAAGGAGTATCAGTACCAGATGAGCGGGGCGCTTGGTGATGATGGACCTCCTCCGCTGCCGTCTGATGCGTTGGGTAGGGGAAAGGGAAAGAAGCGATTGGATCGGGAGACGCGACGGCAGAGGAGGAAAGAGAGGCTTGCGGCATTCTTCAAGCATAAGAATGGTAGTGCGTCGGCAGGATTGGTCAGCGGGGATGCTCTGGCAAAGCTGCTTGGGTCACAGGATGGAGATGAGGATTGTTTGAGTCATTTGGGTACTGAGCGTGCGGACTCGATGTCGCAGAAGAATTTAGAAGGGGGAAGGCAAAGGAAGCTCCCAGTGCTGAGTGAGGAGCCGATGATGCTTCGGCCGTTTCCAGCGGTAGCGCCGACCGGACAGACACAGGGACGGGTGGTCTCTGGGGCGCAGTTGGAAGAGGGAGGCCCCGGTATGGAGATGCGACATCGTGGTGGAGGTGGGCCGCCTGCAGAGGGGTTGCTTCAGAAAGAGGGTGATTGGGACGGAAGCACGAAAGGTTCTTCTACTTCTGCACGGCCGTCGTTCTGGAAGCGATATCATAAAACGTTCATCTTCTTTGCGATCTTGATAGTGCTGGCAGCTATTGCGATTCCTGTGGGGATCATCGAGGCAAGAAGGCTTCATGGGACGAGTGGAGGCGATAATTCTTCGAATTCTAATCTGAAAGGGATTAGTCGCGATAGCATTCCGGTAGGTTTGTCTTTTACTTGCCTCTTGGTGATACTGACGATATCAGGCTTACGCTAGAGGGACGTACCTGGATCCCTTTACATGGTACGACACCACGGATTTTAATGTGACGTTCACAAATGCTACAGTGGGTGGACTGTCTATCATGGGACTGAACTCGACATGGAACGACTCAGCCCAAGCAAATGAGAACGTGCCACCCTTAAATGAGAAGTTTCCGTACGGGTCGCAACCTATTCGCGGTGTCAACCTTGGAGGTTGGTTGTCGATCGAGCCCTTCATCGTCCCTTCGCTTTTCGATACCTACACTTCAAGCGAAGGGATCATCGACGAGTGGACACTATCTGAGAAACTAGGCGATTCAGCCGCCTCAGTCATCGAAAAGCACTATGCCACCTTCATCACCGAGCAAGACTTTGCTGACATCAGAGATGCCGGTCTCGATCACGTCCGGATCCAGTTCTCATACTGGGCCATCAAGACATACGATGGCGATCCGTATGTCCCAAAAATCGCATGGCGGTACCTCCTCAGAGCCATCGAATACTGCCGCAAATACGGTCTCCGAGTCAACCTCGATCCCCACGGTATTCCAGGGAGCCAGAACGGCTGGAACCACAGTGGCCGACAGGGCACAATCGGCTGGCTAAATGGAACCGACGGGGAACTTAACCGACAACGATCTCTCGAAATGCATGACCAGCTCTCGCAATTCTTCGCACAGGACCGATACAAGAATGTTGTAACGATTTACGGCCTCGTAAACGAACCGCTCATGCTTTCCCTCCCTGTCGAAAAAGTCCTCAATTGGACCACAGAAGCCACCAATCTAGTCCAGAAGAACGGCATTAAAGCATGGGTCACCGTCCACGATGGCTTCCTCAACCTAGACAAATGGGACAAGATGCTCAAAACCCGACCGAGTAATATGATGCTTGATACCCACCAATATACCGTCTTCAACACGGGCGAAATCGTCCTCAATCACACCAGAAGAGTAGAGCTCATCTGTGAAAGCTGGTACTCTATGATCCAGCAGATCAACATTACCAGCACGGGGTTCGTATCTTCCCTTTCCCATGCATACAATTTACTGACCTTATCTAGATGGGGTCCGACCATTTGCGGCGAATGGTCGCAAGCAGACACCGACTGCGCTCAATACGTGAACAACGTCGGTCGCGGTACTCGTTGGGAAGGCACTTTTTCTCTTACCGACTCGACTCAGTACTGTCCCACAGCGAGCGAGGGGACCTGCAGCTGCACGCAAGCGAATGCTGTCCCTGGCGTCTACTCGGAGGGATACAAGACCTTTCTCCAGACCTACGCCGAAGCACAGATGTCGGCGTTTGAGTCCGCTATGGGGTGGTTCTACTGGACTTGGGCAACGGAGTCTGCAGCGCAGTGGAGCTATAGGACGGCGTGGAAGAACGGCTACATGCCGAAGAAGGCCTATAGCCCGTCATTTAAGTGCGGGGATACCATCCCTAGTTTTGGCAATCTGCCGGAGTATTATTGAGTCTTCTTGAGACCTCATCTACAATGTCATGTTCGGATTTTGGCGTCGGAGGTCATGTATTATAGTCATTATAAGCGTTTGTTTCTGCATATAGGATTTGATTCTCTAGAAGATATGGATATGATTTCTAACCGAATTAATTTACCTACTGAACATGTTATGTTTATATTAATTGCCAAGAGTCGCCATCCAACAAGTGACGGATAGCCCCGACTGTCCCGTGATTCCTTCATATAGCCAATGCGGGGAATTAATATGAGATGCGGGGATGGCCCCCGACCCAAACCAGACTAGTCCGCCCTCACCTCTACAAGGCAACTCTTTCCGGCTTTCCTCATCCACTTACTCTCACACTCAATGGCCCCAGAACCTCCATGACCCCATCACGCAAACCACGACATCGTCTGATCGCTGGCTGGTAATTGCACAACGACCTATCATTATTCCCAGATTGTCACGCTAACCATTTTCTTCAGTCAAAGATGTCGGAGTAAGTTTCTAGGCCGCCCTCTCACTTCCACCGAATGTAATTGAAGATGCTAGTATATGAGGACTAATTTGTCGCACATTTAGTCCGTCATCTGAAGTGTTCGTACTCCCCACAGTTCTTCCTCCTGGCCTTCGACTAACACGTCTCATATACAGGCGACACCAATTCCCCAGCTTGCAGCCATTGTCGCCGGGCAGGCGTAGACTGCGAGAGAGGGATAAACGTGCGCTTCCGAAACGGTCTAGAGATTCTTGGTAATGATGATACACTATTTCCGGAAAAGCATTTGTGGCCATACTTGATGGGTCCGCGTTGGTAATCCCTTTTTCTCTTTGACGGTCGGCGGCGTCATGCTAATCTTCGAAACTGCTCAAGTGAGGTTCGTTGATGAAACGGTCATCATTAAGCGGCTGTATGAGGTTGTAGAGTCAGAGCACGATGGCTCGACCGAGCAGTCTCGTGGGGTCAATGATGCCCCTGTAACTCCGATCGGGACTGGGCAGTATCAAGCCCTCGAGCAGTATACGCCGCCATTGACGGGTGATAATCATCCGCTACAGACTCTGTACCATAATGGTCGCTCGTCTGAGTTGGGATTGTTGATGGGAAATGCTTTTCAGCATTCTGACAGAAATCCTGGGAGGGAGGTGCAGACTGATAGTTTGGTGCAGGAACCAAGATTCTCGTTTAACGAGAGAGAAGCGACGTTAATGCGTAATTATGTTGAGAATATGGCTTTGTGGGTAGGAGCGGATGATTGGTATTTTGAATTTCTTGTTCTTGCCGCTGACCCCTCAAAGGCAGACATAACCGACCCTCATCGACACTTTGAAATAGAGGTGCCCGTGAGAGCAATGCAGGATCCGGTTCTGCGATACGCTATCTTCGCTTTCTCTTCTCGTCACGTGGAGCGGCAGAGGAAGGGAAATGAAGCAGAAGCGCTGCAATATCATAACCACTGCCTGCAGCTGCTGATTCCTACATTATCTGGAACAGGAGGTGACTTGACTGATGTTGTTCTCGCTACTGTTGCGATCCTACGCCAACACGAGGAAATGGAGTGTATACGACCCTAACTAATGCGACGGAAGAATTCCAAGGCTCACTCAGTATAGATGATGATAACCAGTTCCATCTGACAGGAGCCACGCGTATAATAAACTCTGTCTCCTCTTTTGGATCCTCGGGCGGGTTGGGTGAAGCGGCAGCCTGGCTCTGTCTCCGTGAGGACATTCACGTATCACTGATCTCGCAAAAGCCCTTACGAACAAATTTGGAAAGCTTCCATCATTCCGATATATTCCTGAGAGACGATGACTTCGCATGGGCAGCTCGAATGGTCTTTCTATTAGCCAAAGTATTGAAATGTGCGTTCAATCAGGTGTCTTCGCCAGAATATACTGCGCTGCAGAGTATTGCTCAGGAAGTAGAGGACTGGTATGCCAGGAAGCCGTCCTCATTCCAGCCTCTGCGCGAGCTCCCTCGTGGAAAGGATGCTTCGTGTCGATTTCCAGAGGTCTGGATGTTACTACCGGTGCACGGTGAGTAACCCGACAATTGCCCGAGCGAGACTTATTAATGGTTCACAACTTAGTGGTCGGAACTCAGTACTACCATATTGCCAAGATAGTTCTTGCCTTTTCTTGTTGCCCAAGTCCTCCGCTGGCTTACGAAAGTTTCAGAAATTCACGAAACATCGAGGTACGTTGACTTGAATTTAGAAAGATAGTTCCTCCTAACTATCTCAAGAAAACAATACGATATCACCTTTTCATGGTGCTTGGACTGGCCAAGTCAAACCCCAAAGCGGAGAATACGCTTTTCACCGCACGGCATAGCCTGGTAGCGTGTAAGTGACATGGCAGTCGAGTCATGTGGCATGGACTAACGCTCGCATCAAACTTTTCCTCTGCTTGAGACTAACATCAGTACTAGGGGGCTGGGTCATTCGGCAAAAAGCGGACCAGCAGGCTGCAGAGATTCTCCTGAAAGAAATGTGGACGAGAACGGGGTGGGATGTGGCTGCATCGATCCAGTCTTTACGAGAGCAATGGGCCGACGAAGAGACCGACTGCTGAACTGACCCGAACATATACCGAAACCCGAGCGCTGATACTCAATAGTGACAGGTGTATCATTCGGCAAAACGGAGCGCTATGCGCTGTGCCACCTATCTCAGGATAGGTCGACTCCAACAGTCCCAGCACGTCACCAGCTTTGCCCTTGTTCTGAGTCCAGTCAAGTGTGGATCTCGGCCAGGCAGCCGTCGTCCGCATTGCCCCTGTGATGAGTCCGGCCACGCTATGAGACCTGCCAGGCAAATCGATGCAGAAACGTTGGGAGTGCGTCTCTGTGCTGGACTCTCGTTCTCTCTATCAGTTTTAATTCGCCCGGGCATATGCACCGGTGGATTAGCACCATCTGATCAAGTGGCTGAAAGCTTAAAAGAACGATATGACCGCCGGGATATTGCGACACATGCCGATTGGCAGATAATGGCCGTAGATATAACTGGCGCTCAGGACTGCTGGGCTGTAGGCGTCACATTGGGCATGACTTCACTGCACCAACTCATGCGACAACCGATGCGATGCAGTTTCGCGGACCAGTGGAACCAAGTCCCAACCTTGAGAATTCACCTGAATCCGATCGGGCACCTCACCATCGGGCCTCATTGTAGCGGTGTAGACAGGACAAAAGTGGCAATGGATCTTGAAATCGCGAACTTAAATGGCATCTCGTGCACGTCGGACGCCCTGCATATAGCCTCGCCTATCACGCTGCGCCATTGCCATGCATGCTGCAGAGACTATCGCACCACGGAGACTGCCGGCTCCCATAGGGTCCAAGTAGAGGCAACATGAAGCCTAGACCGGAACCTCGAGGCACATTCCAATCATTCCAGAAGGATACTATCGTAGTTGTTCGGAGGAGGATTGTCGGGAGCCCGAGAACATCCATTCCACAGCAGCAAGCCAAGCAGAGCCCTAATCCGGGTGGATAACAACGCGTATACTACGTGGAGCCAGGCGGAAATGCAACCATGGAAGCCGGAAATGAGAGCATCGCGTCCGCCTCCGTTTTCATCATGGAGGAACGCCTTCAACAACACTAGCTCCTTCCAGTTCCGCCTGATCGGCTGGGGCGAAATCAATAGTCAGAAGGGAGAGGATCCAGGGGAGGCACGTGAAGTCCTGATCATCCATTTGCCCGCCTCGGTTCCGAGTCACGGCTCCGCATATTCACTTTGTTGATGCAACTAGTTCCCTCATACCCCTGAAGGTCATTTGCACATCCCATTTCCCCCCTCTTCTCCCTTTCCCCGTCTTTTTGGCCACTGCTAAAACTACTAAAGAAACTCTAGTCCCGCCCCCGGTCCAATGGCCTGTCACTTTCCCCGCATCTTGCAGAGTACTAATGCCATACCCTCTCTCCTGCTGCTGCTGCTGCTGCTGCTGCCGCTGCCAACAATAACATAGCTCTATCTATCTACTTTGCCATTGATCGAATCAATGCCTGACAACAACACTACCTCCTCCCGGCCAGTAAAAGGCCGCCACCCCTTCTCGTCTCTCCGGTCCCTTTTCACCTCTGCCGGCAAACAGGACAAGCCTTTTACTACTCCGACTGGTCTCTCCGAGCATCTACTACCCAACACCACCAACAATACTACTATTACCCACCAACCAGGCTCACCACCACAACCACCATCACAACAACCAGATTTATTCACCTCCGAAATATCCAAACCACCACTACCAAATTCACATCCAGAACCGGAAACACCCTCAGAAAAAGATACCGCCTCTTTCATCTGGGAAGACATCACCCCCCCAGCCGAGTACTACCTTTCCGACAAGACAACACCACCGTCACCACCCCCAACTTACACATACTCCCAACAAAAACAACAACAACCACAAGACAAAGAACAGGATTCCACCATGATCGACACAACCACCAGATCAATCCCCGTCTCCTCCCTCCCAGGCTACAACGACGTCAGCGGCGCCGTCATCGTCGACTACGACGGCTTCCCGCACTTCCTCTCCCCCCAGGAAGAAGAAGAAAGGAAAATGAAGCTTCAGCGCGCTGTCCAGGAGAAGATGCTGGGCTTGCCGAGACAGACTAGCTTCGAGTGGGAGAGGCCTCTGTCTGGTGGGTCGGCGGCCGGGTGGTTACCGAGGTATACACCTTCGAAGAAGGGGGCGCAGCGGTGATACCTACGTCTATATCCGTTTTATTATTTAGTTCAGGGGGTGTATGTTGGTCGATGGTCGTCTGTTGATGGATCGAATTACATACATGCCTACCTGCTGCTTTGCGCTTTGCGCTTTGTGCTCGATAGGGTCCCGGGGTTTTCCCGTGGATGAGGATATATCCGGGAGGGTATGGATACTCCATAACCTTACCCGATCGCGCTCTAGCGAAGCATTTACGATTAATGAATTATGACCGATACGACAACAGGAGAGAGAAGCGAGACAGATGTCGGGGAAGTCGAACCAAACTGTGACTTTTGTTGTGTTGTGTTGTTGTGTACCAATCCACATACCATACATAGTAATCAATCCAAGCTATATACACCCACACCTTTTCCCCCAAATACCTACTCTTAGAACAAATAGCAATCAATACTATACAGCTCCACCAAAGGAACTACACTCTAGCTCCTAAAAAGCCTCAATCCACCCTCCTCCCGATCCTCCTCACTCTCCGCGCCACTCTCCTCATCACCACTCTCCTCCCTCAATAACCCACTCGCCGTCTTGCCCAACAACGACGCAAAGAACTCCTCGCGCGCATGCTTCGTCCAGCTTCCGCGATCCTCCGGCGCCATAAAATTCTGCAACTTCTCATGCACATCGAACCGCATCTTCCGGCCCTTCGACGCCCGCGTATCCACATCCCGCTTGACCTTATCCTTCCGCATCCCCGTAACAGGGTGAATCGCCGCCCCGCCGCGCGTCGGCAGTTGTATGTGCAGGGTATCGAGGCCGTTCGTGATCGCGTCGGAGGAAGCCATGCGCTGCTCGACGAGATCGCGCAGTAGGGATTGGTAGAAGACGGTGTCGTCGTAGATGGGAGTCGTAGCTCCGCCCTCAGTAGTGGTAGTGGTAGTGTCTTGACGGACGCGCTTAGCAGCGCGGGAATGGTCGCCCGTTTCAGTCGCGACCTGGGCGTCCAGGACGGCGGTGATGGATTGCGCGCCCGAGCCGGACGGGTTGAGGAGCTTGCCGCGTGAGTTTGCGGCCGTCGTGGCGGTCGAGCCGCGGACCTTCGCGGACCATTTGTCGAGGATGGTGCGGCGGTGGGTAATCGCGGCGGATTCAAGATCGGTCATGCGCTTCCAGAGAGTCGCGGTGGGCGTGTCGGTGTCTACGCGCTTTCGCTTCTTTGGTTCCTCTGCGTTGGTGTTGTGGGCGTCGGCGAGCGCAACGCGCAAGTCTTCCAATGTGGACCAGAGGGCGAGAGCGGCGGATTCGGCGGAGGTGATGGCTTCTTCGGAGTCGGCGTCGGGGGAGGTGGCGGCGAGGGAGAGCTGGTTGATGGCTGTGAGGCCCTTTTGGAGCTTGATTCGGGTGTTGAGGAGGGCGTCGAAGGTGGCGCGCTGTTGCTTCACGGCTTTACCTTTCGCGGCGTCGGCTTTGGCCGCTTGGGAGATGCTCGCGGCGATGGTCTTTTGGTCGGTCGCCATGAGGCGGCGGAGTTCGTCGCGGTCGTCGGTGGGTTTGCGCGGTTTGGAGTCGGAGTCGGATTCTGATTCTTCGTCGTCGTCCTCGTCATCCGACTCGTCGTCTTCATCCTCCTCATCTTCGTCAGACGGCATCTCGTCCTCGTCGAAAGATCCCTCGCTGCCTTCAAGGTCGTCCGACTCGTCGGTGTCCATGTCGTCCAGCTCGACCTGCTTCTTTCCCTTCTTTGCGGACTTGGATGGGCGCTCCTCCTCCTCCTCTTCACTCTCCGAGATGTCCTCATCATCCTCGTCGCTACCCAGCTCCAGATCTTCATCTTCATCTTCCTCCTCGTCCTCCTCGTCATCATCCTCATCCTCATCGCCCGATCGCGCCGCAAACGGATCATCATCACTATCAGCCTCCAACGCCGCGCGACTTACTTTCGACCCAGCATATTGCTTTCCGAGAGAGATCGGGTCCTGCTTGCGAAGCTTCGCTTTCCTATAATGACACAATGATTTAGACAACGCCCTCCATAAACACCACACACCACCCAATAAACAAATCGAGAAATGAAGGAAAACTTACCCAACAGCCTGATAATGCTCCCTCCCCGCATTCTCATCCTTAGCACCGGCACCCTCTTCATCACTATCCTGGTTTCCGCGATCAAGATCCTCAGGGTCGTAGTCTAGAAAACAACACAATCAGAACCAGGTCCACCGAACACAAGTATCACCTGAGATTGGAATAATTACCACGAGGAGTCAAATCCTCCAACTCGGCCATCTGTTCCGCCAGAGATTTCGGAGCCATGGCTGTGATTGTTTTTGTCCGAGGGAAAAAAACAAAGCAGAGTAATGCAAATAACTAAAGCGCAGAAATTCGAAGCCCGCTGACTAGTTTCCTGCAACTTTTTTTTTCTGCCCGAGATTTCGGGATGCGGTGTCGGGATTAGTTTCTCCTTGGGGAAGGGTCTGGGCTGGATGGGGTGGGTTTTGCCGGCGGTGAGGTTTATTCTGGCAGTATTAGCTTCCATCATTAATTATAGTGGTTACTTCACTACATACTTGCTATTAATTGATCACATTTGTTCATCATGTTGGGGAAGAGATTGTTCTCCACGTTTCGGAGCTTGCAGCATGAGAACCCACTGGTACGCTCTCTTCTTCCTATTTCAATGGCATGTTTGGTGTTAATCTGGTGAATACAGGGCCTCCCTCGCTCCGGTACGCCGCCGTCTCTCCGAAGTCGTCGCGGTCTCCCCGAGAAGCGCAAGATCCGCGATGTGAAGAAGGTTATTGCTGTGTCTTCGGCGAAGGGCGGTGTTGGGAAGTCGACGATAGCGGGTATGCCTCTATACCAATATATATCTTACATCAATCAGACGAGATACTTATGTTCCTATTATCAACAGTCAACCTCGCTCTCGCCTTCGCCCGCCGCGGCATTCGCACCGGCATCCTCGACACCGACATCTTCGGTCCATCCATTCCAACCCTGTTGAATCTATCCGGCGAGCCTAGATTAGACGATAGTGCGTTCTACCATCTCCCTTGCGCAACACATAACTAACGTCACGGACCTTCAACAGAAAACTGCCTCCTCCCCCTAACCAACTACGGCCTCAAATCCATGTCCATGGGCTACCTCCTCCCCAGCACCCAACCACCCCCGAACACCGATCCGACCGAGCGAGCCCCCATGGACCCGACCCCCATTTCCTGGCGTGGCCTAATGGTCACCAAAGCGATGCACCAACTCCTCCACTCCGTATCCTGGGGTCCACTCGACGTTCTCTTCCTCGACTTGCCCCCGGGCACCGGCGACGTGCAACTCACCATCAACCAGGAAATTATCCTCGATGGGGCAGTGATCGTGACCACGCCGCAGGATATCGCGCTACGGGATGCGGTGCGCGGAATTGGCATGTTCCAGCGCATGGATGTGCCGGTGCTGGGGATGGTGAGGAATATGGCGTTCTTTGCGTGCCCGGAGTGTGGGACGCAGACGAAGATCTTTTCGCAGGGGAGGCATGTCCATGAGGGGGCGGATTGGGGGGTTGAGGCCGAGTGTAGGAGGCTCGGTGTTGGGTTTTTGGGTGATGTGCCGCTGGATGCGAGGGTTTGTGAGGATGCGGACCGCGGGGTGCCGAGTGTGGTTGCTGAGGAGGGGAAGGAGGGCAAGGAGGGGGTTAGGAGGAAGGCGTTTTTGGATGTTGCGGAGCAGGTTGCGAAGAAGGTGGGAATTGAGTGGTAAGTAGTTTGAGTTGGGAGGGATTTTGTATAGTATATATGTAGTATGATTATACCCAAAATGTGTTATGGTTAAATTCAGATTTATGTGATTGCGGTATGTACAGTCATGCAGGTACTCAAAATGGTGTATGTCTTTATAGTATTCAAACGACGGGGTATTTCAAGATAACAAAACGATAGATCAAGGCTAGGTAGAACAGTGACATATACTTGCCATGACGCAATGCAGGAAATGACAGGAGTTCAAGGGGTATATGATCTCCGACAACCATTGACTGCCAACTCAATAAGGCACATACTCCTCGGCTGTCTTGAAGAACTCGCGATCCGGCATGGTCGGACGCGCGTGCTTGTCAACTTCAGCACTGCCATTCACCCCTCCAGAATCACCATGGACACCTCCAGGTGCAGATTCAGCATCCCCCGCATCCGTTGTCGACTGCGCATCAAACGAGCGATACGCTGAGTCGCCATCGTCGCTCATCAGTCCCACCACGCCACCGGCGCGCAGCACAGCACGGGTACTGGCTTCGTCGACTCCTGTGTTGGTTACCGCAAGGGACTTCTCATCGCCGATCGTGCTGCTATCTTCAGGGAGCTCGGAGGTAAATTCGCTGCGGATAGTACCGGAACCGGCATGGGACAATGGACGTTGGCGCAGCCGTGACCATGCGCCATCTGATGTGGGGATTGCGCCGGCTTCACGGAAAAGCGTCCTTGTGCTGGCGTTCTCGTCGAGGAGCGTTTTCCCCTCGTATTCGGGTAGTAACATGAGTCGGCTGCTGGACTTACTGAGAGCTGTACCCTGCGGGGGAGAGGTTCCCAGCTGATCAACTGCGTCGGTTGACGTCTTGTGAGAGGCTACGCTCCCTTTCTCTGACCGGGTTGGAACAATGACGATATTTGTAGGATGCGAGGCAAGGGTGGCCGGTTGGGAGGACGGGCGTAAACTCTCGGCTTTCGATCTGTTGGCCTCGTCCATTGACGCTCCGGCGCGCCCGGCATCGACACTCTTTCGCTTGACCTCGCCTCCTTTCAGCTGTTCTTTCGCGATAGATCTTTCATCCTGCTTGCTGGCCAGTCTGCTCCACATGGTCATGGGGTAACTCTTGCGGCCGGTCTTGGAGGGCAAGACGCCAGGGGCATGCCGTCTCGCAGCGAGTGAACTGGGGGGAGGCAACTCGTCCTTGAACGCTTGGAGCCCGTAGGCCAGTTCCTTGATCCGCTGTCGCTGAACCCGGAGCTTTTCCTTCGCGAATTTCTCGTCCCACTCCTCCTTGGCTGCCAGCCATCCCCGAACAAGCTTGGGATTGAAAGTACCGACTTCGGAGCTGGGAATCTGGAGAACAGGGCAAGCGGATGGAGGATCAAGCGGGTAGATATTACCGCGTTTGTCGACTCGTTGACGGATCATGCGATCTTTGAAGGCCGGTAATGGATCGCCTGCTTTTCCAACCGATGCGACTGCAGTGCCGTTGGCTGTGCCATTAGTAGCGTCTCCTAGGTTTTCAGAGTCGCTGGATGACCCGGACCGCTGATCTTCGATTTCCACCTCCTCTTTCTGCGCACATGCCAGGGCCCAGGCCCCAAATTGAGCGATCGCCCGGTACATATACTTCGCTGGACGCGTGAAGCTGAGAGTGGGAGCAACGTGGCAGAGGTCGTCCCAGACTTGAAGCTGCACATGGGTACCGGGGTATTTGCGGAGGATCTCCCGTGATGGATCATGCTCATCGAGGAACTTGTCACTGGGCGGGTATGCCGTCGGGTTGGCGGCCTTATGTGCAATGTAGAACTGCTCGTCTCGTAGCATTTCGCCGCCTCCGCTTTGAATCAGCAGGGGAGGTAGACCCCCCAATGACGGCTGAAAGACAGGAGAAACAAGAGGATGGGACAAGAGTTCGTTGGTCGTGTACATGTGAATCTGGTCCTTGACCTCCACTGTTTCCCCATCAAGTACCACCTTGACAGTCTCGTGTTCGATATCGCAGGCACGTTTTGCATCGGCCGCGCTGTTCCTACGGCTCGAATACCCCTTCGCTGCTGTATCTTCGGCCTCGCTGTCATTCGGGATGGCCTTAAGAGCCTCACTCTGGCTGGCTGGGTGTTTTTTGAGGCCTTTCTTGAGCTCACGCAGCTCGTCCGCATTTGGCGGCGGCCATGCAGCGGAGGGTTTATGCCTGAAGCCATAGGGAGGAATATAATCGCCCGGGTTGTCCGCGACAATGCTGGGGAATGAATGCGTGAGGTCCACCCAGGGAGAAATTAGAATAGCACCCGCAGGCAAGGGCAGTCCTTGATCGCGACAAATGACAAGCATTCTACTAGTGTCAGCCGTTCCTCTGCTGCCCCACGCGCTTTACTTACGAGAGCACCATTCCTCCACCGGCGGAATCTCCCGCGAAAATAATCTCTTTCGGATCATGATCCTCCAACAGGTACAGGTATGCGGCCAGCGAGTCTTGTAGACTGCATGGGAACGGAAACTGCGGCGCCAGACGATATTTAGCTGGATCTCAGGAATTAGCTTTCACGGTCCACGGCTCGCTCCTAAGTAACCAGAACTCACTGCACCACGTTAGCACCCCATACAAATACAAAGCTAGTCGTGGCATCTTACCGTGCGAAAACCCGACCCTTGAGTTTCCTAGCGTGTCGCTGCATCTGATAGCGATGGGTATCCAGACTAGCAAAAAAGTACGCCCCACCGTGGATATACAGCATGATCCGCTTCTGGCTCGGATGATCGCGACTCGTCTGCTTCCGCTCGTTGTAATCATCCTTCATCTCAATCCACTCCCCCTTGAGGTCCTCGGCTGGTCCACGCCATTGCCACCACTCACTCCCTCCAACCCGCGCGATGCCCTTGGGGCCCAACTGCTGGTTGATAGCCTTCGCCGCTGACGACAGGTATGCCTCCGACACCGTCACGGTTTGCAGCTTCACCCAATGGGGTGCAGGCACTCTCTGGCAGGTAAAGGCCTGTAGATCCTCGACGGGATGCTTGGACGCATAGACGAGGAATTCACGCAGGATGCGGATGGCTTCATCGTAGGTGATGTGGACGTTGGGCTTCTCACGAAGCGACTTGCGATGGACGTACTGGAGACAGAGGATCAGGGTCAATGTCAGAGTCAAGGTTTCATGAACTATGACCCGAGATCAAACGGGATGGGGGATAGAAGATGAAGTGACAGCGGCAGGGCGACCCACATGCGAGATCAGGGTCTGGAGGACGGCCGGAGTGAGGGCCACACTCAAGGCAAAGGTGTTGAGTGGCATTGTGCTAGTCTAGAGGAGGTAAAGATGACCAGGACACATGGCTAGACAAGCCAGGTAAGAATTAAGAAATGAAAAGGAAAGGAAGGGAACAATGATAATAGAAAAAAGGATCGAAGATGAAGATTTAGAGTGGAGGACGCGAGCGGGTCACAAGGAATGAAGGGGGAGAAAGGGGGGAAGAAGTGGAACGAGCGTGCATGCAGCGCGAGAGGGAGAGAGCGAGATTAAGAGGGAGATAAAGGAGAGGAAAGGGACAGGAACACGATGCGATTGCCACTTGTCATTGGGCACTGCATTGTCATTGCATTGATAGTAAACGGAGAGAAGTGGAGGCTATCCAAACTCTCCCAGAATCCCAAGAGATCCCGACCGGTCGGCGGTGATGTCATGGGACCCCGTCCCTGGCAGTTCCAATCAATCAAGTCTCGTTCATCACCGCCACTCACTTTCCTGTCGATGACTTGTTTCTTTTGCCAATCTTTTGCCAACGGATGTGCATGGTTATCTAGCTGCTGCGAAGAGCCACGCGTTGCAGCAGCAAGCCAAGTCTGCACTCGCTCTCTCAGCCTCAGTCTAGTCATCACCTCCACTGCATAGCCCGCCTACAGTGGCGCTGAGTAGAAATATATTTCATAGTAGTGAAATCGTGAAATCTTCCACAATGAAGCTATAGAAGGGCCTTGACGGAGTATTTCTTATAGTTTTTAATTTGGAAATGAGCACAGGATCTGATAGTGCACATCTAGTAGAGACAGACAAAAATAAGCATACTATCATCTTATCAATTCATCTAACCTACCCAGTTGACTGGCTGTCCTATTAAAGAAGGGATCCACTCTGTACTACTCGTGCCAGACGCGGAAGGAACAAAAATGATACCAAAAAGACTTCTTTCCTCCTCCTATGGGTCTCCGTTCAGGAGGTACCAGTCTATCTTTTCATCAATATTTTATTGTATGTGGTGTATGAGTGGGACGGCACTAGTATTTATTAATATGTGCAAAGCTGAGCGTCTTCCATCTTATCTCTTCTGTTTCCCGGTGATCATCCGCTGACTGTTTCAAATACTGATGCTGTCTCACGGGAAATTGAAAGTCACCTTCTGCGGAGGGAATAATTAACTGTAATCCAGTTCAACAAGTACTTCGACAGCATCGGTTCACAAAAAAATTATTCAACCATTGCAAGCCTAACAAACCAACAAAGAAACAACCAACATTCCATGCTACATCCCAGTCATTGAAAATTAATTTTGCAAAGGGTATGCTCAGCAAAACCAGTATCACTATTATAATGAGCAGCGCATGCTGCTGATTGCATTCCCAATAGTTGCGGATCATTAAGCCGCGAAATCGGATCTCCCCCGACTCCGGGCAATGCCAAGCATCTAATTTCCCCAGAATATCTCTATTGATTTGAGATCAGTACCTTATTCAATCGTCGGTTTGGATTGACGGACGGAGAAGACTCTTACGTGTGACCATGTATCAATCCCTCACTGTTAAGGAGGGAATTGTGTGCAGCAATATCAGCTCGGAAAAAGCACTGAGTAAGTATAGGTCGAAGACTCAGTAACGAAAGCTCACGTTCCGCCTTGTATTTGATCCTCTCTGAGCATTCTTCATTATCCATGCAGCGTTCTACACACTCACCAACACAGTCCACGGTTCCAGTAGAAATGTCATACGGACAAAACCACTCCCGGGGCTTGTAATCCGCAATGACTTGCTCCAGATGTTTCCTTTTGGCAACCAGGTCTTCAGTGTGATAAATTCCAACATATTCATTACCTGTACCCTTGGCCAGCTTTTTTCCTGCAATAGAAATCTTTGGTATTCGTCAGAATGATCGCCTCAATTTTGATGATTTTAAACCACTTACATCAGCGATTTCCACCTTATTCACACAACACCACGGCAAATATTTCGTCCAAGAGCCCTTGTGTGCGTAATATTCCTGGGAAATTGTTTGCCATGCAGTAACCTCATCGGTTGGGTCAGTGATTACCACCGGAACAATCTGGCAACGCTCTTCTTTGCCCCAACAGATAAGTATCACGGGAAAATCTTTCTCAAGCATCGGCTTGAACAAATTCGCCAATTTGCTTTTCCGAATTTCATGGGCGCCGGGTGGGCGGTCGGTTGCATTTTGCCCAGATGCGGTGTCTTCTTGCCTTGAGATCTCTCAATCACTGACTTTCCTGCCTAATCCTGTTTCTCGAGTATCGAACATACCTTTGAGGACGTCGAACCCTGCGCCCCGGAGTCCGGGAAGAATTAGGCGCCGCGATGCTTGCTATAGGAGGGGAATGTTGAGTGCGTCTAGGATCGGTATGCGGAAGTATTTGTTCTCGTGTGATCCTCGGAAGGTGTGCACGTATCCACGAAATATCAATTAATTGAAGGTACCGCTGAGTCAAATCTCGATTCGCGGCGAGATAATCTGCTGGATTGCTGGGAAAATCATTGTCATAATATCTTGGTCGAGTTAATGCTCGAGTAGGCTGTCTGATATCTTGCATTTCGACTGCGAAAGGTGCAAGTGGCAGTGAATTGGAATGTCATTGAAAATCTGGTAGAAAATCATTGATTGCGAGAAGATAAGGGCAATATATAACAAAACTTTCAACCCACATCTACCAGAGAAAACAAGAGCCTTGCGGCTCGAGCTCCAAGGCTGTAATGCCGAGAGTCGATTGACTACGCCACATTGATATGTTTTGTTACGCATCTAGGTCATGTCGAGAGGGACATATGCCAAGTCAAATATCAGCCTTGCAGCCTTATCTCCAGGAGAGCCTTATTGACCAGCCCGGATAAAGATATTGAGAGGATTGGGCAGTAAGATGGGGCTGCGAAGAGATGCCAGATGCGCTCAGAGGGAGGTTAGTGTTGGGGAAGGCTTGTCCAACCATTTTACCCCTCCTCACCCCTGTCGGCGCAAAGCAAAAAGCACTTTGAGCATAAAATACGCAGCCTTGCCCTCTTCCGAAGTGGGGTGATGCCTGTGATATAAAGCCACGTCATGGCCGGAGATCCGATCGCTGATATGAGGGCAAGCTAATTCTTCATATAAACCCTCTGAATTCTGTCAAGAGAACCCACGTTTTTGTCTTCAGTTGACAATGGAGTCACGACCCAATACCTCTCTATACGCAAGGTAAACGCCGTCTCATCGTCATGATAAACATTACTAAAGAAGATGAAGGACTTTCAGAGAACCACCGATCCAGGTGATTGTAGGGAGTGCCAGGAGCACCTATTTTGTCCACCCTGGAGCATTATCATGGTGCGATAAGTCAGCACTAAGTGCACGAATCGATGGGCCATGGAAGCAGAACGGAGCTGATAGTCCAATTGACTGGTCCGACTTTGATGAGCAGACCGTCGAATGCGTCTTGAGCTACCTTTATACGCAAGATTACTACGTCCCTCAGTTGGAACATGTTCCTGATGATAGTTGCAAAAACGAAGATGACTGCCAAGGTAGGGCGTTTTCGGCTGAAGTTACAGTCGGCGATTTATTGACGTTGTTCATAGCTACTACTGGGATCGAGCCGTCTACCCCCGAGGCTGTACCAGATGATCAAGAAACACCTAACAGGCCACTAACTCCCTTGAGTCGGTGTCTCAAGGCTGGCCTACCGGCAGATAATAACCATACTGCCGCAGGCGCTTGCACCTACCGAGCATCTCAGAATCGTAATGACCACCATGGTGCTGAAATCTTGGTCCATGCGAAAGTATATTGCTTCGCACATCGTTATTGTATCCGTGAACTTGAAGACTTCGCACTGCAACGCCTCACGAAGGTTCTTATTATCATCGATGCAGAAACAGAGGCAGTGTTTCCGTATCTCGCAGATGCTATCCATGTTGTCTACGATTCGACACCGGGGGCGAGTTTGCAAGATAATCCTGCTCGGAAATTGTTATCTCAGTATGTTGCGTTGAATTACACTAGGTTGGAAAGCGAGAGCTTCGATCAAATCATGGCAGAGGGCGGTGAATTCATAGTTGATTTATCGCACAAGTTGGCCAGGCGGCTCAACATGAGTGGGATAGGTGCCGAGACTCTGGTGGAACAAATTGATGATCTTCACTTACAGATAAATGATTTGAGTCTCCGTCTTCATGATCAAGCAAGCCAGCTCAATGATGCTAGGAAAGAATTGATGGAGTGGGACAACTGGAATCGAGGAATTTCCGGAAAGTATAGAAAGGCGAGAAGGAAGGTGACATCTGGGATCGCATCCACTTAATACACCACATCGCTCAGCGGACGGTCTGAAACCGTTCAATTACACTACTTGAAATGAAACTTGACTGGATTTTAGGTTATCGTTATATACTCGGGGACATAAGAATGTACACTCCGCTGCGTCAAGCGAAGGAAATTTAGTGGTTGTATAGCTGTAGACCAAGCTCGTATGAAATCCGACAAGGTTGCCGATAAGGACCTAGCCTAAATGTTCAGGGAGTAATGGTGACTCCGGAGGTCAATATGTAGCAGCCATGCCTTGACCAAAGCCTGCTGCATCAAAAGGTGGTTAAATGTTTGGTTACCTGGCCTATTTGGCAGTGACCGTGGGTGCAGAGCTCCCGGAAATTAACGCTAAGGGCTGTCTGTACCTTCTGACCGATTTTCTCATGAAAGTATAGCCATTGTGAGCTTACGACAACACCTTTTCCTCCGCACGGATCTAGGTTGACGATATCCTCGTATTTCCTTGGTCCACCCTATATCCCCGCATCTGTCGGGTTGAACCTTATCCATGATCTCAACATGACGACATGACATCAAGCGCATTTGCATTGACTGCTCTGGCTTCCTGAATTCAAGACGTTGAAATATCTCCCTGAATTAACGTCCTAAATCTCACCATGTTTTGAACATGCAACAGGAAGCCGATGTATACCTTGAATCTCATAAACAGGTCCTTAAGTGGACCAAAGAGTTGGAGTTTTTGGGCTATATCCTCCTAGAAATAGTTGGCCCGCATGGCCTCGAAGAAAAAGGATTTCATTGTCACCAGGCCGCTGACCTTCCGGCAATTGTCGATACTCTTGAAGATGCTTGCTTCCAGCCTGGCAGTAGGCTCCGGGGTGTATTAGACCAGCAAGCCTCTAAACACTTCCGAAACCTACTTCTAAGGTCGAAGCAAATACGCAATGTGATGGCTCACCATCTTGGATTGAGTAATGAGAAAATGATGGCCCTGCAAAAAACAACGCAGGAGCTTGAACAGCAATTCCAGTCTGTTATAAGTCAAGCCGCATCAAGATATAACATTCAACAGGTATATATGATCAGAAAACATACTTACTATCAATTCCAATGAACACATTTAATCACAATCATCCCTGTCTGACCAATGTCAGGTCAATTGGTATCCCGACGACACTGAGTTCAGCGGGACAGCAGATCGTCACACTGAAACCATCTCTTTGGGCAGTGAGCCACTCCTCTACCAGCGCGAAAAAATCCTTGGAATTGCAACAGTGCCGTCAAACAGTTCGAAAAAGAAGAAGCGAAAGCAAAAGGCGACAGAAGAAAGCCGGGCGGCCCATTGGATAGCTTTCGAGGCGTCCTTGAGACGTAAGACTAGTAGAATGCAGGAAGAACAAACACGGATAATGGAGGCTAAAGCTCGAAAGCTTCAAAAATTGGAGCAGAAGTGCCATCAAAGGCGGCAGGTGAGAACGAACCAAATCAATCGCATTCTGCGTATGATGGAAGATGAAGAGAGAGATCGAAAGGTTCAACTCAGGAAAATCCTTGGCGAACAATTTGGAGCCAATGTTAGCACGGATGCACTTTTTATTCTTATTCTCCTAGCCTTGAGCTCTCCGTTCTGGCTTTTTGGATTGGCAATCCGCAAACTTGGGGTACAAATCGTGAGGTAAGGCTGATGAGAGATTCATACCTTTGAAAGCGAGGCTTTTGGAATGAGAACATGTTCCTTATAAAATTTACTAAACCTATCAAACCACAAGTTTGAGCCGTTTGATTCCGTTTACCTTCCACCAAGTTCTACCCTGTGTTGTAAGAATTCAGAGACCGCAAACGACACGGTGACCTGACGCCTTGTGACCGGAACTAGCTTGCTTCAATGTGATATACTGCAGACAACGCGCACGCCACTAGAAAGTAACAACCATGTTCGTGGACGAACATCAGACTAACCAACCGAGAAACTGTGGCCTAAAATGGTGTGGCATGAGTAAAGGCTGGTGTGAAGGCAGCTTGGCCGGTGTGGCGGTAGCGCCTCCCTTTATAATGTCGACCATTTGTAGTTCAGAAACTATCCTATATTTGTAATCTACCGGTGGATAGATTTGTCGATAAATCAAGGTTTATACATCTAACAGAGAAGGCCGTGCTAATAAGTACAATTCCCCAGCTTCTGAAGATTGAAATACATGAACGTCTCCCTAACAGCATTCCACACCATCCCACATCACCTATCCCCAGGTGGTACTTCCCCCTATCTAGGACACGCAGGTGCATTTACTATACCGCAAGTTAGCTGGAATCCTCTCCCTCTGTATGGATAGCATCTACTTACCCCTTCTTACACTTCTTCTTCTTGCAAGACGAAGAGGAGGAGGAGGAATCCTTGGTCTCCTCCGAAGACTTGGTAGTAGTTTTAGTAGCCGTCTTTGTGCTCTTGGTCGTGGTAGAAGTCTTAGTAGAGGTGGTGGTTTCCTTGGTCTTAGTGGAAGTCGAAGTGGTGGTCGTGGTATCCTTGGTCGAGGTGTCCTTGGTGCTCGTATCGTGCGAATCAGGGGTAGCCGTCGATGTGGTCTTGGTACTGGTGATGGTCGCGGTATCCTTGGCGGACGACGAGCTGGACTTCGTCGTTGCGCTAGCGGTGTCCTTCGGCTTGCTGCTAGTGGACTTGGTGGTCTGCGCTGCCTCGGCAGATCCAGAGCTGTGCTTGCTCTTGGTTGTAGTCTCGGCTTTGGTGGAAGTGCTCGTTGCGGGCGTGATCGTCGCCTTCTGCGAAGACGATGTCACTGTAGACTTGACCGTGTGCGAAGCTAAAACATGTCAGCATTGAGCTATAAAATCATCTTCTGGTATCAGAGGAACTCACCCGTCTCAGAGGCTGTGGTTGCGCCCGCAGTTTGGCTCGGCGTGGCCTTGCTGGAAGCAGAATGGGACTTCACTGCCGAAGAGGATGGGGTGGCAGTGGGTGTGCAGACAGCCGCCGACGAGGCACCGCGCTTGGCAAAGGCAGTGCCGTCAGTTGCACTCCAGTCCAGCAACTGGTTTTCGTCCCATTTCCATGACGCAGTCGGGTACTTCGCATTGAACGCATCCAGCGCTTTGCCATAGCTGTTCTTGACCCCGGCAGCATCCGCCGTGCTAGTGACTTGGGCCGAAACCGAGGAGATGCGGGTCGAGACTGCGTTCGCTTGCTCAGTCATGAATTTATTCATCCAACTCTTATACGCGGTTGCCCATCCATCCTTAGGCTTTGGGAGGTTTGAGTTGCAGGTATCTTGGTTCATGAGAGTGTCAATGCCAAGGAAAGCTTTGAACATCCGGGTGTTGGTGTCCTTGAAGTAGGTAGCAACGCTGTTGTCGCGGAGCATTGAAACAACGACTGCCAGTGTGTTCATGATGCTCAGTGCACTGCTCTGGCGGGCATCCCCAGTGCCTTCTACCGCAGCCATGCCGCTCAATGCTGTAGTCCCAAACATCTGTCCCAATGAGTCAGCAATCACTGGTCTGGTGGGAGAAGAGGGGATTGATAAAGGTGCATATTAAACTCACCGGTGCCTTGTAAGAATTGAGACGACTGTCCATGGCCACCAGTTCCGGGTATGTTTCCCCAGGCAACTGTCAATACAGATTAGCATCATCAGCCTCATTTTATTCTGGAAACTGATCTTTAAATTAATACTCACATAACTGTAGAGCTTCTGGAGCCGGGGTTTATTCACTCCTTGTTTGTTCTTGAAGGTTGTATCGATTGTGAGGAACCATTCTTTGAAACTGTCGCAGAAATCGTACTCTTCGATAATATCCGCCAGGAAGGCGTCTAGAATTTGGAGCTCGTCTAGAGATAATTAGCAAATGCATGGACTCTACAATCATGGGTCCCACTCACAAACATGATCCACGTTAATGTGAGGCATCTCCTGGTTATTCTTGTTGATTTGTGCGCCCAAGTCGAGGTAGTTTTGCAGAGAGTCCGTTTCAACGTCGTCCCAGTACCCAGCCGTTGTTTTCGGGACGTCAGCTGCATTGGCGATTGTCGTGAAAGTGACTGCAGCTTCACAGGAATCCAATTTGGGTATAAAGTAACCAAGGAAGCTATAACCGCTGGCCTTGGTTTGCCCACTTTGGATATTCTTTGAACGAAAGTATTTGGGTTTGTAGATTGTCTGCCCCAGATCGCATTTACCTAACTTCTCGGTCTTGGTATGATCGCGGCGATCATAGTAGTTCAGACCCCGCCGTCTGGTCGATGAGGTAGTGTCATCCTCGTTTTGTTCAATATCATCTTCAGTGAGAGTGGTAGGGAGGGTGTAACGCCAACAGGAAGCCTCAGCGCTCGCACTCGCACTGGCAGCTACCGCCGACGACGATGCCTGTCCGCGTGGGATGACAGAGGCTGTGGTTAGATTAACCAAAAGGAATAAAAGAGCGACAGCTTTTGAACCAGCCATGGTGAGAAATAAGTTAAATGATTGTATAAGAGTTGGTTGTGTGATGGGGGAAACAAATGCGAGGAGCGACCGCCAGGTATTTATTCTTCGCTGAAGACATTATGTTCCACTGCACCTGTCGGTATATGCCTCTAGACCCTTTCAATGCCGAACGTTTGGGGGCCATGATGTTTCAATATTGGGGCCAAACGGCGAGGCTCAGCAGGGATACGAACGGGAATACTAGTTAGGGCTCGAATGGTGTAGGATCAGCCACCGCCCCCGGCCTAACCCGCTTCTTTATAATCGCCCCTTCCTTGTCGGCTTCCCACCGGAACTTCATCTTCCCAAGGCCCGAAAACAACCCGACTCATTGCTTGCTCCACATGCACTTCTTTGACTTACCTCAAGAGCTTCTGGAAGCTATCTTGGCACAAGCCTCGCGTGGCTCTCTCGCCAGCCTCGCGCGGGTTTGCCAACGCCTCCGACCGCTCGCCGAGCGCATCCTGTACCAGTCGGTGTACTTGCGAAATCACGACGGAGAAAAGTTCACCTACGCACTGGACTGTGTGCCAGCTCGCGCCGAGTATGTTAGAGAGCTGATAGTTCACTACCATTATGTCGATGTTGAAGATGAAGAGGAGTATTATCCCTTGTATGCAGAAACCCTCTCCCCGACGATCGGGCGTCTCGTAAATCTGCGAACACTTGTCATCAAGGGGCTCGAGTTCGACGCGGACCGAGAAGAGGACGATGAAATCATTGGGGGGTATGAGAGAGTCATCGCAGAAGCCGAGAAATGGGACACACTTTTTGCGCAATCTGCTGTGCCGGGCTCGCAGATCCTTCCCTCTCTTACAAAATGTCTGCCAATAATCTTCATTGTTCTCTTACCTCATATGCTAATATTTCTCAGGTATGATGATCATGGACGACATCGCGCCCAATCAACCAGCGTGGGACTTTAGTCTGAGGGGCGCCGTGCTAATCCATCCGTGCCTCCAAGACCTGACCATCGTCGGGGGCGAAATTGAGAGCCTGAAGAATCATGTGCCTTCACCACGATCAACGCCCCTCGAGAGGCTAAGCCTGTTCGGCTGCGATGTGTCCCCCTCTGCGATGGGCGAGATGTTGTCGCTGCCACGTGCCTTGAAACATTTGACGTATAAAGGGGCTCCATGGTGTTACAGGCCCACAAATCTTATGCCGAACCGGCAAATATACGTCGACAAGATAAAGGCACAAGCGGATTCGCTTCTGAGTCTTGACATTGACTTCTATCCAGGGGTTGTTGACAATCCCCCGGTAGACTTCACCGCCCTCCAGTGCCTGGAACAACTTACCGTCGAATCAGATGCATTGAGAGGAACTGGAGAATACGACCCGAAGAACAACAGCAAACTATGCCTCTGGAAAAGCCCCGAGCTAAAATGTCAGCTTCCTCCAAGCCTCAAGCATCTAGTGCTGTTCCTATACTGCCCGAAGAACCCGCCAGATTGGCGTACTCTAATTATACTCTACAACTGGATTTCGCGGGGAAGTTTGCCGAACCTGGAAAAGGTCACGTTCCAGATAGCAAAACCGTGTGGGCAAGAGATACTGGACCGTTCGATCGGAGGAAATGAAATGTCGATTGGTCAGGCTTTTGGAGAGGTCAAAGTGCAATTGCAGTTCGAGCTGGTCCCTAACAGCAACAACGACGGCTACGAGCTTTTCGACTGCCCTGAATGCGGCGTAAATTGGCGAAACATGCATGCTTGACCTGACCCTTGTTTTATGCTCAAGGAATGGTCGCAGTATTTCTAAAGAGACATCTGTCAAGCGTTTGATATATTACTCGCAATATACTAGAATCGAATACATGTCGCACATCATAGTGGAGCAGTAGTTACACATATTTTCCAGAACACACACCGAATTCAATCACTGCACACAACAAGGGAACCAGTAGCCTACATACCCAGCAAAGAGCCCAATAAACTGTCTAACTCCCGTGACCCTCCAAAAAAACAAACCAAACCACAATCCTAACAAAAAAAAATCACACCACCCTCCACCCACCCCATCCCACAGGGATCCCTTCTGTCACGGGGGCCAAACTATCCCCATTCCCATCCTATCAATCAAAGCACAGAGCCAACCATGCCCATCAGCCCAAACAAGGTTAAAAAGAAAGTTTCCATGCATGCCCACGCGAGAAATGGGGTCCAGAATGTCCAATACGTTGAAGGATCCGACATCTGGGGCCAAATGACGGGACTCGTCGAGATGATTGACGGGTAGTGGTTTATCAGCCGTGTGTGGGCCATAGGCCCCTGAATATCATTGCTTTTGGTACCTGCATTTATGGGCTGTGCTCGTATTTGCTAGAGGGTGAGGTGAGATGGTGAGAGGATGCGCGTTTCTAGACGAGGTCAAGGATTGTTGATGCAAAAGGAGCTGTTAGGCTTGGCCGGAATTTTGGGGGACCTGTGGTGCTCGGTGAGGGTTGTTGTTGCAACTTCATTCTTTGATCATGCAGTTGAGTATTCCAGCTAGGGCTTGAATGGTAGACGATCAGAAGAAGGTAGATTCATTACAAGTTTAGATGTTGGTGCATGGACTGCGGGCTTACTGTAGTGGATGGTCAGGAGCAGTACCACTTGCGACGTGTTTTAGTAGTATGTTGATTTAGCTTGATTTTCGGCCTAGATAGAGTAATATCATCTGGTAGAAATCCAGCTAGTACGTCTTAACTTGTACATCAACGCCTATTCCATTGAGTATTCATGGATGACATTGCTCCAGCTTGTAGCTAGACAATGACGTCTTCCACAGCGACTCTTATCTTATCGCCCACAACCCAGCGATCCGACCGCACTAATCCCAATCCGGCCAGTGTAACATGACAGCTTCAGCTTCATCTCATCTCCATCATCACTACAACACCACAACAACCACCAAACACAACGTCAAGATCATCAACAACAACAACCCAAAATGTCATCACCAACCACCCACCCCCAAACAATGCAAGCCTGGCTCTACAGCACCACGCACCCGACCCTCGAACAAAACCTCACCCTCACACCCAGCGCCCCAACCCCCCCACCCCCAAAAAACACCCAACTCCTCATCCGCGTCCACACCTGCGCCCTAAACCCAGCCGACTACAAAGTCCCCACCATGCCTGTGATCTCAACCCTCCTGATCCGCAAACCCGCCAGCCCCTGCCTCGACTTCGCAGGCGAAATCGTCTCCACTGGCCCGAACGTCCCCTCGACTCTCACCCCGGGCAAACTCGTCTACGGCACCCTCCCGCTCCCGACCCAGTTCGGTCCACTGGCCGAATACGTTGTCGCCGAGGCCGAGCATGTACAGATAATCCCCGAAGGGGTTGAGGTAGACCACGCCGCGACGGTGGGTGTAGCGGGGCAGACGGCGTGGCAGGCCATCGCGCCGTACGTGACGCCTGATGCAGGGGACAAGGTATTGATCGTGGGAGCGTCGGGCGGGTGTGGGATCTACGGTGTACAGATAGCGAAGGCGCTGGGGTGTGAGGTGACGGCTGTGTGTTCGGGGAAGAATGTGGAGTTTGTGAAGGGGTTGGGGGCGGATGAGGTGATTGATTATACGGTGGAGGATGTGGTGGAGGTGATGAAGGCGAAGGGGAAAGTGTATAAGTTGGTGGTGGATCATGTGGGCGAGCCGTGGGAGTTGTATCGGGAGAGTGAGAAGTTTATGGTGCGGGGAGGTGTGTTTACGCAGGTTGGGGCAAACTGGATGCCTACGTTTGCAGTGAGGTTTATTCGGCCGGGGTTTCTGGGTGGGGGTAGGATGAAGTATGTGCCGATCTTTTGGAAGAGTAATAAGAAGGATTTGACCAAGGTGGGGGAGTTGATTGCCGAGGGGAAGGTGAAGGTCGTGTTGGATAGTGTTTTTAGGTTTGGGGATGCGCCGAAGGCGTTTGAGAAGCTGCGTGGAGGGAGGGCGAGGGGGAAGGTTGTGGTTCATGTGACGGAGAGGTCGTGAGAGGGTGGTTTGGGATTGATCTCATGGAGCTGTGTTATTCTATTAGGGGTATTATGTGACAGGTTCAATTTCGCTTCAGGAATGTCAGCGCGCCGAGGGACATGGCATCCACGGCCGTTTGCAGGGTGGGCTGGACCACTGGGGCGAAGAACGGAGAATGATTACTCGGGAGGTCTTTCACCGTGTCATTCTTGACTGCATTATCCCATGTCTCTGGATCGATGCCGCCATAAGTCCACATCACGTACGGCGCGTTCACAGCTCTGGCTAGTAAGGAGAAATCCTCGCTGGCACCTGCCGGGTCAGACTCGACGAGCCGATTTCCGAAGTAAGAGCCGAATGTATTGCATAACGCTCGCACGGTAGCATGATCATTGATCGTGGCCGGGGTTGACATGATATGGTCGATTTGCGGTTCCTTCTCACAGCCGGCCGCCTCGCATTCGGCGCGGATGATGCGCTTGATCGCACGTATTACACGCTCGCGGATGGAGTCGTCGCATGTCCGCACATCAAGCTTGAAGTCCAGGGTATCCGGGATGACATTCGCTGCTATACCAGCTTGAATGTAGCCACAAGTGACCACAGCCAGCTGTCCCGGAGGCACCTCCCGTCCTACTATGGTCTGCAGCTTCAGGATGATGGCTGCTCCAGTAACAACGGGGTCAATGCAAGCCTCGGGCGCTGAACCATGTCCACCTTTTCCAAAGATGCGTACATTAAATGAATCTGCAGCGGTTAGCAGCCGACCCGAGCGGATCCCGACGGTGCCGGCTTTGAGTGGCATCACATGCGCTGCCAGTACCACATCCGGGGCGGGTATTTTGTCATAGAGACCGTCATCTATCATCGCTCTAGATCCTGATAGGAGCTCCTCTGCCGGTTGAAATAGGCAGATTAAAGTGCCCGTCCAGTGCGTTCTGGCCGATTGTAGGAGCGAAGCACTCGCCATCAGGCTGACGACGTGGGTATCATGACCGCAGGCGTGCATTACGGGGACCTCGACCCCGTCCTTGTTTCTGGCGACTTTCGTGCTGGCATATGGAAGCCCTGTTTTCTCCTGCACTGGGAGTGCATCCATGTCTGCCCGAAGCAGGATTGTAGGTCCAGCACCATTTTTCAGAACGCCCGCAACGCCGTAGCCGCCAATGTGTGTATGTACCTCGTAGCCGATTTCTTTCAGATGCTGCGCCGCAATGGCAGACGTTCGTTCTTCGCAGAAGGACAATTCGGGATTACTGTGGATATCACGATAGATGTCTTCGAATGGCGACAAGTCAGGACGGGCTTCCTCGAGTATGTCCTTCAAGGCCGTTTGGGAGACTGTGACGTCAGTCATTAGCTCCGTTGACAGGAAAAGAGTGCATTGGGTGACTGAGTGGGTATACTCACCTGCGTGCCTAAGCTGCATGTTGGACAGGAGTCTTTTCTAATTGAGATAAGTTGCGTGCGTGAATTAGGAGCATTGGGCGCTCTATATGAAAGACTGCTGGCCTTTTCCGAGCATTCACCGAGGGATTGGCCGGGTGCAAGCGGGGTAGGGTGTGCTTTGCCTCCAGGAGAACTTGGCCCCATGATTAGATAGACACAATTGCCGAATATAGCTTGCTAGGAGGGGCCTAGTGAGCCATTGTCTCTGTAAAGTGGCCGGAATGATTGGAGTAGGACGGACGACTCCAAACAATAAAGTAAGGAAATGATGCTCTCGGACCCCGTCGGCTAAATGCGCCATTGCTGATTCCCCGTCACCAACTGAACCCCCACCCCCAGCGGTTCCCTCTCCACGCTTATCTCCCCCATTTTAGTAGCTCGGCTATCGGGGATGCGAAACCATGGAAGCCTGCAGCGTCATGCCGGCCTTTCCGTTTATTTCCCGGGGTTTTGATCGACATGTTGGACACATGTCATTGTAAATTGCAGCGATCGCAATTGGTAACTAGTGTATACTAAAGCCTGGTCGACGATTCGTGCAGTTATGCCCTCGCTTACCTTACTACTTAATGTCGTGACGTTTGCTGTATCTTGATATTGTTGAGATTGTTGAGTGACTGGAACGCATGAAGTGTGCACTCGTGCGAGCAATAGTCCAAAGCAGCCACTACGAGCATACCAGTCTCATCCTGATGGACCCATCTTCGACGAAAAGAAATCATCTTGTTATGGTGGCCCAGGATGGCCATGGAGTGAAGTGGGTGCAATCACACTGAACACAGTAAAGATGAAATCGTACCAACAACAGTGGTATCACGACCTGGATGATTATCAGGGCGTCCCATGAGTGATAACTGCTGACTGCTCTTTTGTTTGTTTAGTTCTGCCTACTCCACCGGTGAGGATACACAAAGGGAGGCAGGAGTTGACCTCCTTAGTTAGTGTCAGAATGCGAGCCAAAGATATTTTATTGGATCTAGGAATTACTCTTTTTAACAAAGAGCCACTACACTGTTGGATTTTGATATGACGCTTTGTCACTAGCTAAAGTTGTGCCTTCAGAGCAATGGATTTGAGGGATCGATTCCCTGCGAAGTGGTACAAAGAGGCGTGTTCTGTAGATACTGTAGCTAGAAAGTCATACATGACAAGAGTCAATATTCACGTTACGTAAAAACCCAAAAATACAGCCAGTTCTAAGGGAACAGCTCGCAGTCGAACTTTGGCCGATGCAGTTAACTTATGGTATGAGAGGCCCTTGTTAATCGTGTGTCAAACAACTGTCCATGGCCAACTGCATGTATATATGTTCACTTAAGGGTGTCTCCTTTCTTCTTTGTTGCATGTTCCATGTGGATGTTTAGGTTTTTGTCTATGAATCACCCTTTCCAATAAAGCAATACTGCACTGATAGAGCTGACGGGTGGCTTCATTCCTAAGTAGAGCATTGTATCTGGAAATGAACAAGTGACGCCAAGACTGGCACCAAGTGGAAGATTTATGATATATCCTGTGAAAACTGCACTAGAAAATGCTATAACCAATCCGATGTTTCTGACCTTGTCCTTGGCTCACGACAATTGTACTAGGATGTTGGGCAAGGAACCTAGACACGGCGCTGTCTTAGCTAATCGGGTGCAGTTGTATGGAGACCAGCTAAACCGCTGTTGGCTGTCGGTGCGCACTTGGCCATTTTAGTTGACTTGGTCAGACGCATGTAATTGGATGATGTCTGATAAGGCCCCTTTGGTGGTATTGGCACAAGCCTTCTAAGACCCCGTCCGTGCAAATTAATAGGCCTTGGCCTAGATTGCTTATCATGCGTAAGGATCCGACCTTATCATTGTAGTATTTCTGCCTAAATGCATTGCGGAAGATGTCGCCAACATGCCATAATATGTCATCCCACCAATGCGCCCGACTAGGCGCCATCAATTTTCAACGTCCTAGTGGTCAAATAGGAAGGGGGCGTTCGACATTAGTGCTTTGACACGGTCACTCTCAAGCACAGAGCCGCAGGTCATTATCTTGTTGTCTCACCATATATCATGGGCCATCTTCCTAAAACGAAGGCCCTGATCTGGCCATTTCCAAAAGTCTTCGGCAACACCCGCAGCTTTTGGCCTAGGCCTCATCCACTGCATTTCAGCTGAATTCATTGCTAGCATTCTGACAGCACAGAACTGGCACACTGTGTGCCTAGAGCCACCAGCAAAAAATTACCCTGAGCAGAGGCTCTTCTATTGCTCAGAATGCCATTCACCACCGGCAAAGAAAACTTACTCCAACTGAACCGAAATAGCTTCGATTTCAACCTACAGTTCGAGCAGCTATTCTTCTCCATCATACCATCTGCATTGTTCATTGTCACGTCAGTATGGCGGACTTTGTGTCAATTCCGAAAGCCTATAGTTGTGAATGCTCCCTTATTCCAGCTCATTAAATTAGTAAGTCCTCCCCGATACCGTACATTTAAACTAATGATATGATGATTAACTTACCCTGTCCCAGGGTTCTATCACAGCTTATGTGGGCCTTGAACTATCCCTCCTCATCCTGGTTGCGGCTGGATCATTCCAGGTGACCTCAATGTTCATCGCTTCTTCAGTCCTCAAGCTTGTATCGGCCCTGTTCATGATAATACTAAGCGTTTTGGATCATAGCAGAAGCCCGAGGCCGTCGACACTACTGAACAGCTACTTGTTCTTTACTTTCCTTCTAGACGCGGCTCAGGCCAGAACGCTGTTCCTGTCATCAGACAATAGGACCGAGCTTAGCTATAGCAGTGTATTCAGTGCGGCCCTGGCTCTCAAGGTATGCATATTACTACTGGAAGCTCAAGAGAAGTCTAAATGGGTAGATTGGGACGAAAAGCAGCACAGTCCAGAAGAAACAAGCGGTATCTTCTCTCTTGGCGTCTTCTTCTGGCTGAATAGGATGTTTTTGAGGGGCTATAGGAAGGTCCTGGCAACTGAGGATCTTTATCCCTTGGATAGCTCCTTTGATGCTACGTCTCTCAATGAGCAGTTTTCCAGGAACATGGATTATTCCAAGCTCAAGGGTGATAAGTATGGCCTTGTGAAGGTGTTGGTGCGGACATTGAAAGCCCCTCTCCTCCTGCCGGTGATTCCGCGCCTGGCTTATCTTGCTTTTACCTTTTGTCAACCACTTTTTCTTGAAAGGCTGTCGAACTATCTGTCTCGGCCACAACTAGATGCGAACACTGGTTATGGGTTTATCGGTGCTAGCATGTTGATTTATTCGGGGCTGGCTATTTCCTGGGCATTCACCTGGTATAGTAATCCGGAAAGAATGCTGACACTGAAATGGACTACTCATACGTCGGTGTAGGTATTTCCATCACCGGCTGCGTACTATGGCGACATCTATGCTTGTCACAGAGATCTACAAAAAAGCAACCACAGCGCGTATCGGAGCTGGTGATGACAATGCTGTTCTAACATTGATGAGTACAGATATGGAGCGGATCAGGATGGGCTTAAGATCATTGCACGAGATCTGGGCGAGTATAATCCAAGCCGCTCTGGCTGGATGGATGTTGTATACAAGACTTGGTGTGGTGTTCGTCGCACCTATGGGCGTTGTGGTTGTTTGCTTCTCCGGTTTGGCTATTTTGACGAACTTTACTGGAGACTCGCAAAGAGCCTGGATGACAGGGGTTCAGAAACGTGTGGGCCTCACTGCTACAGTCATTGCTAGCATGAAGAGCTTGAAAATATCTGGCCTATCTGCAGCCATTGGTGACTTTGTGCAGAGGCTGCGCGTCGAAGAACTAGCAGCGGGTGCCCGCTTTCGCCAGCTTGCTATTACGGCGGCCCTCTTTGCTTATATCCCACAATTGATAAGTCCGCCGCTGACCTTCGCGTTCACGACACGGACTCTGGATGTGACGAGGGTGTTCACGAGCTTGTCCTTTCTCACTCTTTTGACTAGCCCACTATCGCAGGTTTTCCAATCTATTCCTGGTGTTGTCTCAGCATTAGCCTGTTTGGGCCGCATACAGACATTCTTGGAGTATGAGACTCATCATGATTTTCGCCAGGTTTGTGCTAAGATAACAGATGAGGCTGGGAACATTGGAGAAAAGGCCAAAATCCCATCTGATGAGAGCCTAGGTGGTCTCCCTCATGTGGCAATCAAGAACGGTTGGTTTGGTTGGGAGGCGAACAAGTTTGTCTTGCGAGATGTGAGTACTCGGTTTCTCAGATCCTCGCTCACTATCGTCGTGGGGCCCGTTGGATCAGGTAAATCCACGCTCTGTAAAGCATTGCTTGGAGAAATCCCGTTCAGCGAAGGAAATGTGCTTATAAGCAACATGGCTGCCCATGTTGGATTCTGTGATCAAACTGCATTCCTCTCGAATGGGACCATAAAGGAGAATATTGTTGGCTTTTCTGCTTTTGATCAATCGAGATATGAAGAAGTCATCGAAGCGACAGCTCTAAAGCATGACATTGCCACACTGCCTCAGGGTGATGAAACTAATATTGGATCTGACGGGATCGCCCTGTCCGGAGGCCAGAAGCAACGCGTTTCTCTCGCACGAGCTCTGTACCTGCCTTCCGAGCTGTTAGTGCTGGATGATATCTTCAGTGGTTTGGACGCAGACACGGAGGAGGAAGTATTCAGCAAAGTCTTTGGACCGGATGGCCTGCTCCGACGACGACGCTCGACAGTTATCTTGTGCACCCACAGCATCAGACATCTCCCTGCGGCTGATCATATAATCGCACTTGGCGATGGCACCGTCGTTGAGCAAGGGAGTTATGCCACGCTGGCAACTAGGCAAGGATATGTTCAGCGTTTAGGATTAACGGAAACTCGCAAAAGCGATGTCAAACGTGAGAAAGCACCATCGAAAAGGGCAATAGGAAGCTCCAAGAACGACGTCTTGGATAGATCAACATCTATCACTTCATCATTGGGATCCAATATGCAGGAATCGAGGCAAATAGGCGATAAAGCCGTATACAGGCATTACTTCAAGAGGATGGGGAGGTCTGTAGCCGCATGCAGTGTGATCTTCGCTGCTCTGTGGGGATTCTTCCTAAATTTTGCAACAGTTTGTATGTGTAATCCATATTGTGGTTACAGCGCCACAGGGATTGGTTTTCTGACTCGTTTTTCGTGGTGCAGGGCTTACCTACTGGACCGATGATATTGGCTCCGAACGACCGGCGCATCCTTCCGCATACTACGCTAGCATATATGCTACCTTCCAAATATGTTGCTTGATATCCCTGTCTGTCGCGGCGCTTGCGCTCTTAGTTATTGCAGTGAAACGAGCTGGAGCCAGTCTCCACCAAGAAGCCTTGCGAACATTGATCCAGGCGCCACTTCGGTTTTTCACCAATACAGATACCGGGATCGTGACGAATCTGTTCTCGCAGGACCTAAATTTAATAGACACAGAGCTGTCCGAGGCAACACTCAACACCATCGTTTGTGTATGTATATCTTATGACAGAACACCCCAAAAGCCCCTGAAGAGAGTCTCCATTCATTCTGACACGGGACTCGTAGGTCTTTGAAGCGATCGGACAAGCGGCTGTCATGCTTACTTCATCTTTGTATTTGGCCATCAGTTATCCTTTCCTTGGTGTCCTTCTCTATGTGGTTCAGAAGTTCTACCTTCGGACATCCAGGCAATTGAGGCTGTTAGACCTCGAGGCTAAAAGTCCTCTATAGTAAGTTCACTTATTTAGTTTCATTAGCTGCCAGCTATGAGATTGGACCATGGTTCTAATACGGATGTATAGCACGCATTTCCTTGACACTTTTAAGGGCATCACGACTATTCGAGCCTTCGGTAAGTAAGGAATGGGATATTCATCTGATACTGGCCAATTTCATTACAAACTTATTCCTGTTTCTGTGACCGGTCCTGAAAATGTTGAAGTGCCCTTACTAACCCAGACTGCATAGGCTTCCTTACAAATGAAGTCGAGAAGAATGCTCGCTTGGTTAATAGCAGTCAGCGGCCTGCTTATCTCCTCCTTATGATCCAAGAGTGGTTGAACCTTGTTCTCAACCTTGTAGTAATGGTGATAGCAGTGGTGCTGACGATATTGGCCGTTCGACTTCATTCCAACTCCGCCTTTGCTGGTGCTTCTTTGGTCTCTCTGATGAGCTTCGGCGACAATATTTCCGGTATTGTCATTTTCTACACAAGACTAGAGACGTCCATTGGAGCGATCGCGAGGCTCAAGGCCTTCAAAGAAAACGTGAAGCCAGAGGATACGGATAGCGAAGACATAATCCCTTCTGAGCAGTGGCCCCAGAGTGGTGAAGTCGAGCTGAAAGGCGTATCTGCAAGCTATGGGTAAAGCATACATCTTCCTATGCAAACGCCTCCCACACAAAGCTAATGCTCACCAGGAGTAACCCCCTTGCTGAAAACGGACCCACCGTCCGATCCACCCTCGCCCTCCGCAACATCCAACTGTCCATCAACGCCGGCTCTAAAGTTGCCATTTGTGGACGGACCGGCAGCGGCAAGTCCAGCCTCATTGCCCTCCTGCTCAAACTCCTCGATCCTCTCCCAGAAACGGCTGCGAACGCGACCATCGATGGCTTTCCGCTCCATCGAATCAACCGACCTACTCTGCGCCAGCGTATCATCGCAGTGCCTCAGGAAGCCGTATTCCTGCCAGACGGTTCCACCGTGCAAGCAAACCTAGACCCCTCCTCCGTTTCCACGCCGGAAGAATGTCAAGCCATCCTTACCACTGTGGGTCTGTGGAATTTTGTTCAGGATCGCGGTGGCTTGAATGCTGGCATGAACGCGGGGACATTCAGTGCCGGCCAGCGACAACTCTTGTCGCTAGGTCGTGCACTGCTGAGACGTCGTGTTCGGGCTCACATGGGCTCAGACCATGGAATACTGCTGCTGGATGAGGTCAGCTCGAGTGTGGATCATGAGACAGAGCGAGTGATGCAGGATATCATTCGGACGGAGTTCAGGCACTATACCGTCATTGCGGTGAGCCATAGGCTAGACATGATCATGGATTTTGATCGGGTGGTTGTGATGGATACCGGTGAAATTGTGGAGGTTGGGAACCCTGTGGAATTGGCTGGGCAGTCGGGCTCCCGGTTTGGAGATCTGGTGAGGACGAGCGCCAAGTGAGTGATAGCTGCATGAAGCTACGGCACGGTGTCTGTGGACCTCCAGCAAAGTAATGCGTGTGGTTTCGATTTTGTCCAGTTCTGCAGGTCACACAGAGACCGGTTGTGTTTCACAATTCATAGTGATTGGGACAATTAGCAATAATCCAACATCTGTGATCACAGAATGCATGAGGTATGGAAAATTTATGAATGAGTTTTCCTCTGAAAATTATTGACCCTCAATTATTATGTCTCCTAAGCTGGCTTTGCAATTATGTCTGACCCAGCTGGCGGTATACCTTCGTCATCGAGAACAACGGTCTTTCCCCTCGCTTCGCTCGCCAGTGATTCGTCGACCACATCAAATCCACACAACCATGTACCAGCCGGCCCCATTTCTTCAAGAACCCTTCTGTAATCTCCCAGCTTCTAGGGTCAGAAGGCTCTCCCCAAATAATCAGCCCAAAGGGCCCCGTGGAAGTACCATCCCAGAATCCCATGATATCCGTACACAACTCCTCATCATCCCAGTCATCACCTACCCGAATCAGATTATTCCTCATGATAGGACATGGAAACAAGTCAATCCAAGTGTGGTGAGGACTGCGGCGCTGAAGCTCTGTGGGCCGTAGACAATCGGGTAGAACAGCAAGGTCATGTCCAGGCCTCCCAAGGGAGAAGGGAGATATTGAGTCGTCTTTCATCCACTCCCATGTAATACCGAGAGTAGCCATATTAGCGACAAATGCGCGATGCACATTCATCCGGGTTAGGGAGAGAAGATGGTCTGCTTACGGACAATTCAACTGGTAGCTCGAGTGGAACTCGGCTATCCGTTGAAGTAGAATGTTCGCTTCATCTCTGTGAGGATTCTCGGAACATAATGCATCGACTTCGGCCTGTGGAGATGTCGTGTTCCTGATTATTGTTTCATTGCTATCTTCGCTGCCATTGTGGCCTGCAGGTAAGCGGGTGAGGGTCGTGACTTCAGGCTCTACAATTTGTCCTGGATAAGGTTGAGTACTCTGGAGCTGGCCTATTGACTCTATATTCAAGGTTGATCGAGTAGGCGTTATGACCGGATGGCTTTGTCCGTTCGAGGCGATGGAACCAGCCTGCGCAAGTCTTGCCTTATAACCTGGTCGAACATCAGAATCAATCAGATTAGTAATTCGACGATGACATACGGCGGACTCTCTGATTCAACCGGTTCTGGCGCCTCCTACGTTCCTTCGCATCCGATATACCGTGCCAGTCATCGCCGGGCAGTTTCTCAGCGACATAGATAACATGTGGATCTGCTGACTGCGGAGGAGCAACGCGGGCCTTCATGCTGGAGGACCGAATGATGGCTCAGCGGTCGAGGATAGTAGATCGAGATCAGACTGCGGAAAGATGATTGAATGCAAATTGCTGACAGCTAACAGAATCTTAGTTGTCCAATTTCCAACCGGTGGCCAAAAGGTTGAGGTTTAAATCGGACTTTAGCAGATTAAGTTTCATAAATCCGGGCCCACTCGAACCTTTTGGGACGCAGTGGCGCTAAATGCTGACCGCTAGCATTTCGAATCGGACCCACTCAGGGTCTGCCGAATGAAGCTGGATAGAATGTTCATGGAAGGACATCCAACCCCAGCCTCTAGTCAAGTTCGGGACTCAGGCACCAGGTTCGTACACCTGGGCTTTTGGAGGTTCCCTCACCAGATTCCGAACTTCATATACCTATCTTTAGGTGCGTTATTGAGCATTCATACTCTCGATATCTGAGCTATTGCAGATTCTACCTCTGAACAGGTGCCATTATGTGTGGGAAACACTATCATTTCTCGTGGTGGTGGTGTGAGCAAGGCAAGTTCTTTGGATTCCTCTGCATCATATCTCCAAATCTTATTACGGGGGAGTGAACACTATGTAGCTTTCTTCCTCACGTACCCATGGCCAGAATTTCGTTGAATATTAATGGTGCCTAGGAATATATCCGCTCAAATAGGATAGATGGCACAGTCCAAATCACCTTTATGGGATATGAAATGGCCAAAGGTCCGTCATCTTAGGCTTGGCTTTGTGGTGTATATGACCTCAGTATTTCGTCGAGCAAGGGCCTGTGTGGAAGGTTCCAGTACTGCAGTTTCGGTGTCTCAGAGTCATCTTCGTCATGCCTATGCAGAGCCGGAACTACCACATTCTAATTAACTGGTAGTGACATCCGTGTCTATAAAGGAGACATTACCTTTGCCCTCTTGCATTTAAGCGGTCTATTTACGTATAATGCACCCCCTGTCCACCACCAGATCCCTCGGTCAGAATAACCACAAGCAGCCAACATGAACATGTCCGAATTAAAGAGAGAACTCTGCAGACTCTGCAAAAGGGGAACTAAAACACTCTTTGCTGCCGTCCGCGAAGGGCACAAGGAGTGCGTCCAGATAATCCTGGAAGATCCTGAAATGTTCCCAGTGTTTGATGCCACGAAGGCCCTCGGATATGCCGTGCGATACAACCAGCTTGAAATTGCTCGGCTCGTGCTTGAGGCTGGGGCCTACCCAAGCCCTGAATTGGATGGCGCGACATGGGATACCTCTCCCCTCCATCATGCGACGACCAAGGGCAACTTGGAGATGGTGAAGCTCCTACTCGAGTTCAAAGCTGACGTTGACCAGTCGGACCTGCACACCCGCATGGTACCCCTGTCTACTGCTACAGCACTGGGCCACACCGAAATCGTCCGCTGCTTGCTGGAATCCGAAGCCGATGTCAACCTGGAGAACGTGTATGGCGAGGCACCTCTCCATATTGCCACTCGGCTTGGGCACCTGGAAATTACCCAGCTCCTTCTCGCCCGAGGGGCTGACGTGGACAAATCCTGTGCAGGCAAAATTCCTCTGTACTTCGCGTGCAAAGGTGACCATGTCGACGTGGTCCGGGCCCTCTTGGCCAACACTCCGAAGCCAAACCTGAACCTGGGAAGTGGGCGGGAACAACCGTTGTCAATAGCAATCTACCACGGCTACACCGAGATCGTCGCCCTGCTGTTGAAGGCCGGCGTGGATGTCAACCGCATGTGCGGGGAGATCTATACCCCGCTCGAATGGGCCGTAAAGCATAACTGTGAAGCCGCCGTACCAATGATCCTGGAGTACCAGGCGAAGATAGACTGGAAAAGCAGTCGGGGGAGTGGTGTCCTGCGTTTAATCAACCAGAGAACGGAAGTGGCCACAGTCAAGCATCTAATCCGCTGTGGCGTCGATCCAGAAGACGCCAACAAGAAAGGGGAGTGCGCGATCTGGGTCGCCGTGCGGATCAACAATGAGCCTGTTGCCCAGTATCTCGCGTCAGTTGTGAAGGTAAAACTGAATTATGCCGTGGGACAAGGCGCAGTTTTGCATATTGCATGTCGTTATGACAGCCTGAACATGGTGCGCATCCTGGCCGAGGCTGGAGCGGACGTCAATCTCGCGGCCCCGGGGGGTGGCGAGACTCCGTTGCAGGCGGCCTGCAACCGTGAAGTCGACGGCTCCAAGTTGAACGACACTTTGGAGATTATCCGGTATTTAATTCAGAAAGGGGCCCGCGTCAACGACAGTGGCGGGAACTTCCGGTCGGCCTTGCACAAGGCGTGTCTGAGTAGCGCGCCGGAAGTCATAAAGCTTCTCTTGGATGCAGGAGCTGATACTAACTGCAAGGACCCGGTTGGGAGGATTCCTGCTCACCTCGTGTGTTATCGGGGACTGGAGCACTACCGGGCATTAAGCCCGAGTAAGGATGCCTTGGTCGCTCGAGACTTGATGCATCGCACGGCATTGCACTATGCCGTGATTAGTGGGGATGTGGACCTGGTGGAAGAGGTCCTGGAGAGCCACAAACAGCATCCTGATTACCAGGACACGTATATGGAGTTGGTTGATAAGGATGGATGGACGCCGTTGCATTGGGCAGCAAGATGTGTCTCTCCCTTGGATGATAATAGGAAAGATATGGTTCCTATGATTGAGTACATGGTGGAGCAAGGCTACGATCTCGCCGCTAAAGGGAAAGCAAGGGAAACGGAGTGGACGCCACTAGAAGTCGCGATATATCACGACGCTGATGAGATAGTCAAAGAACTCATCGTGCCGGATAACCTCGAACTGAACCAGCTGCTACCTGGCGCCGAATTTGAGGGTCACTTCTGTGACGGTTGCTTTCTGCCTCTCGTCGGCTTCAACGTGTATTGCCAGGTATGTGATAGCTTCTGGCTCTGCTTCAAGTGTCAAGCCTACAGGGAGCTATTTCATTCCCCGGAACATGAATTGAAGCAGTTCTGTGGCGAGTACGGATGGCGTGCGAAGGAATGGGTGCCAAGGGAACGATATGTTCGTCCCGAAAGCCCTATTTTGCTTTCGGATCCACCGGCGGTTGCTTTCCCACCTAGAAGCTAATCGTTCCTCTCGCCCTCTCTGAGTGGAATGCAGGTGGTGGATAAGAATGACCTCTATCCTGGGTCGTACTTGTGAAGGGGGGCAGGCTAGTGCTACTTGATCATTCTTGATATCATCGACGTATCGGTGCCCAAAAGTCAATGCATCGAGATACCTACTTCCAAGAAACGCTCTATTGTTCTAAACTAATTGCCAAAATATGTAAACGAAACCCAAAGAAAGAAACACCCTCCGACGATATCATAAACCTGGTCCGTTACCTTCATCATCCAAAAGCTCTGCGTCCCTCTCGCCAAGTGCCCACCTTGAACGCATCTCACCCACAATTCTAGTTTCCCTGTCTCGGATAGACCTGACAGCCCGATGGAGTGCCAGCGGTACAAACTCATCTGTCACGCCCTCATCTCGTACAGTTTCATAAAATACCTTAACTATATCCACACACCGCGCATCAGAAACCTCCCACATGGTTCCTACGTGTCGAAACCCGGCCAACTGGCAAGCGCTAGCGAGGTTAATGGATTCGTCGGCCAGGTCATCGACTATATTGAGGCCCGTTGAGCGGGCAGAGAGGTATCCCAAAAACGGGGCAATATTTTGCACTCGCAGGTTATGGTGATCTTTCACTGTCAGTGTATTATCCTGCCAGTCCAGGAGAAGAGTGCTTCCGGATGAGTCCCAGTGATTGACCGGTCCGTGCCCTGGGAAATGGAACACATCACTGGTTGATATACTACTGTGCTCACTGTATTTATTACGAACGGGTCTCGAAGTTCCCACGAGCTGAGTGACTTGTGGTGCTATTGTGGATGTCCGATTAGAAGCGACCAATGTGCCAGAAATTGAATGTTTAGAGTACCCAATTGCTGACGGATTGTTTCCTTGACAAAAGACCAGTATGAAATGGAAGAGAGTGATGAGAGCACATATCATATCATCCTAATGAACTAGTGTTCCGTGCGCCGGAGTCCGTAAATCGGCCCGTCTTCAATTCAGGACTACGGTGGCTCGAGCTTGGCAATGCTTGTGGTTTTTGGTGCCTCTCACACATGTGGGTAAAGTCATATTATGGATAATAAGTTCGTTAATGGCAGGGATTTATGTCATTTCTGGCTAGTCGATACCGGAATAGTTGTAGGCCGGTAGGAGTGGAACCAATCAAAGCGATATATTTCCCCTGATCGGAGACAGTTTGGTAGTGGCTGCTATCAGCGACTAACGAGCCAGAGGTCCAAGTTGTACTTATGGTGGTAAATAAATTGCATAGATAAGGATTCCGAGATTAATTGGGTCACCCGTGGCGCGTACTTCTTAATCCCATCATCCCCATCGCTCCTTTTTCTTTCCTATCATTGTACCTGTCACTCAACATGGCATGCGCCTCAGATAGTGACAATGTGTTCGGGCCCCGTATCAACCCCGAGTGTCGTCCATTTGATTTTACTTTACTTTTCGAAGATGGTTTCTTTGGGCTGCTTCCAGCTGCACTCTTCCTGGTCTTGGTCCCTCACCGATTGCAAGTCCTTCGTTCTTCTCAAGTTAAGCTGAATTCTTTCCAATTGGCATTGGTGAAGCTAGTAGGTTATAGTGATACTAGAATAGAGCATTTACTGAACGCGAGCATCTAGATTCTGCTGATTGTTCTGTTGGTTCTACATATCCTATACACAGCTTTGCGCGTCGAAGACCCGGATCTTCATACCCGCGTAGGACTTGCCTCGGGAGTTGTGAATATTATTGCGACAGGTGCTGCAATTTTGCTCTCATTCCTCGAGGATCAGCGCTCGATCAAGCCATCGGATCTCCTAGTAGTCTACTACTCAACAGAAGTACTACTCTCACTACCGCAGCTTCGCTCGTTGTGGCAGATTCCTACAGCCAGTGTTGCTTGTCGAGCATTATGGACGACCATTCTCGTTTTCAATACCGGAGTACTCATCTCAGAGTCCATACATAAACCCCGTTTCTTACGGCCACTTCATCAGAAAACAACCAGGGAAGGAATATTGGGGTTCTGGGGGCAAAGCTTCTTCATTTGGGTGCTCCCGGTTCTTCAAAACGGATACTCAAAAGTGCTGGGGATTGATGACATCCCAGAAATGGATGCTGATCAACAGGCACAATTGACACAGGAAGAGCTAGAGAAGGCTTGGGAAGCAAGGACTGGCAAACATCGGTTACTCCGTTCGACTTTCTATGCCTATCGGAGAATGTTTCTGTCGGGATTCGTGCCGCGTATCTGTCTCACGGCCTTCAGCTTCTGTCAGCCATTCCTCATTACCGCCACAATTGACTACGTACAAAACGATAAGACGTCAGAGAGTAAGAGGCGCGGCCAAGCCATTGTTGGGGCATATGTTCTGGTCTACTTAGGTTGGGCTGTAAGTGGTCTACGTTGATGATCGTGGACGCACCTGAGACTAACATACCCTTTAAGATCTCCACAGCGGTGTATTGGCGCCAAACCAATCGCTTCAACACCAAAGTTCGCTCTGGTTTAATTGCTATGGTTTTCAATCAAACGTCTCGTCTGAAGGCCAGCGACATCAACGATTCCGCAGCGATCACTCTCATGGGAACCGATGTAGAAAGGATTGTACAGAGTCAGAAGACAATCCACGAGACATGGGCCACGATCCTCGAAGTGGGTATCGCAATCTGGTTACTAGAGCGGCAGCTTCTCATCGCCTGTGTAGTTCCAGCGATTATTGCAATAGGTAGCTACAATTCCCTTCATGCGAGTCCATGGTTGACAGACCCCGACTAACATTGTCTAGGCTCGGTGTTGGCCATAGGGCCCATTTCTAACAGATCAGGTCAGTCTCAGAAGCAATGGGTTGAATGCGTTCAAGCCAGAGTGACAGGGACATCCAATATGCTACGCGACATTAAGTCCATCAAGATGCTCGGTCTTTCCCGGGTCATGTTCCAAAAGGTATCCAACCTGCGAAAGATCGAGCTGAAGACCTCTGAGCGCTTTCGGAAGTTGCTCATATGGGAAATTGTCATATGTAGGCAAGAAAAACGGTTAATGGATCGCGTTGGTGTACTGATCGTTAACAGCTAATGTGCCGACCGACTTTGCTCCGTTTGCCACCTTCGCCATCTATACAATAATCGCGGTCGCAACGCACCATAAGACACTGCTTTCCAGTCAGGCTTTTACATCGCTTTCGCTAATATCCCTCGTGACAAACCCACTCCTTACCTTTATTCAGTCCGTCCCTGCTGTGCGGCAAGCGATGGCTTGTTATCTTCGCATCGAGGAATACTGTAAAAAGCAGACGGAATTGCATAACACGCGTACAGGGTCACCCGCGCCTTCAGCCACGAATGATGGTATTGCAGTAGAGTTGCAATCAGTCCAACCGAAATCAGAATCCGAGACTACCTCATTCTCCTTCGAGCGAGCTGATATTGCATGGTCTGATACCAGCGAAAATAAGCTTCACGACATTACCTTGCGTGTCGGGTCAGGGATTACTATGCTGATTGGGCCAGTGGGCTCTGGGAAATCCACTTTACTCTCTAGTCTACTGGGGGAAACAGTGGTAAGTTCTGGAGATGTACGGGTTGCAGATTCTCAACTGGCATATTGTTTCCAAGTTTCTTGGATTCTCGATGATACAGTTCGCCAAAACATCATCCTCGGGTCACTATTTAATTCCAAATGGTATGAGGTCGCTACATGGGCTTGTGGTCTCAAGGATGAGTTGTCAAATATGTCTGGGGGTGATCTGTACCGTGCAGGTGCCAACGGCCTTTCGCTTAGTGGCGGTCAAAAGCAGCGCATTGCGCTGTGCCGTGCTATCTACTCGAGGAAATGACTCATGGTCCTGGACGACGTTTTTAGTGGTCTTGATTTGAATAATACCAGCATGATTGCTACCCGTTTATTCGGCCCAGGCGGATATTGTCGTAGATATGGGGTGACAGTTCTCCTTGCAACCCATACAGGTAAGTTTGGGGTGTTTGACTTTTCGAACGCGAAGCTCATGTATATCTACATTGGAAAGAACATCTACTCCAATATGCAGATGAGATTGTTATTCTCGAAAGAGGCAGAATCGTGCAGAACGGGTTGTTCGAAAAAGTGATGCAACTCCACAAGCCCGCAAGCGTGCACAGGTCCCTAGTGAGCACTGATGAAATTGCTGGGCATATGGCTTCCGCGACTGATGAGGACAATGAGCTGAACAATGATACTGTGAAGGCTCTAGTTTCAGACTCACTGAGTCCTCTGCGACGCGAAGGGACCTGGTCGGTGTACAATTACTATTATCAAAGTGCTGGGTTCATTCCATTTGCAACCTGTCTAGCTTTTATTGTTGTGGAAGCAGTCAGTGGGGACTTTAAAAGTGCGTCCCTGGTACTTATGATCCTGTTTTACGTCTCTTAAGCTGATATCTCCGGTTTTTGTTAGCTCTGTGGATCCAGTGGTGGGTGGAGGCAAACGAAGAGAGTCCTAACAAAGATGTGGGTATGTATTTGGGAGTGTATGCTGTCCTCTTCGTGATACAGCTCGTAGGTACCGCAGGTGGATTGTGGTAAGTAATTCCCATGATTCAAGTCATTATTGTCAATTACTGAAATGCTAGCTTACGCCTTTGGTCGTCCCAGGCTCCTTATCATGAATGTAATCAATAACACTGCGTTGAATCTGCATACAGATCTTCTCTCTGCGACGCTCAGGTATTCCCAAATATTCTCTTCAATTTTTACATGTCTTTGCTGACTATCCAGGGCAGTGCGCTGCTCAGATTCTTTCAAGACACAGAAATCGGGGCCTTGACAAATAGATTCAGTCAAGATATGGAGTTGATTGACATGATGCTTCCTTTAGTGGCATCTATGTTCTTAACGGGTAATGCTCTTCCCCCTTTCCCTTCTTTGCCTCCTTATCAACACGTCGGACTGGCGGAGTTAAGGGATCACTGGGTTCAAGAAGCTAACACCAGCCATCATAGGATTCGCAAGCTGCGTGGTCAAATTGGTCATTCTTTGCATCGTCAGCAAATACCTAGCAGTTGCTGTGCCGGCGCTTCTGGTCAGCCTAGTGATCCTTCAGAGATATTACCTTCGCACTTCTCGGCAGGTACGACTGCTGGATCTGGAAGCCAAGGCTCCGCTTTATACGCATTTCACGGAAGCCGTGCATGGAGTCACCACTCTCCGTGCTTTCAGAATGGAACGCTGGTTCCAGGAGAAGATGCACATGCTCCTTAATAAATCACAAGGGCCTCTTTATATGCTGTACTGCATACAGCAATGGCTGACACTCGTGATGGGCTTGATCGTTGCGGCGTTGGCAGTGATTATCGCGGCGACGACAACCTCTTTGGCCGACCAGTATAACGGTGCTGCGGTCGGTGTTGCCCTTAGCTTAATCCTAACCTTCAACAGCACACTTTCAAGCACTCTCCGATCATGGACTAGTCTTGAGACGAGCATCGGGGCAGTTTCGCGAGTCCAACAATTTGTGCAAGACACTCCTCGTGAGGCAAACAATGACCTGATGGGCAGTGTAGTCCCTCGGGCATTGGGACATTCTCATTTTACAATCGAGTTCGATAACATAACAGCAGCATACGGGTAAGTTCTGTATTTCTCTAGCCACTCAACCTCCGCTTTGATTACACTCCCCGGTGCTTCCCCTGCTCTTCACGCAAAGCTAATAACTCATACCCATAGCCAAGCCAGGCCGCCGGTCTTGAAGAATCTGTCGCTCATGGTCCATCCTGGCGAAAAGATAGCAATCTGCGGGGCATCAGGAAGTGGGAAGTCATCCATAGTAATGTCGCTTCTCCGTATGAGCGAAATCCAGTCCGGAAGAGTATTAATCGGCGGCTGCGACATATCAGGGCTCGAGAGACAAGCTATCCACTCTGCTATTAACGTCATCCCACAAGACTTGTTTCTGCTCTCCGGCACTGTTCGCTTCAATCTGGATCCTCTTGAAATGGCCACGGATGAACGCATCGCGTCTGCGCTCCGGAAGGTAGGACTCTGGAGTCGAATCAGTGCCCACGGGGGGCTAGATATGGACATGTCTTGTATTTCAACCTGGTCAGTGGCGAAAGGCAATTGCTTGCCCTCGCCCGGGCGCTTGTGGTCCCGCGGCCCATTCTCGTCCTCGATGAGGCGACTAGTAGCGTCGACCGAGAGACAGAAGCCCTTATGCAAGATGTTATCGAGCAGGATTTCCGCCAACAGACTGTGATTTCTGTTGTTCATCGCTTCGCTTATGTCGATCGGTTCGATCGGATAGCGTTCCTCAGGGATGGGGAGATGATTGAATGCGACACGCCGCAGGCATTACTGGGACGGGATTGCAATTTCCGAGAGCTATATCGGGCCTGGAAGAGACTCTAGATTTAGGTTACCAATTCATGTGATAGATCCTATTGGGGTGTGCCATTGGATCCTGATAACAAACCTTGGTAAATGCGTTGCCGCGGTCTGGGGTGCTTAGGGCGTCGGTTCTTATGCGGCCAAGAAGTGTCGGCTGGAACTCCGGCATGTTGGCGATAGCGGTTGGGAGAGGATTTTGTCTGCAACTAACAGGCATTGGCTATCGATAGGATCATCCGCTGATATCTGGCTTGGCATCTTATGCCTATTCTATGCATAGGAAACATGATTGGTTTGCTCTATCTCAGAGTCGGATTAACCGAAGCACCTTGGCAGACACCACTGGGCACTGAGTGAACAACCCAGGTGGGGAGTGAAAATCTTTGACAGAAGCAGCACTGGAGACAGTAGTGACCACGTGGGACACCTCAATTAGGGCCTCCACCTGAACGGCCAGGTTTCAGTCGGAAGTAACCCTGTGTGATGCTTAACGGACTACCTCTCACTGGATGGATGATCTCCTAGAGAAGGACTACTGAATGGCGCAAGACCCTGACCCGATGGACAAATGGATCGAAGGTGGTATGATACAGCACACCTGACCAATTCAACTATTTCAGGGATCGAAACTGGCCAGTACACTATGAATCCTAGCTCGAATGCCTTCGTTCCTTTCCCTGAACAGGACAAAGGGTTGCACCAATCCTCCGCAGCGAGAGAAAAGAACAGAGACCTGGGTTGCACTGGTGTCGCCACTAGCGCGGGGGGGTGCCACTTGGTTGAATGCATGGATGGCGAGCTGAGGTGTGCTGCAGGAGCTCCGTAGGAGTTCCGACGCCTGAACGGATCCCCTTGAACCTTGTTCTCTCTTATCGCGCCCAGCATCGACCTTCCTGTGAACGGGTGTCCTATCGCCCCTCTGCCTATCTGGATGCGCCTGTCACGCCCTAAGCCTTATCAACTGTTCTAACGGGCCATTCAATATACGCCTAAATCTATTGCAGTGAAGCCAATTGCGGTGATAATTGATGTGCCAGGTCCTGGGATACCTGTCCACCCCTCCAAATCAAAAGTGCCACATATTGCTTGGGGCCGACTTGCCGCTACGGAATGGCGTCAGCAGCAGACGCGATGGCATCTCCAGCAGCCCTTCAATGATCTCGCAACACGCGCTACAATTTATTCGGATGTAACCCGGACAGCCAGGTGAGTTCCCGGTAGAATTACATGCTTTCGGTTTATTCCTGCGCCAATGGCGACCCGAAGGAGGGTGGGCTAGCAGGTCGGGTATCTCGACTCGGTCCCTCGCTAGGTGGGGAAACGAGCGTCGATTGGAGGGTTCGGAGGCGTTCGAGAAGACGCGAATCCACCGACGCAGAGGCCGGAGCGTTGTGCATCCAACGACCCTTTCATTAGATCCCTCTTAGCCCTGTCGCAGGGCCGCCTCCCAGTCCCTTTCCAGCAAGATGGCTAATCGCCGTGGTTTGTGGTATCATCAATGAGCTCGTGGCATGGCTCCAATGGCAATCTATCCTTATCAGGGGGAAGAGGGGGTATAAGAGGGCCCCTTGGGGCCACCTTGTGGCAATGATTTTTTTTCTCATGCCTCTGAAAAAGTGAACCCCCGTCCAACATGTCTGCGATCACGACCGGTGCAGCCCGAGAGGGTGACGGCGTCTCAATTCCCCACCCTGATGCAGTCGATGAGAAGTCTGTCGTCACGGTTCTCGCTGGCAAAGAAGAGCACAGAATCACCGGTGATGAGCTGAGCGGCGAAGAGGACCGCGAAAGCGAAGACGCCATTATCATCACTGGTGCAGACGCTGCTGCCCATCTGCTACCACTCAGGGATGACTTCGATAGTTCCCTGACGTTTCGGAGTATCATTCTCGCCTCCGGCCTGGCGTGTTTCCAGGCGGTCATGTACCAAATCTACATGGTAACACAGGACACTTAGCCATCGTGCAGATGTGTTGACACCTCCCGCTGACACCTATCCACAGTTCAAACCCACTGCCGTCACCATCCAAGGCACCTTCATCGTCCTCATCGCTTACTTTGTTGGTAATGCCTGGGCCAGGTTCCTCCCCCGTGGCGATAAGTTTGAGGCACGATGGAGGGAGAAGGGTGGTCAGGGAAAGCTCCCATGGCATATAAGGTGGATAAAGTTTGTGAATCCCGGACCATGGACTCTGAAGGAACACGCGATATGCGCTATCACCGCTACATCTGCTTCCAATGCCTCTGCATCATCGCAAGTGTTTGCGGCGCAGAATCTCTTCTACAATATGCCCTTCAGTGCCGTCACCGTCATCTTCAGCACCATCTCCATTGGTCTGTTCGGCTATGGTCTTTGTGGGATAATGCGACCTATTGCCGTCTGGCATGTTGAGGCTGTCTACTGGAGTACTCTTCCTACTGTGAAGACCCTGCAAGGGTTGCATTGGCAGCAAGTCAAGAACTCTAAGCCGCTCCGGTACTTCTGGTATGCCTTTACTGGCATGTCTTTGTATGAGATTATTCCTGCCTATATATTCCCGTGGCTCAACTCTGTTTCTATTCCGGTGCGTTGTCCATCTCACCTTTGATGTGCAGGGGTTACTAACACAGCTACAGTGTCTCGCTGCCCAGAAAGCGACTGGCAAAAAGGGTTCTGTACTCACCAATGTTTTCGGTGGAGCTTCTAACAACGAAGGATTGGGTTTATTCTCTCTGAGCTTCGACTGGCAATATGTATGGATGGTGTCTTGATCTACCAAGTGTTAAGGCTGACTTGCCGCAGATCACCTCCTTCCAAACCTCCCTTCCTCTCAAGCTCCAGCTTCACCAAGACATCGGGATCGCCTTCTGCTTCATCATCATGGTAGCCATCTACTACGGAAACGGATGGAATTCCCGGTCCCTACCATTCATGTCCACACAGCTTCTCATGGCGAATGGCACTTCGTATCCAGTCGCCAGCGTCTTCCCTGACGGGGTGCTCGACAAATCCGCCTTGGCTAAATACGGCATACCCAGACTAACTGGAACTTTTGCATTTGCCATGTTCATGGCCAACGCTGCTGTGTGTACACCCAAGATCTATTCGGATTTATCCAGCTAAACTTTTCTAGATCGGTGCCCTCATCATGCACTGCTTTCTCTTCTGGGGCGGCGATATCAAGCGGGCATATCAGAGCGCCAGACAAGGTCGCTACGACGACCGTCACCACGAGCACATGGCCAAGCATTACAAAGAGACACCGTGGTGGTGGTACGTTGCGGTGCTTGTCATCAGTTTTGTTCTCGGTCTGGTGGTGGTTCTCAAGGAGAACATTACCCTTCCAGCCTGGGCGTACATTGTCTCCCTAATCGTCGGGATCATCATCTCGCCTTTTGTGAGTACCTCATGTACAATACTCCCCCCCCCCTGCTACTGACGGTTTCTGCAGAGTACCATTCTCTACTCTCGCTACGGCAACGGAATTGCCACCAACAACCTCTCCAAGATGTTGGCAGGACTCATGCTCCCCGGGCGACCCGTCGGAAACATGTACTTTGCAGCCTGGTCCCACAATGTCATCTCCAACGCCGTGAACCTATCCAACGACTTGAAGATGGGCGAATACCGTAAGCCCATGACCTTTTTCTTCATACCCACACAACTCTAACAAATGACAGTCAAAATCCCCCCTCGCGTGATGTTCCTCACCCAAATCTACGGCACCATCCTGGGCGGCTTCATCAACTACGCCATCATGATCTCCATCGTCACTGGTAACAAAGCCCTCCTCTCCACCGGCAACGGCAACTCCTCCTGGAGTGGTGCCACCATGCAATCCTATAACACCAACGCCGCCTCCTGGGCCCTCGCCTCCTACCTCTACCGCTCCGGCACTCCCTACGCCATGGTTCCCATCGGTCTCGCCATCGGCGCCGCAGCTGTCGTCGCCCACCGTCTCTTCTACTACGTACGTCCCCTCCACCCCCCCTCCTTCCCTTCTATACTTATTGCCCCTTCCCACCACCCCAGCAACCCAACTAATCTATGGGAAAAAAACCAGTTTGTCCCCAAGATCCGCAGCTTCGACGTCTCCGAAGTCAACATGCCGCAATTCATCCAATACGCAGGGTACGTCCCGTACAACCAATCGCAGACATGCGTTCTCTTCAGCTGGGTCATCTCGGGTCTCTTCGTCCAGTATTATCTGAGGAATTACCATCCCAAGATTTTCAAGGATTACTTGTACTTGATTACGGGGGCGTTTGATGGCGCCAGTTTGACGATTGTGTTTATTCTCTCGTTTGCGGTGTTTGGGGCTGCTGGGGTCGCGCATGATTTTCCCTCCTGGTGGGGGAATAATTCGAATGGGAATTATGATTGGTGTCCTGTCACTTAGGCATGGTAGGAGTAGGATGGGGTTAGGATGGGATGGAATGGGTTTGGGGGGAAAGGTGTGGTTGGTGTGTGGATGTGCATACTCTACTCTGTCTTTGTATGTAGTAAATAATCTAATAGGGGGTGTTGATGAAGATATATTAATGATGGTGATAGTTCCTCGATTAGCTTGGGAGATTGGTCTGGACTTATCATAATAAGATGTAGATGGCGAGTGACAAAGATGAATGAACATGAGCTCGGTTTCCTCTTGATTGAGATATAGATATATATAAGCATATCGTCTCTTGAATTACATCATGTAAGACAAACCTCAAAAAATGCATTTGATAGGGGGAATCAATTATATTAGACACTCTATGGATATGTGCTCAAAGTATTATTAGAGGTCCATTCGCTGGTTCACCCATATTCCATTTATTTGTGAATATGTGTGCTTGTTTTCTGTGTCCATTCCCACCAATTCATAGCCGACCCGCGGCAACCTGTCCTAGGCACATAAATTTTACTTGGCAGAAAGTATAAGAGGCGCTATATGCAAAATCATCATCCCACCTAGCTCTCACCGATACTCCGCTAACTCATGTTTCGGCCCATTGGTCGGCGGTAATTCCGCAGGCACAGACTGTCCATCTAGTTCGCTCGCTCCTGTTGAATATTGCTGCTGGCTGTATGCGTATGCAGAATATTGGGGGCTGGGGTCCTGTGGTTGGAGATGCATCTGTGTCTGCGACTCGGGCCGTTGTTTATTATGGCGTCGCAGGAAGTAGAAAAGAAGGCCAGCTATTGCTGCGGCTCCGACGACACCGCCGACGACGCCTCCGGCTATTGCGCCCGTGTTGGTACCTGACCCTGAGGATGCAGCAGCGGTTGTTGTTGCTGCTGTTGATGCTGTTGTGGTCGATGCGGAAGTAGACGTGGGGGCCAATGTAGCGGTCGAGGAAGCTAAGCGGGAATGGTTCGCATGTCAGCAACTCATTTCTCTCCAATTGAAGAAGTTTAACGTAGAAGTCAAGCAAACTCACCAGAGCTTATGAGCCTCAAGGCGCTGTAACTAGCATTTCCCGGCGAGTCGGGGCTCAAACAGCCCACCCAGTCTGTCCCCTTGAGCCTGAATCCACTCTCGTCCTGGGTACAGCAGAAATACCCATCGTAGTCATACATGTTCCAGGTGCTATTGGCGCAGACCGCAGGTTTGATTTCGGAGGTGCAGTCCGTCCAGGTCGGACAGCAGACATTGTTCTGAATCGAGTACTCCTTTCCGGGACATTTGGATCCGGATGGGCAGCAAGCGTGCCAGGTCTCCCAGGTTCTACCGCATCCGACTTCGTCGCTGAGACATGAGTTATTCCGACGGATAGCGTAGCCTTGGATGTCCGAGGAAGACATGGTGATCGTTTACTAAATGGCACTGGATCTGCGTGGTGGCTTGAGGCAAGGCACATTCTCCGGGTCGGAAGGATGAGAAGAAGAAGTCGAAGAAGTAAAGGGGACGAGGCTGATTATTTTGTCGAATTGCGCGCGGACCTGCTTGTCAGACAGACACATCTCGCTTATTCAGCCCCTCTGTTTTGCAAAGCGATCCTGGGGCCTTAGTTTGCTTTTAGTTTGATTGGGATCATCTGCTTTTGGGTAGAGACACGAACGGGACGGGGCTTGGATGTTTCTGTGCCGATCAGGGTCCACAGTGCGGGACAGAGAGTGTTGTTTTTTTTGCCAATTTGCAGTGCTTGCTTATCTGATAACGGGCTTGCTGCTGTCACACGCACGTGTATAACTCCGGTCGGCATGATTAATGGTAGTTAAAACAGACGACTGTCGCATAGTGATGAAGGTTGAAAGAGGGAAGGCAGGGTAGATATGGTATGCAGGGTCCGATTGACAGCAAATTGCGGAGGTGCGGCAGGTAAGCAGAACGTGTGATTTATCACCTGACGCGTGTATCTCCAGGATGTTGGAGAATCATCTCCTGCTATCATTTATGCATTTTCATATTCGTTTCGTGTTTGCTACTGGTTGCTGTCATCAAGCAATGACTGATCTTTGTTCAGCAGTAAAAATGCCACTGCTACAACACTCTCTATGTAAGCTTGCATCTCGCCGACTCACTTAGGCTCATAGCAAGCCCCACTGTGGACGGATATGAGTGCCAATTATGATCTGAGTTGGAATGGAGAGGCACGCGAACAGAAGAACACGGCAAGACCCCCGAAAAGGGACCGGGTCCGTGCACAATGGGTCGTCCCGCTTTGCCTTGTCCGAGAAGTGGCTTTATGTTTTGCTGGATAGCCGGATCTACCTGTGTTGAAGAAGGGAAAACAGCTGATAGAAACGTACGCTATCGTATCACAATCCACCGGTGACATCGGCCACGTTGCCTTTCTCGCTTGTCTGATGATTCTAAGATTACCACGGTTGCTGAGAGAGCGGATAATACCTCCGTTCGTCGAACTTTCTATTCGGGAGAGGACGCGGTATTGTCAGTTCAATGGGAATAGATGTCTCTGACATCCGGCTCATGACTTATTTTCATCCTTTCTGGGTGCTGGATGGCATGGTAATTGCCCGTCTACAGACAGATACGTCTCCTTCGAGGGTTGGTGATGTAGTGCGGGGTTTGGATAAGATGGCGCCGGAGGTAGAAGACTTGCATGTAACTCGGTGCGTTAAGATTAGCTCTTTTCTCTTCTTCGCTAAACAGCGCTCACGGACGCAACTGCGACGTTCGAGTCGGGCAGTTCTATGAGATGCCCCTCTCACCCAGGCTATTGGTCGCAGACACTTGTACAACAAGCTTCAGCATTCAAAGCATGGCCATCGTGGCTGGAGCATTTACTCGTACCGGCCGGTCTCCTGTGCGCACCACAAGCCTGGCCAGTTGGCAAGCCTGTACAACCACAGAATGGTCGAGCAAATCTCCTAGATATCCGGAAACATTGGTCCCTAGTTTGTTACACGCGTAGGTGCCATGCTATTGCGAAATTCGGCGACTCTGGAAAGTTGGCATGTAACTGAGTCGGACTACAACTTGATCACAGAAATAGTTGACGTATATCAAGCTTCCTGAAATGGCATGACTCCTTCAGAGGCATAGTTATTGACAATTCGGTGTTATACTGACTGATGTCGTCATGGTTGGGGCTGTGTATCCTTGAGAAACTTGTCGATTAGCTGTGGGTGATGTGGGTATGCATTCAGCCGCTCGACTAGAGTATGCAGCCTTATGGGGAAGACAAGGGACTGCTACGCCACGCAGCGTCAATTCCAACCACTCTAATATCACCACCTATGATGATGAAGATATAACAATGTCTTGCAAATGTAAATGGGCAAGGATACCTAATGGTCTATGTCCGAGTCGACTCCTGCGTGCAGTGTAAGGCTGAGAAGCTGCGATGATTGGGTCAGTGGATCTGGTGGAGCCACCGAAGCTTCCGAACCAAAAAATTTTTTCTATCGCATCACCCACCACATGCGAATCATCAAAATGCAAAAAGAGAAGCCCAACGCGGGGCTCGAACCCGCAGCCTTGAGATTAAGAGTCTCACGCTCTACCGATTGAGCTAGCCGGGCTAGTTCGGTGAAGAATACATACCTGACACGGTATAAGACGGCGTTAATAACTACACACCCCCCCTCACAAATACTACTAGATGAGCGTCTTTGAGCCTCCTTTCGCTGTCGCCAGTCAAAAGTATGGGAAACACTGGCGCCTAATGAGTGGCAACTGCAAGGCAGACTCTGATTCTTATCATGGTGGGAGTGCCCATCATGGGACAAGCTATCCCGGACATGACCAACACTCGTCATATATATCCGCCGTAAGCATTGGCTCTCACGGGCCTCCCCAACGGACACCCGTACCCAGTGATTAGGCGCGCTGGGGCCTAGTAGGCTGAGAGACCGTAGTCCGAGAGACAAGAAAGCCGCATGGTGGACACCATGCGCGCATGCTCGTCATGTCGGTTGCGCCATTATCGGTGGACGTTCACAAGGCAGTCCCAATGGACCGGTACGGTCGCCTGTAGCCTGAGCCAGGGTGGGGAGTGGTGGACAATAGCACAGTAAAAACGGGGAGCTGAAACGAAAAAGAGCTTCCGGAAAGCTGGCGTCACCACCATAGGACACGAGGTGATCATTTCGTCGCGCGCGCGTTAAGCGACACGAAAAGGACAGAACCGATCGGACGGTTGATCAGTGATAGAGGGCATAGAACCATCAGCACTTGCAGGATGCATGATCGCGCGCAGATACCTCGTGGGTTGAACTGTGGCTGTAGCGCCGGAGTGGCAGAAAGGAACGCTCTCGGCCAGTCATCCTGTGGCTGAGGCGCAGCAGGGTATCAGGACATATGGTCTCGATGACTTCATGGCTGCTAGCGTAAGGGGTAGTCCGGGGCTCAGACATCCCCTTATCACGAAGTTGGCTATCATGGGGCCGCTCGTATCGGATCGCTGGGGAAACAGATGCGAAACACCTATTCTTAGACGGTCGCGATCGAGGCAAAAATAGAATAGAAGCGATCAAGAGAAAGCCAATATTGTAGGTTACCAACAGAATGGAACCGAGCCATCGCACGTCTCAGATAATGCGGGTAAGAGGAGAGAGCGGCTGCATGGCTAATGAGCGTTGTCATCGACATGGGAGAGTTAATGCGTGAAACGGACTGCAGCAACGATGGATACTGACCAACAATGGCGGAGGTGAGACGGGGATGCTGACGGTCCCTGAAAGACGGGCGGATGATGGTGTCCTGGACTAGGGGGAGTTCGTGTTGGGAGGCCAGAGAGGAGAGGAAAGGTGGCCGCTGGCGTGCGGCTTAGTTCTAGACACGAGGAGTCAAGCCACAGTTGGGCTGGTCACTTCTGAAGAACCCTCTCACTGCACTTCATCATCGAACTCTAACCCGATGACTCGACGCTTCCCCGACCCTTAATCAGGTAAAGTACTCCCCTCCCGGAGTGGTTGAGTCGGTCATTGCTAACTGTATTGTGTCTAGTGTGCCCACTCGCCATGGCCATCCTCTCCCCGAATGGAGTCACAGGGACTGGCTAGTCTGACAGGAGGGACCATCATGGGGCCAATCATGGATGCAGCTGAGAAGCGAACGGGTTGCAACAGGCGCCGGACCAACAACAAACTACAAGTTAAGAGGATCAGCACTGCCTGCTTGCACCAGCCACACTACTTTGACACTATTCCCAAGTGGTCCTGAGGCAGGCTCCCGTTGAGCCTTAGCAGTCACCCGCAGGCTGCCACTCCTCCACCACGGTTTCTTACTGCTTGCTAAAATCCGGAAAAAGAAAATCAGAATAATTCGAGTAGTGGTTGCTAAACCTTGTTAGGTTCTCCGCCTGAGACCCATTCGTCATGGCTGCTCTACTAGCGCCCCGGGACCACTGTCTCTCTGCTCTAACAGTCACTGTTTGCCAATCATGGATGCCTTCCATCCTCCTCAACTATATAACTTCCCTCTCCCACCCCCCATTGACATCCTCTCCATTCACTTACTCACTACACACTTCTCTCAAAACATCCATATACACACATCATCAACAGAGATCTACATCTCTACTACCCACAACTTCATCGCACATAAACAAGTCCAAACCACCTTGTTATAGTCCTCGTGACCCTTCCGTCAGTCACGCTGTCGCCCTCCAAGCCACTCCGTTTCTGGCCCCCCTTCTACTACTCCATTCAGGAGACACTTCGAGTTGAAAGACCTCGTTATCGCACTCGAACACCCCTCCGTCGTTCGGCAACCATGCCTGCTCCCATCGAGCAGCCCTCCGAGCCCGTCGTGCTCGTGCGCGACCCCGAGGCTGATGAGAGCTACGTTATCTCTGCCTACGAAGCCCACGCCGACCACTGCACTCGATGTGCAGACCCGATGACCGTGTACGAAGAGAAGCGCTCCCTCTGCAAGCGTGGTACCCAGTATGCCCGGGACGTGGCCGAATACCTTCGCAGCAAGAACGGGAAGATCTACTCCGTCGTTGACCTTGAGCGCAACCGATCCACCCTGGTCAGGGTGCCCCTCAAGTGCGTCGCTGTTCGCCAGCTACTGCTGGCAATCGAAAATGGTCTGCGTGTGAACACCAGGGAGGAAGTCACCGCTCGCGAGCGGCCGATAATCAGCCACGAGCCAGCCCCTGTCCGCCGGACTGCCACCCAGGAGGATGTGGCCTGCACTGCGATCATTGAGCGGGAACCACGATCCCTGAAGCGTCACCGGGTCATCGTCTACACCTCTCCGCAGAGCTCTCCCAGCCGTGGGTCTCTGTATGAGGCCGACGCAGCTGACCGCATTGCGCGTGTCAATCGGTCCTCGCGCATCTACCGGCCGAGCGACTACTACCGCTGAGGGACATGAGCAGGGCTTCTGATGCATCTATTAAGGTTTCACGCATGCGCAATTGTGGATATTTCTGCGGTGCAAAGTCACCATTATCACCTTTCCGGCCCCGTCGCAGCAAAGGCTAGACCAGCCTGCGACACTGGCACGAGCCATGTCCGATGGTAGCCAGCTTATCTATGGGTCCTCGGGGATATTTATACCCCGCCAAGAGATTGGCTACATCCTTGTTGGAGGAGCTGGCTCCCTTGCTTACTGTTCTGTTACCGACCTGCTGTCTGATTCGATCCTATTTGGGGTGAAGACGAGGAAACGAACGAAAGCAACAAAAACAGGCGAAAACACAAAAATCACCCACCAAAAAAAAGAAAGGCACGCAAAGGAGGAAATTTCTTTTACTGCTGAGCAAACCAGGCTTCAATCTGCACACTGCAGCTCTGACTCACTCCTACTCCAAGTGGTCAACGGCGCCCACCATCCGATGGCTGCAGCTCACCTGCATGCAGTCCCCCGACCGATGATCCACCCGGATCATCCCCTTCCCCTCATTTGGTCTTTTCATCGGGGACTCGAACGAGTTACACCCACTTTTTTCCTTTGTCGATGTAATGATTCGTGCTTACGCGTCCAATAAGTGATGCTGTATTTTAATGTGAAATTTATTTGACAATAGCCAAGTGGCCTACTGCAAGTCTCACTCTTCCGCAACGTAGCCAACTCTTAACTCCCCCAGTAGTAGCAGTACATCGACAGCCTCATTTGTCTGCCTAGCCAGTAGTAGCCACATAATCTACTCCGTCCCTATCCTATACCGTGCCAATCCTATACCCTCCCTCGGGACTGCGGCTCTATCCCTGTCCCTTAGCAGCCTCTAAAATTCAACCGCGCAAAGTTTATTCCCATCGTGCATTTCCTCTTACACCCCGGTACGCCGTACATGAACATACATAGTGGGAGTGAGTCACGGCCTTCAATATACCCTATTGGCCAAATACCAAACAATCCTATTAGATTCTGCACTAATCCTTGTTTCCTATGCATACTACCTACCACTGTCGCCTAGCACTTCATAACCCTTCTAAATAGCACCGCACATGAAACTCCCACCACAACACAACTCAACGTCACAAAACAGCACAAATAACTTGTTTTTCACAACACCATGTAATATGTAAGGTGGCTGGTTATTATCCCCCATCTAGTTAGTTAATTACTAGCTATATTGCACCGTTGAAATCCAAACCGCTACGTGGTTCCTCTGTCAATGTACCCTGTGGATCAAATGTCCCCACTGCGGGTACTCCACCGACTTGCCTCGACTCGAAGTCAGGTTACACGGTGGGGACCGTCGCTATACTTAGTGGGTATGCGACAGTTGACAGCAAGTGTTTGTCCATAGTAGTAGAGGGTGGGTACTAAGGGTGCGTATACGTAGTAAGTAACATGGTGTTGGTGGGTGGTGGTACTTTTGCTTCCGTGGCCGGATCACCCGGGTCGTAGGCCGGGTAGTTAGTATCATAGCTGGTGTGGATCATGGTGATACGGAATGGATGCTGTTCCTGGTCTTAGATTGTTGTGTTGTTAGGTACTTCGTAGCTAGTATAAGGCTGTTGGGCAGGTACTGAGGTACCTACTATCTGTGCTGTACGTAGCTACAACTACTATATATAGTTCCACCGGCAGTTGAGGTAGCTATTGCCGGGGTGTGCTACTACCCATTTCAGCCATTGTGGATAGCTTCAATAGCAATGTTCAGTCGTAATTGGTAGGTACTAATGTCCACGTCCGTCGGGGAAGGATAGAGACGGGGTAATTCTCCGAAGCTATCTCATACGAAGCCATAGCACGGCCCGGGGTTGGGCTAGCAGCTAGCTCATCATGCCGGTCTGATTCTGAAACCTGGTCAGTTGTCTAGGGTGGAGAGGTAGTGCTGTCTAGACTGGCGAGATCGACGTCTGATATGGGGTGATTTAGCTATCTGTTCATGGGGAGATGTCTGTGCGCGCCAGTCTAGACTCTAGAGTGGTTGATGATGATCATAATAGTAGATGATAACGTCCTGAATAGGTAGTATGTTGAAGAATAGGGACCCACCTGTAGGTATACTCTGCCGGAATAGTTCCCCACAGGACAGCAGGGACAGTATCACACCATCTGCAGTAACTTCGTAGCATATTGCCAGACCGTCTGGACACTTGCTTGTGGGTCAATGGTTGGAGTAGGCTTGGTGTGTGCGGATGTTATACTTTATTCTGTGTATTGGGTGGAGAGAGAAGCCAGCAATGGTATTGAGGTAGCTTCAAACTTAACATATGCGAAGTGGCTGTTGACTCGAGAGCGGACATGTTCCGAGCTGATATCGGGTACTGAGATTGATTAAATCCCTGCACTATGCGACGACTGTTGTAGCGTAACACGAGTTAAAGGTACTCTGATTTGATAGAATGCCTTGGGCAGATATCAAGGAGGACTAGAGCCTATGTAGTAGAATCCCCGAAAGAGGAGCGAAAAATAGGGGGAGAAATTCGAAGGTTGCGACGAAGAATATGCCGTCAAGGCGGGAGAAGCCTACGAGAAGTAAATTGCAGAAAATGGCTTATAGAGCTCTTCAATGTCGTAGAATCCGCAACGACTGCCTAAGATGGACATGAAGCATGAAATATCGGATCTTACCGACCTCACCAGGAATATTAAGGCCGAACAAAGCTATAAAAATCCATTATGATGCCCTGAGCCCAATATAGCTAGGGAAAAAGTAATTGGTGTACTTAACTTTTTGAATGAAGCCATTCATATTTGGACAATTTTCTGCAATTTACAGCCAAAAACAATGGCCCCACAGGTAGCCGATGGCCTGCGGATCCAAGGAAGCCAACATGAAAAAAAGCAAAAAAGAAAGCCCAACGCGGGGCTCGAACCCGCAGCCTTGAGATTAAGAGTCTCACGCTCTACCGATTGAGCTAGCCGGGCTAGTTCGGTGAAAGAAGCTTTTGTATATTCAAATATCATCCTAGGGTTATGCTCTGCTTGCCCCAACTCGGGCTCTCCTTCCCATTCTTTCAAGTACGTCCAGGTGATCTAGCATGAAAGTCAGTTGAGCCCGGTATCAACACACCATCATGGTTGCCGCTCCGTCTCGTCCCTTCTACTGGCCGGGTGACATTCCACTAGAAATCCAAATTGACCCTAGAGGCGATATTGATCCCGAGGAGGCCGATGATGAGGCAAAGGGGTGGATGCTTTTTGTAGAGGTGTCTGAGGACCCGGCTCTTGAACCCAGCTAAGGTTTCCCAGTGAGACACGCGATCATTGACGATTCCAGGAACATTGAGTTTCGCGGGAAATGGCCAACGTTCCCGACGAAGATGGTGATTACGAGGTCAACGACGATCGCTCGTTGAGAAATAGGCGAAAGCAACCCATAAGTTCCGTGATGTACTGATGCCCCTTACTCTTTGTTAAAAATCGAAAAGCGAGAACAAAAAACTAAGCTGGCACAGTCATATCATGAGCGCGCCCCAGAAAGGGTGTCAACAGAGTACCCCAAAGACGTCGTGCACAACATCCACCAGTGCTACGACTTGCCGCCCTTTTTGTGTCTCGCACCCCTGAGTCCATCAGACAGGAAAACAGATCCAGATGGATCAAGCTATACATTCTTTCCTGCCGAATAGACGGCGATATGGACTCTTGTCTTGGCCATCTCGGGTCCCGAGATGGAGCTATTGACGTCAACCCGGCCACACATGATCTCTCTGCGGTGCAGATCACAGATGTGCTAACCCGCGATATACTCGAAATGGCCAACTTGAACTTCATGACGATGATCCGAAATGGTAAGATCTTGTTTATGCAGCGTCTAGGCCCGTGGTTTCTTCTTGCCTAAGATGATCTCGATACCGGTCACATCACGGTTGTAGAGTTTAAGAGAAACGGACAAGTTCACAATTCGTTCCGTCGTCGCGCTTGCAACATGTGGCCTGTATACCTTGAGTACTGTAGCGCGTGGAGACCGCTTGGGTATGTAATAGAGCAACGTGTTGGTGGTAATTCACTGATGAATTATGAGTATGTTGCCCACAGGGGTATTAAGAACTGCCATGAAGGAGTATAAGATGTCTAACGCAGAGTGCAGTCTGGACATGACCTGCCCCTCATTAATATCCTGGAAGGAGCCAAGGCTCGAGATGAGTTTCTTTTTGGATTTGACGGCGCGCGCGACGGCTGGATGGAGGGCATTGAGATTTACGCACCTGGAAGTCTCGAAATGAAGCGGCAGGGAATGAGACTGACTACGACCATTCCCGTCTGATTGACCCTACTATGGCATACGGTATCCGCAGGCAGATATATCAAGCACAATTTGGCTAGAAGCGGGAATACGGGCCTTCACGGTGTGCTCTATGCCCTATATATAAAAACTCACAACAGATGACTTTGGACCAGCCAAACATGATGTTATGGACTGGTGGTCCGAGTATATGCGCGTTTGCTGGCTGAAGCTAGCATCCCCGCCGCTGGCTGTGCCGGCCAATACAGGCACTGTTCCAGTGCTACTACGGCGTCAAATGCAGAGGCTAGTGCCATGACATCTTCTACATTCACAACTGGCGATACCAGCGACACGATCTCTTCCTGGACGAAGTGAGACTTCACCTTGATATATAAAAACCAACTATATAATACCAATGTATCATACAATGAGGGGGCTACCGTGTGCGGCGAACGGGGATTATTCACTTGTGCTACCTATCCTAAGCCAATGCTATGGCTCCCATGTGATAGAAAGAACCCTTGAGGGTTTCTTAGCCGAGAATCATATTTAGGAAGGGGATATTCCACAAATACCTTCTTATATACATGCTTTCATCTTTTGCTGCCCACCAGAAGCATTACATCAGACACCCAAACGGTACTCCCATCAACAAACCAAATGGAAGAGCGACGGCGTAGATACTTCGGTTATGAGGATGAGTCGAGCGCTCCACTCACAGCTGACAATCTCGCCCAATACAGAGAGGGTGCCCAGCAGGTACCTCAACCCACCAACCGCCTCGACATACCAGAAGAGACATGTCCCGCACACCCTCCTGCAAGCACCGAACAGATCTTAGTTCCAATAAAGGTCGTCGCTGCGCCTACGCCCAGAGACGGACAGTTTCGTGCCAATGATTTGCGGCTTGCCAACATCCTGATGGAACAACCACGAGATCCCATCATCGATGATTATATAGCACGCTATGTGTTTACCACTCTGGAAAATCAGGATGATGGATATACTCGTTTAATCGCAGCAAGACTTTTCATAAGATCCAATAGTGTCAACTTGAGATCTCCGCTCCTACAAGTCGAATGGGATCAGGTAATTGTAAACACAGTCTTGAAATTGAATCTCTTTCAACTAGGGATTTCGCGGGATGAAGGTGAGCCAAATTCTCATATTTACCTACTTCATCCATTTTTGTGCGGTCTCAGACCTAACTTCTTAGAATGAAGGATGGCGTAGTGACTTGGAACCTGTCCACGCTGCTCCTCCCAGTCCTCTGATTCAGAACCAGCAGACTATCCAACAGACTTCCAACCAAACTGGCAACTCAACTTCACCTGATCGTGCAGGAGGGCCATCCACCACAGGCTTCGAGTTGGAACGTTCTTGCCCATGTATATGTGTCGGTTTAACGGAAAGCGAATTGACCCAAGGTCTCGAGCACAGGAGAAGCAGCGGTGATTCTTATAGCATGCTGTCCGAATTGCAGGAATCCTCCACCCTGATCACCGACCCGCACGCTACACCCGTGCACGTCAACTTTCCATTCTTGATAATCGAGACAACATCCCATATTGATGGGAGTCTATACCAAGCCCAGAATAAAGCCGCACTGTGTGGCTCCAGAGCAATTCGTATCCTGGAAGCCCTTTCAGAGTACCATGAAGACCACTCCAGTTTTCGTATATTCCCGGCTCCTGATGAGTTACCTTTCAACTTGGCCTTCTCCATCACCGTCAAGGGCCCAATCTGGGAAGTGTGGCTTCATCATCGACGGGCCGGGGATACAGCCTTAGAACCGTATGCCATGGTTTTTCTAGCGGCGGGAAATACAGATCGTGCGAGAGAATGCTTGTCCCTCGTACGCATCATCTCAGATATTATGAGATGGGGTAGTGGCGTCTTCGCCGCGAAGATCAAAAACCTTCTTCGCGAAATAGACCTTGCTTGAAGACAAATCCATTTAACCTCTTGCTTGTGATCGCTTCTGTCCAGACCTTTATAATACACATCGTATCCTTAAGCTAAATGTAACCAAGTCCTCTACAACAAAATGAATCAGTAGTCTACAAACTATACCGTGTAGACCCAATCACGTGCAAGTCACATGACACCACCCTTTCCCCCTCCAACTCTAATCTTCCGACCAACCATCCCCAATCAGGAAACCACATCACGTGCCCCCATCCATCCCAATCCTCCAAACTTCTCCGGCGCAACTCCGCAAGTCACGAAACGAGGAACCCAGGCAATCCACCCCCTCAAGCCCAATCTCCCTCAAAACCTCCTCAAAATGGCCAAGAAAGGTGAGTCAACCCACCTCTCATCACTCTAACCCTGCGGCAACCTCCCACAATGCTCGACTGCACCCGCAGTCTCCCCGAAATCCAAATCCAAATCCATAGCCACTGATGAATGATAAACTGACAACAATCGCACCACACAGTCAAGTCGCGCACCATCACCGTGCGCCTCATCTCCATGGCCATGACCGGCTTCTATCGCACGATGATCCGTCCCCGTACGCACCGCCCGCTCAGCATGCTCAAGTACGACCCCGTCGTGAAGAAGAAGGTCCTGTTCTTGGAGGCTACGAAGGGTGGTCGGAATAAATAGATCATCTGAAGTTCCGGCACCTTTGTTTTTACTCGGTGGCTCGTTTCGAATACCTGCACGGCGGGACGGTCGATATACATACATGCATGTTGCTTGGGAACGATAGTCGCGCTGCGCTTCGCTTCTTTTCCACGGTTACTCGCTACGAGACGACTGCGACTTTGCGGGATGCAGATACCTATACCGATACTGCCGGCTTGAGCTTCGGAATTAGCCATCACTGGATCATTTTTTTTATCGATATGAGACGATCATGTACATTAGACGGTGCAGTGGTGAGGATGGTCGTGGGAGCTGTGCCATAACGACAGGCTTCTGTGGACGTTCGAGCTGTGTATCTTTTTCGGTGTTATATTGTGGCGTTTAGAGCAAGACATTTTGGGTTGAATCAATCTTCAATTACTATCAATTTATTTGCGTTAATGGATCTAGCAATAGGTGGAAAGCTTTCAGACGAAATTTGAGTTAGGAATATGCTCTTTCGCTTCTCGATATCACGCCGTGTAAGATATAAGGTGCACAGATACTGTCAATTTGAAGGAAAGCAGAAATATTTGTCGTTGGCCACTAAGTCGTTACTCTCCCTGAGCCGCCTGACGTAGCTGTTGTCCATGTGCCACTCAGGCTCCTCGGCCGAAGCCAGCATTGTAATGTTCACCTATCGCGGTTAGTGTGCTTGTTGTTACTTCCTGTGTCGTGGCTCACCTCTGGTCTTTCGCCCTGCTCCCCTACCTCTAGCTGCTCGCTTTGGAATGTTGCCCTGGCTGGCATTCATCGAAGAAGGCCTGCTGCTTCCGGAAGCAAGCTTCGCGGGGCTCGGCTTGCGCTCGAAGTACTCGCTGACAGGCTTCTTTTGTGGCTTCTGTTCCGGAGGATCCACAGAAACCTTTGCCCGTTTATTTCCGTAGGAGGAAGATGTGGTGGCAGACGCACCTCTGTCAGCAACGTCATTTCTAAGAGAACGGGTCGGTTGTTCCTCAACGTCTGCCAGAGTTCGAGACACGGATTGACGAGCCCTGGCATATGTGCGGCGGTTTAGACGGGCTGGTCTGTCCTCCTCCTCTAGGGGCTGACTCTGCCAGTTCCCTGAACTGATATTGCTCCCGGCCGATGACTTGCGTTTCTGCCCCAGCGATGTTGGGCTTTGTGCTCCGAAAGTGACGGCTTTTGATCGAGTTTCTTTCCCTTCTCTGTTGATCTTTGTGTCGACTCCCTTCTCATCCCTCATGGATTGGGGTTTCGACCGGGGCAATTTGTCCTTGACTGTGTTGGAAGCTCCCTTGGCCTTGATATGAGCAGTACTCATCCTTGTAGGTGTTTCTTGTACAACGAAGTTTGTTGTTCTTGCCACTTGGGTCTCATCAGGTCTGCTAGTCGAATGGGACTCGTTTGAAAATCTTTGCTCTGAACTAAGCATTAGCATAGCTGCGAGGTCGTCCTGATCGTTCCCGAAGACAGAACTATCTGTCGGCGACTGTTGGCGGAAGCTTGAAAAGGGTACAATGTTCGGGTTCTGGGCAGACTGTAAAGGCTGTTTTGCGGGGCCTTTTTCTGTAAGGTTAGCTTTTGCTGGGAAAGGTGAAGAAACAATGCTTGCTTGAAAGCTTTCTGCTTTGTAGATCACCTCTGTTGCCTTGTACACTTCTTGTCCTAAGCCCACCAGGCTCTTCTGGGGAGTCGAAGTTCGAGCCTTCGAGCAACTGACATCCTGTTTTCCACCAGGAGATGTATCCAAGGAATCGCGGGTGGCATCTCTGCTGATGACTGTGCGCAGAATGGTTTCCAGACTGCTCCATGCTTCCGAGGCTGGCTGATCAGGCGTGACAAGTCCCGCTTGGCCAAGCGTTGCTTTGAGTTTTCTCATCCAGTTATCAGATTCTTGGACCCTCCTGAGTAGAGATTTTATCTCTTCTGCCACCCTCCCTTTGTGGCACTCGAGATCCGTCTTTTCTGACATCGTAGCCTTAAGCTGTGACTGGATGAGAAGGCATTCATCTTCCTTTTTCTGCAAATTCTGGTACAGCATGTCATGTTTACTTTGAATATCCTCGACCGACTCTAATCCCTCTTTGCTGATTCTGTGGCATTCATCCTCAAGGCTTGAAATGCGTTGGGCAGCTTCTTCAATCTGACGATGGAGGGACTCCCGCTCTGTTGCGCTCAAAGACACCACCTCTGCAAGTCTTGCTGCCTCGTGTTTCTCATTCTCTAGCTTGGACTTAGTCTCAGAGATATCATATCTGAGAGCCTCATTCTTCTTTTCTTTGGACTCCAGCTATACCAGTCAGCACCTTGACCATAACGGGGCTCCATGCTTGTCTACCATGAGTTCCAATTCATTCACTCGGTGCTTCATCTTGTCTTCGCACTCTGTCTGTTCGTGGATCAGTATGCTTCTGCTCCTCAAGAATCCCACTGGCACTTACTAGATCTAGTCGTGTCTCGGCCAGCTGCTTGGACACCTTGCTCAGATTACCCTCGACCTCAGATTTCTCTCGTAAGACCTTATGGAGTTGTTGGTCGTATCTTGCTCGATCCCGCTCTCGGGAGACAACACTAGCTCTACTGAGCTCTTTACGAACCCTTGACTCCACAGACTTAACTTCATCTCTCAAGGCCGTCACTTCCGCTTCGTACCTGCGGACGCGACAGTCATTATCATTAGCCTTTGTTTCTGCAATTTTTAGCGATCCTCTCAATGCCTGATTCTCAAGATCCCTGGTTCCCAGGGCATCCTCGGCGGACTTGGACTGCTCCGACAAACTTTGGATCTTAGATTTCATTTCGGCAATTGTCTGCTCAAACCGGCGAGTCTCGTCTTTCAGAAGTTCCCTCTGATCTGGTAGTTTAATTGCCGATAGACTACTTTCCAGAGCTGTCAAGTGATTGAGAAGGCCGCTTTCTCTTGCCTCTAATCCCTTCATTGAAAGGGTAATGTTCTCGTTGGCCGCCGCCATTGTTCGAAGAGTGTTTTGCAATCTCTCATTATTCTCCGAATCTTTTGAAATCTTCGCCGCCAGCTCAGTGTCGCTGACAATATGCTTCCCAATAATCTCTGTTTGTGCTTTGAGATTCTCAGTCAGACCTGCAGTTGCCTCAGTTCCTTTTCCAATCCCAGCACTTAGCTGGTGCATAGCCGAATCCATGCTAAAGAGCCGTGTTAGCTGACTGACAGGTTATTTTGGCTAAACATATGAGGCTTACCGAGCTGCGAAGGCGTTAATAATGTCTGTGCATGCTGTTGCATCAGCCTTTCCTGATGAGATGCTCCCCTGCAATTCTCTGAGTAAAGCCAGACAACCGCTGAAATCACAGCTCAGACCCTCTTGGAGAGACTTTATGGAAGCAACATGCTGATGGCTCAGGCTTATTAAGGCAGCATCGAAACCTCCTATCATCTCACGTTGATGTGACATGATCTTATCCAATTTGGTGGACTGAGCTCTGGAACAGTTCTGTATGTGGACCTCAAGCAGACCTGATCGCTTTTTCTCGTCCGACAGCTGCCTCAGGAGTTGATCCGATGTCTCCCCGGCGTCTTTCAAGCTTTGCCTAAGCAGCTCGTTTTGGCTCTCTACCTTTATAAGGTCACCACGTCTATGCTCTGCGTCGGTTGAAGCCTTAGCCAACTGTTCTCTTGCTTCCTTTATGCTGGTGTTTATCTCATTCCTCTCACTCAGCAATTCTTTCCTTGTTCCTTTGAGCTTAATAGCCTCCCCACGTAAATTTTGGAAGTCGCAGCCAAAGTCATTCAAGAAGCTTCTAAACTTCGCGAACTTCGACCTCCATGTTTCCATACGGGACTTGTAGGCTTCAAGCTGAGATGATTGCTTCTGAATTTCCTGGCAAGACTCCTCCAGTTGGCCTTTCAGTATATTGTTTTCCTCAGCAGCTTGTGTAATCTTGGCCTCCATCTGTTGTTTAAGCTTAGAGGCGAGTATTGCACCTTTCTCACGATCTCTGATACGGCTGATTAATAACTGGAATAGATCCTCTTCTGATAGTTTGGGTTCCCCATCTTCAGAGCCACCAGTGGATGGAAGCCTGGCGCTTTTCTTGCTTGAACGGCGACGCTTGGTGATTCTCGATGCTTGATTCGTAGCAACCGACAAAGTTTGCTCAATAGCTCTGCTTTGGCCTGGCCTTCTCAATGGTTCACGGGAGATACTTGTGTTGGATGCCTTGTTTCCATGCTCTGTCGCTTCTATTCTTTCCGTGTTCTGTAAGCCTTGTTAGCCGGGAAGGGAGACTTAATTAATAGACGGTCTACCTTTCTGTGTCTTAAGGAAGTGGTACTCCTATCTTTACAGATGGGTCAGTGATAATCATTTATCTCATTGTGCTTTACGTACCCAGCGCTGCAATTCCTGAGGAGACTGGCCGTGATTCAGCGGACGAGCGTTGACCGACTTGTGGCACAGAAATAGCTGCAGAATGCAAAACGTGCGGGTTATGCCCAGCATGAACCCTACGCTCTGTTGCTTCTAGTGAGGTAGTCTCTGGTCCCTGTGCTTCGAGAGGTCTGATTCGTGAAACCATCTTCAGAGTGCGTGTTCTGATGTTCGAGTTCACTGGATATGAGGAACTGCGCACACAACTGAACGTTAGCCTAGTACCAAAACCAGACGTAGTACTTACCTTCCATCTCCTGGCCCTTCTCGAGTCACCAAAGACACATCTGTGCCACCAGCCAGGCGAGTGTCAGACCGAGGAGGCATGGTATTCAGTGAGCAGCGTTTTGCTGGCTGCAGGGAAAAGGAATTTGGACCCTGAGTCGGCCTCTGGAAGCAAAAGGCTGCCATGTCAATACCAGGGCTTTGAGGGCGTTCCATGAGTAGTGGGGAAGCCTGTCTGCGAGGCATGTCTCTGTCTTCCTCCGAAACCATAGCTGCTGTGAGCTCCGGTAAAAGGGAATCATTATTGTCTGCCATATGCATGAGTAATAGCTCTTCCACCTCGTCATAGCTATCCCCATTAGCGAGGTTTGTAAGTTCAGGGTAGACTATGGAATCCGCCTCTGACATTGACTCTTGCTCGCTCTGCATCTTGACACGACTGATAAGGTTAATGATCGGATTCTGAGCTTCCAGTGTACAACAATGGACAGAGGAATATAATCACCCAACAAGGAAGAAAGCGATTTGACTTGCAAGGTTGTGAGTAACTAAGAGTGACAGCACAGAAGGGCACCATATAAGGAGCTGCTATCGCGGCTGTAATGCTTGGTATCCTTCTTTCACGATGTAGTCACCCTCAAGTGGCCTGCAAGTTGTCTGAAGAGAGAAAGACGGGACAAGAAGTGCCCTGAGTGATCAAGGCAGATGACCGCTCGTGACCCGAGTAGTGAAAATGCATAAACGGAAGTCGGGGCTGCCGGATCAAGCATGGGAATGTTTTTCTGTCATTGCTAACCGAGGCTGAATTGTGACTGCACAACATACTGATATGTGTATCTGGCACTGGTACTGATAACTACTAGTTCTTATGGTTTCAAGCTTAGCAGCCAGATAACATCGCCATTTTTGCTACCCTCATCTTCATGGAACCCAGGATAGCCCGTGGCACTTGGGTTGTTGCTTGGTCGAAGAAGAGACTGTTGTCCTACGAGACAGACAAGGCGTCTCACCCGGCCTTATTTTGGGCTGGAAACGATGGCAATATCATCTGTTCCACACCTCAATTATCACTGCCATAATAAGGCTACCAAACGTGTAGCTCTACTACTTCCTGCAAGGCGAGAATGACAGGTTTGTCTTCCCAGAAATATGACAATCTGCAGAGCTAAATTTACTGAGGCCGCTTTTCTTCCCCCCATAGCGCAGTTGTATACGCGTGATCATTCGTCCAAAAGGTCCGACGCAGCCTCACTTGCGCCCGAGCAGATGCAGAACATCTGAAGACTTGCGGGGTTATCGTGCATGGCGGCCAAGCCATCTCTACAATTGGACACTTTTAAAGGGCTATGCGGAGTTGGTGGTTGCAGTTGGCGCCGATATCCCACTAAGTCGAGTTCCGTGTCTCCGATTTGACGTTTGCGTTTCACTCTCAAACCAGTGAAACTGCATGATCCCGGATCTCGCACACGGCCAAACACTCCAGCCCATCTTCAGGATTTAGGCTGTCACAGTCAAGCCTATCACAGAACAAGATGTCTTAGTGCTGCGTACGCAGCAGATTCTTCACAAATCTCGTGCCCCTGGTGACCCCATCGACTCCCACCATAGTATATGATGAGCGCTCTTCCCTGCCTGACTATTCTCAGATAACAACTCATTTCTAAGTGCCAGGTATTGACACGAAAATCTCTCAGCACCTCATACATTCTGTCTCAAGAAAATGATCGGCTACTCCTCGTACTCAATACAGCCTTTGTGGTTGGTGTTAATTGTACTATCATCACCAGCGGTCGCACAGGGTGTACTTAATAGCGTCGACAGCCAAGATGGAGATGGCGAATCAGAGTCATATTCGACGACGCGAAGCGTTTCCTCTAAAGGAATGATAATATTGTGCACCATCGTGGCGTTGGTTTTGGTTATCGGTGGTATGTCTCCTTAGAAATGAGACACGCTCGAGGAAGGGTTTTGTGTTCGAACAGGCGCTGACAACTCCGTTGACATAGTTTTATTCACCGTTGTGTTCATCACTGTAAAGAAGAGGAGCTCGAAGACTTCCAAGACACCCTTTTCACAAAATGAAGCAGTAATAGAAGCCACGGAAAGGCCGTTGAGCGGCAATACACCGACAGAAAGGGACGCCTCTAGATCCAAAACTTCGAATCACGCAGGGATTCAGCCAGATATAGAGAAGAATGCTGGTGTTGATCAAGGCCGACCGCACAGAAATGCTTGGATGAAGCAAAGAGGATGGGGGTCCTACTTCTCTTTCGGGCGCGCATAGAAGCGATGGCTCAGCCACAGCATCTCATTCATCTCAAATAATTCAGCGATCCATTCAAGAAAATTTTGATTGATAGCAGCTCAGCGTGATGGCTTTCCAGTTATTGTACTTTTCAATTTCGTTCTTGTTGTCTCACGAACTTCCCCCGCGTTGTTTCTTGATGTATATCTTGAGGAATACCCCGCACTCATTAATATTGACATTGACTCCAATAATATGGGGCATCAGCATCAGGATCAAGGAATGACAAGTATGACCACACCGATAATCACACCGTCTGCATGTAGGGGAGCGTCGATACCATGGAAAGCCTTGCCCAAACAATGCTGAGTGGGGACGCCCCGCGGCGTCCTGCGAGGATCATCCAATCAGTCTCGTCAATTCCATGCTCCGTGGATGACGGCAAGTCTTTCCGTCTGGAAGTGAGCAACCCCACCCGTGTTGGTTCTACAAACTGTCCATCGGAGCATGAATCTCTCTCCGCTCCATTGCATGAACAATGCAGAAGCCCATCAGCGGCCCCATATACAGAGGGGAAGAATAGGATTGAGCCTGAACGAGGAAATTTTCCCCATCCAGCACAGCTGGGCCCAAGACAATGTACTCCGAGACCTCCAGGACATATAAGGCCTCTGGATCTCGCCCAGCAGGTTTCATTTCCATTCGCGTTCAAGAGAAAGACCTTGTGAATAGCTTATCTTGAATTCACAAAGCCAATCCCATTTGTCTTCTTTATTTACTCACAGACTTCCATCTCACAATGCCGATTCAAAAGCTGAAAGTTGGTATGGCTGGTCTGGGCCGGATAGGCAAGGTCCATGTCCACAACTTCCTTCACCAAACCCCACGGGCCGAAGTTGTTGCCGCCTTCTCCCCCGACCCTGCCGAGATTACATGGGGTAGACAACACCTAGAGCCTTATGGAGTTACACTATATGATAACTATGACAAGATGCTGGAGCACCCCGGCTTGCAAGCAGTCGTCATCGGGACGGCGACCTCGGTGCATGCCGAGGAGACGATGAAAGCTATCGATCGGGACCTGCACGTCCTTTGTGAGAAGCCATTGTCAATTGATGTGGAAGTGGTATGTTCCGGATATCCTGCTTAAATTGGATCTACAGTTGTCGTTTCTCGAAATTGCATATGGACTAACTCCTTAGTAGTGCAGAGCAGTTGCACAGAAGGCTAAGACCAAGCCACACTTGAAGGTGATGTGTGGCTTTTCTCGGAGATTCGATGACTCCTATCGCGAGGTTTATGATAAGATCAGCCAGGGAATGATTGGACGTCCCTCCATCGTGAGAAGCCAGACTTGTGACAAATACGACCCCTCGGGCTTCTACGTGGCTTACGCAGCGTGGTCGGGTGGTGTGTTTGTTGACATGTCGGTCCATGATATCGACCTGACCTTGTGGTTCATGGGAGAGGACTCGGTCCCCAAGAGCATTTCCGCCCATGGAATCACGGCTGTCCAGCCAGAGTTGAAGAAGTACAACGACTACGACAACGCAGTCGGAATTGTTGAGTTTCACAATGGCAAAATCGCCTACTACTACTGCTCTCGAATGATGCCCCATGGACAAGAAGATACGACGGAAGTTATTGGCACCGAAGGGAAGCTGTCTGTTAACATCAACCCGCAACGCAACTTCGTCAACTACTACCACAACGGCGGCATCACGCGCGAGGTCCCTGCAAATTTCCACGGGCGCTTCGGAGGTGCCTTTGTGAACGAGGCAAACGAATTCACTGCCTGTTGCTTAGACAACAAACCACTGCCCCTCAAGCTGTCTAACGCAGTCAAAGCTGTTGAGATTGGCGCATACCTTCAGGAGGCATTGGTGACAGGGAAGCAGATCCACTTTGATGAGATCGGTAGAAGGATTGAGAAGGCTCAGTTGTAGGATGGATTCTATAATTCTATATCCGGCCTGCTCCAGGATATTGTAGCATCTTTCAATGTTTGAATCTAGAAAATGATCCAAGATGTTAAGAATACCTACCTGTTCTTCGTAGACAAACACTGCTTCCTCACTACTACTAAAGTACTAAGAGTTAGAATTAAGCTGGGGAAATTGCACTATTCCGAAAACGGCATCCCCGCATTCCGGATTCAACCCAGGGAGATCATCGAATCATCGACTCAGGACACTGTCCATCTCAGCTCTTCCATGGTAATTAGTCTGCAACGCGATCAACGTGGTGTTTATGGCCGATGGCGTGACCAGCTCCACTGCGTCGTCAAAAGGCCCCAGGGGACGGGCGGGTTCCTGAGCGCGTCTAGCCAGGCTGCCACGCCAGCGCAATTGCCAATGACGAAATGCACGGCTGACGACGCCCACGATCGACGGAGGAGCTCCATCCAGCCAGCCAGGGGTGCCTTTTTCCCCCATTCGACTTCAGCACTGGACTCCGCTAAACCCCACCTCCGTTTCCCTTCATCATCATCCCATTGCTATCTTCCATGCTGGCGGACCGTCTACTCCTCGTTATATTTGACTACCTCCACGGCTGGATCTCCGGGACGTAGTTCAACATGTATCTAGACTTCACTAAGAGCCTCGGTATTGGCTCGCTCACTACCATGCTCCTCTCCGCATTTACCCCTCGAGAGCGAGCGCTCGTTGTTCATCAGCCAGCGCTGCCTCCATCCTATCCGCTGGCCGTCCGGAGTCCGTATCTCTCAGCATGGATGCCCAGCGATCAGGTTCAAACATTGCCGTATGCGGAGCCTCAGTTCTGGGCGGGACAGAGTCTCACGTGGTCGGTCATGGCTCGCGTCGATGGCCAGGCGTACAGTTTGATGAGCGTCAAGAATCCAGGCGAGAACATCATTCCTGCGATCGTTCGAAGTGCCGAGTATACCGCGACCCATTCAGTGTTTACTCTTTCCGCTGGTTCGGTGGTTTTCACTTTGGACTTTTTCTCGCCCATATCGCCCTCAAACTATCTGCGGCAGTCTCTTCCTTTCAGTAAGATCGCGACAACAACATAGCCTATCGTGTTTCAGAAGCTAACCAGTTCGTGGGAAAGGCTATTTGACCGTTTCTGTATCGGAGGGTTCTTCCAAGAGCATCCAGATCTACTCCAGCATCGACGGAAGATGGGCGGGCAAGCCACAAGACACTACACGCGGTTTTCGCGAAACCGGCACCACTGCCGTCTTCTCCTTGGGGCTGAAGGACGGCTCCCCTTACGCTGAAGTAGATGATATGGCTACATGGGGCGAGGCGATCTTCGCCTCTCGCCCAACTTCTAAGTCTAAACTCTCTTTCTCATCCGGCAAACGCGGGGAAGTGCGTTCTCAGTTTGTCAGTACTGGGAGACTAGTCGACAATCGTCAGCCATGGGTTCCAGGAGGAATCGTGGCCCTTTCACACGATCTAGGAAAGGTTGAGGGTAGAGAATCAGTAACATTTGCCGTTGGGCATGTGCGTGAGCAGTCCATTAATTACCTGGGCAAACCATACACTGGCTATTACCGATCGCAGTACCCGGATAGCCACGACGCGGTCTCTTACTTCCTTGACGACTATACCGCCGCTCTGCAGGAGTCTCGGATACTCGATGCAGAGATGGCCAAGCAAGCCAAAGCAGCGGCTGGCCAAAAGTACGCCGACATCGTCACACTGTCGGCTCGTCAGGCGTACGGAGGGATAGAGGTGACCATCCCTAATGACACTCTTGACACCACCGATGTTCTGGCGTTCATCAAGGAGCTTTCTAGCAATGGCAACCTCAACACAGTGGACGTTATCATGCCTGCCTTCCCGATTTACTACATTCTGGACCCGGACTACATCCGACTTCTGCTGGAACCGATGATGAGGTACCTGGCTGCTGGCCGCTGGCAAAAGCCGTATGTAATCCACGACATGGGCAAGCATTATCCCAATGCCATTGGGCATGACAATCAGAAGGCCGAGCCAATGCCGATTGAGGAATGTGGGAATTTAATGGTACTGATCCTGGCCTACGTACGAGCAACAGGCGACACCGAATGGGCCGCTCAGTACACCGACCTCTTGAGAGGCTATGCGGACTATTTGGTCGATAATGGCGTTGATATCACCAAGCAGCTGTCTTCGAACGATGCAGCTGGCGCACTAGCCAATGAGACGAACCTTGCCATCAAGGCGGCCGTTGGTATCAAGGCATTCGGTGAACTGACGGGACTCTCCGAATACTCTCAAGTTGGGGAAGCGCGAGCGGATCTGTTCTTCACCCAGGGCCGTGGAACAGACGGGAACAAGACACACTTCGTGCTGCAGTATCCCGGCAAGCCAGCCTCTTGGAAAATACCATACAACCTCTACCCAGATGTACTACTTGATCTTCAGACCTTCCCCAAAGCGGCATACGAGATGGGAAATACCTTCTTCAAGTCGGTGCGAGCTGAATATGGGGTCCCGTTGGATAACCGGCAAGACTGGGCCAAGTCGGACTGGAACATGTGGTTAGCAGGCACGTTCGATGCCGACACTCGCTCTGAGTTTGTGGAGGATCTTTGGAGTTTTATGACCAACGGAAAACACAACTGGCCGTTCTCCGATCGGTACGTTGCCACATCAGCCAAGGGACGGAGCCCTGGGGTGCCTGTGCTGTGCCGAGCTCGCCCAACAGTGGGCGGTCATTTTGCCCTGATGGCACTACAAGGGCCCAAATCCCTTCAAGCTGCTGTTTCGAGGCAAGTGCTCAGTGAAGGGGGCAACCAAGGAAGCAGTGACAGCCAGGAGACTTTGTTGAACCAGGGAGAGAATCTGTAGATTAGACAGAGAGAGTTTTTGTGTAACGCATCATCAATTGTGAATAGATCTGAGAGGTAGATAGGATGGAAACTGGTAATTTCCATCATCTCATGAATTTACTTGTGTTGCCAGTGCTGTCAGGTACCTTCCTGTTTAGGCCCGATTTGAAGTGTCACTTGGGCATTGTGTAGATCTGGATGACCTCTTGTGGTGAATGAAGTCCAGGGAAACACCCGCTGCAGAAATTTCTCGGTGTTAGAGGTCAAACCATTCACTTACCATCTTTTGCGTACACCAATCTTTACATCTAATACTAGTCAGTTACTGTTGTGGTGGTTGTTGTTGTTGTTGTCCCTTGCGCCCGTTTGCTGGAAAGCTGCCCCTGGGGCTTACATAAGCGGGGAGGCTTCACTTCGGCTGGCAGCGACTCTGAGTCTCTCTTTCGCCGTGTTCCAAACCGCCTCGTCGTGCTTGCTTCCTCCTCCCCCAGTCGTCTTTCTTCGTCTTCTTCCTCTTCTCTCGCCCGTCTCTTTCCCTTCTCCTTCTGCTTCATCATCAACTACCCTTGACCTTTTCTTTCTCGCTTTTCCGACCTCTAGTTCCAGTCCCTACTCATGGCTTCTGTATGTGCTCCCTCTCTTGTTTCTGGCCCCGTATAGCTCAGCTGTGATGTGATGGCTGTCCAACGTCATGTCCCCCTCTGAAACCGCGCGTTGGCGATCCTCCAACGCGCTCAGATAAGATCTTGGCCTTCCCCATGCTGACTTCATGCTCTCTTGCTTGTCTAGCCCCGTCCTCCACACAACTTCGGTCCTCAAGGCTATCCCCTCCCCAACGGTGCTGTTCCTTCTGGTCCCGTCCCCGGCGCCGCCCCTCTCCTCCCAAACAATGGTCGAATCATTCAGAATGGTCCCGTCAGAGTGCTGTGCATTGCGGACGTGCGAGGTATGTGGTCCGGATATAGCTCCGGTAGCGATCCCCGGATTGGTAGACCCGATTGAGCTGATTTGGGAAATCTGTTTTGCTTTTTCCACGGCGCAGGTAATCTGAAGTCCTTGAATGAGTTGGCCAGGCAGGCCCGTGCAGACCATATCATCCACACCGGTGACTTCGGTTTCTACGATGACACTTCGCTCGAGCGCATTGCAGACAAGTCAGTGGCTTTCCCCTTCCCCGATTCGTACAGCTACTTTCAGCCGCTAGAGAGCTTTCATGCATGATAAACATGTGACCGGATCTACTAACACAAATCTGCATCTCGACGATTAGGACTCTTAAGCACGTGGCCCAATACTCTCCCCTGCTCCCCGAGAATGTCAAGCGCACTATTGCCCAGACTCCTCCCCAGCAGTCCATCAAGCAACGATTCACGCCCGATCAGCTACCCCTCTCAGAGCTTCCCATGCTGCTCGACAAGCGGCTCACTCTCGATGTTCCTGTCTACACTGTCTGGGGTGCCTGCGAGGATGTTCGCGTGTTGGAGAAGTTCCGATCGGGAGAGTACAAGGTTGACAAGCTGCACATCATTGATGAAGCCAACTCGCGGCTGCTCGACATTGGCGGTGTGAAGCTCCGTCTCTTGGGTTTGGGAGGAGCGGTTGTTATGCACAAGCTGTTCGACAATGGCGAGGGCAAGACTACTATTGCTGGCGGCCAAGGCACCATGTGGACAACCCTGCTGCAAATGGGAGAGCTGATTGACACAGCGAACCGTGTATACGACCCCTCAGAGACCCGGATCTTCGTCACGCATGCGTCGCCGGCTCGTGAGGGTATGCTGAACCAGCTGTCGGTCACGCTCAAGGCCGATTTCTCCATCTCCGCTGGCTTGCACTTCCGTTACGGCTCGTCCTACAACGAATTCTCCGTCAACCCCTCCCTCGACCACTACCGGGGCAAGCTTGCCGCTTCCAAGGCTTCCTTCAATGACGTGTGGGAGACCGTCCGGGGCGAGGTCGAGGCCGCCATTTCGCAGAACGAGGCTCAGAAGACTCTGCTGGACAATGCTCTTGAGGTGGTCAACAAGATGCCTACCGTTGCCAACGGTGGCAACCCGTTCGGTGGACCTGCTGCCCCCGGCAACGCAGCTGGCCAGGTCGACGAAAGCGCCTTCAAGAACATGTGGAACTTCAACTTGGCAGACGCAGCATTCGGCTTCTTGGTGCTTGAGATCGAGTCGGGCCGCATCGCTACCGAAATGCGCGCCCAAGGATTCAATTTCGCTCACCGTACCGGCAAGCCCCAGCCCGCTGGCCCAGCCCAGCCCGCTCCCGTCCCCGCTGGCGCCCCTGCTGGCATTGCCTCGCCTCGCGTCCCCGGAGCTGCTCCCCAATTCGGTCAGGCTCAACCTGTTCCCGCCCGCACGGGTCCCCTTCCTCAACAGCAGGCCCCGGCACAGGCCAAGGCTCCCGCCGCCGCTCCCGCTCGTACATCCCCCGTTCCCGTGATCCCTAAGCCTGCTACGCCGCAGCCTGCCGCCGCCCCTGCTGCGCAGCCCGCCGTGACGTCCCCGGAGAGAACCACGACCACCGAGGCCAACGGTACCGCTCAGCCCGAGAAGCCCTCCGAATCTCCGATGCCCAAGATTGAGAAGAAGCAGAGCAACGGCCTCTTCGTCTCGAACGTTGAGAACGAACAAGCTGTGCGTGATCTCTTCCCCGAAGAAGACAAGGCCAAGATCGTGAAGATTGAGAAGTGGGGCAAATACAACAACCATGTCGTCCACTTCACGACTGTCGAGGAGGCCAAGGCTGCCCTCGATCGCCAGCCCCCGGAGCACAAGAAGCCCACTCCTGCCGGTCAACCTCGTAAGCCCAACATCAAGTTCTTCGAAGACCGTGGCAGCCACCGCGGCAACGCCGGTACATGGCAGGGCAGCAACCGTGGTGCCAATGCCTCCCAGCGCGGGTACCAGAGCGGAGGTGCCAGTGACAGCGAGACTAACCGCGGACGTGGATTCCGTGGCCGAGGCGGTGCTGGCCGCGGCGACCGGGGCGGACGTGGCGGACGTGGTGGTCGCGGTGGGTTCAACAAGGGAGGCGCTCCGACTTCAGACTCGGGACCAGGCGACAAGCCCGCCACAACTGGAGGCGACGCTTGATTTGTGTGTGGTTGTGCCTGATATCCCTTTCTGATTCCATATCCGCCTTTGTTTCTCCAATTCCCCCTTTTCATCTTTCTTTTCGAAAGTGTCATTCTACGTCTGCATCTCTTTTCTTCCTGTTCCATGTTTTCATTAATCCCACGCTTTTCGATCGGTATTTTAATTTTCTATTGTTGTGATACTTGCTAAATGACGTCTTTTCCTCTTTTCACCATGTTCTTGTCCTTTTTCAGCGAGATATGCGTCCAAACTTCTTTTCCCATTCATCTTCTTCTTTCCTAGTAGACACTTCGCGCTGGCGACGGGAGTGATCGGGTTCCTGACTCGGTCGACTCCATTCCCCACTCGGATCCCTAGGACTCCAGGAGTCGTTGGTGTGGATCCGAAGGCAGAAGCAGAGGCGGAGACAGAGAGACATAGGCGGAGGCGCAAAGCAGAAGCAAGCGGAGGAGAGGTGGGTGTGTGTGCTATTGAACTTGGTATGATATTATGGTCTTTGATTTTGTTGGGTGGCCGCGGGAAACGGGGAATTTAAAAAGCGAAGGGATATATCTGAGGTTACTTTGCAAGAAACGAAAAAAAGAAGAAACAAACCAAAAAGGCCAACGGCGAGGATTCTTTTGTATTCTATATTCTCCTGGAACGTACCAATATCGATACCCTTGTAACTTCCTGCGGCTTTATCTACTACCACTAGTACTTAGTATCCTTCCAACTGGTAGTACCGCTATACTACTTGTACTACGTAGTAAAGACAGTAGACTAACTTTTCTACAATTACCTCCTACTTTACTACAACTGTACCGCAACGGGTGTTGCACTGACCTGCTTCGGGCTACTTACTAGTAAGTAGTAGTATGTATCATGAGTGCAACTAAGTTTGGAGTTGTTTCCAAGATATATATTCCGGGCGGGTGCGGCGGGCCACTCTACGTAATGGACCACACTACTATCAACTTGTCTTGTTAAGAATAACTCACTAGTATCGAAGTACTACCAAAGCAGTAGTACCACGACTGGTAGTACGACTGCAATTGCAAGAGGTAGATGGTTGAAGAATCATCGGAAGCATCAAACATTAGTATGAAGGAATATCTATACTAGTACGAGTGTCGGAGAAGAGAGAACTGGCGTATTATTACTTCATGCCTATACAGAGATACAACCTCACCCTGAGAAATACGCCGATTACACCCAAATAGACAAGAAGAACCCTTTCGCGTATTTCCAAGGGCAGGTAGGTAGACAGATAAATTGACACAGCAACATATCACTCAAGTCCCCAGCCACCAAGATTTTTTGAATACATGTGGTGTGCTGAAAGGTCGAGAACCAGCGGTGCATATACATAGGAACAAGCACGCAACCCAAGTGTAGGATAGAATGAATGAAAGAAGACTCCAACGGTCATGGTGTACAGTCTGCCAACCCGAAGCTTCCTATATTGCATTAATTTTTCCCCCAGCAAACCACGCCTCCTGTTCGCCTGCAGTGGTCTTCGAGAGAAGGAGAGAGAAGAAGAAAGAAGATAGTAGAGAAAGTACAGTCATAAGTAGATGGAGAGATGTAATATGTGTTGGGGAGGTTATTGCTTTGCTCCAAATGTCTTTAGAAGAAAAAAAATGTCCAACCGAAGATTGCGGTAAATAACCTGGAGTACTCCGTGGATTTTTCACTTTGCGTTCGTGTGAAAAACCTCCCGTATCCATTTGTCCCTTTTTGTCGTAACGGCGTCAACAACAGCTTTGCATTACATGTATGGGTATCTGAAACGCAGAATGATGGCAACGAGGGCAGTATGCGGCGGGCGGCGCAGGTGCGAACTAACTTGTTGTTTCCCCTCGCTTGACTACTTCGCCCGCCCCATGATGTCGTCAACGTCTTGCTGGTTGACGACCACACCGCCCTCAGAACACCGCGCCTTCATGCGTAGTTCGGAGCAAAGATGATCGACATCGAGCTCTCCGTTGCGGAATCTCTCCATTGATTGCAGACGATCCCTTTAAGAAGTCAGTACGAATGTGGTTATTGGGGAGTACAACAGGATGATCATACCATATCTTCGTGCAACTCAGCATCTGAGACTTGTCTTCTCCAGGCACAACTTCTTCATCCAACTTGCTGTCAATCTCCGCGATCAAGTCCTTCTTCGGTGGTTGTTGGGTGGCCGCTTCCGTGAGGTTGTGTGAAGGGCTTCCCAGATCGGGCAGGGGGAAAGCATCGTCAAAGAATGTTCCGAAGTCCTGAGACAGGATGGCATCCTGAGGCTCACGCCAGTCTCCGAAGAGAACAGGATCGAACTGGCCTCCGTTCTGCTGAGCGAGCATATCCAGACCCGCAACATCCTCGTGGGGAGCCTCCTGACTAGGAGTATTTGACGCGCTTTGGCTGTTATGCCGGACGGCTGGAATGGGGTTATTGATATTGCCACATGCCATGCCAAGTTGCGCGCAGAAGGATTCCTCACCATCGATGGTGGTATATGTGCAGCCATCATGAGCACCGTGATTGTGGTGGGCCTTAGTAGCAGGAGAATTAATGGTCGGTTCCGGGGATGTGCCGTTGGAAGAAAGACTCTGGCTCTGGTGGGAATCGGACGAGGAGGATGGCGAGTCAGTTGTAGAGGAGTCGTGCGTAGAGGTGGAGTGCGCCGTGCCGTTGTATATGGACACCTTCGGCGTGGACTTCCTCGTGGACGCAGGAGTGGATCCCTGCTGGGACACGGAGCTGGGAGTCCTGCCCGCGGGTACACCGTTGGACTGAGAGCTGCTCAGAGAGTTACGGCTCACAACACCTGGCACACGAGAGTCGTTACGCGGGGTTGCTGTTGATGGCTCCCCTTTAGCACTCTGCTGCGTCTTGGACAATTGGCCATTATTGAAAATGTGGGAGCCCGGAAGATCCCCGAATTTGGGGAAGTCAAACATGAAATCGTTGTTCTGAAGGCCGTACGATCCCTTGCTGTTGGGATAGGCCCCTGGGATGGCATTCATGGCAGAGACACCAGTGCCGGTGGTCAGCCAGGAGAGACGCTTGCGGTACTCTCTCAGTTCGACTTGCAGGCGGTCAATCTGAGCACGTAGTAACCCATTTTCCTGATTCGCGTTGTCAGAAGCCTTCTGAAGCTCATCTACCTTCGTTTCCAAATCCTTCAAGTGTTTCTCCTTGCGTTCACGGAACGCTCGCTGCGCAGCTCGGTTCTGTGCCTTCCGCTTCTGCAAATGTGTTAGTATCACGATACCCTCGGCGCCCACATCGCGATAACCGAGTATACGTACTGAGGTTGGCTCGGAAGTCAAGGGCTTCCTTCCTGGCTTCTTTGCCGCCTTCTCATCGCTTTCTCTTCGCTTCTTACCAGAAGCTTCATTCTCATCCGCATCGCCATCGATGTCCTTCCGCTTCTCTCCCGGCTCGGGTTCTTCCGATTGCGGCAGGCTGTCGGGAATATCACCGATCAAGTTCTCGGAGCCTTGAAAGTCAAAGTCCAGCTCGGGGTTGAAGTCCAGGAAGGGACTTTCATCATCGCCATACCCCAGGCCACCCGAGTGAGGATTAGAGGGGTCGAATGCAGGGCTCATATTGTAACTACCTGTGGTTCCAGGGGTAGACTCTGGGTCTGACTTGGAAGCCGGGGGATGAGAATTATTCTGCTGTTTTGCAGGCGGATTGTTGGAGGATAGAGCAGCCAGGAGAAGATCCTGCTGATCTGGCGACAGGTAAAGACCGTGCTGATAGAGGGAGTTGTAGTCGGCCATTGTGTTCAGAATATCGCAGCCGACAGTGACAACCAGAGGGGGAAGGTGTTGAAGCCGTGGGGCGTGTCAAGTGCTGCTCGACAGAAGTGATCTGGAAATAATGGTCGACTCGATGAGATGCAGGCCGGGCTTCCCGCCCGTTCGTTGTATCGATGGGTGGCCCCCAGAGACGGGTCAAGTAGGAGGGGTTCCGGTACGATGACACCGGAAGAGACCAGAAGAGGGGCACAATATGATTTTTGCGATGACCGAGACAGCCAACCAAGAACCTTCACGTCAACCTCAACTGCACCTAGGGATGTTTGGGGGAAGCAATCTGAGGCTGGCAGTCTTCGGGAGGTGTTGGGGAGACGGGGCGTTGCGGGAAGAAGTGAGATTCGGGAGACAGGTGAAGTTGCGGATGACAATGCGTGAAGGAGAGGCGCAAGGCAGGCGAGACGCACAAGCCGCAAAGAGGTCTGTCTGACGAGCCAAAACGGGGCTAAGGAGAGGCAGACCTAGGACGAATCACAGGCCGAGCAAGAGGACGAGAGGGAGGGGAGAGGGGCTGGTGAGTGGTGAGTGAAAGGAGGATGGGAAGAGTAGTAGGATGATGCAAGATGGGCGAGAGGTAGGGGGATGCAGTAGGGCGAAAGAATGCGAGACCCGTCGTTAAGGGTCTGGCCGAATGGAACGAAATTGTGGCACCGGGTAGGAGGGGGGAGGGGAGTTGGTTCTTGACGGGGGTTGGAAGGAAAGGATGAGGGGGGAAAGGTTGAGAGAAGGCGTGAGAGGAGAGGCAGTGGATGCAACAAGACAAGACAAGCCTAGTAGAAGAGAGGCGGATGGAATGGAATCTTCCACCGCGGAGGAGACACACTGAGAGAGAGAGGGGGCGATGGCCCTGAGAGCGGTCGGCAGAATAGAAGAAGGTGATTGGCTACAGGATTCTGCAGAAGGCAAAAAGTGTAGCCTGAGGTGCTCTGCCGGTGCAAACCTCAGGCTGCAGGTGGGGAACCCAGTGACTCCTGCTTAGAAATCCAACCCGAAAAGCCTCTGCGGTTTTTCTCTCTTCGCCCATTTGCTTCTCTTCCACTTCGGCATTGCTTGGTTCCTTGGTTGGTCCCCTCTTACAATCATCAACCCTACGATGGATTTGACTCCATTGCTAGACTCGTCAGCCTGAAACTGGGACCCAGGCACTAGTATCTTAGTCTCTGCCTACTTAGTATTTAGATAACTAGTTTATCTACGCCGTCGATGGATAGGTAGATTGCTGGACCGCCCCCCTGCGAAATTGGGACCGTCCTTTGTCTGGGTGATGCTACTCCGTACTAGACGAACCGATCGACTGTCTCACCCAAGAAAAGTGACTCATGGGGCGCCACTTTTCTCGGACACGGGCACGGGTTCTTTTGTTCGCCGTCATCTCACCGCCCCCAGTCTCAGTGTTAAGACCAGACCCTCCGACTTTCGGTGCTCCTCATGGCTCATGCTGATGCCTATCCCTTTGCGATCTCGGGTGCCTCGGATGGATTACTGTAATCTAGGTAGTTGCCCGTCAATCGCATGGTTCCTCCCATGTGAGTGCTGTAGGCTGTAGCAACCAGGAATTCGTCTCCCGTGCACATCGTAAGCCGGGGATAACCTAGATTATTTGGCCAGAGCTCCCCCCCTACTACTCTCGGTCGAGTGCATAGCCCCCCCGACCGATCACAATCGGGCCAAGCGGTGTGAACCCACCAGGGATCTGGATCTCCGATGCTTAAGGTTTAGCCTATAGCGACGAGCAACCTGCCACGGCTGACGAGTCTTGGGGTTGGCCATTGATCTCCCCGCCCGGTTATGACTCCTGGACTGCCGGTGCCGCTGCCCCATCAGTATCAAGTGTTGCTGTAGCCTGTAGCCTGTAGTCTAGTCTAGCATGTGGCATGTAGCCTGATAACGCGGTAGGACGGACACCTGGCAGATCTCGGGCCAATCATCACCCCCATCGGTTGGCCTTTGTTCCGGCAGCCGAATGACGTGAGGATCGACTGTGGAAGCGGACACCAACCAGGTGTTGACCCGTTGACCCGTAGCTTAGTGGATGCGGGCGTGGCCTGAGATCGGAGCTTTTCTGGACTTCGGCTGCCTGCCTTTAATGTAACCGTGGGGAAGTCGAACCGGGACTAAGTAGTGACCGGCCCAAGCCTGAAGGGGCAGTAGTTGCTAAAAGTACTTCACCATAAGGGTCAGCAACCAAGAACGTCCGCTAGTTGAGCTCCTAGTGAACTGTAGCAACAGGAGCGAGCGAGCGAGCGAATGCAGATAGCGGATAACATGTGACTTGCGCCCATGCAGATGTGGCGGTGCCGAGGCACGTGATTGTCACGAGCCGCAACGGGGCCCCCGCCACAGCCCAGTCTTATCCCAGGGCGACTTCTCTTATCTGCAAAACCTCAGATTTGCTCTCCCTCAGCCCGACCGCCACTCCACTTTGACGACTGTCATCATCCGGCGCACTTGCCATTCATTCATTCATCCTCCGGTTCTCCACCAGGAATTAATCGCATTCCCCTTTTTACTTCTTCTAATTACCCAACAATGTCAGACGTCGCTGCCCTGGAGGCAGAGGTGAAGGAGTTCAAGCTCCAGGTACGTGCTTGGCCATCACCGTCTGGTCCGTGACTAACCGTCCCTCTCCCCCAGCTTGAAACCGTCCAATCGAGTTTGCAGGTAGACCCAGACAACACGGAATTGCAGAGTCTCCAAACTGAGCTGGAAGAACTTATAAACCTCACCGAAACATCCATTGCCGAACTCAAACCTCCCGCGCCTCCCGTGTCTCAGCCGCCGGCGTCCGCGGCCAAGGATAATAGGGCCAAGGATTCTTACGCATCTCAACCAACATACCGCAAACCGACGGTCGAACAAACGGACGAACCGTCAACTCAGACCTCCTTTTCCGTTAACGAGCACGTTCTCGCCCGGTGGGTGTCGGGCGACAACTCGTTCTACCCAGCGCGTATCACCTCCATCACCGGCTCTGCGAGCAACCCCGTGTACCTCGTCTCGTTCAAGTCATATGGGACGGTGGAAAATCTAACCTCCAAAGACATCAGGCCCATTTCCGGCAATGACTCGCGAAAGCGCAAGGCTGATGCAAGCTCAGGCAATTCCTCATCACAATCTCCGGCGCCGCCGCCGCCCCACTCGAGCGTGATCTCCGCCGCCGCGGACATTAACCCCGCGTTGGCCAACCAGGCGCGTAAGGAGCCGAGCAAGGTGAGCGATGGGCCGGCGCGCCCGGCCAAGGTGCCCCGGAAGGTGAAGGCCACGCGGGAGCTTGAGGCGGGCAAGATGAAGTGGAAAGACTTTGCCAGCAAGGGGAAACTGGGTCGCAAGGAGAGCATGTTCCGCACGGGCGACGGAGTAAATGCCCGAGGTGAGTGGACTCTTCTGATAGAACACGTGCGACAGCAGACTGACTGCAGTAGTGGGTTTCACTGGCTCTGGCCAGCAAATGCGCAAAGACCCTGGACGTTCACGACACGTCTACCAGCAGGGCGAAGAGGAAGGCTACTAGCTGGGCTTAAAGATGGATGGGCTTCACTCTGTTATTTTTCTGTCCCTACCGTGTGTCACATCGCTAACGGGCTATGGTGTCAGATCTAGTGAAGCGAGCCAGTCGTACATACTATAAAATTTTGATATCCAGACGCATCATCTTGGTGATGTGATGCGACATTGTAGTAACTTATGTCCATGTCTACTCTTGAATTTCTTTGGTTCTATTTGTAGCGTGCCAGCTAGCTGAATACCCTGATGATGATCACCTGCCACTCCACCAGCTACATATAAAGTGACGCCACGGATTTGTTATCCGTAATATGCCAGTGCTATTATACTGCCCTCTTGCTCTCGATCACTTGGAAGTCGGTCTCAATCATGATTCTGCCCTCGTCACTCTCGTCTTCTCTGCGCATAGAGTCCATCTCGACTCGGACAGTCTGCGTTGCAAGCAGACTCTCGTCCCAATCCCTGGGCTTCCTCACGGGAGCATTCCTCGTGTGGCTGGACAGCTTATTCTCCGAGCTACCCAGATACCTTCCCACACGCGAGCCGAATATCCGTTGGATGGTGTACCGCAGCAGGGGTTGCAAGGTAGGCAGACAGGCACAAACAATTCCGATGCACGGCTCCACACTGGACCAGATGAAGACATTTCCCATGATCCAGGTGATATCCACGGACCTGCTAAGAAACGTCATGTAATATATTCGGATGAGGCTCGCCACGCAGACACTACAAATAATGTTTTTATCAGTTTCCGGACAGGATAAAACATGGGGTCGGAAAGGGGGGCGATCGACACAACATACAAGCTGCCAAGTAGGAAAATGCTGCAAACCAGAACCTTCTGGGTGGTTCGCATGTGAAGCCTCCAGATAACAGGCATGGGGGCTAGCAGAATGATCACGTCCGTGGTCACATTTGCAGCGGCATTTCCGATATAGAATGGATAAAGGTTGTAGACGCAGCGGCCGCCAGCCGGATCAGCATACTGCGTCCAGTAGTATGAGACAGGCCGGCAACAGACGAGAAAGGCGATGGTGCAAGAAACCCAGTAGCCGATCGTCAATGCGACGCAGAACCACATCGCCTTGTTCATACCGAAAATGCGGCGGTAAAAGAGGATGACCGAAAGCTTGATCAAGGGCACGGTGACGACGTATATGAGGACGTATGCGAACAATATTTGCATGACCTTGATCACATCATGCAGGGGTATAGCCCATACATGCTTCCCGAGGCCATAGTAGCCTCCTGTATAGAGTTGGTCAGTACTCTTTGCCGGGTGATGGCCTGGCGAACGAACCAACAATCGTGGAGACGAAATTCGCGGTTACGGACAGCTGCAGTCATCCTAATCATCAGCATCGCCATCCGGTGCTTCTGGAGAGGCAATATGTCACAAGCACATACCAAAGCAGCAACTATCATCCAATCATCGGCAGCAATGGAAGCCTGTTGCACCCGAGATCTGGCGAAAAATCGAAGGGCAATGGCAATAGCTGCCAGCACGTATGTGACACTCACAGCTGCATTGTTCACCCCACGCCGGCTGGCCGTCAGGTCCGTCCCTGGAGGAGGATCCCCAAAGACGCTGCTGGACATGTCTGTTGCCACTTGCAGAGGAAGGCATATCGAGTGGACTGGAAGGCACCGCTGGGTCTTTAAGATAGAAATCCGGTTCTGACACACTACTGCGTCGAATTATAAGCTCCAGGGCATTCAAAGAAGCGAACGCATCAATCACATTCAGCGTTCGGCGTGTGGCATGCCGCTAGGATGCTCTAGCGATCCTTCCGGCCCCTGACAGGCCCCTTTGGCCCCCAAACCAGGCGGGCCGGCGGGTCCGTATCTTTGACAGCGGCGTGGCTTCACTCCCGGCGCCCTTCCTCTGCCATCTCAAAGCTTCACTCTTGACCCTTTTTGGGGGCCTAATTCCTACAAGGTTAATAAAGGTCTGACAAATGCAGGACTCTACCGCCATGGCTATCTCCTTTCAATTACGTCCTGCGTCATATTGTATGGTAGACTCGCAGAGTCGATTTTGCGCTAATATATCATCCTGCGAATCAATCGGGCCTGTAGACTTACCCTTTAGGGTAACCACTAACTTAGGCCAGCCGTTTAGTTACTGAAACTACAAGGCTGCGGCCGGGGGAAATCCGGGAACAAAAGGACCACAAGGCTACCATATAACTAGTAAGGATGCCCCCTGTTCCGAAATCTTGGCTATTGCGAGTCTGAACCTGCGTGTCTGCAACTCATCTCGCAAACCCTGGGGCTTGTTCTGTCACCATTATGCCTTCCAGAGAGTCCGTCCCGACCGAATCCACAGCATATGCTGTAGATCCCAAGCGGTTTGCTTTCACTCCCCGGAAACTCAGAGTCGTCTGCATCGGAGCGGGCTTTTCGGGACTGATCCTTGCGCACAAGCTCAAGCATGAGCAGCCCCTTGACTTTGTTGACTTCACCCTCTATGAAAAGAATCCCGAGGTAGGCGGTACTTGGTTTGAGAACATCTACCCTGGCGTGGGCTGCGACGTGCCTGCTCACAGTTACGTATTCCCCTTTGAGCCCAATCCCTCCTGGTCGCAAAGCTATGCCAAGGGTCCGGAGATTGAGGAATACATCCGATCGACAACGGAGAAGTACGGGCTGAAAGAGAGGATCATTTTCAACACCCGACTTGTCAAGTCTGTCTGGAACGAGGAACGTGGAAAATGGGTTCTTGAGCTCAAGCAGAACGACACAATGGTGTGCGATGAAGCAGACATCCTCATCAATGCCGGGGGTATTCTCAATCGGTGGAAAATGCCCAAGATTGAGGGTCTGACCCAGTTCCAGGGCAAGCTACTTCACACAGCGGGCTGGGATCCGGCCTACGATTGGTCTGGAAAGAAGATCGCTATTATCGGCAATGGCTCCTCAGGGATCCAGATCGTACCTGCGCTGCAGCCCAAGGCAGCCCGCATCGTCAACTACATCCGCCAACCAACATGGGTGTCGGTCAATCTGTGCCCAGACACGACTAAGGATGGAATGGGTACCAACTTTGTATATACCGAAGAAGAAAAGGCCCGGTTTAGGGACGACCCCGAAGGATTTCTGGAATACAGGAAGTTTATCGAACGCTCGTACGTTTACCCCCACCTACTAAGGCGATCTACTAATAATCCATCATCACACACAGAGTCAACACCGTTTACAAGCTGATGCTCAAGGGATCCGAGTACAATCAAATGCTATACACCGCCACGGAGCAACTAATGAGACAGCGTCTCAGCAAGAACCCACACCTGATCAAGAAACTCATTCCCGATACTGATATCGGATGCCGTCGTCTCAGCCCCGGAGATGGGTATCTAGAAGCCATGCAGGAGCCCAACGCAGAATGGTGTTTTGATCCCATCGAGCGCATCACCAAGACAGGCATCCAGACCACCCAAGGCGAGGAGGACTTTGACCTCATTGTCTGCGCCACGGGTTTCGACACCACCTTCATCCCTGGCTGGGAGATGGTCGGCCGGAATGGTCGTCAGCTCGCCCACGACTGGAAGACCACCCCAGAGGCGTATTTCTCCATCTGCTGTCCGGGCAGTCCCAACTACTTCATGTTCGCTGGGCCTAACTGCCCTATTGGCCATGGCAGCGTTCCTCAAATGCTAGGCTGGACTGCTGATTACATCCTGCAGTGGGTGAAGAAGATCGCCCGGGAAGATATTCAGTAAGATCCGACCTTTACCTATAATGAGACCTTTGAACCACTAACATTCTCTAGTTCCGTTGTCGTAACCGACACTGCAAACCAGCTATACAACCGTCATGTCCAGGCAAACCTGAAACATACCGTCTGGAGCTCAGGCTGCACTGCCTGGTACAACAATGGCTCTGCCGTGACGGCTATGTATCCTGGCAGTGTTCTTCACTACAAAGGTAAATCAGCCTTCACCTAGACCCCGGGGCTTGAATCACGTGCACTAACGCATTTGATAATCTACAGAGGCTATCTCTACCGTCCGCGGCGAGGACTTTGATATCCGCTACTCAAATAACGCCAACCCCTTTGCGTATCTTTCGAATGGTGAGCTGGAGTGGGAGAGAGCAGATGGGGCGGATTTGGCGTTTTATTTGAAATAGGCTGGTATTGGACGGGCTTATTAGTAATGTCATGTGTATGATAAATGATGACACTGGAAATGGTATTTCAATGCTTATTATATCCTGATCAGTCGGTGACCTTTTGCTGAATTCCCATAGTGTAAGCTAAGCACTCAGTGCACACGACCAATCCTCTTTGACTATGAAAGCAATAATCTCGGTATATACAAACCTTCTCCATTAAAACTACTATACTCCGAGCCATTCAAGATGACATCCTGAAACTCCGCTCCCTGCTCACGCCCTGTACCTGACAAGTTACTTAGTGGTGCATTCCTGGCGCAGTTGGAAACCGGTCACAATACACCGAAACCTTCTTTTACAGTCCGTAATCTTGCATATAACTGACTTCACCATAAAAACTATCATCTACATCATTTATTCTAGTACTTGCAGGTGCGACCAAACCTCTCGATGGTCCTCTACTTTGGAACAATTTACCCACCCCACCCACCACCTACACATGCGCATCGGCTTCCTCGGCCTCGGGGTCATGGGGCACCCTGATGGCCATGAACCTATCCAAACACTAACTCTCTAACAGTGTGGAACCGCAGACCCTCCAGCAATCCAGCCTAAAAGCCGCATTCGCACCAACACCCACAAGCGCGGCAACTAAACTAACACCAACATAATCTTCACCATGCTCTTCAAGGTTGATAAGATGCTCAAGGGGGATAGGGAGGCACAAGCGGCGATTAGGGATTGTTTTAATAGTATGGAGTTGATTAGGGGTGCTGCTGGGGAGATTGGGGCAGGGAGTTCGTTGATGGATGTTTGTGGGGGGTTGTATAGAAAGGGCTGTGGAGGGGGGGTTGTGTGGGGAGGATATGATTGCTGTTATGAGGATTATTGGGAGGGATCATGCTACCGATTCTTATCAGAGGGAGTTTATGAAATTTATTCCAGATTAGTATATTTGAAAAATCAATATTTCATAATCAATAGAACATAGGAACCACAACAGAGAAAGATAGAATAAAGAAAAAGGGATACCCTCTTGACTAGAGGATAGGTCAGAGGGGTCTAAAATCCTTCACAGTGAAATGAAGAAAGTAGTCGTGGTCCATAAAATGGTGGTGGGTTGGCATATCGCCGCGGCATGATTCCTCAATAGAGGTTGGTTCGTTGTTCAACGAGGTTGGCCATGAATTTTGGCCTGTGTTTCTTCGGGTTGACCAGGCCCCTGATTGAAACCCATGACAGTCTGGTTCTCTTGTCCAGTTATGCTACCAACTAGACCAAAAGAGATATCCCTTTAAATTGCGGCGTAATAGGGGAAGATATTATCCCACAAAGCTATATCGATCAGAATGGGAGATACAAAGGTACCAGAGACTTACGAACAATAGTCATAGTTATGAACTATTCTTCTACCATAATTGATAATTGTTGGGCGTTACCAATTAGCCAGTAAGTTTGAATTAGCTGGGAACCTCGGGAGTGTTTCCAGGGTTTCGCGCCCGCCAGTGACACCGGCATACGCCCTGCCTCGGTTTCCGCAACTAACCGCGGCCTCACCGGAGTAGAGGGTCAGACCAGTAGCCCTCACTAAGTCCTGTTCCCAAAGAGCAAAAGCAAACCATCAATTCCTCAAAGCTTAGATCCCTTAGAAGAGCCATTAATATGCCTCTCCCACTGCTGATCAACGCTCAGCCGTTCCTGATGCGGCACCCGCTCCCACGCCCTGCGAAACGTCGAAACCCTCGACTCCCAGTCCGATAACCTCTTGTCAATAAACGCCGCACTAGCTTCAGCACTTTCCCGGACCAGCTCCATGGGAACCATATGGCCACATGGTAACACAACTTCCTCAACAAGTCCACGCGCTGCGCCCCCACTACCACCCAGACCCGTACCGGTTGTCGCCACTTTCTCTTGACGGGCAGCCGGAGAAGACAGATCCGACCGTTCCCCAAACAGATAGAGAATAGGTGGCTTCAAATGGGGCAGTCGACGAAACATCCATGCAGATTCAGGTCGATAAAAGGGATAATCAGCATCGTGGTCATCCGGATGCATTTCCTTTTCAGGGTTACCGCGGGGAAGCCCGGATCGCTCGTCGACATAGGAAGGCCGTACGAAGTAGAATAACTCCTGGGCCTTGGTTGTAGTCAACGTAACGGCGGATGGCCCAATGTCATCTGTGTTTGGGTGTAATGGGGTCGGAAGGTCTCGAAGCCCGTATTGGATCCACCTCTCGAACACGCGGGGATCCCACGCCCGGTAGAATGGATTCGATTTGAATTTCGCTGCTGCTTGCTCGCGCGAGGCCCATAGGTCTCGTCTGTATGTAGATGCCTGGGCGAATTTGCGGCCTGGGTTCTCGCGCTGTATTACTGGGTCGAGGAGGATGAGACCTTCGAAAAGAGATGGGTGCATCAAGGAGAGATGGGCTCTGTAAATTCCATGAATTAGGAGGGGGTCTTATGAGGAGATAAGATGATGCTCACAGCTGCATCCCGCCCATGCTGTGACCAATCCCAACGAGCGGTTGAGGAATCTGGTCCTGGAATTGATTTATCATGAAAAGAAGATCACGTCCGTGGTCGAGCCAGTCGGCTAGAATGGTGTCAATGAACGTTTCAATCGCTTGTACTGTCCGAGGTGACAACTCACGATCATGGCCTAGAATCAATTCATTCGAGATACCACTCTGCCCCTGTTGGGCAACATCTGCAATCCAAATCGACCGGATGCGTCTATTCTGACTTGCCAGCTGCTCGTGAATATCATCCCAGAGGGGCTCGTAAAGCTCCTATACATGGTTCAGTACATATCGTGCGTAAAGTGCTATGGAGTTGAGTCACCTTTGGAAAGGCATTTGCATGCGCCCCAATTATAGTGACATCGCCTTCCTTCGGGTGAGGATTATCGATGGGAATGTACTGCTTAACGGCAAGTCGTAGCTCGCTTTCGTGTCCGGCTTTCACGGCACCCGGACGCTGTCGGACATTTTGACACCGAGCTGTGTGCTCGATGACGCGAAAGTGGGACATGTATTTCCGACTAGGCTGTGTGACGAGTCGGTTGATCGATCGGAAGCTCTTTGGCTGGATCAGCATCATGAATAGGATGCCGAAATATATAGGAAAATAGAATACAGCCTGGCTGTGTAATATATAGGGTCGGGTTCCCTCAGAATGAGCCGAGGCACAGAAAGTTGCTACACTATCCATGCATTATTCTACTTAGTAAGCTATTTCTCCAATTTGGAGAAGGGGAATATCCTACCTGTCAGTTATGTGGTTATTGCACTTTGCATTGAAAGTATTGCTCGCACTATTGGTGGTATTAGCATGAGCTTATTATATTTAGGGCGAGTCTAGCGCAGATGCTGATGATTTCTTGATGGCTGGCAGCGGAGCTTGCTATGAAGACTAAGTATGTTCAGGTAATGCCTCGGATGGTATTTACCAGTGGAACTTGACAAAGGGTTCACCAAGAAATTGCATTCCATAGAACCAGTAGGACCTCTGGAGATTGTCTGATAAAGTTCGCTAGCCCCTTAAAACAGGGAACAGGTCACCGGCTAGAGGAAACTGCTGCAGCATAGTCAGGGAGTGTTAATTTTGCTTAACTCGAAAGACGTGGCGAGATCCCAGGATTTCGCGAGTATCTATTTCGTACGAAAACATAAGCAGTCTTAGCTCGATATGTAAATTGCCCACAAAACACCAGGACACTATTGCAGTGTAGCAAGTCCAGAGAAGCATCCTTCTCCTTGAGTTACCACTGTCTTCTTCCTCCCGCATACCAGATACACACATCCACCCAAGTCGGTGATATAAACACCCTTCTTCGTCAGTTTCAATCCAATAGGTTCATGGAACTGCCTCGCCAGTAGTTCAATCTTGCCTCCCAATGTCTCTTTATCGGTATCGCCACTAACATCAACCCGATTCAGGGAGCAGCCCGTAGGATGCTCACCGCGATCCGTCCAGTAGAGCATGTGTGTCTGAGTATCATACTCCAAATCAACCGGCTCCGGGAGTCCCTCTAGCAAGCACTCAATATCAGTTCTGCTGCCGGCTGTCTGCCCAGCAGGGATGTCCATCCCCGCCCGGAATATCCTCCCTTTTCCAGATTTACTCGGCCCCTTCTGGGTCCAGTAAATACGCCTATTCGCCCAATCAAGGGCTACACCCACACAAAATCGAATCATGTCCTTCCTTTCAGATGGTACTTTCAACGACCCAGACTGAATAATAATCTGATGACCAGTTCCGTCAAAGTTACATCGGTGCAAACTCATCCCCTCGCGATCGCAGAAATATAAATTATGATCCACGTCGTCGACAACGAGCTGCTTTGGTGTATGCACAGTCCCGGGCTTCAAAAGCGTGCGAACATCACTCCCGTCGAGGTTAGCTGACTGCACAGACCCGTCACAGGCAGATAAAGCGTGCCCCATGCTCGTCCAGAACATCCTTCCACACGAACGAGAAATATCAATTCCATCCGGATACGATAGCCCACTGACAAGGGTAGTCATCTTCCCACTCTTTGGAGACACTGCGAGAATACGACCCGACGCTGCAGCATCACGCAATGCATTATTCTCCCCGATACCAACATCCAAAACATAAAGTTTCTCAGACATACCGTCCTGCTCAGCGGGATACAAACCTCCCAAATCACACTTATCACCTATTCGCCCTTTGTTGATATAGTTCTCTCGTAACCAATTAACTGCCTTATTCTCAACCATCCCCCTTTCCTGAATATAGTTATCCTCGATAGCTGCAACTGTATCCAATCCAATCCGATCCATCAACTGGCACGGCTGGCCACTCGTGGGGCGCTGAAACATTTCTTTCCACAGGAAGTCAATCTCGTCGGGGGCGCTGACCCCTTCAGCCAGAATATTTAGGATTTCTCGTTTGATGGCTGCCCAAGCACGGCCCAATACAAACCTGCACCATATCAGAACTAATAGCGTATAATCGAAAAGGAAACAAAACATACCCAGTACTATCCCTCCGTACCCTAATCGGACACATTCCACACTCCTCCAACACCTCCATCAATCCATCCATCAAGTCCTCCCCTGTCCAACCACAAGTCATCACCTCCACTATTCGTATCTCCGGTGGCATAGTGAAATGCATATTCATCACCCTCTTTTTTCTTTCCTCGCTCAATTTAGGAACCATAAGTCTTGACTTGAACGAACTCGAATTCGACGCGAGAATACAATCCACGGGCACGTATCGATCGACTTCCTCGAAGGTCTTAACCTTGAGAGGAAGCTGTTCTGGAATTGCCTCGACGACCAGCCATGCATTCTCAACCGCACTCTTCATATCCGAGAAGAGAGATAACCTTCCGCGCTCAGGATGTGGCAAAGGCGTCAGCACAGTGAATGCCTCCTCAGAGGATTTGATAAACGACTCCGCGGCAGAGAGCGCATTCCGATCAGGATCAAAAAGATGCACAGTATAAGATCCAGCGAGGAAAACAGCCGCAATTCGACGACCGAGAATACCTGCGCCGAGGACGGTCACTGGTCTTGACGAGTGGCAGGTGTGGGCTTTGTGGAGCGTCATGGTGAGTGTGCATGTGGATATCAGTCGAAGTCGGAAGTATTTCACTGCTAGCTTATGTCGCGATTATTTATTGAGGTACTGTGATTTCAATCCCAATGTTGGCTACGTAAAAGTAGTAGAAGATGCTGATATACTTCGTTAGTGCGTTCAACATCCTGGTTTTCGGCATGCCGATAACCGGTTCTCAATGTCAGGAAACCCGCATGGAGATGGATCCGAAAAGGGACAGGGCAGCACAGAACCGGGTCACTAGAGTTGGACCTGGAATACCAAAATGCTGATCGGACAATTTTTCATCTTGGTCGTTTTGAGTAGTTACTTTTTAGGGTGTAGAAAGTTCGATGTCGTCAACGCGAACTCTGTTTTGAATTTTTGAGGAAGTCGATCGACCATACCGAGAAATATTAAGGAGGGCCAGGACAGTAGTAGTTAATATGCTTTTGGTCAATAGCGGCCAGAATGGTAACCCTTTTAATAACAATAGAACACAAACGTCAGAATAATAGATATATAGGATCATAGAACGACCATTCGATCGATATTTGTATACTGCATAGCTATCATAACGTCTGTGTCTAAATCATTACATCTAAGATTCATAAATCATTTCCATCTTATAAAAAAGAAAGATCGGCATGTGCCCATACTCATCCTCATCACCAATTCAAATCTACACCCCCAACTCACTCGCCACAACCGGATCATTCCAAAACGCGCACCTCTTCACCAAATCCTCATCATACGCAGCTCCCTTCCCACTACCCGTGAACCTCATCTTCGGCCCACCCAAGACCTGCAACTCAGGCGTCGTGGAACTAGCATTCGCCGCATACGCTTGCTCCCATCCCTTAACACTACCCCTAGCACGGCTTGGATTACCATAGTAGGCAAACGAAGCCCAGCTGGCACCCATCTCAGACGCTAGCTTCCGATCCGACGCTGTCGATACATCCTTGAACAAGCCGTTCGTAACAGAGTTAAAAAGATACATAATATCACTAAAGTGCGGAACACCGTAGTACGTCATGCCCAAGTACTCAAAGACCTCTGCAAAGGCCGTTTGGTTGAGTGCGTAGAGGTAGTTAGTAACCTTGGATTTGTCAGTGGCGTACTTGACGTTCGTCTGGACAGTCAAGAGACTGGGACAAGTAAAGTCGAGGTCACGGTGCATCTGGCTAGCACGGAAGTACTGCGCGGAGATGTTTCCGGATGGGTCCGGGGAGAATTCTGACACGGGGTAGAGGTCCAGGGCTTTGGCGATAGAGGCGTTGGAGAGGTTGGGGTAGCTGTCCTGGAGGAAGGCGGCGATGTCGGATGAGGAGTTCAGAGTTGTGGTAGTGAAGAATGAGCCATCAGTCTCGCACCAACCGGAGATGAGGTCGATGTTGCGGGAGAATTGGCCAGTTCGGAGGAGTTTCGACGGAGCATCGGGGATGAAGGGTGAGGGGGCTGCGGGGATGAAAACGCCCATGCCGCCCATGGAGTTGAGAGTGAGCTCGTAGGCGTACGCTGTGTTGAGGAGGGTCTTCATGGGGAGACGACGAAGACACTCGAGCTCCTCCTGGCTGGAGGACGCAGTGCAGTTGACCAGGCTGGTTAGGGTAGCTGTGTGCTCGCCTGACTTGTTGCTGGCCGTTCCGGAGTCGGCAGTGGCGCCGCCTGATTCCATAATTGCGCGATAGAAGGGCACTTTGGACTCTTTGCCGCCATAGGCAGTGATATGAAGTCCGACGCTTGTTGCACCATCACTTTCGCCGAAGATGGTGACCTGGTCTGGATCACCGCCGAAGGCTGCAATATTGTCTTGGATCCACCATAGGGCTAAGCGCTGGTCCAGCAGACCGGCATTCAGGGAGTCGGAATCGTTCAAGGCGGGGGATGAGGCAAATCCGAAGATACCGAGACGGTAGTTCATAGCCACGTAGATAACGGGAACATCTTTCTGGGCAGCTCCGTAGACCAAAAGGCTTGGATCATAGGCAGAGTCATAGATTTGGCCGATGGTGTCGCCGCCGCCGTAGATCCAGACGAGGACTGGTAGACGGTCCGAGGAAGACGTGTTAAGTGGCCGATCAACGCGCAGCGTCAGACAGTCCTCAGAGATGGAAGTGACATTGTCGAAGATGGGAAAGTCAGGAATAGGGTCCTTTTGCTGAGGACAAGCTGCGCCGGACTGGGTGGCATTCACCACGGAGCCGGAGGGATAGTTGTATGGTTTCGGAGGAGCAAAGCGGTTGCTCCCGCTCGTGTCTTCACCAAAGCGGATATTGAGGAAGGATTCGGTCAAGTTGCCTGCCGTTTCCTTGAACCAGACATTGGAATCAGGGAGATGCACCGTAGGACTTGTACTTGAGGGCAAAGGGCTGGCAAGGCCCCATGCGCATATTGCCCCGAGAAGAAGAGAAGAATGAGAAAAATGCATTGCTGTGAACGAGTCTGGGTGGGAAAATGAATCCTATTCTTGCAGAATTTGACGGCTTTATATATAGCGAATTGCTCAGCCTCGTAGCAGAAAGATGGCCATGATCTGGTTGTGGCAGTGAGACTGAGGCGACAACTCATGATCCTGACCGGTCCTTATTGGCCGGACGTCAGAATATCCGTTTCTGGGAAGCTTCGCGAAGATCCCAACAGGATGCTAGGCTCCTCTCTGGGCCCGCTAAGTGTTTGGCATCAGCACTACTCCGTAGTGAGCTGCTTTTTATCTGAAAGCTGTGATCGGCACGCTGCGCCCCACCCCGCGATCCCTGTCAGCCGGAGGAAAGAAACAATGCGGTCTGACTCAGCTCCATCATCTTGAAGTTGTCTTCATTCTTGCCTGAACCATTGCTGTGGGCGTTCATTCAGGACACTTAAGTGTTGACGATAGTTGAACTATTTTGAGTCGGATAGAAGAGGTTGCTAATTGATGCAGTCGCAAGAACACTCTGCCTTTCTTATCTTCTTCCTCATGTCTTCAATCTGGCCCACCTCACCTGCTCAGGAAGGAGACCTGTAAGATTGAATCTCTGCCTTTTGCCTGAGTGTTATAATACCAATCATGAGCTTTTCATTTTGTTTTAAAATGTATATTATAAAGGAAGGCGTACCTTTTATTTCAATATTCTCAAAGCGAAATCGATTATTATCCTCCTAGAATCGAAAATCCCCTTTTGATTAAGTTACTCAATGGAATACAGCCATGGCAGCTTGTAAGAATCCAAACGTTCAGTATATATCTTGATCACAGGTGTCTCAGTCTTTCCAAAAACCTTTTCATGTACTTAGGTGAGGTTATATGAATGAACAAGTTGAGCGTGGGGGAAATGCTTTATATTGATGTGATAAAGCGGAGTAAAAGGGGTTGAACACTGTGCATTCCGAATCTATCAGGGTTAACTGACTGAGGACGACATGGTAACTTCCAATACGCCTATTTTCACTCATGCAACCTCAACTTCAATCAACATTTCAAATTGTTGCCGATCCGGCCAGAACCGACAAATCCGCAATCCCACATCAGTGATCAACTTCCTCCAGTCCCCTTCCGTCCGCTCAGAACCTGCCAGCAACGACATCATCTGCACATCCATCGCAGCCTGACTCATACTCGCTTTCACGGGTGGAAGAACAATATCGTAAATCAGGAGTTTCGAGTATCCCTTCTTCATAGCATCCCTAGTATGAGTGAGTATGGTTCGGGCATGTTCATCTGACCAATCGTGCAAAACGGCATGCATGAAATAGATCCTACTGCCTATAATTGTCTCAGTTAATCATTACCTTGGAAATTTGAGGTCTAGGTATGAATCGGACCTTGAACCGGCTGCGGTTGGAAGAAATCATGCACCATGGGTGTGATCTTCTCCTCCAACGGGGGCTGAATCTTGTCTAAAACATCGGGGAGGTCTTGCAGGACCACTGATTCGCGACGAAGCTCTGGATGCTTGTTCACTAGGTAGGAGATGTCAGTACCGGTGTTTCCGCCAATGTCGACAAGAAACGGAGAGTGGTCGTTGGGTTCGCCATCGTGCAGGAGCTTGGCTGTATCGTAAATATCAGTCCACGGAGTCTTCAACGCCGTCCAGCATTCCATGTGGCCCATGAAAGCTTCAAAATGTGAGGGGCTCTGCTCTACTCGGGCGAAGAAGTTTAGGCCAGCGGGGTCGAAATCTGAGTAGTTGTTTTCATTCATGTCGGTTGGTTCTTGGTAGGACGTTTTGGCCAGGTAGGTGGGGAGATTGTATGCCGCGGGGAAATATTGGTATGTTCTGCAGGAATCAGTTCTGTGATCAAGGATATAGATGGAATCCGCGTACCCTGCTTGAAGCGTAGCCTTGATCTTGGTGCTGTCGTCGCCAATTGCGTACGAGAACGGGGTGGACTTGTATTTGTCGGGTCCGGTTTCTTCGACTACGTTGAAGGCTGCTAGGAGGCGGAGGAATCGGCCTGCGCAGGTAACATTGTTTCAGCACAGAAGAAAGAAAGCAGCGATCACGACCAGAAGAAACTTACGTAGGAGGTTGACATCAACATGAGGCGTTGTCAATGCGGCAAGTTCATCTACCGTCAATTCACCTCCTCCGAGACTGGTCCAGGACTTCCAAAGGTTTAAATCTATGCACGTTTGCAAAGCAGCAAAAACAATAGGGTTTTCGAAGCAGAAACCACACGCTCGCTCATGGGGTGTTTCCACCCTGTTTAGCAGTCGGTAGGCTGCAGCGCGAATCGCGAGGCGATCGACTTCGTCAGTGCCAGACGACAGAGGTTGTACTGCATCGAGGGCGGCAATGATATCTTTGGCTTGGTGCAGCATGGTGAGTAGCTTGCGATTTTGGGTTTGGGCTTGATGGTGGTTTGGGGAACGCAATCATTAAGGGGGGCCTGATAGATTGGGGGACTCGGAGGCTTTTTGAGTTCTTGGACAAGGTGCCATAAATGACACGGGCCACTCAGCATAGGCCATTATTTCGAGTCATTGTCCGAAAAGCTCCTCGCCTCCGCTAGGCTGTGAGAGTCAAACAACCTTTTCGGCTCGGATAATCCACCTTATAGAGTATAGTGTAGTGATCTGATCACAGCCGTGCCGAACCCTTGCAAATCAAATTCATGACAGCCTGGCATATTTCTCGTGGCCCGTTTTCTGATGCTTCAATTTGTAGGATATTAGAAAAAAAAAATAGCAAGCTTCTGACGGTGCTTAGAACTCTGCATATGTTTAGCTAGGGTGCTTTAAGTCCCCCGTTTCCCATTGATTCTGTGAAATACCAATTTCATGAGTGATGCTGGAATGCCGATCCCTACATTCTGTGGGGCGGGTGATGGTCCGTGACCTCCGCGGGCCATCTGGTCCGCTTTCCCCGGACAACGCACGGTGACACACTTTGTAACCCGTCCCGTCCTTGGAAGTTACTCTCGAACTTAGAAGAACTTACTAGACAGGTAAGACTGGGAGGGGTAAGAGATTAGCGAGATTCACAAGCAGATCCATAACAAAATATCACCACGATCTTGGTAAAGAAAGCTCATTTAAGTTTAGAAGTAGGGCTATAGCATCAACTCACACAGAAGACGGTTTCCCATCCCCTTGCGCTCGCGTTTCTCAGCATGCCACACTTCAGAACCATCAGTTCTATAACAACTTAGACTGGGCGGATCGTCTTTGGAGGTGAAGTTAGGCGATAGATGTGGGCGCGGGAGTCTTGTTAGGCATGTTTGGTGGTATATTGGAACTTTCGTAGCTTTGGACGGGGCATGAAAATGGGCCTGTCAATACACTTTGGCAGAATGCAAAATGATTGCTAGTGGCATCTATTGGTCCACTTGTGGCAGATATGTCACAGACACTACTGCTTGATCTATGGCGGGAAAATACTAGAAGCTTAGTGAGACGTTCCTTGGTCAATCTGAAGCAAAATATGCTGGCAGTATAAAACCATGGCATGAACCATAACAACCCGTGACAAAACTACGGTAGCTTAGTGCTATCAAGGGTTGGATTAACTATCCTTCATTCGTGCTTCTCTGCCAACTAAAGGTATATTCACATGGTACATGAGTTTATTTTGGTCCTAGCACTGTATCAACTATCTACAAAGCATGGGAAGGGAAAGTATGGCTCCCTAGTGAAACGCCATCCGGCTCTGGAACGGCTCGCAAAGACGCTCACAGTCGAGAGTGAAAAAGTTCCACCCCCAGATACTTCAAGCGCTATCCAACCTCCATGACGAAGAAAAGCATCGCCCAAAGGAGTGCTGATAAGAATACCCAGGCTACCCACTGCACTAGTCATACCCATCCGGACGCTTCGCAGTAGCTGGCGATAAATAGCACAGCACGACTCCACCTCACGGCACTTGTACATATAAGATATTGAGCATAAAGCATGGTAAGGTTGAACAGCAAGATGCGCTGTTAGCCGATGCAGCAGCTGTTGGAAGATTGCTACTGAAACCACTCGACCGAGGTGGCGGTGAATGATAGGGTGAGGTTTTAGCATGCTGGAACATGAGAGCAGGCTTGTTGTTGGCTCATTGGCTTTCGTCTTGTTCTTTCATTTGTCCTCATGTATTGGATCTCGAACTGTTGTTGTTTTACTTGGTCTTGCGTTTTGTGTTGCGCTGCGTAGTTAGTTTGGCTTCTTTCAGGATGTCTGCTGTTACGATTTTCTGTTCGCGCCTATTGTTCCACTAGATAACCAAGCTATTCTACGGCATCAGTGTTCTCTATATATATACGTAATAGCAGACCTGCTACACAGACTATATTCAACTGTTGCATTTCTCCCGTGGAGACCCGGTACTAGTTAATTCCAAAAGTCCTCTTAAAATGCTATGTAGGAGTCCACGGTTAGAAGATTTAAAGCTCTATCCGATTCCAACTCCTCTTTATATTCGTGACCACCCATCCACATAGCAACCTGATACCACCAGCTGTCTCTCCCAAACCTCATTGCGGTTGTAAATTCCCAATACTCGGGATACCAACCCCCAGATTCCCAGTCGAGAAAGCCAGACAAGTGTCCATCATTGTTGATTAGAATGTTATGAGCTTTGAAGTCTCCATGAGTGAATTTCACTTTATAAGGGCGTTGTTGTAATTGCCTCGCAGTAGCTAGGGCCTCATTATACTCATTAATCGATCTGAAACCGTGCTGTGATGCTGGCGCGAAAAGGTGCTGGTAGAATGATCTGTGATCTATGAAAGGGCCCATGATATGATCAGGGACACGCGAGCTTCGGAGGGCCGTTCCAATAGGCGAGCAGATGGTTTCTTGACTTGGTGGCTCCCACTCGCGCATAGCGTGGACGCAGGTTTTGAGTTCTTCGAGCCACGGGCCCTCATCGTCAACCTCTAAAGGGTCATCAAGGTTCACTAAGGTGAAGCCCGGTAATCTCGTCATGAGTATTGAGACCTCGCGCGTTAAGTGTGGGGTAACGTGCTCGCCGCAGCTGAGGACTCTTGGGACTGGAATGCCAGCCGCTCGAACCATTTGCATTGCAATGACCTCCTCAACACTCGTGCGATCTGTCCATTTCAATATAAGCCCGAAGGGCAGTTGAATAATGTGCGGATTGAAATATATTCCGAATAGGTAGCAGTAGCATCGGGAGACATGGTAGAGAAAACCATGCGCCTTACCGCACAGCCATCTGCTGATGGGGCCTGGTACGGCGGGAACCGGTGGGGTGGTTCTCCGGACAGTTGACACGGCGGGTGCCGGCCAGGTATAGTCCGGGGTTAGGAATGAGGGGACAAAAAAGGGCCACATGTTGGAACAGAGTCCTTTGCTGAGATGGAGAACGAATCGAATGTTGTGGCGGGCGCTTCGACGCCGTAAACAAAGCGACACCGGACAATTGATCTTCCCGTCCTGCGGTGTGGTGACCCCTTTTGGAGATACCGGACTCATGGAGGGACCACGGCAGTAGATGCCATACTGATATAATAAGAGTGGATCAAGAGTACAGACTGGCCCCGTCCTTCATTGGTGTTGAGAAACTAGAGAAGCTACGAACGCTTGGCGAGGAAGGCCGATGGGGAACGTGGATTGGAGTGATTTGGGAGTTCGAGGATGCCTGGAGGTAAGCCCCTTATCAGAAACAATCAAACTTCACCTTGCTGACGTGCTTTGCAGTCATCTGAGGTACTCCAAGGCAGACATGCTAAGGGCAAACTCGCTATATGTGTCCAAGATTGTGGCTCCGGAGAGGGATTGGCCTGCCTCGATCATGCCCTTGAGTTTGGCCAGAAAATAAAACGACTGACGGAAGACTGCATGAATAGCTCCTTTAGGGTAGTCCCCTCTTATTGGAATCAAGTCAACCTAAGTATTCATCTCTAACTTTTCCCTAGCCCACATCATCACCGCAGGATATGATAACACCTTCAGAATTGCTATCCCGTGGCTCCTGGTCTTTCCACTTCATACAAGCAACCCATGACGCATCCATGCCCCCGTTGTAGCTGATCGCATATTGCCCATCTTATCGCCAAGCGTACTGTTTTCGAACGCCGATAATGCAGTGCTCGGTGCAACGGAGGATGCCCCAGTAGCCAGGACTGCATTTGGTAATGTCCTTTTCAGGGACAGTATCATGGGTTTCAAGGGCCCGGGCATCCCTTGTCTAGGTTAGAATTTCCCGATGGTGACTACCTGGTAAGCTTTGTTCTTCACCTTGCATCAGTCAAATTAAGATAACAGCGAGGCTTATCAAAGTCAAATGCTTCACAGTTTTCCAATACCCGTCAAACATATCTGAAATCCTGGAGACGGTTACCAACGGCATATATCAAAGCCAACTGTTTCACGAGGATCCATCTCTTGTAACACTGCCTAATGCAGCAGCTCCATTACTCGAGTCGATCGATCTTGTCATATGGAATCTTACGTCGGAAGAAATTTTGATTGGTGACTCCTGGCAGGTGACAATGCATAGCCGCAGGCCGTACGACCACGGGTACTCGTCCGAAGATTCAATACACTTATCATCGCCTAGACTTGAAGAAAACCTTTGCTTGCAGGATATTAATTGTAGAGCATGTTCAGGTATCCATGGTGTTACACATTCCTAGTGCTCTGGTATAATGTGAATTGTGCTTATTTCTCGGCCACCTCGTGAATACACAATAAGATTATTAGAAACCTTATTACGACCCTCTTGAAACAACGCATAACGCCAAGGAAGGAAGCAACTCGGATAACAAATCCATTCTCTCGTATCCGTATGCGCTTTAGAGGAAAGTTTGGTGTAGGAAGCCTGATTCAGGCTCGCCAATGGTCAAGAATACTGTCACTCTAAGATCACACGAGGTATCATGGGATATATCAATTACTCTTGTCTCTTGTATTGGCTGGCTTAATTTCTTGCGCACTCGTAGGCAACATGTGAAACGTAGGATTCAATCAACCCTAAAAAATGATTTGTGAAGCATCAAGTTAGGATCAAGAACTGGAAAACCGACTCTACACCATCTACGCAGATGCTTATCTCGTACAGTGGCTGTGCCAAGTACTTGACATAGGACCATTGACTGCCATGATCGAACACCGGGCCAAACCTACAGGATAAGCGGGCAGAGCTGCGTCAGTGTCAACATAGCAGGTATAAGAAGGGTGGCTCTCCACGGCTTCGATCAAAGCAACGCATCCTCAAGCAGACATCTCAAAATACACTCCGAAGCAAGAGAAAAATCATTCTCACCATGCAAATCATCTCTGTTGCCATCGCCGCCCTTCTGACGACCGCCAGCGCCATCAGAATCATCAAGCCCGCAGCCGGTGACACTGTTCACTGCAACCAACCATGGCAAGTGTGCTGGACTGCCGTCGAGTAAGTATCGCAAAGAATCCCAACTTTTTGAAACTTGGGCTAGAGCTCCAGCTAATGCAAACACATTCCTCAGCACTGATCCGCCACAATTCTGCCTCTACCTCACCAACTTTAGGGAATTTCCTCCCCAGATCGTCGACCTCCTCAACCGAACGCCCATCATAACTGATGGTGGGGGCTGTGTGACGATTCCTCCGCCAAGCTGTCCCTCCCCCCTTCGCACGACGTATGTGGTAGATCTAGATAGTTCCCAGACACATGTCAAGATTTGCTGACATGGCGCTTGCGTACTCTAGTCCTTATCGCGTCCGGGCCGCTTCCTGTCCCGACCCCAACACTATTTACGCCGAGTCTGGAGACTTTACTCTCGTCGCTTAACTCCCTTCCCCAACACAGAGGGGTGAACACGGGGTATAATTGTAGCACATAATCTCGTGATTTGCTTAGCCATCAGACTGAGGAGACGGGAAATTTTGGTGAAAATGTTGATAATTAACTTATCTGGTTCAACAGCAAGGCAGACCTAGCACGATTCTTGATCTTCAACAGGCACGGGCGAATCTCAACATCGCTAATTGAGACTGGCTTCAACAGACAGTTCTTTGCTTGAGTTTCGAATATTTAATTTCAGTTCATCACACTTGCTTCAAAGCATATCTATTACTTGCTTTACTAGAGGCCCCTTGACTCTTTAAGGCAGGAGGTCCGTGGGATATTACAACTCAGTCGACGGCGCGGCACTAGTCGTCGTTTACGTAGTTTAGCTAACGAATGTCCCATGATGGCCTTATCTGGTATTTCACTATTCCATTAGAGGACTGGACGGCCAATGATAGTTACAATGGTGTGATTAACTCACCAACAACTGAGGGAATAGTATCTAAATCTGCAATCTATCAGCGCCGGCATCACTATGTGCATTAACACGTGATCACTTTGGTAGCAGCTTTTGCTTACGTACAGCCTAACTACCCCTTCCTTGTAATTTGGTAAGTAAGTCAGTGGCTGGACGAAGGCGCTTCGAGGCCACCTTTTTGGCAATCATCACGACGACAAACCATGATAGGCCACTGCAGAAGATTCAACCTTTCTAGCCCATTTGTTGCGTCTTTCAGTCGATCATCTTGTACATCATCAACCTCAAGACCCCTTTGGTCTCCCCGGAAGTTCGACCCCATCTTTTTCGCGCGGCCGAAGTCCACAATGGCCAGGGACCGTGTCGAGTATAACTGGATCAAAGGCGTGGAAACGCTTGAAGAATATGTACCTGGAGGCTATCACCCCATTATGGTTGGTGACATGCTACATAATCGGTACTACATTGTAGATAAAATAGGTTCGGGGGGCTATTCGACCGTCTGGCTTGCTCACGATACTGTCTTCAAGCGGTACGTCGCGCTCAAAGTCAACACAGCAGACGCGCTCCCACGTGAAGCAACAGTTCTTAGGTCTCTCTCAACGCCACGCTCCTCCACTTCGCTACCACACCAAGGACCCGATTTAGTACCAATTCTCTTAGATTAGTTCGAAGTACAGGGTCCTAATGGGACTCATACATGCTACACTACAGCTCCTGCACAGTGCAATCTTAGGGAGATCTCCTTCAGCCGCCTTTTCCCACTTGACGTGGCTCGAGCGCTATGCTATGGACTCACACAAGCAGTGGTATACACACATTCACAAGGATACGTACATGGAGGTTGGTCATGATGATATAAAAATGCTGAATCCTACGAGCTGATTCCATACACATGTTTGGTTTAGATATACACCTGAACAATGTTCTGATCAAGCTCCCATCTAATTTTCACACACTCTCCGTCAAAGAACTGTACGAAAAATATGGCGAGCCTGAGACAGTTCTCATCACACGCTGTGATGGAAAGCCCCTCCCACCTAATGTCCCAGCGAAAGCGGTTAAGCCCCTATTCCTAGGAAAGTATGCTGAAACACTGACGCTGGCCGACGTTCGTCCTCTTCTCAGTGACTTTGGTGAGGCTTTCCCCCCCGCCTCAGAAATTCGACTTGGGAAAGACTGCCATACACCTCCGGCCTTTCGCGCCCCGGAGGCCAGGTTTGACCCACAAGGACCGCTCACATATTCTTCGGATGTATGGAGCTTAGCTACGGCGATCTGGGAGATTGTTGGCATGAAGCCTATATTCAGTACGGACATCATGCCTGAAGATGAAACCGTGGCGCAACATATGGATGTGCTGGGACCAATGCCCCAGGAATGGTGGCAGCGCTGGGAAGGAAGAAGCAAGTTCTTTACCGAGGACGGCCGCCCTACTGAAGCCTACCTGGAAAACAGATGGCCTCCCTTCGAGGAGTCGTTTGAGATAGACATACAAAAATGGAGGCGAAGTGGAGGGGCGTGATTGAGGAGGAAGAGAAAGCAGTGTTTTTGGATGTGATCCGCAGGATGTTGGCGTTCCGGCCGGAAGAGCGACCGACAGCTGAAGATGTGCTTGAGTCGGAGTGGATGATTAAATGGGCGTTGCCGGACTATGAGCAAAGCTTGCATCTTTCTCGTTGATTTGATGAAAATGCACGAAGGTAACGCATAACCAGGAGTATACGATGACTTAATAAGTTGACGAATACAGATTCTTTACTAATTTCCGGATACATATTATTACTTCAAGGAAAGCACAAACAACGAATCATAAGAAGAGGCGTGCTTTTCCACTGGCGACACATCACGCCATTTACCAACTTCAGAGATCACCTTGAAGGTGGACGCCTCTAGAATTATCGGCTTCTTCCCTATCCTCCGCTAGGGCACTGATCCAAGCGGCGAGACGTACGGCCGCCTTGAAAATTTGATCGTCAACAATAGGTGCAGCTACCTCATAGTACTTAACACCCAGATCGGTCTTCTCAAGCCACTGAAGCCCCTTTTTCATCACGAAATCACAATTTAGCTGATTCGACTCCGTCGCCCACTGCATGATGCATTCCAAGGGTTCCTGGGTATTTGCACACTCGGTATCTGCTGGCCGCAGCTTGTTCTCTTCGTGGAGCCTGTCGGCCCACTTGGCTGATGCCAGCCTTTCAGGGTTGTGTTTCAGATTGTGCTTTATGCCATTAATCTTGTGTGGAATGGCAGTATCCCAGACGGAGTGTAGGTTCCATCTCTTGGTGTCGTTGTTACAGTGATTCTTGCCATCGAAGCAGACATGAATATCATTCCCACCTCTGGCGACTCCTGTGACGTGCAGGGGTTGGTGTAAGTCCCCAAACAGGTGAATCAAAAACATCAAGGCTTCTTTCTGTTGGGTCATATTGGCGTGCCGATCATTGATTTGACGAGTCTGATGTAACAATGTTAGTTTTTGGAGCCGCTGATAAACCCAGGTCAGTAACCTACCATGTTTGCCATCTGTGAGATAATGCAACCCTCGGGAGGGCAATCGTGGGGGTATGAGACGAAACAGGACTTTGGGGGTTCATCATCTGGATCTGAAGCCAAATTAGATATATATCATCTTTTGTGATATAGTTCCAGCGTACTGATATAATGCAAGGGTCTAGTTAGCGGTCGTTTCCATTTGATGGTGTCAGCCCACGTTGCGGCGTCGGAGATATCATAGTTCTTGTCGTTGGCGAGAAGCTCGTTGACGAGATTTGAGCCGGCAACAGTAAGGTATTTCTCAGCCAAGTAGGCTATAGCTCGGTGTCCAACGTCGCCCCACGCAATCACTGGTTGCGATGCCAGCGCAATAAATGTGCAAAGAAAAATAATGACCTGCATTGCCGTGGTACGTGGCGTAAATCTGGCCCTTATATTGATGAAATGTGGGTTATGAGGTACAAGGAATCAGACGTCAAGGTGTCGTCTTCTTATAATTGCTTTATCCCTGATTGACAACTTGCGTAAGAGCAGCAAAGACAGTTAACTACTAACTAAATAACAATGACTAGCCCGAAGCCGTCATAATGACATTGATGTCGATTGCAGTACGACCGCACCGTAGGTGCTCTCCTTCCAATGATAGGGTTTTAGTGCTGAGTTCTCCGCACTGCACATACGAACAGAAACTCTAGCTACACGAAATCTACTTCCGCAGACAGCCAGACTACAGGGGCCCATGGTACATTATAGCCCAATCTGATTAGTTATCGATGCTTATCCGAAGCAAGACACCATGGTGTGGCCCGATCTTGAATTCGAGCCGTGGCCTATTCTTTTCAACTTTGTTTCTTCGGTGGATAAGGTTGCCGCTCACCCCCACTTACTGCAAATATTCTCACACCGCTAAATTATTGGAATCTAGCCATGCTACATAAACCATGGATCCTTCACAATCTGTAAAGTTTTTGTTCACTTGTGCTATTGGGGGAACGAACAAAGAGGCCTTGTCATTGCGACCTTGTTTCGTTATACGGTCTAGACACTATACTATGAGAGCGTACCGTGGCCGCCAAATGACATCTGCCATGTCTCGCCACAAACATCTAGTGACTCAGTCGAAATATATTGACCGTATATTAATTACTCAAATGATACCCCTGAGTACAATACCAGGATTATTTTTTGTTTTTTCTTTAGCTTAGTGAGATTAACGCAGCGTAGCCATATTTGACAGTCTGGATCAACAATTCGTAAAACGGAACTCAGATGGAAGACTACTCTTGCGTCACAAATTTCCCATAGTTGCCCTACCCAATGTTGTGCGACATTACCATCATTGAAGACTAAAACATCCAGCTTGGCTGCAAATTGCCTCAAACTTAATGAGCAAAAACTATTGGATGGCCTTGTGTGGCACCCTGCCGAGCCCCATAGCTTACTCCATCGATCCTTAGTCCCTCTTCATTAAGTAGGGTGATAGTATCGCCGTTGTTAGAAAGAGGGCAGTTTGACATCTCGAACTTTTTCATAGCTCGAGAGTCCAAAGCTGCATTTTGAGGGAGCGCTTGGACTTGACCAGCAGCATTATGAACCCTCCATGATGACAGGGCTACTCTGTGGTTTGTAAGGTTTTCAAGCGTTACGAACTCTTTTTGTTTGGCGGACCGATCATCTCTGCCTCGTGGATTGACAAGTGCCTCCTTGATCGTTACCGAATTCTCAACAATCTCTTGGGGTAGAATGTCTGCCCAAGTAACGACGTGTTTTGCAAAAGCATGTCCATTGTGGTCATCTGTGTGAGCGGCCTGGGATGCGAATGCAAGGAACACGCCAGTCCAGTGATCGTCGTACTCGATGAGGAGGCCACCATCCTGAAATACACCGTCATCTTTGACAAAGTGCGGGATATTGCCCTGGTTCATGTGGACGTTGTGGATTCCGTTTCTGGTGTTGAACATAGAGCCGAAAAGATAGATAGTAGCTTTGTGATGAATTGCCTTTTTTACTTCGGGCTCTAGAACGTCGATTATATCGTTATTCGTGCCAGGGATGTCGTGCGGAAGAACACGGCCGCTCTTTGTAGTGAAGAGGTTCCCTCGAATATAGTCCAGACCTTTACCATCGAAATCGGTGATTTGATCAATTGGGTGGAAGCCGAAGTCCAAGCTAGATAGCTTTTCGGCGATGGGGTGCTCGACAATGTTATGATTTACCCAATATGCAAGCCGGGACTCCTTGGCTGTGGACTTGATGTTGATTGCTGCGCGGAATAATCCAGGAATCTCCCTTGGTTTTAGCTTATTTGGCGGGTTGCCCTTATGTTTGTGTCGGTATTCACGGTCAAATTGTGGCATTTTTGCATTATTGTCATGATAGTATAGCGAGAGGTGGGGGGATTTGGGGTCCTCGAAACGATCCTCGAACTCGTAGTGAGCTGGAAATGCCTTCCAGATTCCGTAGTCTTTGACGGGCATGGTTTTTGTGACAAGCGTGTCAGCCTGAGGATGTATAGAATTATGTTAGCGTTGGTGGGCAGCAAAACGAAGCTGAGACCCCTAAGTCCAAGTGCAACGGGTCAATTATACGTTCAGAGAGGTCTGACAAGGAGAATGTGGCACGAACCACACTTTGGCTCTCATCATCATTACCATTCCGTTTGTTCTAGTCTAGATCGGTCTACCGTATTGCATCTTTGGTGGCTGTCGTTCGGCCTCCAGCACGTTCCATGGTTTCTGTGAGCCAATATAAGCTTATTTTATGGTATTTCTTCACACCAACGCATTTCACGTAGACACTTGTACTGGATGGCTACTTCGACCATCCGAGTAGGATGTATAGAATAAGCAATTTTAACGTTCGAATCGGTTAAATCCATAGATAAACAGCCTTTTTGCGCACTAAAGGGAAGAAGGAGGAAGAGATGTCCAAGGAGGTAATGGTGTCTAGACTGACAAAAATTCCGCAAAAGCCGCATGGCTGTGCATGCAGGGATTCGTCCACTCATTGCCATCTTAGAGGCTTGTCGAGTATCACCCGGGCCATTTTCAATAGAGCCTTACACATCATGCTGTCGCTGTTTCTCTTGAACAGCATCTCGTAAAGGGCTGTCAACCTCGTATTCGTCGATCCGCTAACTCTACTATTTAAAGTTATCCGTATTCAACGCCACCCCCTCATCGTGGGAATGGCATCCGCGTCTAACCTCCCATTTTCCAACCAAGTTTGTGCGGACATCCACTTATAATCCTCATGGCCCCAATAAATTGTTCTTCATCTGACTTTCCTTGTGATGAGGGAGGATGTTTGCGTTGTAGGATTCACTCCCTACCAGCTGTAGCCAAGGAACGCCGCGTCGGATCACCAATATCTGCTGGATACGAACAAATCTTGGCTTCGTCCAAACTTGCCCAGTCTGCGGGAGATCTCGTGTTCGTGGGCAGATGATTTGAGGCTGACTGCCTTAACAGTGGCTGGGGCTTAGCTGAGTTCTCGTCAAGTCTAAATAAATGGAATAGGGGTTCTACGACGATGTTCATGATGGGTGTGGAAAATAGCATGCGAAAAGCGGGCTCAGATCACAGGATAGCGGATCATCTATCGGATTAAACAATGTCACCCAAACGTCTTATCGTCTGCTGCGATGGTAAGTCTGCTCAGTAGCACTGCTGAACATGTCTATATCAGTGCTAAAAGTCGGTCGGTTGTTTCAGGTACCTGGAAAGACTCCACCGCAGATACTCGTCAACCTCCGTCCAATGTTACGCGGTTGACGCGCACTTTGAGTCGCGTGGCAGTTGTGAAGGAGAATGGACAAGACAAAGAAATTCCTCAGATAATCTATTACCAAAAGGGCGTCGGGACCGGCCTAGCGGACAAGTATTTCGGAGGTACGGTGTCTTAGACGTGAACCCGACCGTGTCCCATGGACATTTCTGACACATGCAGTAGGAGTCGCTGGGATTGGAATCAGTGCGAACGTCCGTGCCGCCTATGGCTTTCTCGTGGATAACTACGATGAGGGCGATAAGATCTACTTCTTTGGATTCTCTAGGGGTGCTTATACCGCCAGAGCGATCGCGGGTATAGTCTGTGAACTAGGGCTGTTGACACCCCGAGGCATGGACAATTTCGCCACGGTATATGATGATTTCTACAACCGAAAATTGCCAGTGTACAATGAGGATGATCGCCGACAGCTAGGCTTCCGTGATCCTCTCCCGCGGTTTACGGTGGAGATTGTTGGGGTCTGGGATACGGTCGGTTTCTATAAGCCCTGGTTGTTCGGACACTGGTCCGGGGAGAAACTTGAGTTTCGAAATACTCTGCTTTCCAGGAAGGTCAAGTATGCGTTCCATGCCTTAGCACTGGACGAAGAGAGAACCGCATATCAGCCCACGCTCTGGCATCTGCCAGAGAATGCTAAAGGTCAGGAGCTGCTCCAAGTGTGGTTCTCTGGGGTGCATACAGATGTGGGTGGGGGAGGACATGACCCTCGACTGGCCAATATTACCTTAGCCTGGATGATCGCGCAATGCACAAAGCATAACCAGTTGAGTTTCGATATAGAGGACTACCTCTTCGACCGTCCTCCGCGACCGTTAGAGACAGACACAGTGCCATGGGCGACGGCATTGGGAAAAACCAGTACGGGAAGTTTCGCTCGGACAGTGGAGACCATCTTGGGCGGGAAGTCGAAAAGAACCCCCCTCCAGTATAGGCAGGTTGGCGATGGAGATCCGCAGCCTACCAATGAGATGATCCATGTTTCCATTGTTGACCGTGTTTTAAGTGGGAATGGAAACATGGCTGAAGCCGTACCCTGGCCCTCACTAGTGATCAGAAACCCAACTCCTGATCAAGAATGGGTACTTGACGGTGGAGGGAGACTTATGCAGATGCCAGCGCTGAGACAGGAGCTGTTTATGAAGGGAAGAATTCGCACGGTTCATGTGGATGAGATAGACTAATGTAACTAAATTTTAGCTATGTCATGTAGCAACAGGATGTTTGACTTTAGACTAATATACTTGTAAAAAGTTCCTAGACCCAGGGGCATTAAGTCGGTAGCAGCCCTGATGATAACACGAATAGAAAGAGAAAGTTCCAATGACTGTTATACAGAAGATGCCGACATAGCGTTTAATTCAGAGAATAGGTAAGCATACATATCCCTTCTGCCCGAAGGTGCATACAATTCCTTCCACTTGTGTTTAACGTCTCAACACCAAGGATATCGACACACAACTGTAACAGAAAGGGCAGCTAATACTCCTCTTGTCCACTCTTTTCAACCTTCTCTAACTCCTTCTGTGCCGCAAGAAATGGCTCCCAATATTCCTCACATTCCTCATAGTCTCCCTCCCTTGCTAAGTCAGGATTAGGCTCAACCAGGGAGAGCTCAGCGCAGTTAACATCCTTTTCGGAGTCACGGAAACCCCCTTTGGAAAGTTTAGGCGACCCCCTGAGTCTGACCAGATTCTGAGGCACAGGATCATCATCTTCAACATACAGATACTTCGCATCGAGTAACTGATACCTTGCGGCCCATACAAGTGGTTCTTTAACTTGGACACTTTGCATTTGCAGTTTTGCTCGTGCGACTTCAGCACTCGCACCTACTGGAGCTGCGGCCAGAAGGGCGAGTAGTTCAGCGGAGACACCGCCTCGAAGTCCAATCGTATTGGTATCTCCTATCAGACTCATGGTATCTTCCAACTCGTAGAGGCCAGTCAGATACCAAATTTTAGGTCGACTGAGCGCGTTTTTCAAAGAGAATTTGTCGAGGACTAGCCATCTCTCGAGTGTTTCTCGGCAGCGGCCTGCTTCCAAGACTTTCTCAGACAGAAACTCTCGAGGACTGGAAAACATATTAGTTCACGCTCAGATCAGTTTAGTAATGCGTATTTTGCATACTCTTTCAGCTCGACCTTCCGCCCTGCTTTCGCATGTACGAACATTTCCCGGGACTTGACGAATGAGGCTCCCAGGGTAACTAAGTCAAGAGCATTGACATCACATGATATATGAATCGATGGGTTCGTTCGGAACCACTGATTGTCAATTCTAGTAACGTTTGCCCATTTATGGGCTTCTTCCGCCCTATAAATCATGTCAGTATGTATCGAATTTCGTGTACGAGTGTCACTTCCTACTCGAGTCTCACCCCTGGACAATACCACAAGGAATCCTTTATCGGTTTGGAGTATGTTCCGAAAGACAGATGGCCGAGACATAGCTGCTCGGGCTTGTGTCCAAAACCGTAAAGAAAGTAGCTTTTATCTTCTTTGTCACGCATGTTGACCTTGCGTTTCGAAGAGTTGGAAGAGATTGATACTGTGTTTGAATTCTTCAGCTCCGAAATAGACATCGTCTCGTAGAAATAGTCGATCTGACAATGCTTGTAGCAGAGCCTGAAGTGTTGCGTTTTCGTGATCAAGCCGTCTACGAGGAGAATGGCTTGTCATGGGGTTGGGATCCATGGTACAGAAACGAGGTGGACAGCTATGGTCGCTCACACGGATAGCGCCAATCTTCCAATCTCAATCCTTCTTGGTACCATGGATGCACCACGATATCCAGCACCATGTCCATCTGGTTATGGCTTATAGCGAATAAGCTTTGATTCCGGGCTTGGCAAGATTCCCAAGAGTTCTAGGCAGCTCCAATGTCCATTTGAACGACCTCAACGCCGGTTCAGAGTAGTAAAAGCCAAGCCACAAAGTTATGCTGTAGTAGATACTAACCCCCTCTATCAAGGTTCTTTGCTTCGTATGATAGCCAGAAAGGTTATGTATTTGCTTAATGCAAGGGTTTTTCCTACCCTGGCTGTCTCGCCAAGAGACTTTTGTTGGTTGTTCCGCTAGTCGTTGATCGTGTTCGCAATTCAGATAGTGGAGTCAATCTCAGAATGGAGGGACAACGCCACTTGCGACTGATTTTCATATTCAGTTATAGTAGAACTGTTTCCCTACGTACCTCTTGTGTTTAATCATAGTACTATTCTTCTACACCCCACGTCTACAAGAGTTTCGTACCGCTGTAGTAGCAACAATGGACTTCATCGAGGTCTGTGAAGTTTTCGGTGGATCCATCTTTTCCGACGAGTATCGCGGTAGCTATGAGGAAGCAGACAGGAAGATCAGAGCGCTTGGGGACAACACTCCCGCAACGATGGATCCAGTATGTCAGTACGCCAGGATTCTACTTCTGCGAGCAATATTCCACATGCTCTCTGGAAACTTCCCCAAGGCTCGAGAATGTAATCAGTCTCTTCAAGATTTACAGCACAGAGGGCTAGACGAGAGATGGAAACTACGAAGCAAAATATACAGCTTCTACGGCAATATGTTACAGTATCGGCTCCCTCTCATCCGTTTCGCGATGATTCCTGGTGATCCCTACGAAGGCTTGAAGAAGGATGCCTCCTACCTGAAGAACATGTATCGCCAGGCGCAGCAAGCCGGGATGGCCATATCATCCTGCGGATCAGCGGAAGTAGTTGATATGCTCGAGCAAGCGCTGGTACTAGACTTATGGTCTTTCCTTGACTCTTTTCACTTTTCATTTCTTGCACACCCTAATTTCACGCCGTGTGTTACCACAAAATCTCTCCCGCAAGACCATCTGAAGGGCATCAGCTTTGACAATATGCAAGTGCCTTACTTGTCTACCACATTGGCTGAGTCCATGAGTCGAATGGGACCTGTCTTCACGAATACCCTGGAGAGGTGGTCTATCGACATCGAGTTAGCGAGGGGATCGGAAAATGGAGGCAGCAGTCTCAGCCAACTCGGATCCGAGTACGAGAAGGTTAATGACTACGCTGGCCTAGGCCTTTGTAAGATAATCGAGGGCGATTGCATCCTATCTCCCTCGTACACTAATCCCATAGCCATGAACCTGATCTGTGAGATCCGAGAAAGTGGTTGGGCAAATGTGGCTTGGGACGCGTTAGAGGAGACCTTCTCATTGCACAATGATAAGGCTGCTCAGGAGTGCTATTCTCAAGCTCTTTTCTATATGGAAGCTGCAAACGCACCGAGAGGCCAAGCTGCTGTATACTTGCGCAGGGCTTGCCTGAATCATGCAGAAGGCATTTCGTCGAAGGCAGGTGCGGACAACGAGCAGTTCCGCCAAGCAGAGAGTGATTTGTTAGCTGCACTTTCGCTTTTCGCGCATGACGACATGAACTCGCAAATTGTTGTTTGCCATCAGATTCTGCTTGGCTGTAGCCGTGGCGCATCTGAACTAGCTATAAGCAAAGCAAAGTACTTGGGAGGCGAATTGCACAAAACAGAAAGCAGCGCAATGTCCCACTTCTTAGGGGTCTTGATGCTTCGATTCGCTCACTCACAGTTCTCACGCAATGGGAACGTCGATGTGGCAGCTACCTGTTGTCAATGCGCCATTGCCTACTACGCAGCACTCGACAATCATCTGGGTTCTCTTTGGGCAGCTGAAGCATATATTACTCTTCTTAAAACGACGCACGACTGGGCCTTGGCGGAGGCAAAGATTAGAGAAACCATTAAGCCTGCTGGAATACTACACGCTGCTTTTGCATACATTGATGGCATTCTGACTCGGGACGCCAACCACCAGCATCTTCAAGTTCCAAGGGCTTCAATTTTGCTCGAATTTGACACGCTAGTCAAATCCGTGTGTTCTATGACCGGAAGGGAAACTTTGAGGGCAGGGTGGGAAGAAGTACGCCAGGCCCTTCAGCCGAGAAGACCAGTTAGTACTATGAAATTTTTACCTCTTAGTGCTGAAGCGAGAGCTCATCTGAATGACCCGCAACTTGGTTGTGGTGAATCTGAGCAAGAACACTTCATCCGGACATATGAGACCCGAAATTCCTTCATTACTGGGTATTTTACCTCCATTGACCACAGTTTCGAAGCCATCGGAAGAGGTGACATTGACGCTGCCGAGGCTCAGCTTCAGACATTTATCCACAGCTGTGATTCTCAAAACCAATTGAAGGAAAGAGAAATACTTTCCCACAAAATTCCAGCCTTAGCACAACTAAGTAGGGTGGAAGAAATGCGACAGGAGCTCCCGCGATTTCTATCCGACTGGTTCTCCACGGATAGTAGGGCGGATAGCCGCCTATTGTTTAATCTTCGTAACATGCCCAGTGATGTTCGGGAACACGCAATGGAGGTGCGTGCGAATACAGCACACGAAGATATCGCCATGTGTTTTACGGCCCAGGCGTGGGATAAGGGGTCCGTGATACTGAGAAGAATCTCGAAGACCTTACCCGAGTTCACTACGAAGATAAGAACAGAGCCAAAGCCCGATAGCTGGCAATTGCTCACTTTCATTGGCGCTATCTACGAACGAGAAGGGAATTTTGAGAAAGCCCTTGACAGTTTTCTGGGTGCTCTGCATCAGCTTGAGAACTTAAGATATCTAATCCCTAACCCCGACAGCCGGCGCAGGGCCTATTCATCATTACACACCGCGGAATTGTTTTGTGGACTTACGCGAACATCGCTCGCCATGTCATTGCAAAATACTAAACAAAGCCCACGGGAGTGGCGTCTACCGGCGACTACCTGGAGAGACCAGGCCCTTATTTTCATGGAGCAGGGGAGAGCGAGGTCATTACTAGAGATACTACAGGCACAAAAGTCCTCGAGTACCGAAAGCATCCAAGAGTGGATGGACCAGTCATACAGGGCTCGTGTGCTATCTACATTGGTACAGTCACGATGTGATCCCCAGGACGAAGCTGATGTTACCAAGAGGGCTGCTAAGGTAGCCAAGGAGCTTGGTATTCCCGATAATTCATTCGATCCCGTGGAGGAGGCACTCAAAGGCTGGCATGATACAACCGCACAGGTATTTAAGAGTACAATGTTTCTACCGGATACGCGTGGACTTCTCGGCTCCATTCCTTCTGGCTCAGCCGTCATTGAAGTGGCTATATGTATGAGCGGCATAATGGTTATGTGCATCTCATCGGAAGGCATTCAATCTGTCCATCAATCCAGCCTCGGAGTTTATCAATTGCGAAGGCTCGTGGTAGCATACCTCGGAAAAATGCAAACCCTCCTAAAAGATCCAGTTGGTGACAAGGCAGCCCAGCTAGCTGCGAGTCTGAGTGATATTTCTGCAATCTTATCTGCGCAATTGATCAAGCCATTTACTGCAACCATACGCAAAAGTAACGCTGTTATCTTCGTGCCCACATCATACCTTAATGTCTTCCCTCTGAGCGCGCTGATCTTGGATGGGGAGCCTTTGATTCTCAAAAAGCCAGTGTACCAAATCCCTAGTCTAAATGTTCTCCGACACCTCTCGCATACAGCGTCAAACATACCGCGAGCTACTGGAGCCTCTGTGTTGGCCGATTGCGGAACTGGTCGGAAACAGCTGCATTACGTTGGTCCGGAGGTGGTCTCTATCTGCAACTCTCTGCGTGTCCTACCTACTGAGAAGAGGAGGTTTTTATCTTCCTTAAATTCTTCCGAGATTATACATATCTCGTCGCATGGTTCGGAGAATTACTCCTCTCCTTGGGAATCTACCGTACTGGGTGACGAGTTCCGCGTTGTTGATATGGCAAAGATAGGCACTAGAGCTTCCCTTGTGGCTTTCAGCTGCTGTCTCAGCGGTAAAGGCCAGATAAGCTCCGGAGATGACCTTGTTGGGTTCTCGCATGCTGTACTTCAGTCCGGTTCGCTGGCATTCATTGGTGGCTTATGGAAGGTTGATGATGCGACAACCATGCTGCTGATGCATTTGTTCTATAAGCAACTTGCGGCACAGCGCAATGATACAAAGGGTGGTGGTACTTGTCTAGCAGTTGCCTGGCATCGGGCTGTGCGAGAGCTTTACCGACTTGACTCTCGGAGTGCAGGTACCATACACGATGAACTGGAGGAAATGTGGAAGGCCACAAGGGGCAAGACAACCAGACCAGAAGGAGATTTCACTAATCTCAAGTACATGATGGATCTGCTCAGGAGTAAGATTGATTCGGGAAAGTTGGATTTCACACTTCCATGTTATTGGGCTCCGTTTTCTCTGGTTGGATATGGAAATGCAGTGGTCCTTGGTCCGTTAGGGCAAAAATAGTATTTGAGACAAAATGGAGTTGGTTTTTCCTCGAGGTCATCCTCAAAGTCCATTCAATACGGAAACAAGCTATGTATCCATCGCGGTGTTCTTGCAAAGAGAATGACATCATATCAGCTGTCGGCTCATGATGCAGTCAAAAAATGTCCTTAGTTAGCCACCACAAAGGTTAGCGTCTTTGTCTTCGTCGAACCTCGTCATCTAACAGAGACTTAATACACAAATGCAGAGAACTAACTCCAAACCAACTACACCCAGACATCCCCAATCAGTATTCAAGAAACGGAATGGCTGTGCCCCAATTCATACGTTATTTCACCGAGACCTAATTCACACATACTCGAGTATATGCCCTCCTACCAGAGCCCTATGAAAGACGAACACCAGAATTAGTTAGTCTAGTCCTAGTACCAAATCGAAGCCTTGCCGAGATCAGCCAACAGAAAACACCATTTGTACCCACCTACACGGCGATGGGTCTAATACTCGAATCCTATAGGGCAGTTCGTCAACTTTGAAATTAAAGATCGATAATGGGCGGTAGCGCTGATCAATCAACAAGACGATCTTTAACAAGAACCAACCACTGTCCGAGGCACTGCCTGCCAGTTCAGTCAGCTCATAGCAGAGCCAATAAAACTGCCGGCTCTGGGGTCATTCTTGACGCTAGTCTCCACCAGCACGACGAGGATGTGATCCTGCCGCCCGCTTCTAACTCGATAACCCTGAAATCGAATATTCGAGATTCACGAAACTATGTGAGTTCTTATGCGGGCGATTGCTCATTGGTAGCTACTTTGTGTCATGCTTTGTGGGCATGATATTTACTGTAGGACAATGGCAGACCAAAGTCTACCTAGAATAATATTGTCCAAGCTGACACCCCATCACGCAATACTATCCAGATTACCAACCAACATGGACTGTAACTGTATTTCCAAGGCCGAAGGACCGACAAACGGCTCATAGATGACAAATGCACTTGATGAAGGCTTAAGTAGACTTTCATATTTGGCGCTGCCTGCAAGCCTTTTGCTACATCTCTTGATACATCGTTCTAACATTACCATTGTCGAAATTCATGTCTTCTCCCATACCACAGTCATGGACAACAAGCGCAGCCCTTCGCCAGCGATTCCAATGGACAGTTCCGATTCTTCGGATACAGAAAAGCGGACTCCCACAGAATCCGCGAATAAAGTCCCTCCTCCCCCTCCTGATGGCGGCTTGACAGCGTGGTTGCAAGTTGTGGGAGCCTTTTTCCTCTTCTTCAACTCCTGGTAAGTTATGCGGATCTCTTCAAACATAACCCATAACACCAAATAACTCAGTTCCTCAGGGGTATCCTCAACGCCTACGGAGTATTCCAGAGCTACTACCAATCGGACCTGATCCCTACATACTCATCCTCCGCTATCACCTGGATCGGCACCGTGCAAGGTTTCGTCCTGTTTCTGGTTGGAGTGATTGTCGGCCCCATCTTTGACAAAGGCTTTCTGCACAGCTTGATTGCCTTTGGAACCTTCATGGTCGTGTTCGGCCTGATGATGACCTCCCTGTCAACCCAGTACTACCAGCTCTTCCTTGCGCACGGCATCACAGTGGGCATCGGCTGCGCATTTCTCTTTCTACCCAGCATCGCCATCGTCGCCACCTACTTCACCTCACGCCGCGCCGTCGCCACCGGCATTACAGCGTCAGGAGGCAGCATCGGGGCGGTGATATACCCCATAATGTTCCACAAATTGATCAGCCGAGTAGGGTTCGGCTGGACGACACGGATCATCGGCTTTGTAGCGCTAGCTGGACTCTCAGTCTCAATGCTGGTATTGAGGCGGCGCCTACCACCACCAACGAAGAGTAGATCTTTGCTGGACGTTGCTGCTCTCAAGGAACCAACCTTCCTGGTTTTCAGTTTCGGCCTGTTCTTCTGCTTCGTGGGACTCTACTTCCCTTTCTTTTACCTCCAGAGTTACTTTACCTACTACCTGCACAACGATAGCAGCTTAGCATTCTACATTTTCGCAGTCCTAAACGCTACCTCCGTGCTGGGCCGCATCACCCCCGGTCTTATGGCCGACCGTATCGGCGGCTTGAACACTCTGGTGCCTATTAGTATCCTGGCGACCATTTTGGCATTTGTGTGGATTGCCGTGCGCAACGTGGGCGGGGCGGTTGTTTTCACCTGCTTGTACGGCTACGCTTCCGGGGCGATTGTCTCCCTGCCACCGTCTATCTTGACACGCATGTCTCCGAAACTGGGTGTTGTGGGCACGCGCCTGGGCATGATCTTCATGTTTGCTGGTTGCGGGTTCCTGATCGGTACGCCGATTGCTTCGCTTCTGCTGGATCTAGAGGAGGCTTCGTTTTGGAAGGCTCAGCTATTCAGTGGTATGTTTGTCGCTGCTGGGACGATCTGTTTTGTTGTTCTGCGGGTGATGCTGTGGCGAAAGGGCGGGGGCTGGAAGATTTGAGAGGACAGCTGAAGAGGAGCTATGACCGCTAAGAGAAGTTGGCGGTGGTGGAGTGGTACATGCAGCCATCCATCTGTCGTAATGTTACAGCATGGCGGACAATAGAGCTATACGTTGCACATCATAGAAACTAATTCACTGACTCGCTGCATCCTTTCTTGTCATAAATTCAGGAAAGTGAACAAGTTAGTAGGTCATCTAGTTTTTGAAATGGACGCCCATCGCATCCCCAGTCCTGCTGGGTCTTTGATAATGAACAAATATATCGAACGCTATTTATTGATTCGTCTGCAAGAATTCAACGGCTTATGCTGCGGCTTAACCACTCTCTCCACCCCAGGTCGCTCACAATAGATCTCACACGAGCCTCAAGCCACTCAGTATTCCCCCAGAAGCCCCAAGAAGCCTGAAACCTGCACCAGTCCACTAGAGCCGTCTCCCAGTGTCGTACAAAGGATTCCCATTCGTACCAGCGCTCTCCTTTATCCTGGAGCAACGTCTTATGGTAGTGCTCCAGCAAAGTTCGCTCACCTTCACACATTTCCAATTGCTCTGGTAGCAAGTCTTCCTCATCGTCAGCAAGCATCCTCAACGGAACCGAGCACGTAAAGAGTTTTGCCAGGTCACAAACTCCCAGACCTAACCCGACATATTGAAAGTCAAAGAAAGCTACCTCATCGCCCTTGCTTGTCGTAAAGAGGTTCTCTGACTTGACATCGCCATGGATAAGTGACTCCATCTTCCTTCCACAAGGTGTTAAGAGGAACGCAGCCATCTCAGCAACCGATAGCGCAGACTCATCCGAAGCTGTACATAGGATATCAGACCACTCCGAGTCCGTATCCTCAACTAGCGAAGCGTACTCCTTCCGGCGGGTTGCCAGATACGTGTACCCTCCGTTAAGCCACAACGCATCCCCTACTTCCGTCTTCCCCAAGTCCCGCCTCCTCTTCGCTTCCTCAAGCGGCGGTAGGACATACCCATCCAGACTCCTGTCATCAGACAACAACCCCCACGACCGACTATGAAACCTTGCCAACCAATTCAGCGCCCCATACACCTGAGCACGACTCAACACGCTTCTCTTCTCACCCGCAACCGGGAATGCAGGCCGCAAATCAACCATAATCGTCGCCATCATACCACGAAGTTCCTCTTCACATTGCTTCCCACGCATGTCTCGCGTAGACGCCAGGCAGTTAGCCACAGCGATATCATCTCCTAGTCGCGGGACTACATCACTGTAGAAGTACTGCTCAACCTCGTAGCTGAGCATCTTGCGAAGATGGCCCTCATCCTCCTTTCCCGCTGCTTTGCGAGGCGGTGAGATGAGCTTTAAAATCAGAGGAAAAGTGCTCCCTGCGGTTCTCGAATCCACTCCGCAAAGCTTCCCGAGATGCTCCGCCGCTTCGGCGGTGGTGGCTCGGGCGGTGAGGGCGCAGATGTGCCCGTACCCGGCCCACAGGGTCTGGAGGGTGGTACAGGAGACGAGGTCGAGGGAGTGCCACGACAGCATGATGCGGGCAACCCGCGCGGGGTCATTGGTGAGTGGGGATGACATGATAGGTCCTATCGGCAAAGGTCTATAGACTTTAGGTATATGGTTTTTGAGAGGTAGTTTAGGACAATGTGAGATCTGGGGTGATAAGATCCAAAGAGAGTCTGGAATGTCACTAGCTTTTGATTTCCATGGATGTGAGGCGCTAGGGCGTACTGTACCTGCCACTGCTGCAATATCGCTCACGTGAGTATTAGAGGGAGTATGAGATATGTTGAGGCAGTATTATTGTAGGCTTCATCACGAGGCTGCACTCAGGCCATTATATAAAATATCTCTTTATACTTGTTCCGCTTTGCATTTCTATATAATATTATAATATTAAATTTACTGTATTCTTTGCTTCTTTGCTTCTCTGTCTATATAATAATTTCTGAATCAATTAAGAGTCTTAACCTCTAGGCCTAGGAATGGAGCTTGGACCAGGACATAACCATGCAGTCTTTAGTCTCTACTTATATTAACCAGGACTATATCATAATCCTTCCACAGTTCTAGACAGTCAGTTTCGGTAAGACCACTGTTGTATAATCTTACGAACTCCTTTCATTTTTAACTGTATATAGAGTGGTTATACCTGACTGTTATATCTTAAACTGATCGTAACTGTCACCTGGAAATCAGTTTAAGGTATCGAGATTCTCTAAATTATATAGCTAAGACTGAATTAGTGTTAAGACATTATTTTAATCAGTTATTTTTACAGATCAGGAAGATCAGATATAGTAGATAACTCAAGAATTAGTATAGATTAATAAATATTTGATACGGATCTCTTACAAGAATAAATCATTTATTACATACCTGGGGCCTGGAAGTTGGAGAGGGTCCATCTCTCTCGCATCGACCTAGTAGTAAGTCATTTACATAAACTATTAGCTTTATATGTTCATATAAGAATGTAGATTTATTATTAGGATAATATTGTTTTGCTGGCTGCCATCACCATCATTTTCCTGATAGATTGGGAAGAGGGTGTCCCAGCTAATAGCACGTCTTGCCCTATTATAAAAAAGGAATAGGCTAAGCGCAGCCTCGTCCTATATTCAGAAATTGCTACCTCAATTTGTTATATAACACTAACCTGCCATTTCAAGGCCAAATCTGCGGGAAGCTAATTAAAACGGACCAAGAAGTATATCATTCTTGCGCAGTAAAATAACACCATCTGCGTTCTCCTCACATGGTCCAGGGCCCTTGAGGACTCCCCCAAAGATTATTTTAGCCGATGTCTCAAGTCCCTTGCCACCTTCAGAGCCCACAACCTCTGTCTCGTCTGTAGTCAGGCTCCCTGGATCCTTTGCCTGTAGCCACGTATAATCGACTTTGCTTTGACGAAGCAGAAAGGCAAGGCGATATGCTTGTTTACATATGTCAGCCATTGCAGCTTGAATTTCTTGATAGCGGGTATCAGGATTGTCTTCATTTCGCCATTCATCTTGAAAGATTTCAGAAGAGATATTGCCGCACATTTCGTCCAGGGCTGTACAGGCATAATTGAGTTCAGGATCGTGTAGCTGTGCGAGTTTCAGAGTTGAAGCTCGCCACTTGCGAATGTCTGCAGCAGGAACTAGGGATAAGCGTTAAGGGTGGATGATCTTACTAGTGGAAGAGATATTTGGGGATGTTTAGGCAATAACTTACCATTGCGACCATGAGACAGTTCCTCTTCAAGATGTCCCAGGCAGGAGTCCCATTCTGCAGTAAACCCGAATAACGAAACATTGGGAAGGAACAGCTGGCTGTATAACCGGTCTGCGATTGTCGCCGTCAACCATAGATTTTTATTAGCAAGAGAAAGCCTCTGGTATGCCCCATCTCTTAGCTCACATCCGCGGCAGTATTTTCCTACGAACTGCCGGATACGGAAGAATAGCTGATCAAATGACAAGACCACATCATCATCTAGAGGGCCGGGAGATTCCAGCCCGCTGTTAATTATGATCTTATGGAGGGCTTTGACTTGCCCCTCACTTTCCCTTAGACTGCCAGCTAAACCCTGGATCTTCTCCTCGAGATGTTGCTTCTCGTCGCTTAATTTCAAGTTGGCAGCTTGGAATCCCCGTATTTGTGTCTCAAGTTCCTGCAACGTTCGATGTAGGTTGTTTCCATCCTCGCTGGTAGTGTGTAGCTCAGGGGCTACCTTCTCCAGGATTGTGTTAACTTTTGTGCGGCGCTACCCGCCCCGCTGAAAACTTACATTGACCTTCCTGGGTTTTATTGAAGCTATTTTGTTCTATTCCAGGGTCAGTTATAATGAAAGCTCAAAGATCTGTCTGATATCAACTTACCATAGCAACGTCGAGAGAGCCCTTGCTTAAAAAACCTCACTGAAATCCCACGCCACTGAATACTGTGTACGGTACCGACAGGTAGAGGAAAGAATATGTGCTCTTGTGATTTGGCTTCGGAATGTATTCACGCATCAGTTGACTATTCATATAGGCTTTTTTTAGGTATATAAAGAATCCATGTCGATTCAAGTAAAAGCTGTCATGTGAAAGTAAACCCAAATAGACGACCTGATCATGGAGGTCCTACTCCAGGTGGGCCATTCCGCAAACGGAAGCAGTTCTACGCTTGATCATCAGATCAAGATTTATAGTTCGCTTACCATCAGTATCATTTTTGAGGTATGTTCAGAGCCCAGAACACAGGTAACCCATGCAGTCAAGCCCAGGTGAAGTTTAACCTTGTTATCCGAGCAGTATACATCTCGTGTTCGGGCCATAAAGCGTGGATGGACTGATTCTAGGGAAACTGAAAAAATGTTATGGACCAGAATAAATACGGACCATCAAGAATCTGAGTTAATAGGTTTTATATAGACTTTTCCCGTGTGCTATGGTTCAAGTGGGGTCTGGACCCGAATACGGGATAAGGTTCAGGATGGCAGACCTAAACCCAACTAGCTCCGAGATACGACTCAACATAATCATCGGGATTGTGATTATTAGCGCCGTACTAAATAATATCACCTGATAGCTCAGACTTCAGCAAGGTGAGTTTGTATGTTGTCATGATCAGTCTCCCAACACTATTGATCATAAAGTTATAACCACGTTCGGTGCCAAGTTACAGAATGGATATTTTAGATCTAGAACACTCCTCTCGATCATTTGACGCAAAACCTACAAGTGTGATGATCGTGACTGTTCGTATAATCCCACCTAGTAGCATAGTGGCGTCTTCTTGGCTGGGAAGGAAGTTCTTGCAACGTCTATTTTCGATCTCGAGTATGACGGGTCCATATAGAAAAATCTGATAAATCCGTGAGCAATGACATCGACTAGGCGTCAGTCCTCGCTCTCATCTTCCATCCATTTTCGAAAACTTCCAGAGTGACAGGTAAGCTATCTGCAATGCACAACACACTAGTAGAGTCCTAATATATGGGTTTCTGCCTTAACTGATATATCATCATCAGGGTTCCCTCGCAAAATTGCACCGCCTACAGAAGGCAGAGCGCAGAAGATCGTAACTCAGAGCATTCAGAATAGCACCAAAGTATCCACCATGGGTGAAAACAAATCTGGCCCTGCCTACAACGACAGATCCACTCGAATAATAATTGGACTGGATTTTGGAACAACCTACAGTGGGCAAGTCTCCTGGCACTAATGTCTCTTCTATACTCTAACGCTCATAGTGTTGCCTGGGCGCTCAGTGACGCGCCCGGCCAGGTCCAATGTGTCGTAGATTGGCCTGGTTCAAAGGGTAAAACATACATGAAGACGCCCACTGTACTGAAATATGATGATACTGGTAGATTCAAATGGGGCTACGAGCTGGACACTTGCCTGGAGGAGAAAATTATGGGGATTAAGTTGCTCCTCGACCCGGACCATCAGAGACCTCTTTTCGATACCAAGGGTGCTACTGCAACTCAAAGCGAACTTCAAAAGCTGGGAAAACCGCTTCAAGAGGTTTTATCGGACTACATCTCCGCCATATACCAACACTCTCTGGCCGCTATTTCAGCGAAGTTCCCAAAAGGCTACATATTGACTTCGATAGAGAAGCAGTTGGTGTTGTCTGTCCCTGCTGTCTGGTCTGACAAGGCCAAAGATATCACTCTCCGGGTACATCATCTTTCCGTATATGCCAGTCTTTGAACACTGACTGTAGGATAGGCTGCTCGCAATGCGGGTCTCAATCCAATTGAGCTCATAAAGGAACCAGAGGCTGCTGCCTTATTCACCCTGAATTATATGAACCAGCGAGGACTAGATGTAGGGAGTCTATACCAATGCCCAATTCCGTGTCACTTTTCTGACGTCTACTACTATTTTAGAAAGGTGACGCCATCACTATTTGTGATGCGGGTGGCGGCACAGTTGACCTTGTTTCATACGAGATTCTAAACATCAATCCCCTGGAGTTGAAGGAAGTGGCCAGCCCAACAGGTATATTGCAATCTGCGATCATTAAGAAATTGCCTTAAGGAGACGATTCTCTGACCTAATCCATAGGTGGTATTGCGGGCTCCCTGATCATCAATAACAGATTCGAAGAGTGGGTTAAAAGTAAGGTTGGGGAACGCAAGTATATCGACCTGAAACAAACAAATGGATATCGCAAGGCCATGAATGATTTCAATGATACTGTCAAACCTGGCTTCCATTCAAAGGATGATCCGGAGCAGCACATTTGCTTTCCGCTGGCGGACTTCAAACCAGACCCCAGCGACAAGTCCATTCAAGGAGACACACTTATTCTGTCAGGGTAAGGAATGTCTAAACCAAGCTACTCAGTTATCTGTCCATGCTGATGAATCATAGCAATGACCTGTACCGTATCTTCGAGCCAGTATATAGTGAGGTGAAGAGACTCGTAAACGAGCAAATACAAGCCGTCAAACTCAGGCGCTTACAAGATCAACACCCCAAAGGAAAAGACATCAAAGTATGTTTGCCTCAAACCTATCTGTGATTACTGCTGATGTCTGAAGGCCATATTCCTTGTTGGGGGGCTTGGATCAAATACATGTATCAAAGAGTTGCTTACCACAACCTATCCTGATATTCAAGTTATTCAACCGAATGACGCGTAAGTTCCATCTTCTAGACTTACAGGCTATGCACTCACATGATCCTAGATGGGCGGCAATTGCCAAGTATGTAACCTTCTCGAAATACTTTTATGTGAGACTAATACGCCGTAGAGGGGCCGTGATGAGCAAGCTTCCACAAGGACCTCAAAATAAACCACCTGATGTGGTGACCACAGCCGAGAAGAGCTATGGCGTTTCAGCCGCCATGATATACGATGAAGTGCGTGATGAAGGTCGGGAGAAAATGTGGGATCAATGGGAAGAGAAGGACAGGTGCGCGGTTATGAATTGGTATATCTACAAGGTAAGCAGTTAGGTAATAAGATATTTCCATTTATCTCAAAACTAACCACAAAATAGTATGATAGCTTGAGGCGCGATCGGAAGTTGGAGTTTCCATTCTATCATCAATTACCGGCTAATCCACAACCGGCTGACTTTTCCGCCTCATATGAACTGCTGATGTGTGATAACGAGCATCCGCCTATTCATCCAGATCCTAGTATGTTACTGGCGACCCCTACTGAATAATGAGTGATCTAATCATATTTTCGTCTAGCTGTCAGTGCAAACTGCACACTTGATGTTGACCTAAGTTCGGTGCCGAAGAACATGTTTATTGCACAAACGCGCCAGTCTGATAAGGTGCAGTACCAGGTACTGAATTTCAGACTTCTTATCAAAGTCGAGAGCGCGAGATTAGTGTTTACATTTGAGTGTGGTGGCAAGGAATACTCCTCAGTTTACCCAAAGTACTAAAAGTGATCAGTGGTGCTGGCAACGCTTTGAAGCTTCTTTTAGTTAATAGCAGATGTTTTTTCCCTTGATCCCCCATAGGTACTGCTACTTCAATTGAAACTGTATATCTTGCTATAATACTACTGAATCACCGAACTAGTCAGGTTCTCTGGTCCTTTTGTAAAGTATGATTTGAGTTCCAGCATCGGGCATGACCATAGTCATCCAGCTCTATTAGCGACAGCACATGGTAATATGCTTCTCCTAATGTAGAGTGGAAGGAAGGTCGTACATCTCAATTAATGAGCGCCGCTAACTGAAACTAACAATTTTAATTATACAGAACATAGCGTAGAAGTAATGGAGGGAACTTATTTTTAAGGCCTAAATACCAAGGAGGTACAGTCTGGCTTACTTTTGCCTCTTACCAAAAACCCCCGTCCTTTCTCCTTTGGATAAAAGATTAGTGATAATAAACATAACTACATGCTATAGCAATGAACTTCAGTAGCACCACTTCGGTGCCAAGTTGCGAGGAGGATCCCACACTATGTTAACCAAAGTGAATAAATGCCCATAAGTATCAGGTGGTCTGTACCAACCTTTCCACATCTATGCTGCACATCTTTGGCTGACTTTATCATGTATGGAATGCAGCCCAGACCCACACAAATACATACCAGAAGAGCCCACATGCTATGGCCAGATTTAGTTCCAGTAGAAATTGATTGAAGGGACCGGAATCCATTGTGACGTACTGAGTTGTGTTTCCAACTTCATAGCTAATATTAGTCATCGTTCGATGACTGCAGTTTGGGCAGTCTACCTGTGCTGCCGCACGACTCAGACACGAAAGAGGTGTAGCAATACCACGATTAGTTGACATAGGAGTTTGGCTCGGACCTATGGGTTTTGCTGATAATGTTGAAGAATAGGAAGTTGGGGGCCAGAGTCCGTCTTCTTCTGGACGAGGAGAGTGTAGACATTGATCATGCCCTGTACTCTGGCCTGGGTGCTCCGCACCAGGGTACCCCTCAAAACGAGTCGCATATTGCCCCGATTCTGGACGATAATTTTCATTCTGGATCTGCAAAGACGCATGACGATTTTCGCGCCATTGTGCACTCGGCTTCTCCACTGAGGAACTTTCGGCATTGTACTGTATTTGGCCAGCAGACTGTGGAAACTTAGCTGTCATCGTCCCCCGATATTGTAAGAGCTCTTCTTGATTGGCACAAGGCACGCTCGTATTGCGCCCTATAAAAATCAGAATACAAAGAATGCCAATCGACTTTCCAAAATAACAGCATTTCCAACGCCAGACGTGTTTATATGACGTGGAAATTCGCTTTCAACATAGAGACAGCATTTTCAATGCAAAAGAATTAATTTACCTGCTCTCTGAATATTCTCCTGTTGCTCTACCTTACCGGAGTTAGGAAGCATTGGCATAATGAAGCTCTTCTGGCAGAGGATGATGCAGTAATAATGAGAGGTAGGTTTTCAGCAGTTCACGTTATGAGATAGTGGCCATCCACGGAGACCTGATTTAAATGCGATTTCACATGGATGTTTCCATGGTACTTTGGTATGACATTGCCTTGAGGCATATGACACTCTCTGTAGCCTAGAAGGTGGACGATGGGGGAAGGGGGGTTTGGTTGGTCAGTACTGCAATTCACGAGATAATAGCGGCCCACGAAACCTCAAGTTGCTTTTTGATGTAGGTTGGAGTGGTGAATCGCCGGTTGGGTGAGCCACACAATGGTTGCAGTCTGCCTTTGAACCTATTTGTGTTAGCGTCCATGGGCCTTGGGGGACGATTGGTCCGTGGTTTGAAGAAAGCGTAAAACTAAGTATAACCCAATTTTTCGAACCTCGATTCGCAGAGTTAAAATTGGCGTACAGTGGTAACACAGATATCTTATTTCCCCCTTTTCTTTTATTTTTTTTATTTTTCTCCCTTGCTTCGGGGATGTTGCGTCATGCCAAGGCCTTCATGGAGCCATAGCACCTGATAGTTATGACACCCTGTCTGGTGCTGGTGTTGCTAACGGTCATGTGGAACAGTTTGGGTGGAATGGTTTGCCGGACGTCATTAACTTCGTACAGGGAACTCGTTGCCCCAGGACTGAAGAGACTGGCTCCGCAGACCACCCGTCTAATTATTGTGTACGGCCATCACGGGCTCTTTCAAAGTCAATATTTCATTTGAGATCTCAAAGCTACTTTTAAGGACAACCAGTCTGCTGTGTGTGGCTCCATGCTACTGTAACACGCTTGGTGACCAAACCAGACCATCAAGGAACAATACATGCGGCCTTGCTGGCGAATTAAATACAAAAAATATAATAGTAGATCAAATGTCCGAAGACATAGGTTAGATGCCTAAATTGACCATCATCATTTGCCAACATTTTCAGTACTTGATCGCTTGCCCGGGGACATCTGGAACCGCATCTGGTTCTTAACTGGCCTAATTGTTATATGGACCGTCGAATTCGTAGCGGACGGAGACTGACCTGGGTATGTTACGGATAGTGCGATAGCAGGCACTTGAAATATTATCAATCAGTTGCTCCAGATTAGACTGAGCACTACGTGTCCTCCTGGACCTACGACGTTCGTTTTCTTCAGGCGGTTCCCTCAAATGCCCAATGTCTACAGGCCAGCTGGTTACAACAGCCACCAATCTCTCGTCGACCTCTCCCCCTCTCGGAACGTTGTTTGGCTACTGGACTGGCAGTCTTTCGAGGCCTAGACCGAAGTCTAGTCCGCCGAGCGTATAGGAGCGACCACGTAGAATGCCATGTCGTCCAGAGATACCTGGTTTGCGCGGGGGAACAGAATTTAGGAAGAACATCGCCGCAGCCTCGACTCATCTAAAAGCGTGTCAAACATGAAGGGAAGTATCTATGTATGTCAAGAGACGTGGGTTAGCGTCTAGGCCGCCCGGTTTTGTTGCAGGTGTATCACAAAGATCACTGCTACTTTCCGGAAAATAGTCTGCGGCCCTCCCTTTCAGCACAAGGGCTACCTTCCTCGTACTAAGGTCTACATATACCTTGTTCGCTTCTACTAACCACCACCTGAAATGTACTAAGCACGCGATTCAAAACTTCTGAACCTCAGCGACCAGTTTTCAGTATGGACTCGATCTCACTGCAGGTCCCCGATGTTGCGAAAAGCTATCCGGTCCTACGGAATGTTTTGCATGTTCTTGATAATTTTACTCTATATTTCGATTGCAGAGGTTTCAGAGCCGCCCTTGAAATTGCTCAAGATTCATGCACGTAAAGCCCATCTGTAGGGGGGCAAGCCTCGCTGCTGCTCTCATCAGTTGCGGGATCATCCACACCCTGCAAGGTAACTGTCTGGGAGCATTTCAGGGTTGTGAATGAGCAAATAGTCTTGGACATGGCGACCCCGCCCTTCGCTTCATGGCAAATACATACATTTATGTGGCTAACACCATAAACTATGACTTTCTTCCAGATACCGGGAGTGGACACGCCCGGGACAACTAATACAGATTCGACAAGCTTAAACTTTTCAAGTGTGGTGTTCGCGCTCGTCAGACTTGTCCGTTATACAGACTACTGACCCTGTGGTATTCCATGAATGTGAACTTTCAAATAGGCATAGGTATAAATGTCAACACCTTGCCTAAGTCCAGATTAAAAAGATCGCTTTTCCACAAGGAACAGGCAAACCCTGCTCTCCGTCTCAGAGGCAGATTGCAATTAACTTACTAAATTGGGCACACATCCGCGTGATTATCAAGTCTAGAGAATGAAAGAGTTAAGTTGTTTCTCTGCTCGTGTCAGCGGGAGAAGGCCACGAGAATCCTTGAGAGTATCTGAGTATATAATGAGGAAACTAATGCCACGGTCTGTTTTTGGAATATTGAATTGGTACTTGGTAACTGGCTTGTCGCGCTGTCCAGAAGACTGGAGTTTATTTCTAGAAGAAAGTATAACTGATAGTTCGCTTCACTGGTAAGCAGAGGTGCTGAGACTCTTATTAATGTCAGCTCTGTTGGCGAAGCCAGGTGGTATTATAACGCAGCTTTCCGATTGTTCATGATGGAAAATGCGCCTAGGGGAATGGCAGCGGTGATATTGCGCCTCGGATATCTATCCGTTCTCCAAGGCGTCACTATAATAGATATTGAGTCTGAGAAAAACTTTGTAGCGGCTCTAGAGGAAATACAAGCCGTGGCGGCGATGTTTGAGGATTCCGGGGACAATATGGCTTTTCGGATTTGCCAGGCACATCAAAATGACATTTGAATTGGAATGCAGATATACTGATCAGCCCGGTACTAGTCATACAGCTGAGCGGGAAGTGCGGTTATCTGGCTTAAGTTCCACCACAGATGCGGAAAGTAGCTGGAACATTTTTGATCCACTTGACGGAAGGTTATTGTGTGACATTGATATTTGACTATAATGTACTGAGATATATAAGCCACGAGTTGATTCTCATGCAATTCAAAATGGTGTTTCCTCTTTCGTAGTGATAAAGCTCTGATTTGGCGCCCTCCAGGTACTTGTGGACATTCTTGTCTATCTAAATCATAGACGCAAACAGGACCCAATAACAGAAGCCTAAGCTTCTTCAGAGGCACAGAGAATCAAAAGAAAGACTCCGCGCATCAATTAGGTAAGCCCTTTGCTCGCACAGTCAGCTCAGCCGGCCAGTTCGTGTTCAATACACTTCCAATCGCATCAAACCTTTGCTGCCAGCCGCTAGGGTCACTTTTTCGCACAGTCAACTCAGCCGGCCAGTTTGTGCTCAATACGCTTTCAATCTTATCAAACTCTTGCTGCCAGCCGCTAGGATCAGGAGGCACCGATCCATTAGGGTCATAGTTGACGGTCTCCGCATCCACCTGCACTTCATTGCCCAATCTCATGGTACCTTCAGCAATGGCCGTACCAAGATTACCAAGCAATCCTGGGCCCTCCGTCCACGCCTTACGTGGATCCTCCCACACCTTCACACGCAGGCCGGTCGAGCGTTTGCGGAAAAAGAACTCTTCAGGCAGGGGTTCATGAATAGGCTGCATGGCCACCTCAGGATAATCTATTAAGCCCAGAATAAGGCCACTGGAAAGCTTATCTTTGATCTTGTCTTTCGTTGCTTGATCAAAGTGTACGTTGTCCGCCGTGAGTGACACATTGGGGGCTCGGAGCAGCATATGGCTAATGTGGGCTTGTGAATCTGTGCCGTAGAGGTAGAATGGCGTGAAGCTTTTTGGGTATTCCTCATCACAATTCCGTAGATTTAGAGGTCGGCTCTTCACTAGCCTCTTCAGTGTCACACCTGTGTACAGTCTCCTACCCTCGGGTCAGCTTCTTCAAGCTTCAGCATACTTAGGTGGGTGGAATCTACCTTTTGCCATCTGCATAGATGTGTCCCAGGAAGCACAATCGGGGATCTGGCTTTTCCTTAGAGTCCGTCAAGTGAGAAAAATAGGAAATAGTGTCTTCTTCTCGTGTGTCCGATTCTTTATCGCCCAGGCTGTGATTCTCAGAGTCAACCTGGCCGTCTTCCTCTATCTTTCCACACGGTGTCATCTTTCGACTCTTTCGTGCCAATAGTCTAATCTTCCCCTCGAGGTCTATGTTCTGATTTGACTTCAGGGTTATCTGCTTGTATTTTCCGCTTCTTTTCAAATTCCGGTAATCATCCGTGTGCCATATATCGGCAGTCATGATGATTTGTTCCCTCTTGGTAGCTTCATGGAAAGAGGGCTGGTAAACCAAAAACAGCTCGTCGGTACCCTGCATAAGGAATGATGCCTGCTGGTGGCCCCGTTTGTTGCGTTCCCGACTGACAATGACTTCCTGTTTAACCACTTGTTTGAACACTTGCATCAATTCGTCGATGAATTTCATATCTGTGGGGAAAGGGCTCATGACGACATTTCGCAATACGAACAGGTTTTGTGGCATCTTGTTCACCCCTAGTCGTTGCATGAAGTCCTGCGCGCATGCACCATACAACTCTGGCTCGAATTCCGTCGATGTCAAGTAGAACGGGCGCGCAGTCGGGTTACTGTCTGAAGAGTTAACAGAGAATCTATCGACAACCCTCTTCATGAAATTGTTGGCCTCTTCCAGGTCCTTGTTCAGGTTCCCCTTCTCGTCGTACCAGTTCAAAGCAAATGCATTGATGTTCAGGTCCGACCCTAATTCTCGGAGCAATTCCATCAGCTTTCCATCCTCGTCCGCTGCAGCAATATCGTCATTTGACTTTCCTAGGATCTTCTTTCGAATGAGATCTCTTTCCTTTCTGGCTTCTGTAGAGAAGTAACCATTTCCGTTTTCTCCGGGTGGTCGATTCAGTGGGACGCAGATGAACATTCTATCAGGTGTGTCATTCTCGTCTCCTATCGCGGCCCAATACGCTGATAGCTAAATATGGCTGTTAGCTGGTGCTCTTATTTTCAGATTTTATTGCTTACTCTCGCACTAGTAAACGCTGCTTCTCCAAGAAGCGCTCCATAGCCGTATTGATCAAGTCCGATTGTTTTGTTCGAGAGCCACGTTGACATGGCTGCAGCTCCTGGCTTACTGCGCGAACATTAGTCTCATAGGAAGTCGGAGCGGCTCAGTGCTGCACTTGACTCACCTTCCTTCCACCCCGAAAATTCCCATGCTCGAGTCAACATTTCCTTGAGATAAATAAGGGCTCGTCCAAGTGACCAGGAACCTCATTCGACCGTCACGGTACACCAAGCTTCCCGCCGGATATGGCACATAACCGGCTTTGTGAGGGTCAACTGTAATAGAGTCCACATGTTTGAGGGCTTTGAGGTCCTCAGCTGTTCTTTTCTTTAGTGTCAAAGCTGGGACAAAACCTTTGGAAGTTGTTTGTTTCTTAAGGACTTCCACCTGTTTCTCCAGCTTTTTGCCTCTTGGTAGCATTGTGGCGAAATATCCACCCCATGCAGCATCACCATGGAGTAGGAATGACATTCCCTTCTTTCGGAATTCATCTCGGATCTTCACAATCTCCTGCAGGTTGTCCACGGCACCTTCTTCAGTTGATCCCATGATAGCAACAACCCCATACACGGGTCGCTTTTCGTTGAAGCATTTTTGAAGCTCCTTTCTCAGTTCTTTGGTGTCGAGTCTCGCCTCTAGGTCTACTTTGATTCCATACATGAAGTCGGAGCCGAGACCAGCGATAGCTGTTCCATTCACAGTGAGCTCTAGTGCAATCAAATGTGGGGGCTCACTTACCGGCGCCCTTGGGCCAGGAGTAATGGCGAGTCTTTCCTACCATATACCTGAATGGAAACTTCACGTCGTTGACAATATCAGTCCCCATGAATTTCTCTTCCAGCTGACTCTTGCTGATGTTTTGGATATTATAGTCCAGCATCGCCTCATCTAGGAAGTCATTGGAGATATTATGGCAATCATATAGACGCTGTGGAATGCCAAGCACAGTTTCGGGCCGAAGGTTTAAAAGCTCCCATGCAGTCATTTCTTCGAAAACTTTGAATTCACCTTTGCAATTCTCAATCCAGAACTTGCCAGCCAGGAACTGCAACTTTCCCTTTTTGATGGCAAGGTAGAGCGACAATGGGTAGTATTTCAGATTGCGGGCTATTGAACATCCAAATTAGTACCCGGCACGACCTTAGGGCGGTATTCGCATACATACCGACCCAAATCGATTCCAAGTTGGCGATGGTTCCATCAGCAGTAATGTGGCCCCAGCCTTGGGGTGATATGTTGGGGTCAATATTATACCCAAACATCTCGCAGAGCTGCTCCCCCGCCTTAATCTCCGCATAGGTTGTGAACGGGCTGGCTTCAAGGGCAACATTATTTGGGTTGTACAACATGGCCATGAAATAGCCCAGCAGAGATGGCATGGTCAAGTCGGTGCACATATGTCCTTCATATCTCGGCGACCAGAAGGGAACTGACTGTTGTCCCATCAGGTGGGCAACTTTCTTTACCACCTCGCTGAAGTTCGTCACGATCAAGTTGTATAGGTCCTTTTCCCTAACCTCTTCTGGTATGAATGGCTTTCTCAACTTAGTTATCTGCTCGCGAATTTTCTCAGTCATTCTAGGCTACTTACTTCATCGTTAGGAAAGTAAGCGAGTCTAGCCTTTCCCAGTTCGTCGAGAATAGTTATAATGTTCTCCTGAAAGTATTTGAGGTTTCCCGCTTTAGGCCCGATGAAATAAGAGCTAATGATTTAGTGAGTACGCTCACGCTCTTCATCAGTACCGGATGACATGGTTGGTGTGCCGAGATGTTAGGTATAGCAGATCAGGATGGACAGTTTTCTGGACAGACAGAGTTAACCTAGAGCACATTCACATTTTGCTACAAACCTGCATGACTACCGTACCTATTTAAGCATTAGTGTCCCATAGAGTATTGCTGAAGCACAGAATGTAACATCCCTAGCCAGGACCCGTTCTAGGGTGAAATGTAGATACATCGGAATGTCACGGACCGCACTCTGGGCGTCATCTATGAAAACAGCAGCATAGATTGCCTCTCCAAGCCAGTAAAACCCATCCTCCGTGTCCTACCGTCTCCAGCATCATCCTTATCTGAGGTTTCCCTCCCCACGTATCATACCTTAACATTACTTTCACCCGACCGTCCGACCCCAAACTGCCACAGATATATGCAACTATTCGGACATCCCCGAAAGGCCCAGGCGCCTGCGCATGCAACCTTAATAACATATCTTGACTATATTAAGGTTGCGGTCCTTTCCTTAGACTGGATGGCTTAGGTACGCTACGTCACTCTATCTAAGGTACCGTGGGACAGTAGCCAAAACTAGGTTAGCCCTGCATTTAACGCGATGTTGACTTCCTCTAGACATACTAGTACTAGTAGACGCAGAGTGATGATTTGTTGGACTCTCTTCCCATTGGCTAACCTAGTTCGCTTTGATCAATCTGTGGTGTTGGGATCCGGGTCGATTTTGTTGCGGGGTATGTTGCTCCGGACGGACCATATCAACGTTTCCCATCACTACATTGGTTCGCTGGAAGAAGACCTGGCTTCTCCCCATGAGTCCTCTCTATCGAGTCATAGCCTATCATTTCAGAATCCGTTGAGGAGTCAACTACTTATCCCAACTCAGGCTTATACATGGCACATGACATGCAAGCGCACTCTCACACGCAACCCTGACACAATTCCATCACTATGCAAATAAATGGTCGCAGTCAAAAGAATTCATATCATCATACTAGTACGATACATGCAACCTCCTCACCTCGATCCAACAAACTGACCCAACTTCTCCTGATCTAGAATCTCCCCCTCAACAAGCCTTCCCGTCTCCACAACCTCCCCGTTCACAGACTCATACCGTACCAGTGCAGGAATGTTGTTCACATTCCATTTAGTCCGGTAAGCGTTTTGTGGGTCTTTCCATCTACATAAACCGAAAAAGATGTATATTAGCAAGAACTCTAAGTTGATGTGCAGCATAAGATAAATATATACATAAGTAGGTTATAAATGAATAACTTACTCGGGCTTCTGTCCCACTTCAACAACACCAACCTGCGGACCTTGCTCGCTGGAGAACGCTTCTTCGATTTTAGGCCATGCGGCACGGACATCCGGACACCACGCTTGTCCGGTAGCCGGATCTGCGGACGAGATAAAGGCGAGGAACAGTTTCTTGTCGGTGGGGACCTCGAGGAGGTTCGCCGAAGGGGGGAGCTGGAAGTTGGAGATGAGTGGCATTTTTATGGTCTTTGCCGGTTTGAATATCTGGCTGTAGATGCGGAGTAATGATGAGGGGATGGGCATTTCAGCTGTTCCTGCCTGATCTTACTAAAAATAAAAACTGTCATTTTTCTCTGCTGGGTGGGCGGTGAGGGGTATTTGGTGGGGGTTCTGCCGGGTGTTTGTATAGTAAAGAAGATGGTGCAATTCAGGTGTCTCGTTGCGCATTCCATGCTGGAGGTAGATAAAATACCTAGCGATGTCAATAGCACAGTCACCAGGAAGTTGTCAAACTAGAATGAAAATGGAACAAAGACAAAAAAAAAATGAGCTGAGAGTCGATACAGAAATGATTCTTGGCCAGCTCCTGCTCGGCGCGGGATGAAAAAGTTTGATTCAAAAAAGAATGACCAGACTGGGGCTCGATCCCAGGACCTTATCGGTGTTAACGATACGTGATAACCAACTACACCATCCGGCCATGCTTGTTGAATATTTCTTCAATTTTAGCTTTAAGAAGCTAATATTTCTTGCTTTGTCGAAAGCATCCATGAGGTATAGGAAAGTCAAATACGTCTGATTAAGTTTTATAGAACCCCAGATTATGAATCCTGTGAGCCCTAGAAGAATCTATAATGCATCTAATGCACTTCGTTCTATGAAACTGTATCATAATGGTCATAACAAATAGTTCTTCTATTCCCTTTTCACAATTGCCTCTGCCCCCGTAGGGAATATATATAGGCTCGCTTAGCGGCACTCGGACAGGCATTTTTGACTGGCAGCGAAAACCTGTTTCTACCATCTTACCACTCAGACCCCAGGTTTTGAACCAGATGCTAAGGCGGATCTGAACCCAGAGTAGAAGTGATTATATACACACCCCATAAGCCGCCCCTTAGTTCCGCCAGCCACGGAAACCGAACTAGACAACGTGTTGGGCGTGATTATACCGCCAAATCGCCCTCATGGGCACTAGCAGTACTGTAGCTGCCAAAGCCATCACCATTGCACTAAACAATTGCATACCCAAGAATCCATTGCTTCCACCGTACCCCTCGAGAGCACCACCAATAGGCGCACCAATCAACGCACCCAAACTAACAGCAAACCACTGCATGCCCATACGCGTCCCAATGACCGATGGGGTAGGCGAAATGACCGGATGAGCCATCAATACCGGAGTAACGGCGATAAAGCTGCCGGTGAAAATCCCGAGGAAGACAGAAAAGACAATGCATCCGGCGACTGTGTGAACGCCTGTCCAGCCGAAGAGGATGACTGCACAACCAGCCATGCTAGTATACAATACCTTACTCGGGCCGAAACGAGAAACCAGCAGAGGGCAGCCTATACGGCTGATACTGGAGCTCGCATTGAATATCGAAACTATATAGACGCTCAGGTCTGCTGAAGTGTGCAGTGTGGACTGGGCAAAGGAAGGTAGGAGGAATAGCGGGACGAAGTAGGACACAAAGAAGAGAAAGTTGACAAATGCGTAGGCATTGAAGCTCCACTCCTTCAATGCATGCCAGTGGATGAGCTGGCGTGGTGGACTGGGTTTTGGATTGGTCGTGGCTATCAGCAGCGGGACGGCGACACAGGAGCAGGCTATCTGGATAAAGGCCAAGGTGCGTGCTGTCCAGGGAAACCCGATCAGTGGCTGCAGCCGGATAAAAAGAATTGGAAAGACGGTTCCACCTGGGTACAAGTGTGGTGAGTGAGTGTGCATAGGAAGCGGGTATTTGCCGATCAGGATAACGCACCAATGCTGGCCCCAGATGACAATAGGCCGACGGCAATGCTGCGGCGTGTGGTGAAAAGGGTGGAAGCCAGTGACAGGGCGGGTACGTAGATCAAGCCACAGCCTATGCCGCTACAAACACCCTGTGATAAGAACACTTGATAATACTCTGTAGATAAGCTCAGCATCATGAACCCAATGACGTTCAGCAAACAGCCGACAGTCATTAGCGCGTGCAGATATCCCTGATCAAACAGTGGCCCGGCAAGAACACCCGTGGAGATCATGAAGAACCCTTGGATGGTGCCTATCCAGGCGATGCGTGATGGGGAACTGGAGCGCAACAAGTCAGACTCATAATACGCCTGGAAGGCCCCAAACGCAGACGAGTATCCATAGGTAATGGCGAAGAGTAGGAAGGAGGCAAAGACAGTAGACCAGCCAGCGACCCCTCCATTTGGCGGAGCTGGAGCAGCAGCAACAGTATCATGCTGGTATTGCTGGGGACTGGAACGTCCAGACTCCTTCGATTCCATTGCAAACAAAGTAAAATAGAACTTTCGATCCCAGATACAGAAGTATTGTTGTGAGCCAAAAAGTTTATGTTAGGTGACAAGATATGCGATGAGAGGAGACGGTGAATCGAAGAACCACAAGCTCTGTCCCTAACTTGCGACTAATCATTAATCATCCGTAGAGGCAAATATGTAATAATCGAGAAAGCAAATATAGTCGTCATGATGTGGTTACACATGATAGTATTCTTCAGCTTCTCCGATCAATAGTTCTGCAGCTACCGACAGCTGTAGACCTATCGAAGCCGAGCTCCATTGACGGTCAGCCAATAGAAATCCACCATGAGTACAGTGGAATCTGAAATCGATCGCGCAGATCATATGCAAGGCAGATCATCTGATGAATTGGCTATGATCTGCGCGCAGCAATTATGACTGATTGGAGCAGCGGTGAAGATCGTGCTGAAGAGTGCAGGTAGGTATGCAGGATAGCTGTTCAACCAGGCTTAGTAGTGTGGCAATCGGGCCCGATAAAATGAATCAAGGTAGACCTGCAGCAAAGTTTCTTGCATTCAAGTGTTATCTTTCTGAGGCTGGTGAAACTTTAACCTACGCCTTAACCAAGCAAAGAAGGAGCACTGAGCTGAAGGAACTTAATGTATGCATATCTAGCCGGAAGGACACGTGGTGAAAAAAGTCAGATATACGATTAGAAGTCAAACTGGTAGAAAATGTTTAACTAGGTGTGACGTCTGTACTCTCTATTTGTATTGCTCCCTACCACCGAGTTACTATGTTCGCATTGATTTTCTTATTTCCTGGCAGTGACTATAAACCAAAAGAAGACTTATATACTAGTTTCAAATGCTCGAGAACATATTGTAATCCCCAGCATCAGCCATCTCTTTTGCGTGGTGTAATCGTAACGTGAGGCACATCACCCGCCACCGGCATTGGCACCGTCGCCCTCCCTTTGGGAATATCAACTCTAGGAAACGGACAATTCTCAATCCCACCAGGTATGCCCACGTCATACCGACATACCACAATAGCAACAAAGTACATCACAAGCTGAGGTGCCATTATTTTGCCTCCGCACTGATGGGTGCCATCCCCAAAAGGTCTGAAATACCGCGAGTTCGCGAGTCCCGGATTGTCGAGGAAGCGCCGATGTTTGAACTCCTCTGCATCAGGGCCCCAATGAGTTTTACTCACTTGGATGCGGTTATAGGGGATAAGAATATTTGAGCCCTTCCGTAGGCGATACGGACCAATCTCTGTATTTTCAGAAATATGACGGAATACGTGTGTGCCGGAGTGGAGACGCATAGTTTCCTCAAAGGTGGCCTTGAGGATTGGGCAGCACTCTAGCCGTGCTGGGATTTCGGACGGTGCCACGGGCTTGTTTCTCTCAAATGCCTCTTCACATTCTTCTCGAATCGTAGCTAATAGCTCTGGGTTATAAAGAACTCTGCACAAGACCCAGAATGCGGCAGTGGATGGATTGTCGAGCATGCTGTATGGTTTGGTTTAGTGATAACATTCCCAGTACTGATAGATGGGCAACACACTCACCCCCAGAAAACCCAGACATACATCATAGCCAATTCTTCCTTTGTAACAGCTGCCGCGCGGATTTCATCTTCGGTCATAGTCACGAATTCTGCACAGTCCAACTTCTTTTCTGTGGGCAGGGCAAAGTATTTGGCAAGAATACACGCTAGCTTGTCGCTGGCAGCATAAGCCTTTGGGGCAAGTATTCTAGGACGTCTCGTGAAAATGGAATAAATATTCGTCTGGAGAAGGAACATGGTATCTACCACCTCTGGAAACATGTCCAGACACACTTTTCCAAAGGCTCCGTCACTAACCGTCACGGTAAAGGCATCCACAGTCCATTTGAACAATGAAACCTTTCCCGGCTCAGCAAGGGATCTTCGCAGTGAATCAGAGGCAGCCAAAGGGGTGAGAGTCTTATCCATCTGTGCAAGTATGGTTAAAGTAAGAGGATTATTCTGCGGCTGTGCTCGCAGACCTCTTCGCACATTTTCTGTGATTGCGCGAGGGATCGGCTCTTGCCTCTTGGCAGTTATCGTGGACCAAAGGCGAGCTCTTGTTGGACCCGGGACACCAGATGCTGCCATCAGGATGTCAAGGAAATGGTCGTTGCCTATCAGTTTGGTTTGCTTGTGTATCTCCGATATCAATCGTACATCTTGGACCACGTATAGTGATCGACCACCGACGTGCAGGCGGAACGGGGTATCTTCAGTTTTGAGGTATGGCCTAAGGCTTCGGTGAGATCGGAACTTCTACACTCGCTCCGAAGAACCCTTACATTGCGTTGTCTATCGTCTTCTCGATATTCCTTAAGAATGAGAAGGTGTGGCCGGCGCCTATATACACTTAGCGATGTTTTCGAAAAGAGATGTGTTTAGCATGGCTGTAGCCCAACTACTTGCCTGGTATCCAGTAAGGAATTAAAGGGGGTTCTCGACCATGAACATGTCTACCACTCCACTGCCTGATCGCATGCCATAAGCAGTATATGACAAGCGCGACACCAAGCAGTAAATAGCTTCTAGAGCCAGAAACAATCCCCACGAAAGACATGGTCGTCAATGACTATCCTTGAAATGTGAGCCTGGGGGGCAAGAGGAAAGGCCGTTGACTCTTGGTGAATGCCCAGGCGTTGCCATACTCGTCAGCCAAATGGAAAATTGAATGCTTACATAGGAATGGGGGCCCCATTACACCACGAGAAAATGTCCGTGACGAGTGAACGTACCAAATCCCGAAACTTGTTTTATGTTCCATAGATCATGCACGGGTGGATTGGAATATGCAACATGACCATTCAGCTCCTCATGCGACCTTCAGCCCCAGAAGATATATGGCCAATGGAAGGCTCGAGCGGTGCTGTTTGGTCTGCACGTTGGGTAAGCTCACGCATCTACTACAATGCGCCACGTGCGGGTTTACCGGATCATTGAACAGACCTAATTGGCAGCGAGTTGGGAAAATATCATGCACGATAGTTGATGGGTACCAACAAAACATGTTGCAGGCCAGTCGAGACCGCGAAACCGGTGGGAACAATGCTATTTGCACCTTGGAATGAATGGAGAAACATCTATGATCATCACATTTTTCGGCTATCTGCACTTTGGAATGATTACCACCAACATCCTTGCTTATCGATCTGTTGCTTTTTTTCGGGGTTTGCGATTAATGAACTCGCTGCTCTAGTGGTATCCGGTGTTTGTCCGGCTATTGCCACACGAATTAGTGTAGGCCGGACGTGGGGGTGGCAAAAAAAAAAGGAAGAAAAAATATTGACCTACGCAGGACTCGAACCTGCAATCTCTTGATCCGTAGTCAAGCGCCTTACCATTGGGCCAGCAGGCCAATTGTTGAATTATCGAATTCACTTTTTGCTAAATGTATCATATCAAAATAAAGGCATAACGTTTTGAAATTTCTCAGCATCAATAACTTGATCCTCTCGCATGTCTGGATTTATTCCTGACATTATGGAGCGACAAGAGTTTCCACCCTAAGTCGTGAACGACATGCTTACATATGTTACTTTGCTCTTCTTTATGGATTGAGAGAAGCTAATTCCTATCGAAATTAGCTTTAGAATCGTCCTTCATGCCACTCATTATATGATTTGGGGGGTGAGGAGACCCGGATAAATATATTTCAGCAGCTACTAGCCCTAACCATCATGAATACTGGTATTAGTATTAGCTTTCTGTCACAATGAAGTGTTACGTTGACTGGCATTCACTAGTAGTATCGTCAGCAATAGCTATTTCTCAGTCTACATTGCGACAATATCCAACCATTTATCACTAACCAGGACAAAAACCAAGATGCCATCAAAGCCCACAGGAGGGGTATAAGGAGGGGCGGGATAGACAGGAAGTAACAATGCTGCAAGACTCAACATTCATCGAAAGAGTGTAATTTCAGCAAGCCTGGCCCTCCTGGCCAAGTGTAATCAACCTCCATACTATATGGCTCGCTGCGAAACGGAGACTCTATTTCAAATGTCATGCCGCGCAAACTTGCTCCTCAAGCGGAGCTGCTTCCCACGCCAGTAAAGAACAAATGGAAATGGCACAAAAAGACAGGTCAAACAGCCCAGCAACGTACAAGCCCAACCTACCCCAAGATGATGAAACATAGCAGCTGCGAACAAGGGAAAGCCGGCTCCAAACGACGAACGCATGAAGTCGTTGCCGGCAAGCACCGATGCTGCATACCTTGGATAGGCACGGGCCAGGTAGCAAAATATCGGGTTAAAGATCAAGCATCCACCCACTGAGAATAGCGCCGCAGCAGCAATCGGGGCTATCCAGTGAACAGACTCGAAGTTACCGGTCCATCCAAACCAAAATAGAGAGATGGGTAAGCAGATGCTGCCTACACAGGCTGGAGGTAGCTCATATTCTGGTGGGAATGACTCGTCGCTGTCCCCAAGCAGCTTCGACTGGTAGAAGTATTTCCATGTGAAGTAGCCCGGGATAGCAAAAGCTACAGTACCTGTTATAACTCCTAGGAACGACATTCCGCTTTCACCCGAATTGAATCCATGAATTTCCTGAAAGACGATAGGGAAAGCCTCGAACCATATGTAGAGGATACCGTAAACGAGGGAGATGTAGACGTTCATGACGAGAACTATTGGCTCTAGAAAGCACAATTGGAATGGACGAACTAGAGCTTCATACACGATATCCTAATATTTTGTGAGCGCTGGCTTAGGAAAGAAGAACTGCATACCGATAGCATACCGTAGATGGAATTTGGCGAAGCTCAAGCTCGGCCTCGGAGTAAACATCTAACTTGCTCAATTGGCGCATCCGCCGTGCGCGACGATAAAGAATGTTTGGACCATAAGTCTCCGGCAACAAGAAAAATAGTAAAACAAGAGCAAGCCCAGAGACCCAGATCAACTGCCAGATTGTCCACGTCCAACCATTGGCAGATGAAGCAAATCCACCAACCAGGGGCCCAAGAACTGGTGCGGCGATGGCAAATGCACCCCATATGACGATCATATAGTCGCGAGCCCTGGGGCTCCATAGATCTGCCATTGAAGCGCCCCCGGTTGCTAGGGCTGGCGAGCCGATTAATCCAGTCAGAAAGCGAAATGCCAGTAACATCCCAAAATTTTTCGCATATACGACTGCGAAGTTGAGGAATACAAACACGAAAAGCGTCAGCACGTAGATTGGACTTCTTCCAACCATGGGAAGCTCAGAAAGAGGCGACCATATCATGGGGCCTGACAGATAATTCAAGTGTTAGTGAGTTGTAGTGTTATTTCTGAGGCCGTCAATGATCTTACCGATGCCATAGCCTAGCACGAACAGTGTAAGGCCCAGAGTGGCAGCTACATTGCTGACTCCAAATTGTTCCGCTACATCGGGAATGCCTGGTGAGTAGATAGCCGAGCCGATGTAGATTGCAAAAGTCAAGATCCATACTAGGCAGCTGACTAGGAACTTTTTGACAGTACTCCAGTTTTGCGGATTCTATCACCTGTCAGTCTCTGGAACCCTGAATAATACACGCGAATGATAAGCATAATACCTCACTATCACCTGGTCTCCACCCTACGATTATAGGCCTTTTGTCTTGAGGAGCAGGTACCGGCCAGGATCCTCGGTGTGACCGGTAAGACGCCTGAGACATGATAGTTTCCAATCTATTGGGCACAATGATGCTTTCATTGCGAGTAATTTCTGGCAAAGCGACCTCCTCTTTAGCCGCGACATCAGGCGGTTCTTGCATGAAGGATAATTCCAGGTCTCGTTCTTCAGGGTACAGCAAGAGCCGCCGACCGCTCAAGATTCGGACGAGCTTCCCAAAGGCTGTGTCTCTTATTAGTTCTTTCATCGCAAGTATTGTTAACAGCGTGAATGAATTGAATATGACGTCTATTTATCCGGGTGCAGAATGGAACTGGATAGGTACATTATTTGAATGAGAGCCTACCACAATTGTGTCTGTTCGAGACCACTCCTGAACCCTCATTTTAGTAATAGTCAAACAACAATCAAACTTTGCATGAAGCCCATTAGGTACTTGAAACCAAGCTACTAGCCTATCATATAATGATGAATGAATGGCGGCCTTGACCGGAACATAGCCAGAGCATACCGGCCGGAAGTTCCTTCGGAAAGCCGAACATCTTGGACCGACAGTATTTTTCGACGTACTAGCGAGAAACACAACTCAAAAAACTGTATGTATAGTAAAGAATGTTCAAACATATCTTAGGTCTTATGTTTGTGTTTTTCTTTTTCTTTTTTTTTGTTTGGGGGTGGGGGGGCTATTCATTTCTCTCTTTTCAGGAACATTCGGGCTGATCCGCATGTGGTCTGTGCCGACCCTGATATTCTTCTACTTCCGCTCGGTCTACCGAACAAAGAGGGCTAGGTTCCGAGAGTTCCTCTTCCGCTAGAAAATCGTGCGTAGAATTTGTAGACGGCTGGCTCCATAACAACAGGGTGATACAAATTTCTCATTCTTTGTGTAGGACATATCTCAAAACAGTGGCTAAGTCGATCTGGCAATACAAGATCGTAGGGGCCGCAAGTATGCGATGGCCCATGCTTATAACTGCAAAGTCTCTATTTCACACACAATTAACTGGGGTAGCAAAGATAGGTCTATTATTTTTGATGCATAGATTCAGTCCTCCTAGCAACCTCACGATGTCTAGTCTGGAAAGAAGTGTATATTCTTCAACACGTGTGACGAGAATTGATTCTTGAAGAAATAACGTTCGCCTAAGCAGCAACAGCGTCACTTGTTGGACTAGATTAGGGACAATCCTTTCTAGGGCATAATCGAATAGAGGCACAAAATCAAACTTCCCGGATGGACCCCTCGAACAATTCGTTTGACGGAACAGAGCTCTTATGACGCATTTTTGCTGCTGTCTCAGCCCCTGCAACCGGTGCTCGAACTTCAAAGCTTCTTCCGTGGCCGGCCTCTTCCCACCAGTAAGTGGATATGGAAATGGTAGAAACTCTGGCATAAGGCCCAGCTGCTTGAGGACAGTGGCTTGGTCCCAGGTGATGTGTTCGTGGTAAAGGCGATCTCCTCGGATATTGACCACTGCCATGAACGGGATCTCCAGCTTGCGGCCGGTTGGTGGGATCCCAGGGATTCTGGAAGGTACATCAGCACAGCGGTATAAATAATTACGAATGTATAATGCAGGACATGGGAAGGTATCACTTACAACCAATCGACTTCAGAATCATGTGTGAAAGTCATTATAAACTCATCAACTACCCGATCAATACCGATAGTCCGACTTATCAATTCATTCTTGGTATCTGGGGGGTTGTTGAAAATGAAATGGTCGCGATAGAATCTGGTGAGCTCATCACGGCCAATCCCGCCCGTCATCTTCAGACAATCCGTCAGCCGGTTGAATTGAGACACTAATGACTGGGTTACATGCTACTAACCGTTGGGATATGATTCACATAGGGCTCTTGCACCATTGTTGCCATTGTTTGCTCAACTGATCGATTGTCGAATTCAAAATAAGTATGTTCTTCCCAGATAACCTCTAGGTCGAAGAATGGGCCATTCATGTGCTTTTTTAGGAAGGTCAAGCTTCGCGTATGTGAGACTCCCTCCGTGGCATAATCGAATGCGGTAGAATTTGGGAGGGCAAAGAACTGGCTTTCTATGTTTGGATAGTCATATTGCATTGTACTGAATGCTCTTTGTAATGGTGTATCCGCTTTCCCAGCTAGATGGTACATTGTGGGAATGCCGCTTGAGATCAATTGAGTTGCGTTGCTTGCTGCCGCGTACACAACAGCTGCCGTGATTCTCTCGATGCCGGGAAGAGATTTCAGGCCTTCCCATAGATGAAAGCCATATGCTGCGGTCTCAATAAGCAATAGTCCTGAGTGCGAGGGCTAGAGTGAGAGCCTCACCTATAAGACCAATAATGTCGTTTGGCGTGCACTTGTCATGTTGCGCCAATTCCTCTACCGCCTGGCACAACACGGTTTCCTGGCTGAGGGCAGATTCACATATCTGGATGACAGTATATCCCTCCTCAGCCCACTTTACGGAAGGCGGAGGGGCAGAGTGATCCTCGATTAGCTGACCTGAAAGGCCATCAGGAAGTACGATAATCATACCAGGGCCAACGCCTCTGCGAGTAAGATGGGAGAGAAGGAAAGAGTTTGGCCGTGTTCTGTTAGAATCGCCAATAAGTAATGCAGTCATGCTCGTACAGGTTTGATCCATATCTGCTTGGTGTTGAAGTTATAGACAAGATCCGGGGGTAACGGGGTATGTATTGTGATCTACCAAGTAGGTGCCCTTAGTCCCTCTTAAGTAGTCGTGCACAATGTCTTGGTTATCGCATTTCCCCGCATGTATCGGGGAATAGCTATTATTTTTGTCGTTTCGGCCGACAATCTGGCCACCTTTCCTGTCAATGCGGGGGATCTCCAGGCAAGTGGTTGTAGCGTGGCTCTCTGACTTGACTTATCATCCCCTCCCCTCAACTGCTTCGGATACAAGTGCATAAGCTCCGAGATGTGAGAGTGGCGTGAGGGGGTTACAGTGGCTCCAGCGGCTTCTAGCTCTGCAAAAGAAGGGTCTGCTTCAAGGGAGATTGGTTGGTCGGCCTGTGCTCCGCGGGATGCAGATCGATCTGGGTCAACATCGACCACTACTTGTGTGGAATAAAACTTGTTGCTGTTACTAATTAATTCAATGGCCTTGACCAGTCCGCCTGCCAGTACAGAGTCAGCTCCTTCATACCCCAATTATGGCCTTTATTCAGGGTTTTGCATTTTCTGCCCGCCGAAATGGTCTGGGTGATAATGTGAAAGCGCAACATGCTCAATATTGTCGATTTCGGTTCTGAGTCGTCGAGTATTTCTTGCCCAGATGCCACCTTCGGGGCTAGGATCGAAGACACGAAGGATAGGCTTACAAGGAGTAGAGATATCCCATGCATGGCACAACAGATGTTGTCCATGCGCATTTCCATAGTGGCCCCACCACGCTCCGTCCACGAATTTACCAGCATGAGGGAATTCCCATAAACCTGCTTTGCCAATTTTACAGCTGCATTGGGACTTGAGGAGATCGGGTGGAGTTCGTCGTTGACGATAACATGGAGCTCGAGGTCATCAACTTCAGCAAGCATGATAAGGTCTCTACTCCGAGCTTCTCATTGAGGAATGGTGTCGGTCAAACAAAGGATTTTCGGCATGTATTAGTGCATTTGAAATACCATCTGAAGTGCTTCGACGTCATAGAAGGCCCGTAACACGCATTTACCCATTAGGTTCGGTTCCCGATCGTACAGGGTAATACATATTGGACTGTTTGAAACGCCGAGAGTACATCCGCGCGCAGAATTGCTCCGAATGGATTAATTGCAGTCATAGATAATTAGCTATACGCAGAAGCTGTGGAGCTACTGATTAGGACGGAGTACAATGAAGCTCAAACTGAATCGCCAATATAGAAAAAGTATTTGTGTGTTGGGGCAAGCTATCGCGTCCATCTGCCCAGTCCGGGGAGTGGCGAGGCAGTGTAAGAGACCCAGTCGACTATTATCTACGCCAATGCTTCTCGGAAGATCGCAAGTAACAATTAGCCAAGTGGTGTAAATCTGTATTGAATATACATCGTTTTCACAGGAAGTAGACGCAGAGAGGGGATGGCAAGCTTCGGAGGCGTTTACCGCCACACTGGTCGCATTTCCTCCACACCGCACTTTCTCATACCACTGTCCCTTAAAACCCGCGCAAACATGCAAATGCACTCGAAATTGGGGTTGTTCAGACGCCGACAGATCATCTTACTACTTAGGCAGTCCGCAGATGTGTTCCACTTGAGCATGAAAATGCGGGGCGGGAAAACTACGATTATTACCCCCGTTGTCAATGCTTACCAAGCTACATACTGATTCAGTTTATTTTTCCCTATGCTTTAGATTAACTCTGATGGATAAAAGTGAATTTCTTCAAGTCATAATAGTCGGAGGATCAATCTCAGGCCTGACCCTGGCCCACTGTCTTCATTATGCGCCCACATATTTTTCCTCGAAAAGACCTCCAACCCAGCGCATCAAGTAGGGGCACCAATCGGCATTATGCCAGACAGGGCTCGAATACCTGATCAACATGGACGTTGGAAGAAGATCGAGTATGACCTCGAACCACTTGCAAGACCGATTCTGATCGACCACGGAGCGTTTCAAGCGTGACATAAAGGAGGCGGTACACATGGCCTTTATTCTGGAACAGGAGCTGTCGGCTGGATTGGAATTTGGAATCGGAGTCTGCAATACGGTTCTCAACTCGACTAACATCCTTTTTGACATTTGGTGTGCAATGTCACAAGCTCCTGTGTCTGAATATTGGCTTTCTGTCTTGTCCAAGGTGACAGTCGTCGCTCCCCGCTCATCCAGGCCGATCTTGGCTCTCCTGAGTCTCTGACCGAGGCCCTGAAAGGCTCCCACACTGTCTTTCTCGTCATCAACTAGTGAAATATCAATAATGCCGATATTAAGTATCCCGTTCAATGTCCATATCTCTTTTATGACGTCAGATGGTATACGGGAAGGGGTCCCATCGTCTGGCAGGCTGCAATATAACCTTTGTAATCCAGGAATACCGACCAGTGTTAGGGAAAGAGAAGAACAAGAATATCATCTCGATTATAACTGATAATGTTACGCTGCAATGATAGCGTAGCCTAGTTACTGCTCTATAGGTCTAGTCCAATATAATCCCACACGGCATGCTTGGTTTGCCATTCTACCTATAGTGTATCCTCCAGCAGTGAGTACTATTGTCATAATAAAAGGAAATGACACGAGATGATAAAACACACATCCTTTGCAAAACATCATCCCGTCTATCTCGGTCCTGATTTCGGATATTGTACGCCAAGCTGAACAAAGCTGTGATCGTTACCCTCCTACCTGTTCTTATCTGCATTCAGATGATGTCAATGTTCATCATTTGAGAGGTACCTGTGCTTTCGAACATTGCTGTTGTTGAGCAATTGGCAAGTCCTGCGTACAGGAAACTGACATTCATTCTGGTCCATACTAAGAAGGTCATACAATGAAACTCCAACAATTCAACCTACAAGCAAGTACCCACAGCTTAACGACCAATATCCTGGATCTGAAGCCCAACGTCTGCCAAGAGCTGAGGGATTCGTGCAACAGCCTGAATATCCCATCCTCTCACCTCATCCGGTAACTGTTCCCAGCTCACGATGTACGGACTTTTCTTGCCCATAATATCCTTTTCTGGTCCCCAAACCCATCCATCCCTCAAGCGCTCGCAGTTCCACCTCGCATGCTCCTGCTCTGCCATTCTGATAATTTCCTCTTCACTCAGGCGTCGGAGTAAGGGGTGAACGTATCCTGCCGGCTTTGGCCGAATCTCACATCCCATGAGCCGCAGCTTATCGGCAATATGGTCCGCTTGAAGACGATTTGATTCCTTTAAATTTTCGCTCAGGTCGTCCCATGATGCCATGTTGGCTGCTAGTAAACTTCGCTGATCGTCTCGGTAATGCTTGTGTATAGCCTTGGCGATGTCATCACGATAGCGATCTTCCATCCTGCCGGAGTTTAAAGCGAGGAAGACAGAAACTGTCATTGGATCCTGGGGCAGTGAGAAAAGGCCCTTCGAATGCTTCCAGCTCTCATCGTCTAATATCTGATCTGCTTTGCCCAAGCTCCCCTTTAGAAGGCCAACCTCTGCTCCAAGTGCAAGAGCCATGAGATATTCGAAGCCCGAGACCCTATCACCCCCAATACCGAGAACCCTCACTTTGGCAGTATCAATCCCTGATCGTAGAATGTCGGACCACTTTTGCAGCGGGAGCCGCGGAGAGTAGTCTTTCTCATCCACCGTGATAATCCTTTTGTAGTGACATATATCGTTGGGTATGTTGTAGGGGACACCACGAGGCACATAGCCCACTAGCTCGATTTTGCCAGAAAGGCTGCGATTCTCACTGAATACCTTCCCAATAACCTTGCTTATGCCGGAGGTTACTCCCTCAATTATGAGAGTGCCTCTAAACTGGAGAAGGAAAGGACGGAGTATGCGTTCATGTAGTTGACTGGAATGCTCATCCAGATCCGTCCTTGGTCCCAATATTATCACTACCGGCCCGGTGATAGCCTTGAAGTCGTATGGCGTGTCTAATTTCATTCCAAATTTTTTTGAGAATAGACTTATAAGTACCTGTGCTTGTTGTGCGGTCCACCGCAGTCCCTCGGGCACTGCATCCGATTCCAATGACCTCAATAACTTGGCAGATTTGGTGGTCACATATTGGGTGTTGGTTATGTTCAGTCCCTGGCAGTAGAAAGTTAAGGCGGGCTCCCACTCCTCTAGAAGCGTGTGGAGGAATCCCGTATTGTAGTAAGCCCATGGGAGATTAACCTTGACGTCAATCTGCCCGTGCGATCGCGCAATGGCCCCCCTGATAACGGGACGAAGGTAGCGGATGATTGAGGGGGACTCATTGGTACTAAGCTCTAGACCCAAGAATCTGCTTAGAACTCCAGGATTGGAAGGGTCGATGGAGAATGCATCCGAGTAGTGCCTCCGTGCACTGTCGTTGTCCCCGCAATCTTCGAACGTGCGCGCAAGAGCGATGTGAGCGTCGATATCCGATGGAGCAAGGTCAATTGCTTTCTGCAAATCCGTCTGCCCGTCGACGTATTCTGTACTATTTGGCGGATGTAGGTTACATCTCAAAACACCCCTTTGGAGGAAGACCGCCGGGTGTTCGGAGCCAGGGGTGCCTGCAGCGGCAGTGGATAGGATTTCGACTGCGTCGGTCCAAATATTGCGCTTATCAAGCTCCACCGCTAGAGATCCGATCCTCACGGCCAGGTCAACCCTCTCCGACGACGACGCACGATCCGTGTAGAGAACAAATCGCAGGAGGTCAATCTGTTTCGTGATATCGTCTTGGCTCATGTACGTTCCATAATTGCCCATGTACAAGGATAAACCCTTATGGACTCGTGAAAAGACTTCGTCCGATTGCTCAAGCAGGGCTGCGGCACAGTAAACCTCACGTTGGAGCTCAGTGGGCATCTGAAAGTCTGGCTTATACGCATACTCGTAGGAAACGTCTGCCCACGCATGCTCGAGTAAAGTCCGTACTTGTACCTCAGCGCGAGGATTCTCCATGCCGCAGAGCTCCTCGAACCCGGGTTTGAAGTCCTTCCTTCTGAATCTGACAATGTAATGAACAGACCGATATCCAAACTCCCTGGCTTGGAGACGATGTGTATGATCGACCGAGTTCTCTGCATCAATTTCGAACCGATCTTTGAGGGCCCTGACAACTGCCTTGACTTCATCAGTTGTATGCGTGATGACTCGGCCCCCGCACAGGTCTGTGTATTCGGCACAAGGGTCATGATGCGGCTTTCGAAAGATCTTTTCTGCGAAGCTGGGGACGGACTTTGGTCGGGTCTGTACGATAGCATGTCGAGCAACTCGCTGAACAAGGTGCTTAAGCTCCTCTTTCAGCAGTTGTGATAGTCTGTTATATAATCGATAGCGCTCTGCGGCATATGTCGTAATCTGCCGCAATGCGGCCTCGTTGGAGTCCGCCATGTTGTAGTAGATTGAAAGCTACACTCCGATCTCTGCTCTTCAGGAATGATGTTTATCACTATGCACGCACTTTCAATCAACTACAGCAAGATCCGGGACCTTATAGATGTCACTGCTGTCAGTGATTTTATTGCATACAGCAGCTAGGCCTCGGGCCATGGTTCAGACAAGTTGAAGCGAGGTTGTGATATCCATGATCTAGATCACCCAACCGCCACGAATATGTCATTGCGTGTAATGCATACGAACTAGACGAGGATTCTAGGCCAGCTGAGTTTGGCGGTAACCAATATATGCTGTGCTATTGCATTGGACTGGATAGTGCTAACGTTTGACCAATTTGACAGTGCTTTTACCTGACGGGAGAGATTGATCATAACCCGAGCGATTCTCTGCCGACCGCAAGAAGAGCTTCACTCTGTACTTTTATTCGTATTCCAACAAGCGCCAACCATAGGTCGTTGTAACCCTAATTGCCAGTATACGACACGGGTCGCGACCCATGGAACCATCGGATCTAGACTCCACACCAGAGCTTATTTTCAGCTATATTGTTGCTCCTCGAATGATACTGCGATCAACCATGACCAAATCCATGTACATTTTACCCGCGTACCGATGTATCCGCTTTTGGAGCTCAAGGGTCGTAGGATACGTCTCATGACCACTCACGTGTTTCGACATCATTACAGTTCTTGGGCAGGGTCTCAAAAGCCCACCACGAGCCCCAGACGATGGCAGACCAACAGAAACCATTCAGTGCTAAGAGAAAAAAATTCTAAGTATCCTTTGATATGTCGTCATCTTCGCAGCCTGACTACCCTAGCTTGATCAATACTTTGCTCGAGCACCTCAACAATGCTTCCCTGGACCCCATTCGCGCAGAGAGTATGCGAAGCACACTGGAGGAATTAAAATCAGTGGCTACTATCCTGGAGCCCGGGGAATCATCTGAAGAAGAAAGTGTGGAAAGCTCAGTGGAACGGATTCGGAAACTCAAAGGTGCAGAGCAAAAGGTGCTGGATCTGATAGCCCGGATACGTTTCGGGATACAAAACCCAACATATCCAGTCCACAATGAAGCCCGAAATATCCAGTCACATCCGATTCTAGAAGACATAAAAGAGCTGAAGGTTTTCGTATCGGATGTACAAGGTATGACAGGGGGAGAAGAGAATGTCAGAGCGGGAAACCTCTTTGAACGCCTTGCAAACTTGCAGGTACGGTTGCATAATGCCCAGAGCGAATCAGAGGTCAGGCAGCTCGAGGTAGAAGAGCTACGTCAAGCCACTGAAGATGTTAGGCGATTTGCTCGCCGCAGGAACATCATGTTAGCCCAGCCCATTTGGTCTTACCGAGGAGATTGTACCTGCCCAAATGTTCTCTTCTTTTCCGGATCTAATCCAACGCGAGAGGCGCTCTGTACCTTGGCGAAGCTCCGTGGGTTCGAATTGCGAGACAAGAATCCTATTGGAGTCGATTTTGCTGAGGGTCGCTGGCATGACCTGCAAGAAGCTAACCTTGCTGTATTTGATCTATCGGACGAGGAGCCCCAGGTATACTACGAGATGGGGGTCGCAATCACATTAGGAAAAGAACTCGTGCTCTTATGTCGCAGAGGCGTCATCCCCAAGTTTGATGTCGGCCAGAATTATGCAGAGTATGGAATCCACGATAATCGATTTGGCGTGGTTCAGGCTGCTTTAGAATCGTGCCTTTATCGACTGCAAAACCGTGGCGATCGGTCGACACCAACACCACAAGAGACCTACAGATATGCCAAATGGCTTGCACGTCAGCAACCGGACAATGCCACCCTCGCTACCTTTTGTCTTCTGGACAAGGCTAAAGATGATCCTGTCGAGATACACAATTCAGTCTTAGTTGTGAATCAATTTCTAATACGACAGCATGAAATAATCTTTCCGAGGTGGCCAGGCTGCTACCCTGACCCGGACGCCAAAAGATGTTTTATTGTCATGTCTTTTGCTGAGCACATGAATCCTGCGCGGGTTGCGATTGAGGAAGGGATCCGCTTAGCAGGTGGAGATTCCATCCGAGGAGATGTTGCCGAGGATCCCCATATACTACGATCAATCTGGGATGAGATATGTCGTGCAAACCTTATCGTTGTCGACCTCACGGAATTTAATCTCAACGTCTGTCTCGAGCTGGGCATTGCTCATACCCTCGGCCGAAAGATCCTTCTTGTCGGTCACGAAGGGACGCAAAATAACCTCAACCAAAATCTATCAAACGTAGCAAAAGTGAGACTACAACCCTACACAAGTCATCTCGACTTGCAGGCGACATGCTTCTGTGCCGTCAAAAGCCTAGATGTCAAAAGCGCGGTGCTTCAGGAAACTCGACCGCTTTCTTCGTTCCACGCGATTAGGTAGCTTTGTGATCGTTTGGAGTGGCGCACCCCTAATTCAGGATCTGACCCGAAAAGTGTTTTTAGTTATCAGTCTCTTTAGTGTGCTGCCTGGAGTCCTGCGCAGATTCCAAAAAAGACCCTATTGCATCCACTCCACCGACCAGTATCAAGTATCCAGAGAAGCACCTAGTCGACCCGCGCGGGGAGAGGCTGCATCTCTTTAGACAAGCTGTAAGCAAGATGATAATCAGGGTAGTGTGTCCGCCTCCCCCGTGCCTATAGCTACACAAGTATCATTCGTTCAGTTCGCTCCGGAGAGAAGACCTCCCCCTGCATACAGCCATGAACATAGCACGCTCCAACAATATGCCAATTCTGGCCCCATCGCCGAATGATAAATGGTACACTGCCGCCCTCGAAGACTGCGACTTGATCACCAACTCTACTGCCTTTGGGAGCCATGCCTACATACCCGTGGTTTGTATTAAAGATGGCACGATTGCACGTGTGGTGGGCCGTTCGATCAAGGAATGAAATCGGCGGTCCAGTGATACCCATTGAGAGTGCGTAGTTGTTATATTCCATGATCATGGTATTTCTATCCCATGGCTGAGAACGGCAGCGTCGAACAATGTCCATAATAGGCTTGACTGAATGATACCAGTTCATGAAATCTTGCCTCTCTCGCTGGAATCCGTGGGGGTGATGACCGCATCGCATCGTCTGCCAAAACACGTCTAGCATCGGCTCTCTGTTGAAATAGTACCAGTCTGACTCGCCGCCGACAAGGTCAATCCAGTTGCAGAAGCGATCGGCGTTCCTGGATACCTTGTCCAAGAGCTCGGGCAGTGAAGGCTCACGCCACCACTGCTGGGGAACAGACACGTATTCATCGTTTACAACGCCAATATCTCTAATAGAGTCGAGGATCATCCCCTGCACCCCGAGGCTATTCCCATCATCCGAGAACGCCGGGGTATATATGGTATTACCGGACGCTCGGAACTCGGTGGGATCATTATCGAAAGGAAACAGGTAGGTAGGAGACTTGGTGGGTGAAGAATCACATCGAGGAAGTCTCCTATACTCCAGCAGCTGCACAGAGATAGTGTTGTCCGGCACGCGCCAGTCCGGGACCCAAGATGGGAGACACGGATATCGCCGTCTTATCATGCCCGGAGGGACAGCAGGGTCATAGACTCCCGCTAGTGTCATGACCTCGAGGCTTCTGTCTCTGTGCAACAATTGCGTGGCCAGCTCTTTGTACACCTGCGGAGCGGGAGTTTCATAATCTGGCTCAATCTCCAACGCCTCTGTCCCCGTACCGCAATCGGCTGCCAATCCATACAAGGCGTAAATCTTGTCATGTGGCCTCTGTGCCCCGCGGTAACGGAATTCAGCCAAAAGATTGATTAAGGGTCGCTTGAGCGCAACCTCCTTTTCCGCCTTGATTTCATGTAACAATATCATCGGATTCGAGCCCCACCCCGCTGCAGTGACACCAGCTGAAGAGGTCGCAAGCCACGCACCCGCGTTCAACAGGTCCGGCTCTAGGATCTGATGGCCCCCACAAAGGAAGACCACAGACCTCGCCACTGCGTATTCTTGGATACACCACATCCGAGCGAACCAGGGCCTTTGCAAGAACTTGTAAAACGCTCGCACTTGGAACTTCGCCTCCTCGATAGACAGATAACCCAGTTCCCGCCAGTCTTGCAGTGTCATTTGTGCTACAGCGGCGTTGGGGTGAGTAAATATAGCGGAGGCCGACCTGCGCATCGCTGCAAGGGCCGGCTCCACGTCAGAGTCTGATTCACCTAGATAGACAAAGACCTGTGATGCCCTCTGATATATTTCCGTCATCAGTTTTACTTGTTTGGTCTGATCCTTGTCATCGTTCTGGTTTATGCATATTGCATCAGCCCAGATATAGCTGGTAGGGCGGGATGGAAGGCGTCTGATGGCGTCAAGGGCGGAATACAAGTTGCGAGTGATACTGCGCAACTGACCATCGCATTGAATCGTAACGCGGTCATCCACGTTTCCCCAAGTATACGAGAGGGCGGCGTATTCTGGCATACCCTCCTGCAATTTCACAACTTTAACCGTGCATTTCAATGGTTGAGAACTCGTCGTTTGGGACAATAGGCTGACTGCGTCCCAGCAGTCTCCTGGCAAAAGCTTCAGCAATCGTATCTCGTTACTTCCAATGTTTTCTGTCCCTAAAATGTTTCTGAATGGCAGAGCCGGTGGCAGGAGTTGCCTATAGAGCATGGAGCCCATGGCTTGAGACGAAATCACTTTGTGTTGAGTTCACTGATACCTCCACGCCTAGTCAGCTAATGGCTGAGGAAGTGTCCAGACTATATATATCTTCTCAGTCGCGCTTCAGAAACTGAAAATTAGTCCAGAAACTCCTTCGGCGTCAAGTAAATAATTCATTGGTTGTACTTGTACTTTAAAATACGCATGGCTGTATGTTTGAATGATGTCATAGATCTGCATCCAACGAGGCCCGGATTGATCTGGCCACACTATTCTACCCAGGTATGATGGCCGGGTCTAGAACTACCTACGGAAAGCGGTACTGACAAACCAAGATCCAGACCTGTACGGGTCGCTATGGAGAACAACCTACCGTAGAGGACTGAATTGGATTTTGAGATATCACTGCGGATTATATACATGTAGCTATTTGCTAAATATCGCATGTACGCGGCTACATACATGAAGGAGGGCCGAAAACGATAGCTAAACCTGACCGATACCAGTACCAACTATTGCCAAAAGTGAATTTCGATCTTGGAAGGAGCAAGGTTTGATGATGGAAGAACGGGGTCCCGTAGTGTTATTCATTCCGACATAACAGTGTGAACATTTGGCAGGGGTGCTGCAGGGAAATCCTGACTACATCCAGTCACCTAAGGAAAACGTTGCATCTATTATCTAATTCTCTTTGTGACATCACAGACCTTGTAAACCTCATCCCTACGTTTACGAAGGGTATCCTGGAATGAACCAAACCTCTAGCGCAGGGCAAATATAACCGTTATCTGCTCAGCGACCTGTCAAAAATGTGGAGCGCATTTTCGTTCTGACTTACCTCATTTGGGGTAGTTTGAATGTTTTCGCAGAGCCGTCGATTGCGTTGTTCGAGGGATTGCGATTCAGGATCCAGGAATTCATCGGCTAGATTTTTACACATATGAGCATGCGAATGGCGTGCTTTAGTCCAAAGCTCGCATTGTCGCTCAAAACATTATCCTCAAGTTGCCCATAAAAGTATACTGCGTTGGGTCTGAAACTGTCTAACAAAGCACCTTTGGCACATCAATGTTGTGTCTTGCTCGCTGGACTTGCCAACAGCGGACATAACCGTATTTCTTCTCTCTTACGGGATACAGAAAACCACTGACTGCCCCTTACCCAGTTCTCGCATTCTCATACATGCTCTACACATTGTTTGCGAGTGTGGAACATTGCTCTCATGCCTGATTTATCCTTCGTAATACTGGCTTCTAAGGGTGCCCCGTAAGTTTGAGACAATCCCAAATCGATGCCCCTCATTTGAGCGTCATCAAGAAATACCGAGCAAGCCTCTAGCAGCTTTGCGAATGACGACACCCGTAACGCTGGGACCAATCCAGTTCGGCCAACACAACTGATCTCGTCGTTTGGGTAGACAAAAACCACGGCCCTTGCCTGGTTTCAGTCGGGTGCGATCTTCAGGCAGCTCTCAGCAAGCTGTAAATCCGTGTATTCTGGAATCTGGACTACACGTCAGGAATAACTTAGATTAGAGGCACCAGATCCATAGCCATATTGAGCACGGCTTCTGCTTATGAGGTAGAGGACTTGTTGCGCGACGTTCAAAGGCGACTGAATTTCCAGGCCTTAGAAGAACTGAACAACGAGAATATTGGTATGAATCAGCTCTGGGAGGTCGAGTTGTTTGACACCCGAAGGAATGGTGCTACATGGATTATTTGTTCTACTACAGCCCACAATTGGAAATACTTTGATCTCGCCGAGATCCCAGCCTGAGGCGGACAGCTTAATTCAGAATTATCTCATTTCTTTTGGAAAAACATTGTGGGCGAGGGAATCAGACAATCTCGCTGGTTAAAGTAGTTACTGAATCTCTCCTTTGAAATCTCCTTAGCATCAACTGAGTCCCAGATGTTATCATCTGATTGACTCGTAGCTGGTGGATCTTCGACAGATGCTTTCAAGAGTAGGTTTTATTGACTTGCTCCACCATCTCGAAAGTCCTTAATGGGGTCTGGAATCTGTCCGGATATAAGGGTCCTAAACCAGTCTAGCCGCTTCCAACGGAAGCGTGGAAAAAAACTTGCGCAAGGCTAAGATTAGCATTATGGGCGCGTTTTACGCGGTAAGTTTGGTGAAACTTTAGGAATACTTTACACGCGCTGGATCCAATATTGGTGGGTACCGACTTTAAAGCTTAATTTCTCACTTCAATGTTAGTACCACATTCCGACATGATTGAGACCAGTCTAGAACATTGGCAATATCTTCCTATATATGTTCACACCACAACGAAACAAAATCTTAATTATGTGCCTAAAGCAGTACCAGGACAATACCGCAACTCCTCGTGCGTATTAGAAGCGGTTACTAGAGTAGAGCGATATCACAAGCTCTACCGCTATTGTTTTCCGGAATTTCCTGTCTAAACCTCTTCAGACCCGGATTTGAATCCTGAGGGGTTCTGGGACCCATTCACTCCCACCCGATGGTGACTCACACTCTGATCAACAGGGCAATTAAATCTAACTGGGCATATATTCGATCTAGTGATAAGAAATTGTTACTTTTTGGAGCAGTGAAAGGTGGAGTATAACTTTTGAACTAGCCAGTTGCCGAAGTCGAGATGCCTCTTATGGCTCGAGACGACAAATCTTGGACCTGTCCAGGTCTTCCCCCGTACCACTAAGTTCTTTGGCCTGGCCCTTTTTTTCCCCTTCCTAGCGTGGTAACGGACTCTTGCAATCAGCATCGTTTAGTTAGATAAGGGAACAAGAAGCCGCGTTCATGCGTCATTATACTGTACGTGGCCCATACAGACACGAGATCATGGATCTTCTGGATGCGGAGGGGTGTATCTGATTATCTACATTCACCAATACTATGTGATGTGACAAATGGGATGTGGACATCATGTGGTCACCAGAGAAGAAACGGTATTGTACAGAACTGTACTTCAAGCAAAGATAAATGTTCGAACACTCTCCTAGAGAAGCAAGAAGCAAAGAATGCAGCTGAATTAGTCTCTTATATTAGTATTTAAGAAGATCATGTGCTGAGCAACGCAGGCGGTTAGGACTTATGCAAGAACGTCGACCCTGGAAAACTCAAATCAATCTAAACTTCTGAGAAATGTGGCACGCTTCTCAAGTACCCATAATTTGAAATGATCGGCCGCTTTTTGATTTACATTGAGGTCTCTGACAGAACCGCTTACATCCTAGTCTACTATTGAATCCCCTTTTTATACTTATTCTTTTCGTAACTCAACCGACGCCCAGAAGAATCCAATATCATTGACCATTACCTATTCAATTTTTCTGCGACTTCTGATCTGCGTAACCTTGTATCACTCTTGCACTAGTCGGGGCGCTTTGCTCCAGGTTTTAGACTCCTTTTTATTCTAGACAGCGATCGATGATGATGATAATATGGTGTTGTTATCGGACTACTTAGTTTGTGCTCCATCCAGTAATATAGCGTCAAGGATACTAAGCTATTTACTCCCTCTGGTACCTCTCCATTTCTCATTTTCTTTCATATGGCCCGATAGTTCTAGGCTTCAAGAGCCTTTCCGTTTCCATATTATCGAAGTTCTAGCAAACGTGAATGATGCATCACAAGGGTCGGCGGAAAGACCCGTGATCTATGGTAAGTGCTTGCAAATCTAAGATGATAATGATGGAAATGGTGCGACCTCACCAAGGACCAAAATACAGGTCAAAATATAAAGTTTAAAGCTTATAATGTAAACTATCTTCCACAAGATCAGAGCTTAGTTGATTACTGAGATAGATTCCGATTCCAAGCAATGATAATATCTTCAATAAATTTGTCCTCAAGTGTGAAACTTTCATGTCTTTTCTTTCAGATTTTAGTTGTTTTGTAAGAGGGAGTCTGCTGCAAAGGGACTTTGCATTAGGTGTCGTTTGTGTTGATCTGCGCTTAGGATAACAGGACTTTCGTCAACGCATTCTTTACAGGAAATTGATCTCGGGAAGCCGCGTTTCACCTTTGTAGAAACGCAAACGTATCGGCTTGAAGGCAAGAATAGGAATAATGCTCCAGGTTTGCAAGCTGAAACTTTATGAGTGAACGAATAGCAACTACTGGACTCTTCTGTCTGTTCTACTACACTACATAATCTCCCAACTCAGGCCAACACTCCCACTCGTGTAACCCAGTTCGACACACTCTACACTTGAAGCTATTCGAACCGAGCAAATAGTATGATTTCACCGAATCCAGCTAGTTTAGTATATAGGCATCTAGCTCTAACCGCAACGAATATGGATTTGGTTAAGTCTTTCCCTTGTATCTGCTCTGAATGTGAAACTTTCTTTTTTGGATGATGCAGTACAAAGTTCAAGCCTTGCTATGTTAGAGATAAAGCTCTCCGGGTCCTACATTGGGTCAGCGTGACTAGCATTGACCGCACAGACGACCAAGGTTGAGATTGGACTTGACATCACAGATGCGTGGACATGATACTGCTCTGTAGAATTGAACGGTCCAGAAGCGATCCAACTCTTATTTTGTTCTGGATACGTATTTGAAACCAAGAATGGTCAATGTCATCGCGACTGGCTCGTAACCAGAGTGCCATGTGACTTTGAACCAAATTTTCGAATTACACACATCGGATTCGCCAGCTCTTGCAAAAGTTTCTTGGCAGTAGTAACCAGAGTATACGCCCATTATAAAAGACTTTGTTTTGTTTTGCCTTCAAGTCCCCAGTCAACGAGATATCTATTATCTAAATCCTTCTCTGGGTCAACCAAGATAGCCCTGTGGAGCACAAAGAACCTCTTTAACGGGAGCTTCAAAGCCTTGATCATACGTTTCTATCTATTATACTACCTCCTTCAGTACCACCGAATATGCAAGGCCAGGGGGCCTTGTCGCAAAGCTCTGTGGTTGTCGGAGTGGAACGTCAGGGGAATGGGGAGCTAGTTGCCACGCAGTCGACTGCCGCAAAACAGCGTAGGCGGCCAAAATCAGTATTTATTTCTTACAGTTCTTTGGATCGATATCACGCCTTGCATCTCAAGCGTCTACTCGAAGTAAAAGGAATCAAAGTCTGGCTTGATGTTTTTGACATCCAAACTGGGGGTGAATTCGACTCGGACCTGTTTCAGGTCATCGGACAACAGGATTTGTTTTGCCTACTCTTATCTCCTAAAGCCGTACAGTCAATGTGGGTCGAAAAGGAGATCCAGACTGCCCAGGCCAGTCCGGAGCTTTATATTCTTCCAATTATATTGAGACCATGCAACATCCCTCCAGAGCTAAAAGACATCATCGCCTTTGATGCTACAGAAGGACTAGACCGTGATAGTGTTCGCGATCGACTCTTCCGGGCAGTATTGGGTGACTTTGATATCGAAGGGTCGGTGATACTTAGTGAAATGGAAAGTGAACTTCAGTATAACAAATTTCTTCAAGATCAAGCAGAAGAAGCCCTTCCGGAAATCAGGCGAACGGTCGACGCATCGTCCGCAAGCCCGATACGCCGTGTCGATCTAAATATATTCCCAGAGACACTCCCTGAAGATTCTGATGTCATACTGGAGCTGAAACTGAAACTTGACACGCTCTTTCACGGAACAATGTCGTTCTTTATTGCAAGGTACCGAGAGGGTCGTACTTGGCCTGAAGGATACGGTTTCAGAGAGCCAGACTATGATGAATTCTATTTGAGAATCAAGCCCCGTATTGACGTGCAATTCAAGTGGTTCGATCGCATTGTCCGGTTGAAGCCAATTGAATACGGCAATGATTGGAAAGATCACACCGAGAGATATTTCATCGAATTTGATGGCACGCAGTTCAAGCCATATGAGGATCTCTCGTTTCCTCAAGTGTTTGAAATCCCCTGCCTGCGCACGCTTATCAAAGATCACAGTTCCTTCGAGCTTGTCTCACACAACACTTTAAGCAAGGCATCAACGGTTGTTTCTGAGGGCACTGATATCTCTATTGAGCTAGTGGGAGAGGTGGCGCAGGGCGAGTGGTTGCAATTATATCGTAGCCACATCACGAAGGATCTACAAAACCTCCAGAAAGCTCCATACCTCTCATCACCAGAGATGAGTCCGATATTTCGTGAGGCATTACTATCCCGCTGCCTTGTGACTACGGACGGGAAGAAAGGAGACAGCTACAAGGAGCTCGAAGAATCAATAATTGCATCGATCGAGAAGGGTGAATACAGTAGTGCGGATGAAATGCGCCTAGCTGGATGGTATCTTTTTGATAAGGGCTCCATGAGCTTTGGACGAGAAATGTGGAGAGACGCATATGAAGCTTATGAGAAAGCCAGCTTGGCTCTACAGCCACTTGTTATGTCTCAAGTTCCGACGATGCGCGATGCGGTATCCATGTACTTGTCCGTCCGACGTATGGTGGAGATATTTATGCAACAACAAAGTTTTCAGCATGCCGGGGGGATCATTTCTGCTCTCATGCGAGTGGCTCGATCAATCAGTGAGTCAGATTCCGAGGAGCCAGATTTCCAAAGGATATGGGCAGACGCTCTATTCGTGGAAGCGAAGGTAAATGCGGCGCTAGAGCAGAAAGACCTTGCCGTCGAGAGCCTCGTCAAGAATGTCGATGTCTTCCATCAATTATATCTGACGGTGCAGCTGCCATCCCGGCAACGAGCATGGATAGCTGCCTTATCATATGCCATCCGGACGGTCGCTGGCTGGCAGATCTTAGCGGACCAACAGTTGAGTGCGTGGAGAACCGATCTGCGAAATGCAATTGGGAACAATGACGAAGCCTTCGAATTACTCACGCGACCGCCCCCGCCTCCTAACGAGCTGCCTGTATGGCTTCGGGACTGTACACTCCAGCAATGGCCAACTAAACCAATCAAAAGTGCCGCTCTCCGGTATGCATTGAAACTACCCGAACGGTGGGACAGCTCCTTCACCGTCCGGGGCACGTCGCGCTCGATTGAACACATTTACCACGGTACACCGGGCATTGACGCGGAGCGGCTGATGATTGAGTTTCTAGAGGACCTGAATGAACATGGCGACATCACAAAGGCCGTGACAGTTTACATGGCCTTAATAGGAATGCCTGTCCTGTACGACCTGGTAGCCCAACCGACATTGCTACCGGGTACCTGGCAGTACATGGGTAAACTACCAAGTCTCATCACAAGCCTGAACGCTGATGATGCTTGTGCGTACATGGGCCTGGCCAGGTTTCAGGCCTCGTTTAACCTACTGGGAAGAATCTATGTTGTACTGGTTCGGAAAGGGACATTTAGGTGGAAGATCACGCTAAGTTTTGAGACGGCTTGCCTACCTAGCATGCCTGAGGACATAGTCAATTCAAATGACCATGTCCGTGCTGGGGCAATTCTCGGATCTTTGCAATTGCTAGGCCCATAAGATACAAATCTGGCTGAAGCGAGAGGTGGCCGGGGAGAGAGCTCTCGCAACATGGGTTACTTCAGATACTGTTGCCTACTCAGACTCTCCCGGAAACCATGGCCATTTAGGGGCGGCGCTCAGACTGTTGGAACTAGCAAAACTGGTTCACATGGAACCCTCGGAGTTCGAGAGAGTTATAGCCCCAAATAAGCCCCAATATGTTGACTTCAAGTACCAGGACTTTGACTACAGAGGGCAAACATCAGGCCCTTGCAGTTGCTGCCGCAATATTCGTGACTCGACTGGAACATATGCGCACTGCCGGAGGAGCAGAAGCACACAGATTGTTTAGCAGAGTCAAAGCAACTATTTTCCACATCCAACGCTGAATCATATCTTACTGGAGAGCCACACATATTCAAATTCTGGTCGGGAAAATTCAATCTGTGACTTTGCTTTCAGTGCTCTAGAAATCAGCGAGGAAAGCGTCTAATCAACGATGAGGTGGAAGTAATGGAGCTACGGAACTAGCATCTGGACCGAAGAGTTCCCTGTGATCTGTAGTGAACGCAAAAGCAAATCAGATTGCCGAGAATATTATATGCGATGTTCCAAAAGATGGAGTTGGTTGGGTGAGTAGATTTGATAGTTTATATTGTCTAACATGTATCATGTAGACCTGTAAATTCCTTATTGCAGTTATTCTTGCCATTCTAGACAAGAGATTACGACAATTTGGGAGGAGATTCGTATACTCAAGGAATCGGAGTAGACTATGGTCGAGGTCCAACATGAATTTCTGTGCTTCAAAGTACACCGGTTTCGCAGATTTAGTAGCGCCATGTGACAATAACAAGGAAGCCACACACCGCGTCATATATGATCAAGATACTGGCGAGGGACAGATGGACTTGTATGCCACTTGGGAACTAGGTCAACAAGATGTCAGATTCAAGACGCATACTAAATGTTGAGAGAGTATGCAACTGTGACGGTGCAGGCCCGGTCTTTGTGGAAAGGGGTGTGTCATTCATGCACCTAGGCCAGCAGAATCGGAATGCGAGCCACTCAGCCTCCTCTGCTTGATTCTGAACCGCGGTCTGCGCGACGGAAGTCGGCACTCTTCTTCCACTCTTGTGCTCTTTCCTTGTGTGTCTTCTCTTGCGTTCAACTCGTTGCCGCATCAGGAGAGCTCGTGACCCATGCGTTATTTGTCAATGGCAAGATATGCAATGTAAGAGAGAACCTAGTCTAGACAGTTTCGCTTGACTTTCGGCGGTATGTTTCTCGAACTGGACAGCCTTCATGGGCGTGCACCTCCCACGCGCCAATTCCATATTCTAAGGGTGGCTTATTCTTCCCCTTACCATCTCTGAGTAGATTTTCCGGCCTGTAATCTTGATTGGTCTTCATACGGCGAATAACTGACCCGTGAATTTTAGCCTCCTTTGGAAGGTCACGTCTCTCCCCAAGGGGAAGAGGCCACCGAGTGGGTTTCCAGGATCCATCGGGTTGCAATGCCAATCTCCGAAACGGAAGATACTCCGCTACTTTCCACGTTACAACGGTGGGCCACGAGACACCGTGGTCGTACTGTAAGAAGTCATGTACATGTCCGGTCGTAGATGCCCTTCGGAGTGCGGATTTAAAGCTGGATTCGTTCCCTGGATCACCTCTGTAATCTCCATTTGTTTGGCCTCCGGTGGTTGGCTCCAGATGACCCGGAAGATCACTATAGCCAACTGAATCATCAAAGCAATGAAAGAGCTTCATCTTTTCGTGATCAAATCGAAGCCCCGCACGCCTCGCCTCCTGTACCATCCACACCAATGGCACATGGCTCAGTGCTAGGTCTTCATCGTCATCCAACTTTAATCCGCCGCCAATATCCGAATGACATCCAGCGAACCACACCTCCTCGATGTCTTGAGGCGGGCTTTGGATTTCGTCAAGGAGCCCATCCTTAGCTTCTGAGAGCGTACTAGCCGGGTTTTGGGGGTCTGCTTCCATTTTTTGTGGGTGAGCAACAGGGGCTGGTCGATAGAACGCCTCTCCTGTGCAACGAGCTTGCTGCTCTGGATGATCCGGCATCTTGCGCCGCGTCGATCGCCTGTTAGGGTTGGCATCTGAGATTAAATCCTGTCGAAACTTGGCACGATGCTCATCGATAGAAACGGCATGCCGAATTACCCTGGCCGAGGTTTTTGCCGTAAAAGGAAACAGAAATTTATTGCGATTCACTTCAAATCTTGGGATGCTGTTGACGGTGTCAAATAATCCGAGGAACCGAATTTGCGATACCGGACGACAGAAGGTCTCTCGTAGGGCTTTCATGTACTTATATAAGTCATCCTTTTCTGTCTGGCCAGCGTCGACGCTGTTGGTACATTTTGCCCACTTCGAGAAGGTCGTCCAGACGTAACGTACTTTCCCTTCATTTCCTGGCTCTAGCAAACCAACGTGGTCTACCATTTCCGCAAGCATGCGAGCAACATACGCTCCACGGCTAAAACCAAAAATGTATATGTCATCTCCAGGGCTGTAAAAGCGCATGAGGAACCTATAACCGTCCATGACATGTTCGTCAAATGTTGTGCCTGTCGCAGAATCCTTCATATTCGAAAACCATCTCTTTAGTCGATTCTGGCCGGCATTACTGACCTGCCAGATCGAGGTGGTATGCGTCCCAAACCCCGGCTGATAATAATGAAATTGGCGAGGGTCATTGCGGTTCAGCATCTTTCATCAGTGTAAGAGTAGCCTGAAGAAATTGATTCATGTTCTAACCACTCACTCTGTAGATCTTGAGGATATTACTGTCCGCTTCGTCTCCGCGGAATTTATATCCGGTGCCATCGAAACAGAGAACAAACTCTTTGTTGTCTGCGACGGCGGCCCGCTCCATGTTAGGTGTTGCTTCTGTATTCTAAACAGTCACGCCACTCTATCGAATATTCAGTGGCACGTCGTTCTTTTAAATCTTAGAAAGGGATGTTGTTAATGTAGGAGTCACCCACGGGTAGCTTGTGGCGAAACTTACCTGTCGGTAAATCCAATGTCTAGAATCACTTAATTTCCAACAGCCTCATGCATTTCCTGTAGCCCTGGATTAGAATGGGCCCCATAACACAATATGGAGAGAGATCTGACGGTTCGATTGCCATTTGCTAAAATTTTCCGAAGATAGATACATATCGGCTAGTTCCGGTCTCGGAAGTGTTCGGTGCGGAATACGAGAGCCAGAGATTGGTCGATGATGTCGAGATGACCGCGACAGAAACTCAAAAAGTGTATTCTTCTTGCGTTGAACTACAAAGTTTCGCACAAGCCCAGGTGGATAAAAAGGGCTATTTATCTAGTTTAAGTTTATCCCGGACGGCTGAAAAGGTCACTAATCGATCTCGTAAACATTATTAATGGTTGAAGATCTCTTATTATTGGCCATCTGCCAGTTCGGGCTCTATTGAGCTCCTGCGGGGCTATGCTTTCTGCTCCAACCTCTGAGGTCATCAAGGACCTTTTATAACTGGGAGAAGCATTATATATAACTAGAAGACAGATATATTGAGAATATTGACGGTTTCTGCCGTCACCTTTAACTTATACCTTGTGAATTGCCATCATCAAGGCACCATGTCACCTCTGAACGAAGCCGCTTGGATTCTGAAGCCCAAAAGTGATCTGAAGCGATTCACTGCGGCCTACAATGCCCCTTCGTTTGACGAAGTTGTGATCGAGGTGCATCAACACATTGCATGGAGTTTTACTGTAGAAGTCGTGTAGCTAATAAGTGTGATAGAACCGCGCTGTTGCCATACAACCGTTGGATGCCAATATCCGGGCCCAAGCATACGTCGACGTGCCCTACCCATTCATCTTGGGCAATGGAGTTGCCGGCATTGTCCATGAAGTTGGATCGTCAGTCACGAGATTCAAGAAGGGCGACCGCGTCGTGTCTGATACACCTACTTACCAGCTCAAAGAAACTAAGTACGGGGGCTGGCAGAAATATGTCGTGAGTAATGAAGCCACAACCGCTAAGATCCCGGCAAGCACGACTTTTGAGGATGCGGCTGCAATACCTTTCGCGCTTTTAACAGCTGTTTCTGCGTTGCACTTGCACCTGGGTATGGAGAAACCAGGAGCAAATTGCAACAAGAAAGCACTAATCTGGAGTGCTAGCGGATCTGTGGGGGGTTACGCTGTTCAATATGCCGCCAGTGTGAGCATAAAATAGCTCAATGGTGTTATCCGGTGAAAAGCTAATAAGGATCTCTAGGTCGGTTGCGAAGTCATAGCAACCGCTTCCCCGCGGAAATTCGACTATGTTCGTGGCCTTGGAGCCTCTACTGTTCTCGACTACAAGGACGATGAGATCGTATCGAAACTTAAGAACCTCGGGCCCTATGATTATATCATGACGGCTTCAGGTGACGCCAAAGGTGCAAACGCTATAAGCGAGATCCTGCAACCAAACGGCGGGACATTTGCTTCTGTCCGCGCGCAAAGTAATGAAATGAATCTGGCCAAGAATGTCCGTTTAGTTTACGACTTTTTTAGCATGACCACCCAGAAGCCGGAAAATAGTAATTTTACGGAATGGTGGTATCATGACTACCTCCCCGGAGCTCTGGAAGGAAAAGTGACCCCTACACCCTTGGAAAAGCGAACTGGTGGCTTGAACAGCATCCAGGAAGCTTGTACCGACGTTTTGGAAGGGCGCAGCCCGAAAAAGCTGGTTCTAAACCCCCAGGACGCTGATAATTGAGCTGTAATATAGGTATCAACAATCATATTACTGGCCGCCTTAGCTATCCTAGTGTCTATCTTTATATTTGACTGTAGTGGTCGCCTGTCCGCAGATTTTACTGCTTTGTCTTTAAACCAGAGAAATAGTCCGATTAAGAAGTGCGTCATTCTCGGCTCCATGTGAGAGCGTACAGCTGAGGTGTAATATGGCTTTCCCTATTGCGATTGATTGATGCATCCGCCATCCATGCCAAAGAAAGCTCTTGAAAATTCATTCTCCCGGAGATATCCCGCCACTGCGTACTAGCGTATTCTTGGAATAGCCATTGGGAGGAACTTTGTAGAAGGTGAAATCTCCTAAGGGGACGCTGCTTTTGCAACCAACGCCCACCCACCATAGCGCATGTTTATACCGAATCCGGTGGTAGCATGATCGGGTGCACCATGGTCAACTGAACTACATAGTACATATATTAACTTCACTTGAGGTAAATCCAGTACATACGACCATAGAATGTGGAAAACAGGGCTTCCCGTCCGCACTTAAGCCACACACTGGAACGGGAGGGGTGAATTCGACGACGATCGCTGAAGACTTTTGTCCCTGGGGGCCCTGAGGCGAGGCAGTCAGCCACCCCACGTGTGAGATCTGGGCGTCATCATCCCAGCGGTATGCGTTATCCGTCAGCAGGGCCTTGCTGGCCCCCTCCGGCCGCGTGAAGTCAATCGATTTGACTTGCACCCCGTGGACCACGATCCCCCAGGTTGATTGGCGAATAGTCGCGTCCTTCCCAGATAAATCTTAGCACTAAGGACAGTTAAGATAGTTAATAATCTTATTTTTGTCTGTTTCGCGGTTAGATATAAGATAATCTTATATCTAACTGTTAACCTGACAGCAGGTATAAATTTTTCCATTAATCTATCCTACCCTGGCCGTTAACCACTCTAATACTGATTAAGATAACTACTTTTTTTTATTTAGGTAATATCTATAGTTTTATTCTGGATGCTTCCTCGTCTAAAAGACTATATTAAAAATATTACTTTAGCAAATTACTAGTAATCAAGATTATATAATTTGAAAATTCCTGGATCTTAACTGCTTTTTCCGAGGGCGCTTAGGTAGCAAGAATCAAGCATTTCTTACGACTTTAATATTGACCTAAAATGTCGTTTCAACATCATGTCCCGGAACAGTACGGAATTGCTAGTAGTGATGTTCTCTTAAGACGAGACACAGGTGGGCGACCGCGGCGGGAGGTCCGGTAGGAGACTGAAAATCCGTCCACAGTCATGACATAGTCCCGGCTAGCCCAGTTCACACTTTGTTATCACGCTCACTGCCACAAGCATAATATTATCCCTTACTGGCTAGCAGTTTACTTACCTGCCGTCCTGTCCTACTGAAGGGTGCCTCATTGTTTGCGCCAGCCACTCAAGTTAAAACCATGCCATCATCCTTTGATACTTGTTTACCTTGGCTCGAGTTCCGTGACAATAGTGGAGTGCTGGTGGAGACCCCGGTGGGTGGCCCGGTATGTGGCGCAGCAGCTACATTCCGATTTCCCGGATTATCAATCAGTAGAAATAATGGGCGGCGAATGGATTAAATATAGAGCATGCGCTCTTTCCAGCAGCTGCTGTGATCATGGGAGGCCGAACTATGGCTGCAAAATCTGACAACACAAACTCCAATTTTCCTCTTGCAGGGAGCGCCAGTGATGGCTAGTCGACGGAGGAAGAGACAACTGCTACATACTACTGTGGAGCTGTGCAATTGGCATTTGTAAGTGCTCCCCAACATGGGCAGGCCAAAGCTTTTCACCTAGAAAATCGTCCTTAACTATCTCTTGCTAATGCCATGCGCAACCCTCAGCCAGCGCAAGCTCCTGGTCTTGTTGATACATTCATCTGCAACTGCACAGATTACCACAAAATCACTGCATCCATGTTCGCGACCAACTTTGTTATCAAAGACACGTATTTAAAACACTTGCGTGGCAAAGAAATGCTCACCATCTATTGCCAGCCGAAGACCACTATCACTGGCAAGGCAATGACCAACTTCTTCTGTTCTGTGTGTGGCTCGCTTATGTATCGCACGAGTGAGGTGTTCCCAGGACACAGCATTTTGCGTACTGGAACGGTTGATGATTTTAGTCTGCATGAGACGAAATTGAGGCCAAGGGTGGAGATATTTACCAAGGACCACCCGAGTTGGCTCTGCGGTGCAAATGGTGTTGGACAGTTTAAGGCAGCACCTCCGACGCTTAGGAATACCCCCATTCCAAATCCCTGAATTGGAATGCTACAGACGCTATATGTACCCCTTCTGTTATGTACATAAAGTAACATTTCACATCTGGCTCTCTTATGCAGCATAAAAAAAGATTGTTCTGCGCTCCAATTCGGTCCATGCTGACATGAGCGGGAGGTGCGCGTGAGGGTTGACAAAAGTCGAGAGGTCTAGCTTTCAGCTCTCAGATATTAGATTCTTGGCGACTGCGTCCTGCTCCCTATTAAATGCTCACCCCTTGATCGGAAAATCAAACCTGCCTGCGCAATTACCTAACTATCAGTTTTAAAGGCACTGTATTCTATTCCAACCAGGTATCCACGTAGCTCCCACCGGGCCTCCCATCGCTCTCCGTTCGCTCCGCCCACTAAGGAGCTACCAGCATCCCACTAGTACTCCATTTTTGTGAATTAACAATACAATACTAAACTGGCGTCGTGGGACTAGAGTAAAATAGATATGGTGATAACATTGTCTAGATAAGGATAAAAAAAATAATATATAAAAATATATAATATGATAGTAGAAGTACTTGGAGGCTCTTGTCTCTTACTACTGGGCAGGAGAGACTTATATTTGGCAGTAGATCCCGCTGCGATTGGTTGTTCTACCTGGTTATTCTCTTGATTTGATGGAGCGGAAAGGTTGTTTGGTCCCAGTACTTACGACATACCATGTAATAATAAATATTATTGGAGAAAAGGGTGGGAGGGGACAAAAGGGAGTTCTTTCATGCGCCAGGCAGAGCGAAAGATGGAGGAACAGAAGACATTTGGGGGGGCTGGTGGTGGGAAGAATCAGCAGACACCGTCCTAATGGCTACCTCACTGGTCCATGGCCGAGCGAGAGACCCTGACCAACTTATGCGCGTTTGGCTTTTCCCGCTCGGAACTACGTAAAACAGGGCAAGAAAGTCCGAGCAGCCTGCAGCTGCTTGCGCGGTTTCAGTATTTGCAGGGATAACTATCGGCTTATCTTAACGTTGCTCATGCTATTTATTGGTGGGTGATGTCGAGCAACCTAAGAGCTAGATGGATCGGACCTTTTTGCAACAGGTATGAGATACATATAAGTCGACTACACTACGCTCGAGCAGACTGCACTCTCATTTCACTAGCAATGGTTGTCCTTATCTCGGCTGGTGGTATCGGCTATTTGCGCCATCGGGAGTATTCATTTAGCTAGTAGTAAACCGCAGTGGCTATAGACTATACATCTTCTACCACGAATTTCATGAAATTACGATGCGCTAGTCAGGAAGGTCCATGACAGTTCCATTGCTGGATCTCTTTCACTATTAAAGTTATTACACGGCGCGCCTCTTTCCACTACTTTTATCTTTGCCTTTATTTCTTCTCTGAAACGCTTTAGTATGTCATCCCATCAAACCAGCCCCAGAGGAATGTCGTGTCTTGCATTGTGCTCATCCGACATCAAACCAAAGTGATACCAGAGTAGCTACCCTCGTCGCTATGGAGGACAGTCTTGTTGGACCCATCCATATCAACCCTATATAGAGATCCTCCCAAGTCACTGAGGTAAATTTGCCGGTTTGCCCAGTCAACCTTCATCCCGATAAGCTCGTTAAAATGACGGGCCAATATCTTTAGATGAGGTTTCCCCGCGCCAACGGATGCCTGGTTCAATGTGTTGCCATACGGGTGCTCCCCGCGGTCAGTCCAATAGAGCGTCTCAGTCTCTGTGTCGATTTCGAGGTCGATCGGTTCAGGCAACCCCTCAAGAAGAGATTCAATATCTGTTCGGTTGGTAGCCGTCTCACCAGCAGGCATCTTGATATTTGCACGGAAAATGCGTCCCTGATTCGACTTAGAGGGACCCTTCTGAGACCAATAAATTTTGCCGCGCGTTTCATCAATGGTAATTCCAACACACCAACGGGTTTGGTCATTCTGGTCTTCGGTACCAAAATCACCCCTGCACACCAAAATTTCATGGTTTTGACCATCGAAGTCGCACCGGTGGATGCGCATTCCCTCCCTATCGCAGAAGTAAAGCTTTTGGTTCGTGTCGTCCACAACAAGTTGCTTGGGTGTATGCACGGCGCCTTCTGGTAGCACGACCTGTACGTCGCTGCCGTCCAAGTTGGCAGACATGACGGAGCCATCGTTTGCGGCCGGTCTCATTCCCATGTTTGTCCAGAAAATGCGGCCAACAGAGGGCGAATAGTCAATCCCGTCAGGACAGTTCAAGTTGGTGATGAGTGTTTCGCACTCTCCATCACTGGTTCGTCGGAGGATGCGACCCGACTTTCCAAGTGCCGAAAGATCCTGTACAATTGAACCCAGTCCAATATCGAGGAAGTAGACTGTGGGCAGATTCGAAGAATTAAATGCAGGTCGAGGAGGATAGAGGCCGCCCTTGTCACTTTTATTGCCCAGTTTCCCTTGATTGACATAGTTTTTGCGTAGCCAGTCAACGGCCAACGTAGAACCTAATTGGCGCTCCTCGATATAATGGTCTTCAATGAATGCAACAGTATCCAGGCCAACCTGATCCATAAAGGTACAAGGCCCAGCCGCATTGTGAAACATCTCAACCCAGATCTTGTCGATCTCTTTCGGTTCGGAGACTTCTTCGGCCAAGATGGTTATAACTTCGCGCTTAATGGCTGCCCAGAGGCGATTGAAAACGAAACTGTTGGCTCCTATTAGCCTCGCATCCTGCGGAGAAGAGGGGGAGAGGGTTTAATCTGGGTCAATAGCGACTCACCCAGTGGACTCTCGGCGAGCAGTTACCGGAACCATGCCAACATCCTCCAGGACTCTTGTCAGAAATGGAAAGACCTCAGGCCAGGTTTCTCCGTCAGTCATCAACTCGACAACCCGCTTTTCTGGTGGCATATAAAAATGCATATTGCAGACCAACGGCCGTCTGTGCCCACCAACTTTCTCGAGCATGAATCGCGACTTGAACGACGAGGAGTTGGAGGCCAAGATACAATCCACCGGCGCTAACTTGTCGAGCTCGCCCATGACATCAATCTTCATTTGTAGATGTTCGGGAACTGCTTCAATGACCAACCAGGCGTCGCTCACAGTGCTTTCAAGGTCGGAGAACGCGCGACAGTGGCCGAAGCGGCGGTTCCCTTTGGAAAACTTCGAATACGTTTTCAGATTTTGCGTGACGTAGTCCAGCGCGGCCTGTTGTGCGCTGAGAGACGGGTCGTATAAATTGACGTTGTATCCTGCTGCGGCAAAGACACAGGCGATTCGACGGCCCAAAACACCCGCACCGAGGAGTGCAAGAGGCCTGGAGCCGATAGGAGGCGGTGTCCATGATGAATGCATTGTTGTTGGAAGATAAATGAGGGTTATTAATAGATGTCTAGAGATTGTGTTGTCTTTTTGTTGATCGATGCATAGTTGACCAGCGGTGACTGAGCGGCATCTTATATACTTTCTCGACGATAGAAGTAAGCTTCGCCCCCCTAACCCGAGCCAGCTGGCCCGATACCCTGTCGACACCGTCACATTGGCATGCCGAGAATAATTGACAAGCTTTGTTGGCCAATTTCTTTCGGAGGCGGAACGGAGGCTACGCTGGAATACCTATCTTACCCAGAATTGACATTCCGCTTCCGCCTCCGTGGAGGTTCCGACGTTATGTAGATGATCCGTCACAAGACGTATGACAAACCCGATATTTAGAAACATAAAAGGCTACACTGTCTGTGAAAAGTATATGGCTCTACGAAGTAAAATTTTTCGATAGATCGTAGCGAAAGCTCCTTAGTCGGACTTCAGTAAATGCGACGAAGGTCAAGGATGTGCTATTGCTTATTACGTTACCACGCAAAGTAGGTCTCTCTCAAGATAATACATCTACAAAAATCGGCACCCCGAGCTCCAAGCGTAAGATGTCTGTCACTTAGAGAGCCTGTAGGCATACCTCTTAAGCGGCTGACGGGTAAGACCCCGATGCATCCGTTCCTCGGTATTCCTTCCTCCGAAGAATTTTCCCCTTTGTTGATGAGCGTTGCCTCTCAATGCGATTTGCCGTTCTATGCGATGAGGAGTGGAAGAGTGAGAAGCAGAGGAGGAGATTAGATAGAATGGCCTAACTGCTACCTGCAGTGTGAAAAACAGCATGTAGCGGTCGACAGATGGATAGCATCTTTAGTCATACTCTGGCTGTGCCGTCTGCTTCACATGGAGGCCAACTCATGCGTGTTGCAACTTCCATGGTATATATATTATGTTCTTATTTCTACCTACTCCGGCTTAGACAAAAGATTTTTTTTGTAGACTGTTGCAAGAAGCCCAGGGCTCGGTACGGAGGAAAGGAATTTGAAGAATCCAGCAATATAATTTTAGTTTGTCGACATATTTCTACCAAAGATAGCGGCTCCTAGCCAATCTCCCGCAATGAAATATTGATTCCGAGCTGGCAAATTGCGTCAGTCCATATATCATTGTAGTCGGCACAAAGGATTGGGGATCTCGTACAGCTTATGCACATTTTAATGTAGGCTATATGCCACAGAATGTGGGTCAGTGCTCCAGCAAAGGGCATATTCTTGCCGAAAACTGATAGATCTGCGATCGCACAACCATCGCCAACGTAGGCAAGAGATCCTTGGTGAGTATATTCAAAGGGTGGTGGAAGTTGCGCTCTTGCCATGTCTTCCCCGGCATTTGCATCGGCTTTATTGAGAAATTGTGCAAGGTAAGCGCCTTCTTGATGTGCGACTTGCCCAGTTGCACTGTATCTCGTTGCCGTGCAATCACCAAGAGCCCACACACCTTGGGTACCTTTTACACGAAGATATTCGTCTACCAGAAATATACAGAGAAGGAGATTCGAAATATCACTGTAGCTCATCGCGAAGCCAAATGCCTTTCTGACAAGATCGCCTTGGGCTTGGTACGTTTGCTTCGATGGTGCACTGATTTCGTGACTGGGTATCGAAATCCCGAAAGGAACAAAGAAATCGCAGACAAGTTTGATATGACTGAGAGAAAATGGCTTATTCGTTTCATTTTTCTCGAATCGGTTGCTGGGGTGCCTGGTATGGTGGGCGGCATGCTCCGACATCTGAAGAGTATCAGACGGATGAAGAGGGATCATGGATGGTCAGTACAAGGGAAAAAAATAATTATCTCCAAGTACTTAGCAGTAGCTACACAAGAAGCTGCAGACTGACACAACCGCAGGATCGAGTCCTTGATTGACGAAGCCTACAACGAGCGCATGCACCTCTTGACATTCCTCGACCTGGCAGATCCAGGTATCGTCATGCGCTTAGTTGTCTTGGCCGCGCAGGGCGTCTTCTTCAATGCCTTCTTCGTCTTCTACCTTGTTTCGCCCAAGACATGTCACCGATTTGTTGGATACCTGGAGGAAGAAGCTGTCATCACCTATACACACGCAATCCGTCAACTTCAAGCTGGAAAACTGCCAGCATGGGACAATTTATCAGCGCCGGAGATTGCAATCAAATATTGGAGAATGCCAGAGGGAAAACAGAGAATGGTTGATTTGTTGCTTTATGTTCGGGCGGATGAAGCGAAGCATCGCGAGGTTAACCATACTTTGGGAAACTTAGACCAGCATGAAGATCCCAATCCTTATACTGCGCTTTATCACGATGGGAATAATGCTGGTCCCTCAGCGTCGCCCGATGCAGGGAAGCCCATTGGGTGGGAGCGAGATGAACTAATTTAGAAACTTTTTCAGGTGTTATTCTTTATGGAAATCCATATTCGTCTACGTAAAGTTATTCTTTTGGCGTCTTTTTCTTTCTGCCAACAATAGTTCCGTATCTCCATTTCGTACTATTATCCAGTATCTAGCACAAATAGACTTCATTAGTATATCCACCTACGAACTCAAAAGGAAAACGTCCAAAAATACAACTAATAGGGCATCCTGAACGCACCTCCTGGTCCTTCATCGGCTATATCAGCCAAGGAAATAGGCCAGTCGTTCCAGCTGAAGGGGTATGAATCAAGAGGATTCATGATAAGTCCCTCGGGACCAAAGTCGTAATTGAAGTCTTCCAACGAAACTTCACCAGTGGACCGGCTGGATTCAAGTGCTTGAGGCCGATCTACCTCACGCTGTGTAGACCTGACCTTTTCATTCAGCTGTTTCAAGGTTACCCGACACTTGTGAGCAATATTGGTAGAAGGCTCGCAACATTTGAGAATATCGTCGACCTGATCTAATAGATCATCGATTTCTGAAATTGGGATGTGGCTTTGGGTAATGGGGCAAAGATATTCCGCGATAAGAACAGTAGCAGCCATATAAATATCTTGAAGAGTGAGCTCTTTGTCTAGTTTAGGGGGAACCTTTGTTTTGCGATTCGGAAGACTGTACTTACAAGAGATGATGTACCAATGCGAAGGAAATGTGTTCCTATCTGACATGGCAGTCTGCCTGTTGTTCAGGTCCTTGAAAAAGTCAACAATATCTCGTGCCGAGCTGATGCACTTAGTGTGACAGCTTTCGGTCACTATCTGAATGACTTGCTCATCAGAAGGGCCGCTGGTCTTCTCGTGTGACCGATTCCTGGGCTTGCAACTCTGAAAGAAAAACGGTCGGAAGAAAAGTAATCTGACGCAGAGATATCTGACAGAGTAAGCTAAGGGTACCCTATTCCACTGCTTCAAAATACCTGTTCTCACCGAGCATGAAGTACGTTGGCAATCCGGGAGTCTGTTCGACCAATACCCACCTGCAGCTGGGGGGGAAGACCGGAATACCAAGTCGATAGATCGAACTCAATTCGAAATAAATCCGTGAGCTTCTGCGGAGCCAGGATATCATCTTTCTCCGTTGGGATTGATGCCCCAAATTCAGGAGAAGACGGATGCTCGCTGCTTAGTGGATAGAGAGACTCCAAGATGTCGCCAAGTATAACATGAAGATGGCAAAATGCGCTATAGAAGTCGCCATTGATACTTGAGGGGGTATTTGGACGTAGCACTTGTTGGGTAGCAGCAGAAGTTGGCGGCACAGCAGATTTCTTGACAATCTCATGGCTGATCTGAGGTTTCGACCCAAAGGTCATGGCCGCAATCCTAGTAAGAAGTCAGGTATTAATTCAGTGTAGGTCGCAGGCTCCATGTACCTGTCCATAATAATACATCCAAACCACACTCTCATAGCAAGATCTTGCTCATGTTTGTTAGTAAGTAGTCGGCAAGATTCCCGGGATTGAACCCCTAAAGTCCTGGCAATTTGAATAGCTAGACCGATGTTCTGCACGAATTCTTGAGCCAAGTTCGTGTGCTGAAGGTACACGGCGGAGAGGAGGAAGATTTGAATGACCTCCAGATTATGCATTTCCATAAGATTAAAGGACATGAGCTGTTTTGCTCTGTCGAAGTAGACACTCGCACACTGAGTGTGTGTATAAACTTCGCTGGTGGTACCGATCATGGAAGATGTCGCAAATATGAGGTTGAGGATGCAATGAAATGCCTTTTCGTTCATGTCCAATGCTGAATCCCCCCAAACCATATCGTAGTTTGCGGTGATTGTGCCCTGATCTAACCAAGGAAAGATAGGATCAATGTGCTCCCAGTATTTTGTGAATAAGTCATCAGCCACCCTTCTAGTTGGAAGGACAAAAAGAGTCTCGTAAAACACTTTGTTCTCTATTAGCAGCGGCAGCCTAGGCAGCGTCTGAAGTGCCTTGTTATGTTTCCGATTCGACGCCAAAGTGCCTGTCGCTGCACTCTCAATTTGACGCACAAACTGTGAACCCGTCGATGCATCTATGAGACCTTCGCTAGGTAGAGAGGAGAACTCTTCATTAGAAAGGGATATTTCTGCGGGAGTCCCAAATGTCGAAAAGGGGTGCCGCGGAACCGACGCTGTAGGCTCTGTTGTATCCGGTTGGGAACGGGCACAACCGACGGGTTTGAACGACGAGGTTCTCGCTGCCTTGAGAGTTTCGATGAGCAAGAGACACCTTTGCAGTCGGTGAATACGTTCATAACCTACTCTGTTCTCATTCCCTCCTTGTTTGTTCCTAATGCCGCTGCTTTAGCGCTGCATCTCCTACAGCGGGCCCACAAGAAGGACTTACTCTTTTCGATATGCAACAGAGGCCGGCTCAGGCCGATATATACATTCCATTGCACCATTTTTTCGTCTAGAACATGGGCCACACACTGGTTGAACGACCCATTGAATGAGTGCTTGTTCTAAACGGAACGAGAATCTGCAGGAGAGAGCCCACCTGGCCGAATGCCATCGCATTTGGTCTTCCTGCGCTTGCAAACGTTGCAAGCAACATTAATTTTATGCCGCTTTGTTTGCGGTTCTGACACGAAGCTATAGGGGAGACTGCGCTTACTCGTCATAATTTATTTCTACGCAGATGGGCAAGAATCGGAGGCGGAGGCGGAAGCGCCTGCAGATGGAAGTGACGAACTAGTCAACGCTAGTTAACGTAATCAACGGTTGGACGGCCCACACGGTTGGGCGGCCCATCTGGTAATCCTATACAAAAGATCTTTATATAAAACATAAGATATCTCAACCACTAAGAGTCTGAATGATGTCAATCTCTATATACAGACTATAAATAATATAAAAAACCAGTAGATATCTTTCAAAATTCTTTTCAAGTATATTTAGTAGTATATTATATTACAATATCTGTATTTTATCTGTATTTGATAAAAGTATAATATATTCCATATAAAGAAAAAAGTATAAAAATCTGAAAAAGTTATCAGTCACTTATTCTTATATATATACTTTGCATATAAAGTTAAAGCTTTCTCAAATCCAGTATTGGTTGAGATGTAATAGTGTCGAAAGATATCTTTTATATAGGATAGCAGGATGGGCCGTCTAACCGTGTGGGCCGTCCAACTGTTGTTTTCAGTTACGACGGTGAATGACTAATACATCCACCCAAACCAGAAAGAACCACCCATAACCTCTGTAAGCAGTATTTGATTCTTCTCTATATCCTCGAGTATCTCGTAGATTTGATAGTCTTTCTCCATATCTGTGTAGGTTGTGTCAGAGTCAAAGTGAGCAAGGAGCTTATCCCGCACCCTCGGTGTATACTCGTTGATGCTTAACTCGTGTATATCAAAGCTGATCATGTCTGACTTGACTAAGATATATACTTTATATTTTATAGCCAGCTGAAGATTAGATAATTACTGATCTAGCTTTTAATATAAATAATATATAAACTAGAATGACCCACATTAATTAAGGTAACTAGAATATATCTGTCCTGGGAGGTAGCAACATTCACCGCTGACATAGACTGGGCTTTACCAATGTAGGTGAATGAATAACGGACACGATCACTCTGGACCGGCAGGTGGCTAACTGGGGTTGATAAAATCCGTGACATCTTTCTCCTCGTGCTGCTCTTTACCGCCGCACCCTTGTCGCAGATACACCCACACTGTGCCTTGAATAGTACAAGCTGCGGAGATTGCTCACAAAGGTTACATCAAAGTTTCATCAAGCCCCTGCAAAACTGCTGCCTAGAAGGTGTACTCAAAGATCATTAAACGGCTATTCTGGCCCCTATCTTTGCAACGGGTTCATGTTAGACGGTGCTACCAAATGGGCACAACCATAGGAAAATACCATCACTCATCCACCTGAATCTGCGAGATCACTGTTCCTTTGAGGTAATCCTACCCAAATATCCTTACTGCCGGTCAATGATCTCTGTACACCACGATTAGTAATATTCTACTAATTTAGATAGAACCCAAACTATGACCATGGACAAGGATCTCAATATAATCTCAGAAAGCAACTAGAACAAAGCAAAGGTGGATCTGAAAGAAAAAGACATAGAAAAAGATTAAAGACATGGAAGATTAATAGATAAAACAGTCTTACTATCCTGATAATATAACCATCGGTAAATTTATCATTTATATTGAGAATAAGATGCCCCAGGAGCATTAAGATAAATAATAGAAGTTATAGAACATGGAGAACTTTACATATAAGGATATTTTAGGATATTTGAAAACCTATAGATGTACTCCGGAGGAATATAAAGAGTTGAAGAAGGAGACGAAAAAATCCAGATTTATTATCTATATAGACTGTGGCAATAAGGGCGAAAATAAAAACAAGGACAAAGAATACTTGTTAGAAGGGTCTTACAGTAAAATAATATGCTTTTCTATTCACCTAATCCTTTCTATATTACTAGTCTGATCAGTTACGATTTCAGTATCCGCGGTTACGCAAGAGAAGAACAACGAATGAAGGGTTGAGAAAAAGGTTTTCTTTCTTACTATTCTATTCGGATCCTAACATAACGAGTGTCAGGATAAGCATCAAATAGAATCATTCTATATTTCCATCACAACTTTTATAAGTACTAGCTTTAGTTAACCATAGCCAATGATGCTTCACTATACCGCTATTCACTATAACCCTTGATTAGCATTGAGTTATGATGTGCACAGCAGCAACCTCTGGATCATTGTGTTGTCATCCTCAATTATGTTCAACTACAAGGTTAACTAGTAGATTATTTTCGGATCTCGACACACTATAAGATTTGTCAAAAGGGTTGTCCTACCACATACGACCACAGGGTGTGGAAAACAGGGCTTCCCGTCCGCTCAGCCGTACTTAAGCCACACGCCGGGAGGTTAGTAGTTGGGTGGGTGACCACCAGCGAATCCCTTCTGTTGTATGTTTTTGTTTTTTGTCCTACTGTCTTATTAGACAGCCAGACACGCATCTATTTGCCCGGCCTTGTCCGCAATCGAAGGGGTGGAGTGCCTGGTCTATTGATATCACTCGTGCGAAAACACCAGTGCTCTCACCTCCACGCTGATCCTGGAACATGAACTCTCTGGTGTGTTCAAAGGACTGAATGATGTATGAGGAGTATCTGCAGCAAGTGCGTCAGCCAATGTACATCCAACGCCCCTTCAAAGCCACCGGCTTGAGAAGGATATGGACTGTTGAAAGGTAGGGTGTTCGACCACTCACATTTCACGCTATCTTCCTTCGTGTCAAACCCCTTAAACAAAAGCACATCTTGTGTCTCTTGTTCACTCATATAATACCATCGACGTGCACTATTTGCCTCATATTGTGGATAGAGCATAGTGCCGGTGTAGTTCCCGCGTATCATATCCGTCTCTATCAACTTGGTTGCGTCCATGGTTTGTCCATCACATACTGCCATGGGGTGATCCTCTATTGGACCACTTATCGGTCGCCAAAGGCTATTTTCTATGTTAGCAATGGCCATTCAATACGGCAGTCTAGCTGATCAGTTGGTTCTTGTAGAGTTTGTGAGCAGAGAAAAGCTAGGCTCATGAACCCCGGTACGCACATTATCAATTGGACTCGCCCAGAAAGAAGGTGTTGAGATTCTTCCGGAAGATGATTTCGTATACGCTCCATTGTAGGAGTTCCGATCTCATCTCGGGTCAAAAGTGTGTCTTGAAATGTCAGCATATACATTACCTACTCTCACCGCCGTGATGCACTGTAGCTTACCTATATGAACCTGTCGCGCAAACCCCTGCAAATTTGGGTTTCTTGTCCGCTTCTCTTTCGCGCTCTTTTTCTTTCTGATCTACCAAGCGTGGAGACTTAGCAGTTGTTGCATAGGTTTGAAGTTGTTGCTGCATACTTTCCAATCGAAAATCTTAACTTCATCGGCTCCGTTAACGTGTTCCTTCAGAATGGCTTCGCATTCTGGCAAGAAGATATCATTGATCTTCTGAGGATCCGAGTACTCATATGGCTTTGTGATAGCCGGCGGGGGGCATCTTTTATAGGCGAAACCGTTGATGTCAAGATCGAACGGAGGGGCGTCAATTAGTCCCCTGATATCTCTGATGGTCTCGGGATGATCGGCCACGTGGAAGACTAAATTAGTCGTCTTATCGCGATCTGCATTGCGCTTTCTCCGTCCGGAGAATACACCAATCCGATAAGGGCGTGTATGGGTGTAGCTTGGTTGCCATTGGAGGTATGTCAGTCTTGCTTGAACATCTCTTGCCATAGTTTTAATTCCCACAATAGAACAGGCAAAGCAGTAGGCCAAAAAGGAATGAGTAAATGGTGTTGTCCAACCTTAGTGTCAAACTTTACATCCCAAAAATCACCTATCTGATTCCTACTTAAGTAATATGATTGAGCCCCCACTTACAGCCTCAAATGCGGAGCAACTCCAACAGACTAGCTAACCTCACTTAGACCCCGTTAGCCATGAACTATCTACTCAGTGAAATGACTCACTCAAGGTGCCAAGAATGTCTCACAGCCTCCGACGAGTCATCTCACCCAGTTTTAGGGGCCGCGCTAGACACCTAAGCTTGAGGTAGTTCGCCAATAGCGGGAGGAAATATCTGATCACATATTAGATAGTGGGTCTTTTGCTTGGGCGCAGGAAAGTGGCTTGCTACGTTGTCGCACTGAACCCTGCTCCGCTCAATCATCCAACTCGACACCCTTGACTGTCCATCTAGTCACGGTCTCGATGCTTCAAGAATATATTGCACTCTAATGAGCCACTCAATACTAGTGCTATCTATCCTGCGCATACATCTGGACATGCATGCAGCGTTGACTCATGTACTTAGTCATTGATTTATGCGCGAATACGCACGGACAGGACGTTTCAACTATGGTGGCTCTTCGATGTAGCATCTCGTCCAATACCGTACCAGAATCAGTTCTGTCTCTTATTCCACCAGGATAAGACAGCACGTAGCCTTTGATTCGTGGGATTACACCTATGAGAGCATAAACGCTGCCTCCTACGTCCGCAGGACTGTTTCGTAGACCAATCTCTCGGAAACATGCTTGCAAACTCTGTCTTTAGCCCTTCTTCTTGCCACTTTCGGACTACCTCTTCAGTTGACCGATGCTATCGCATAAAAAGTTATAACCTCGTGTCCATTGCAAGGAATATGCTCAGGATGCTGAAAGTTTGTGAGGAAACATCTATTCGCCTCCATCTATGTCTTCACTACAACTTCCCCTGAGAAGGACTAAACCCTTCACTAAACGGATAATCCACATATCCCTTCGGCGACATAGGGGTATAAAACGTCGGCCGATCATACTTATTGAGCGGTAACCCCTCCCTCAACCTGAACGGCAAGTCCGGATTCGCCAGGAAATGTCGCCCAAAGGCAATAGCCACGCGATGTCTGGGATGCGCCCGAAGGGCCTCAGTAGCCGTCTGGGCCGTGAACCCGCCCGCGAGAATAATAGCCCCCTTATCCCCAAACGCGTCAAACAGGAACGACTCATCCTCCTCTCCAGACACATCCTCCACCGACGTCGATCCTGAAATCCGTGGCCTAACCACATGCAAATAAGCCAAGTTCAACTGTGCCAAGCCCCGAACGAGATGCGTAAATTGCGGTTGGGGATCAGACATCCGCATACCCTGGAAGGTACTCCAGGGACTGATGCGATATCCAGTGCGCTGGGGTCCAATAGCGTCCGCCACAGCCTGTGCGATAGCCAGGCCGAACCTGGAGCGGTTCTCGACGCTGCCGCCCCATTGATCGGTGCGGTTGTTGCTCACTGATTGTGTGAACTGGTCGGGGAGGTAGCCGTTCGCGCCATGGATCTCGACGCCGTCGAACCCAGCGGCAATGGCGTTCTGCGCTGCGCGCACATAGTCGGTGATGTACCCGGATATTTCTTCCTCCGTTAGGGGGGTTGGGGCGGGACTGGATTCGCTCATGGGGATGTCTCCGCTCGAGACTACGCGGTATCCGCCTTCTTTCTGGAGGACGTCTGGCTTGGCGGCTCTGCCTAATGCCCAGAGTTGGCAGAAGATGAAACTGCCCTGGCTGTGGACGGCGGCAGTGATGGTCTTCCATTGGGCGATTTGGGCATCGCTCCAGATTCCGGGCACATGGCCCATGCCGCCGGCGCGAGCGGAGATGAAGGTGCCCTCGGTGATGATCAATGTGCCGGGGACGGAGGCGCGCTGGGAATAGTAGTCGCGGGACATGGGGAGCGGGACATGTTGAGCATCGGCGCGATTGCGGGTTAATGGAGCCATTACGACTCGGTGGTGTAGCTCGAGGTCACCGATGCGGATTGGGGAGGTTAATTCGGTCATGATGCGGGGGTGCAATTCGCGGGGTTCGAGGCTGTGAACGAAAATCACGGTAGTCTGGCGCTTGGATGTGTTAGTGGTATAAATAATAGACTTAACGGAGAAGTTTTAATTCATCAGCAGGGAAATCTACAAGTTGTCAAGGGGTCGGAGACTTTCGTACTTAATATTAGCCCGAATACATCGATGATTATTAATGGCTGCTTAGCCATGAAGTCATTGCAGGGCGGATATCCGCCGGCCGAAGCTTGTTTGCTTTTCCAAACTCTCCGAAGCGGGTCCTCATCAAGCCTGGCTGATGCACAATGATGTCTTGATGCTTCAGTCGAAAGCAATTTGCATTGGGGTTGATCCATGAAAAGACATTCACTTCTCGCTTGTATGAGGTAATATTTCTCATGAATATTTTCAGGGTCAATGGCGTGTCCGTTGAGCACCGGCTTGGTACCATGGCCTATATCCTGCACAATAAGATCGCTCATGATACGACCTCTATCCGGACGACTGTTTAGTATTATGGACGGCATAATTCAGAGTCAAACATGATGCATAACTGGCTGCTGCGCGATTACCGCAGCTGGCTCAGGGGGCGTGCTCAAACTTTCAACTCAAATCACAAGAAACTCCTCTACAGGGTTTTGTTCGAGATTTCCAGAAATGGTTCGGAAGTATGATGTGCTCATGATGGCCTGGCCAACTATTTTATAGTACGGTTTATCGCCCTTGTTGGCCACAGTGTCATCAATGCGAAGTATGACCGCGCTGTTCAAGAGATGCGGAATAGTGAGAATGTCATCATCTTCCACTGCTCCTGGACTGACACCAAAGATGTAGCGAAAGGATACATACGCCAAAAACAGCCTGTGGCCTCCAATATTCTGGCACTGTTCAATAAGAGGTTCCGTGTCAACCTCTCTCTCCCCCATGTTCCCCTCGGTGACGACCGCTGGATCTAACTCCGCTATCTCCAGCAAACTATGTATCCCATCGTCGATGTGGTCTTGCGAGATATTGTGAAAAGCACCCCATATGCCGAGAAGGTGCTTTTGCATGTTACGCCTATCATGGTGATCGCTCCACCGCTTCTTTATCATCCGGAAAACCCCAATAAGCTGATTTCGAACTGTGCGTGGGTTTGTTGAAAATTGCAACACGGCATAGCATTGACCGAACCGCTGAGCAGGGAGGTGTAAGATTGATCCATTATCAGATACCTTAGTTCTTGTTTGCTCTGATTCATCTTCGGATGGCCCATGTATTATGTACCTTGGAGCCTCTGTTAGAGGAAAATACCTGTAAGACGCTATGAATCGTGCGGGGCCTGGGCGATAATCCTGCACCCAGGAAGGGAGCTCCCTTGCATTGGGTCCAGCGATAGGAGCCAGCATGAGAAACTCAGTCCCCTCTTGCTCTATCATCCAGATCGTCGTCTCCAGCGCAATCTGCTCAAATGGCTTTTGATAATCTGGAGGGAAAGCCTTCTGGAGGTCCGGCATGACACCATAGAGACCATAAATTCTGTCTCTAGGATTTTGACATTTCCGATGCTTTGTTCTCATGAAATGATGTCCCGGATTTCTTCGACCTTCAAACACCCCAGGTTCTCTAATAGAGGAGACTCCGTAGTAATTGCAAGTTTCCCTGAATTCCTCGCGGGCCTTCCTCCATAAACCTTCCAGAGATTCCAGCTCATCAGCCGGTATATTGTTATCTCTCGGGAGCCTGTCGACTCCGCGTGTCCACTTCCAGTCTTTTCCAAGCTCCGCTAACATTATCGAGGTCTTAAAACTTAAATTACCACAGACAGTATGTGGCTGACTCTTGGGCAGAAGATATTCCTGATACGTCCACATTCGAAACCAGTAAGGCCTCGTCATAATCTGGATCATGCCCTGTAAGGTATTGCAGTCCGCATAAATCATCTTCACTCTAGCCTTGTGAGAATATTTGCTCGCTAAATCGAGCCACCACCAGTATAATGCCCGTTTGGTAAATTCCTTCTCCACATATCTCTCTGCCCATCCCACCGCCAGCTCGATCTCCGGGGTGGCATCTCCCAGCATGACTACCACGCGAGCCGCCGTGGAGTATATAGTAGCCATCAAAGGTACCTGGGTATTCTTCTCACGAATGTCGCATTGGTTGATGCAAATAGCATCGACCCATATATCCCGACGCCCAAATCTACGTCGAAGTTGGTGCAGAGCTTTAGCCACGTTCGGGGTTACGTGAAAAGTTACACCATTGAGGAATATCTGCTCGGTGGCATAGTCCGTTCCCCAGACGTATGAAAGAGCTTCGAACTTTGGAGAATCATTGAGTGACACGGTATGGAGGGAGCAATGGATTGGATAACATTTGATTGGGGAGGGATGGATGGAGAGCAGTCGGATTTGTTGTCGATTAGGATCCAGTGTATCGTATGGAAAGCTCATTCTGAGGGCAAACTCGTAGAAGAGGAAGCAAGTTTTGTATTCTTACGTGTTGTTGAGAGTGCTAGTAGTTATGACCGCGAATATATGGGAAAGGGAAAACTGAGGTCGGCAGGTCTGAGCGATCGTCCCTTTTGGCCTAGAAAAAGCAAACCAACTAAGCTCGATCGGAACAGCCCCTCATGTGTGCCGACGTGGCATGCATCTGAATTTCTCTTAGACTTGATCATTACTCTCGACAGTCTTTGGTAGATGCCCTACTATTTTCCGATCGAAAGCTTTCATTATATATCACAACAGTGCCATCTCGCCAATTATTACTGTCCATTCCAACATAAACAATTGATCCCCACCCCATTTGCCTAATTACGAGCGTTTTCCCTCAACCCCAACTGTTGCTCAACAACATCCCCAATAATCTGCTCCTCCGACCTCCACCGCATCCCCAGAATGCGATCAGCGGTGGTGGTATCCAGCGCCCAATGTCCCTCAAAGGGGGGCTCCAGCTTACACTCAACAGCCGGATACTTCTCCTTGATGAAATCTGCCGCATGCTCCCAGGATACAGCTGGCCTGGACAAGATGAACTCTGTTCCACTCTGGATATCTTTCTCCAGCACTTTAATATGTGCATCCGCGACATCGTAAACATGCACCCAGGCATTAGCGATTCGAGTTTGTCCTGAGGTAACCGACAACCAGAAAAGAGCGTTCATCCCACTGATCTCCTCCGGGGTCTTCTGGATCATACTGGGCCCTAGGACGAATGTCGGGTGGAGTGTGATTAATTTATAATGAGGACTATTGTTTTCCAAAAACGAACGTGTCGCTTGGTGCGCTAGCACCTTCGAAGCAGCGTACTTGAGCGCGTGGCCAGAGAAATCGTCCGGGAAGGACATGTTCATGTCTACGGGGATGACCTCGCCAGTGTTGTCTGTTCTGCGTTAGTGATCATTCAAGGTAATTGTCTGCTGTGCTACTTACCTTTCACCGAGATATCCTTGGTAATCAGGGCAGTCACAGGAGCTAGCGCAAGCACAGAAGACATTACGATGACTTTCTTGATCTGTGAAAACTCCAAAGCAGCATACAGAATTGCCTCGGTGCCTCTGACAGCCGGCTCAACGTAGTCCTGCTTGAAGTCGTTTCCTCCGCCAGGGATTGGAGAGGCAAGGTGAAAAACGTAATCTACATCCTGAAAAGCATCCTTGAACGATTCCCGCTGGGAGATGTCGGGAACAATGCATGTTTCGATTTTGTCGCCATATCCGGGATGGAGCTCTCGTAGGGTAGCTTCTTGTTCCGCTTTGCGAATACTCAGACGCACGCGGTACCCGGCTTGGAGAGTAGTAGCGACGACCTGCGAACCGATGAAGCCGGTTGCACCGGTCACGAAAACAAGGGGTGCTGCCATTCTGTTGATTGCAATTGATGTTGGTTCTCTGAGTGGAGGGCCATCTTCTACTATCTGAGTCCAGCTCCTAATTTATACCTTGCAAGCGAGAGCAGTAAACAAAGAGCATTCCAGCACATGCTTTGTGACTCCATGAGCGGCGATGACGAAATTCGTGCAAACATTC